AAGCCACAGAAGCCAGCAGTGCTCATTCTTGAAGATCATCGCTACAACGACGCGGTCTGTGCCACCGGTTCAATGTGTACTACCGGAGATATGGGGTCTGTGGGAGTGGGTACCTACAGCGTACAAGTAAGTACATGTACATATGTGCAACGGGAATAGTTTGAGACAATATAGATGCAGTGAGATACGCTTAGTGGCAACTAACAAACCCAGTTCATCGTATACATGTCCAGGTACCTCTGTCGGGGCGACCCGATAGCTGCAGGAGGTGCATGGTACAGGGCGTTTCAAAGATCAAAAGTCACGACGATCGTGCCATGTGGTTTTCCTGAATCCGAAAACAGACAGTTGGAGTAGGAAAAACACATGGCATGGCCAAGGTGGATCGCAAGACTACGTGCAGGAAACTTTCTATTCTGAAACGGAGTAACTCTGCAGCACCCATTGCCATTTTTGGGAAGAATGAAGGCCACCCCGAGATGGGCCCGAGGTCAAGCTTGATGGAGACTAAGTTCTCATCACCGATGTACCAATCACGAACAGCAGATGAAGTAGATTGCTGGAAAACGTGGCTTTAGGACGCTCTGACTGCTGATCAAAACAAATAAATAGGTACCAAATGAGATGAGGTATGGAGCTGAAGAGGAGAAGAGGCGACTTTGCTGGAGAACCTGAGATAAGACGCCGGACTTGAGCGTTGCTTTTTTTTTTTGTCCTTTTCTGTTGAAGGATTGCATGACCCGGACATTCGGGTACAGCGTTGATCAAAAGTCGAATCTTGACTGGTAAGCCCGCGAGATTGTTTGTTTACCCTGGATTAGGCAGTATGTAGTAACTCATCTCATGCGAGGTAAAGGGGGAATAGGGGAGAGCTTGGAAGCTAGATGGTCGTGGATCAATGAGGATTCGGGCCAAGGTCAATAGTGTAGAGCTCCAGCCGTAGCGTTGCATTGTGCCTGGATAATACCGGGAATTTTAGGTGAAGGATTAGCCGATGCCCGATTGGTAAAAGACTGAGATGATGGTGTACATGCAGGATTTGAGGAATTTCCTCCTCCATTCATTTCCCATGTGGAAAACCCGTGGACTTGGATGAAGGAATGGGAACCCTGTCGACCATGTGTTGATGATTAATTAAAGAGGGGATTAATTAAATGAAAAAAAAAAGAGAAAAAGAAAAAAATAAAGAAATAAAGAAAGAAAAAAAAACTAATTATAATATTAAATAATAATAAATAAATAGATTAAATATTAAATCATATCAACGTTCATGCTAATTAACCATAATATCATCCTAATCCGTGCTAGGCGTTGAGAAGGATTCCAACCTCATAGTGGAGCCCAGCTGCACTGCAAAGCAAAGCTACTGCAATCCTTCCCACTAACCCCATCCACTCATTTCGTTTCAGCCATTCTGCTTACACGTGGGCTCAAAAAGTATTTTTATCCCATGCAGTCATACATCATTTCCCCACCATCCTCACCCAGTCAGAGCAATCCGATGTACATGGCGAAGAAACAAACTCCGAAACGAACGGCTCCTTCTCCGTCGGGATGATCGTTGGTTTCAGGTTCAGATCCCTGTTGATGCGGAGGTCGAAGTTACTATTCTTGGACGGAGTTTGAGCTCCAACTCGAACAGACATTAAGCCCTGTGTTTCAGCATTGATTAACCTTTTGCCACTGCCACATGGGACTTGTCGAGGGGCTGAAGATTAGCGGTGCCACTTCTCATCAGATACTCCGTGCTTGCTTTGTTGCTATCTATGTACGGAGTATATATGGGAATTTTGACGGGATCCTGAAGGAGTTTGAGAGGTTGTGGGTGTGCTCCGTATGTAGTAGTTCTAGAAGCTGTGGACCTCTCTGCATTGATCGAGAGACTCGTTTCGGACTTGTGATTTCTGCTTTAGGGCCGGCTGTCTACGTTAATGGACATATGCATCATGAAGACATTCATCCGGTTTCATAACTACTCCGGACCTTTTCCACATGTACTCTTCATTCCTCCATAAAAAAAACCACATGGAGTGCAGATCTCTCCTAACCTCTGTACACACAATGACCCTGCTAGTTGACTTTTTCCACCAAGGTTGACTCCATTACCCTAATGCGTCTCCCACTCCAATCCCAGCACATGAGGTCTAAGTGATGTGATGAATCGCGAAATTTCCCAATTACCCAATTACCAAGTGACGTAGCCATCGGCCCAAGCACCTTCAACTGACATCCTAGCAAAATATACCTGAACGCACTAAACCAAGACATCCATCCCAAGACGGAATAAAACCAATACGCAACAAGTCGCTCAATCTTTCCAACAATGCAGCTAATTAACCTCCCTCACGCATCCAGCAACCTTGGAAATTAATCCTCAGCCCTGCACACCAAATCCAACCAAGCTGAACTTCACTAATCTGGCCTGAACCAGATGAATGGGACGCCTGAATCCGGCATCCAATCCATTCGCCCTCCACTTCCCAATAAAAACCAACAATGCAACCACCCCCACGAATCAAACAACTCCCCGGCCCTCCTCGATTTCAATCCAAAAGCACACAAAGGCCCCCCCCCCCTCAACTGCAAGACCCCGCCGTTTTCGTGACAATTAGATCGCTCCGACCTATAGGAATACCGCAATGGGCCCTTTGGCAGCACTCAACGCACAATGACATCATGTTCCTGCCGCCGGCAGAGCGCGTACGAGTCTTGCTCCACTGCCGCTGTTGGATTCACGGACACCGCTCATTCGCTGGTGTAGAGTACGTGCAGCCCTATAGACGTAATGAAAGTACCTTTTACTCTGTACAAATATGCGAAATAAGGCGAATTTTCTGCGTGAGGAGAGATAAATGCAGATGGGCTTTTTTTTTGGCGCGGGAGGGGGGAGATTGGATCCATTGACAACGCATAGAAGTTGATTAGTTGGATCCACAGGAGGCTGTTATTCTGGTGTTGGTGAGGGATGGCTTTTGTTCCGTGCGCTACCCGTGATTTTAGTCTCATGCGGGCCTTTGGTTTTTTATTTCTCCTGTTGGTTGTTGGGTTCTGGACTACATGTAGGCTGGGGAGGCTGGACTACTGGACAGGACGGGGGTTCGGGAAGGTACATTACTGAGGTTCAAGTGTGCAGGGATATGGATTTGGTTTGGGAAGCTCGAATCGACTTAACTTGTTGGCATAAGTTGAATTTCTATCTTGCAAGGTTCCTAACGTTCAAATTGAGACATTTATTTGATTCCAATTGCGGGTTATACTGTGTCGTTCTAAGGTTCCTAATCTGGGAGTCTGGGACCTTGGAACAACATGGATCGCCATCTGATCGACATAAACCAGACCGACGTATCTCCGAATGATAAATCCAAATCTATAAAAATTTCCGAGATCTTTGGCCCTTTACGTCGGAGACATCTGCACATGTGCCCTCGCAGAAATGATATCACAAATGTCTTAAATCTACTGCCAACTCGTAAAAACAGAAATAAACTGGGTAGAACCAAAAGCCAAGCAGATCCATACCATGTACAGTTGGAACAAGATTATTAGCTCATCACTCGGATTCGGAAATTCGATATCCAACCCCCCCCCCCCCCCCCACTCATCCCCCTCATCCCGTTCTAGATACCAAACCAACTCAAATCAGGAAGTTGGAGGGGACAATTGCGGGCGCAGATATGGACATGGATAGCAAGTGGCTACCGACTAGTAAACCATCAATCTAAAAATCCCGATTGAGGTCCGATTCCTACGATCGTCTCCACAAAACAGACCATCAATTGATTGAATGGGGATGTTGGTCAACTTGACCGCTCGGGATTCCCCCCGCCTCCCACCGCACGCGCCGTTGGCCACGGTGGCGATCATCATGGACTTGGGCTGGACTTTTGGATCCGACTAGGTCACAAAGAAAGCGAACAGATCTACATTCCTTTCGGAGCGGGTGGTGTGTGCTCCGTAGTAGCGCGAGATTGGGCCGTCAACGGTCGACCAATTGTCGCGAATGTCTTAATTGTCTCAATTATCCGTCCATGACCTCAGAGGCGCTTTGTTACCCACTTCATCCGTGAATTCGGGCTTCGGGGTTTTGAGATGCGATTGATTGCGACTGTCTTTCTTGTATCTGATGTCATGGGGGTTGAGTTGAGGGGGAGGCAGTTTGGTGTTGGTAAGGGATTCCATTTCGGGTGGTTGTTGGAATTCAAAGTGGGTGTTGAAAGGAACGCTCGGATCAATTGAATGATCTTGGTGGCTTGTGGCTTGTGGCTTTTGGCTGCAGGGCTGGATCGTTGGATATTTGCTGGGATTGTTTGGGTTGGTGAAGCGCCGGTGGATTTGCTTTAGTTCCTTTTGCGCTGGGCTTGCCGTAGTTTGGCGGTTAGAAGGGAGATGCGTTGTAGGCTTGAAGTGGTTTGTTCTGCATTGGGTTCGGCGTTTGTATACCTTGCCAGGGGAGAAGACCTATTCGAGATTGGATTAGAGAGGTTAAGTTTGAAAGAAGTAAAGTGAGAATATTTTGGTTAATTAATGCGTATTCCTAAGTTTGAGGTCAATTCGTGCGGCTCCTGCAGGCTCAAGCTTGGACTGAATTTGACTCGAGGTATATGTACTTAGATACAACCATGAATCATAGAGTAAGCAGTATATTGATGTTTAAGTACGTTTTTACTTTAGTTATGTAGTACTGTACTATGTAGACTTTTGAACCTTAGATCTTTCAAACGTTCAAGTACAATTCAATGTCGGCGGGGATTGTCTATGTATAACTACATGTACTATATGTACTTGATTACTACATACTAAGAAGCAAGTATAGTAGAGACCTCAACATTTGGACATTTGAACATTTGAAATAATAAAAACACCAGACTGAAAGAATGTTGTCTACTAGGTAGTATATACTAGTAGTAAATTCATTTTATCAGTGCATTGAAGCATCAATTGATACAACATTGAAGTGCAACAAGCAACACAGCAATATCAGAAATTATTGGAATCAGTCCTCAATCTTGAAACTCCCTCCACTTAACCATCCTCCCCCTAAGATCCAAAACCGTCCCATCAACAACAAAACTCCCATCACCCCGATGATGCAACATCCTCATAGCCCCAACCCCATCTCTCCCCTCAAACCCATCACAAACCCACGCCCTAACAGCCTTCAGAACCCAAAGATTATACTTCTCAACCATCGCCCGATCATGCACCACACACTCAATATTCGCAATAACCCCATTGCCCCCCACAAGCGGCGCCTCAACCTTCGCAGCCGGAAGCGCCTCAAACCCGAACTTCGTCCACTTGTCCACTTCGTCGCCGGAGCAGTTCCCGATATCCACAACGAACTCGGCAAGCGTGGTGTCGGGGATTGCGAGGACGCAGGAGCCTGTTTGGGAGAGGAGGGCGAAGCTTGTGTCCCAGGGGCCGAGGCAGATGTTCAACAGGGCCGGGCTGGAGTGTTGGAGCATCATGTGGAAGCCTAGGGTCATGAGGTTGTGGGTTTTGTCGGCGAGGGAGCCGGTTGAGACGAGGAGGGTGGGTCCTGGTTCGATGAGGCGGTAGACTTTTGAGGCGGGGTAGGGTTTGAAGGGGTTTTGTTTTGATGTTGATGTTGAGGGTGGTTTGGTTGAGGACTCGATTGGGACTAAGGATTGTAGAGGTGTCGTTGAGGGCTCGGAAGATGGGAGTGAGGCTTTGCGTTTGCGGGGCATTGTGGAGGGTCTTTGGGTTTTATGGGGGACGGTAAAGGTAGGTGGTGAGAGGAGTATGGCCAGGAAGAGAAAGCGCTCAATGTCTGGGAATGGTGGTGAGGTGAGTATGATGCACGGAGTCGAGTCAGGTCGAGCTGTACGTGTTGAAATAGAGAGGAACGGTTCCTTGGGACGACGTTGAAACCCCGCATTCCAGGGACCAGATCATTGGATCTCAAACAAGCAGGCGAGACAAGGCTACTCTAGAGAAGGCTGGGATCAACTGCTTGGCGAGAGAAAACTGTATGGTAGAACTGCGTATCGGCATGGGCTACTATCTAGGTCTGGTAGTAGAATCAACCCACTTCAAAAGTATATGGTAACGGAGCACACATCCACAGGAGGTACAGGTTGATAAAAATTCCCTACGTTGAGTTATCCATGGATCCAGGACAAGAGATGTTTGTTCATGCTTAGTATAATGTTGGACTAAAAATCAAACTCGGCCGAAGGGCGGTTTGAGAAAATAAGCTGTTCAATAGAAATCGTGTTGGTTAAAAAAAAAAAAAAAAAAAGGTTGGAAGGAACGGTTTGCTCATTGAAACGCGAGCATCGATAAAGCTGAGGTCAAAGGCCTTTTTTGGGATACAAGTCCAGTCAAAAATTGCTCCATCCAAGGAGAAAATACTTGACGGAAAGACACGCACAGGTACATGGTAAATGTTCCTATGGCACCTGGGAGAATCTTCAGGACTTAGGACATCTTGGTCTGTGGCTAAACCAAAGCACGTTCATGTTGAGAAAGGCCGCGAGAAGGAAATTCAAATTCAAAGCAAAATCAAAAAATATGGACACCGAATCGGGTCGAGTCACATGCCTTTCGGATATCGTAACTCCGCTAAATAACCCGAGTAAAAACATGACGAGGAAAGAAGAGAGGCTCTCATAAAACCAGGGCGGGATTGAAGGAAGGTGGCGGTTATGTGAGGTGGTTAAAAGGATAAAGAAGATGATACAATTTGCATTCCGACAATCTAGCGATCTGGATTGGTCACCTGGAGGATTCGGCGAGAGAAGTCGTGATCGTCATCGATACTGCCGTTGCTTTGTCGGCGCTGTGCCATATACTGGCCGTCGAATCGCGAATCTGTCATAGACGACGGTCCTGAGTCACGACCGCCACGGTATCCCTGAGCCTTTTGCTTGCGGGCTCGGTAGAAGAAGAAGGCAGCTCCAACTATGGCAGCCAAACCCACTACACCGACCACAACACCTGCAGCAATGGCGGCCGTATTATGAGTCTTGCTCTGCTTCTGTTCCTCCGCCTGCTGGGAAGATTGGGCCGCGGCAGCGGCGTCATTGTTGCTGGTATCTGTCACATATACTGTTTGACCGGCGGAGTTGACAGTTGCACTACCACCTGCACTCGTAGTTTCAGATGCGGTTGAGTTGCTGGTGCCGCTGCTGCTGCTACTGCTGCTGTCCGTCGAGGAAGATGATACACTCTCCACGTCGGGGTCTAACCCTGTCGTGTATACTGAGAAGTAACCAGTTCCACCACCTGAGAATTGTCAGTAACCTTATTAGTCTTTTTAAGCAAGCTGCTGAAGCAAGGCATACACTTATCTTCCGGCCAACCATTGCAGACTGTGTTACAGTTGCTTGAAGCTACCTTGTCTGAAGTTGGGGGTAATTCATTGCCACATAGACAGTATGCACCAGCTGTCAAAGCGAAAGCGGCTGCATTGGTTTCCTCGCAGTTATTTAGACACCATCCTGAGCTCTGATATTCGTAGTAGGTCTTGTTGGAAAGGCCATCGGAGCTGCTGTAGCAACCGACAAGGGTTTCGGCTCGTGGTACGATATTATTGGAGGGCGTAGCGATTGCGCCCGTGGCGAAAAGCAGAGTCGACAAGGACAAAGCGGTTCGAATAGTGAATTTCATGGTGATATATTGGGGAAGAGTCGAGTCGCGTCAAAAGAGTAAACACCGCTGCAGACACAGTCGTTACGATAGGTGAAGCGAAAGAGAATGGAAAAAAAAAAAAATCGAAGAACGAGGAAACGACCGGCGTCACCCTGCAGAACTTCTGTAGTCAAGGTTGACAACAAATATTGCCTGGGAGAAGAAGGCTTTCCGTCCCAACGGGATGTTGTTCGGTCGCGTTGTTGTGAGACTCTTGGGATCCGCTATGTAGATAGTCGATATGGATCGAGCCAAACGGAATCCACGGTCGGAAGAGAGAAACGAAGGAGAAAGAGTGTGTCGGTGAGCGAGAGGAATCGGGATATCAAAAGCCCGGTAGCACAAAGATGTTAACAACTGAGGGGGTGAATGTTGCCCCTTCTTGGTTCAGCTGTGTTGAGAGAGAAGCGACGGAGGATCGGACCAGTCGAGTTAAAAACTGGAGGGTCAAAGTTGATCAGGGTCAAGATGATATGGCTCAGGGCGATGAAAGAGTGGTCCCTTTGATTATCTTTTTTGTTAACGAGTGTGAATAAAGGAAAAAAGGAAGGCGAGGAAAGCAGTCAATCTTCAGGGAGAAAGAAGAAACGGGGTCCTTGCTCAGGGTCAAGGGGTCTGTTCCCCGTAAACACGGTACGGGGTGTATGTGTACTAATGTAAGCTATGTATGACATGTATGGTATGTATTGTATAGTGGCCTGCCGTCATCCTCGATTCTAAGCCAATCATATTTGGACAAAGAGCTGAGTCATCAGGCACCGCCTCTTGACCCTTGGAACCTGCAGTTGATCGTTTGCCAAATTCATCAAACGCGGGCCGGTTAGTGGATCCTTTCAACTCCGATCTAATCCTCTTCTAGATTTGTCCCTGACTGGTGTGACCTTATTCGTACAGATGCTCGGATCTGCGAGGCCCTGCGTTATTCGCCACAGGACCAGACATCCACACTGGAATCCAATTTGACACTTACGTAGCCTTTCTTTCATGTCAACATTTATAGGATATTCATACATATGATAGACTCGTGCCGTATTAACAAAAGAAAGGGTGAGAAAAGAAAAAAAAAAGTTGGAAGTATATCGGACCGGAGCACGTGCTACCGATCAATACCGGAACACTTCAGAATTTGCTAGGCAGCGCTTACTCCGTACTGGCCGTTCTTTTCTCAGGGAAATGAAAGTCATTAGCGTAATTTCCCTGCCGTGTCCGGGGGAAGGGGGGAACTTTTCAACGCTAAGACCGAGGAGGCTTGGCTTCTCGATACCAACAAGCTACGAACTATATCTTGATGCAAAGGGCCACTTTGCACTAATCATAACAACTCATGCCATCCTAGCAGAACATTAGTATGGATGAGAAAGAGAAAGAGAAAAACATAGAGAAAAACAAAAACATTTTGCCCCTTTTCACGGACCACGGTTTTTACGCGGCCACTCCCGAGTGGATCGTGTCTCCAATGAATGAGCTGTCGATTTCGGTTAATTACGGTTCCAAGCCCATAAATTACATACACAAACAATAACACAAAAAATTGATTAAAATTTTTTAAGCACATGTTGGCCCTGCTTTTCTCGGCTATTTACCAATCGCAGCACTTGAGCCCTGGACCCTGAGAGATGCAGGTACGGAGTATACATGTATAGATACCGAGTGTTATCATACGCTCTCTTGTTTACATTCATCAGATACTGAGTTTCCAAGGCTGGATACATGTAGGGACCATGCATTCAATGTTGCAGATAATCCTGCTGGTCATCTAAGACAGGGTCCTAGCCTTACTACATACTATATCGTGGATTTGATTCACCATCTGCATGAGGTACATCTATGCAGATTATGTATGTGCTTTGAAAAATCACACGAGCTGTGGACTATATTCCCGTCGCATGACCCCGCCACTTTGATAGACTAGATGATCAGTACGGAGCAACTCATCACGAGAACTCATCCAGAAAGCATCTTGAGGTCATCTGGTCTCGAATAGTAGCTATGAATAATCTACTCATACACAGTGGCCTATCTTTCATAGTACCAAAAGTGAGTCCAGTCTATCGACGTTATGCATATATCTGGACGTGGCCCACCACATCCGCGAGAATCACATCATTTCACCGGCCACTTAGCCAAGATCAAAACATTTGAACAAACACTGGCTACATATCTGTACACATCGTAAATATACATGTATGGCAACATCGACCAACATTTGAGCATTCTAAAACTTGGAACCAAGACCTCTCAGCGGACCCTGACTCACCACCAATGTATTTCGAGCCTGTGGCGCTCACTAGCCCGGTCCCAATCCGCGCAAAAATAAATATCTGGAACCGGGCCCCTTGCGCCGAGCCAACAAAATTGAAAACAGTTGACTATACAAAAACCATAACCCACATTTTACGTCCGTACATAGTATGTAAAAAAAACATTTCAAAAACCAACATTGAAAATTCTGATCTGGTCTCTGTGGCCTCCATTACCTCGCATTACATCCAGTATAACAGGCCAGTTGGGGTCTTCGGCTGTTCTGGACTGGAAACCCTTAAAGTGGATCGTTGACTTGGCATATGGGGCCTTTGGTCAGGGTCTAGAACCACTCCATTGTCTGTTGGCGTGGGGTTTCGGACTCTGATGTATCTTTTTTCACTCCGTACCGAGTGTACAGTACACATGTATTCATTAATAATGTGGTATCTCAGAGACAGATCGTTCTAGAAGTATTCGGGCCGGAAGACTCGGATTACAGAGATGGGGGGATATGAGATTGTGGCATTTGATAGTACAATGCGGATTCCGATGATACCCGCTGGTTCCCCTGAATAAACAGTCTGTCTTCTGTGGCTGTTGCAATGGAACATGACATCTGGAAGGAGACCGTGGGCGGAGTGGAGATAAATATTAGGAGCACTTGAGGTATAACCTGTATGGAGTTTTGAACATCCATTGGTACAAACTACCCAGCTGAACGCGCCCGTCCAAACTTACTAGATGGCAAGGTATGTGGCAGATGATGGCCATATAATCAATTAAGCAGGTGTATCGAACCTTCTAAGGAAGCCTACTATGTACCTACCAGGTCATGGGCCACAAAGCCATGGATTTCCCAAAAGCCAAGTGTTGGCCTATGAAAATTTGAAGCGGAGGAACCACGAAATTTACAATGGAGATGAAGCTTACATAGGATATGTAGCCCTGGAGACATCTGGAGATTCCTGAGGTCATGCCCAGACTGATGTGAGGATGTAGGATATGACAATATGCATATTACAGTTGACCGACCGTCACCTTTCCAGGTGGTAGTGAATACATATAGGTATGTATACTTAAAACATGCATGTGGATTGGGTATTTGTCAAGGTTACAAGGTTCTTGTTAAAACCTTCTGAGAATTATCAAGATGACCTAGGAAAGACACCATGTGCATGTGCCCAGGTGAGGATATAAAGTTATATCTTCGTTAGTTGGCTGGTGATCATATCATGCATGTACATAGAAGTCAAATTGGATCGTAAACTCAATATTTGAAGTTTTCAAATCGGAATGATAATATCCACCTCTTGCCTTTCTAGGCAGCCCAGTCGAATACACATGACCTCGGGACCGGGCATAGATCAAGACAAGTAGTAAATTGAAGAGAAGCTAGGCCTAAGAAGAACAGAGAAAAGAGAAGGACGCTATCTGCTGAGTGATCTTAGGCCAATTCCCCGAGGCTCTTTTTATGCAGATATGACGGAGTCAGTGGCCTGCAGGCATAGGACAAACATAATCATAAATATCAATTAGAAACTTCGTGGACTACGCTTTCATTTTTTTAATCACTTTGAAAAAAAGTTTCTCCCCATAAATCGTTCTCAATTAAGTAGACTGAGATGATTCGGCTTGGCTATAGACAAAAGAATTCTCGCGTTCTTTATTTTCGTGGTCACTTGTCACACTGTTGAGACAAGCCCAGGCATTCCAAAATTAAAATGAAAAGCTAGATCACCCGACCAAATTTGACCTCATTTATGGCTTAGGGATGTGGATGGTCTTGCTGACCATCGCGCAACCATGCAGGGCAAACAGCAAAGCAGCGGGGTGGAACTCGAAAGCGGTGCCTTCGGCAATGAGTCCGAAGGGAATGTTGTCGTGGGTCCAGCTATTAGAGACACAGTAGGCCATAAGGGCGGCAATAGAAAGAGTGGTCGGGATGGGTGTGCCCTCGAAGTACTTGGACTTGCCGCTCTTATCCTTCGGCAGAACAGCCACGGTGACGTTGAATCGGGCCAGACGAGTGAGACCACACAGAACAAAGAAGGCCAAGATGAGGTGGTCGACGTTTGTGCGGATACCGAGCGCAAAGGCGGCAGCTGCGGGAGCGAGGCCGAAAGAAACCTGTAGCGCACCCCCAAAGCGTTAGTGCGTGTACCATGGAAATTGTTGGGCGAACCGGATAATTTCTCCTACCAGATCTGCGAGCGAGTCTAATTCCTGTCCCATCAGGGATGACTTCTTGCGCCAGCGTGCAATCTTTCCATCCATGAAGTCAAAGAATAGACCAAATGGCATAAAGGCGAGAGCAGCCCAGATGGCACCGTAGTCTGTAGGATCTCCGAGACAATAGCGCATGGACGAGAAAACTGACATGACTGCTCCGACGATTAGCATAATGTCAAATTTAGAATAAGGCTGGAACTTGCCTCCGCAGAAACCTGTAAGTTATAGTCAGAAATCTAGTTCAATTGTCATCACTCTGGGTCGAAGAGAAACACTTACCATTCAACTCAGTAACCAGATCGGCAAGGTGGAGAGCTCTAGTAGCGAGCAACGTTAGAAGAGAGCATTGCAGAGTAAGCAGCGGCAGGTAGACTTAAAATACTCACTTCACCATGCTAAAATGACCGTGCTCTTCAGAGAGAAGCATCTTCTGCTTTTGCTGGCCTGTAACCTGTGAGCGGACATTTCACGAGGGGTGCACTGTCGATCGCAAACTGACCTCCGTCGTTTGAAGGCGGGACGCTGCTGGGCTCGCTCGACGCCATAGTCGATGTTCTGCGAGACATGCTCAGGGAAGGACAGAAAGAAAATACAAAAAGCGGGATAGAAGACGATTTCTGGCTCCAGAAATGTCAAAGGGTTGAGGAAGTTAAAATCACCGCCAATCCTGCTTCGAGTGTTGACGGACGCACAGATTCGTAGAGCGGTCAACGTCATTTCCCGAAAAGCAATAACCGCGAGGCGGTGCACACTACGCCACATTCCAGCCACATGCTCTTTGATTTGTCCGTCAAACTGTAGCAGTTCTTTGTCAGTAGTACTAGACATCTGGAGTTAACTAACTAGTTACTCCTAGTATTTGACCTTCTTATTTCATGATCACTTGTATAGTAGTTAAGTGAGAGAGTTTCTCTTAAGAAGAAGAACGGGAGCAGCATATATAGAACAGATTTTATGACTGGATATATTCTACAGTCTCTGCAGCCAGAGAAGCAGTTATTGTGTCAGGATGCACAAGAAAAAAAGAAGTATTCCTGCAAAAAAAGCTCCCGAATCCCCCAAACGCCGTAAGAAGACACAATAGTCAGGCAGCGATATCTTAATAGCGACCACCGCTACCACCACGGAAACCACCACCACCACGGGGAGCACCACGGCCACCACCACGAGAGAAGCCACCGGAGCCACCGCGGCCACCAAAGCCACCGGAACCTCCACGGGGAGCACCGAAGCTACCACCACGGCCACCACCACGGCCACCGAAGCTGCCACCACGGGAGAAACCTCCGGGGGCACCACGGCCACGGCCGCCAAAGCCACCGCGGCCACGGGGAGCACCGCCACGGGCACCACCGGCACGCTTGACCTTGGGTCCAGGAGGAGCCTTGGGCTTGGGGAGGAACTTCTCCAGAGGGAGCAGCTTGTCGCCGCCAATGAAGACCTTGTCACCAGGCTTGAATGAGGAAGCGACAATGCCGTTGCTGGGCTTCACGGTGAAGTAAACGTTGTTGATTGCGCCCAAAACTTCCTCAACTCGACCAATTTCCGACTTTGGGATTGTTAGTATGCATTGCCTGAATTGGGGGATGCGATCGACAGCATACCTTGTTCTCGAGGTAGATCGGAGCGTTGAAGTAGGGAATCTTGGGGTTGATAGACTCGCAGACGAGCTCTCCCTCACAATCGTGCTTGAAGGAACCCATTTCAAAGACCTGGGCTGGGGGGCCGAACGACGGCTGGAATCCTCCGCGACCTACCCGGAAAAAATTTCGTTAGCTTCAATTCGGTCCCTAAATTGGTTTCGCGGGGAAATTTCTTACCACCACGACCGCCGAAACCACCCCGGTTGGCACCAGTGCCGAATGAGCCACGGCCACCACGGAAAGACATTGTGCTGGATGGTTGATTTGGAGGTTGGACTTGGGCGAAGAAGTTTTCGGGTGGAGGAAACTTCATACGGTAAAGCGTCGCTAGCCAGGGCAGATCACGGTCACATGACTCACCGCCCGCCCCTCCCATCACCAAATTGACTCACATTATTTTCCCAATCGCGATTAGAAGATCAGATACCTCTAGGTCCCATTTCTATTCTCCTCGGTCAATTCCTTTGCTTCACCCCCCGAGGGACTTGAAAATGGCCTCCGAAGCCCCCAAGGATCTCCCCGTGCGGCCTGCTGCCGAGGCCCAGAGCAAACCAGCTGCTGCTGCCCCGCCAAACGATGCCAAAGTGAAAAAGGCCCCCGCCCCCGACGTCCTGCCCGAATGGATGATTGAGCGCAACAACTTTTTCGAAGAGCTCTGGCAGAAGCATCTTGAGAACACCAAAAACCGAGATCATCCTGAGATCAACGTTACCCTCGACATCGGTAACGGCAACCCCGCAACTCAGGTCCCCGCGAAGGCCTACGAGACCACCCCTGGCTCCTTCCTGCGTGACGTGCCGAAGGATATTAGCGCCAATGTCGTTGTTGCAAAGGTCAACGGTGAATTGTGGGACCTCAACCGACCTCTCGAGGGCGACTGCACCGTGTCCTTGGTTCCATTCAGCGACCCCGAGGGTCGCTCGACCTTCTGGCATTCTGCTGCTCACGGATTGGGCGAGGGTTGCGAATGTGAATACAACAGTCTCCTATCCCACGGTCCCCCGACTGCGCAAGGTTTCTTTTACGATATGGCCATGCCTGAAGGTCGTGTCGTCCGAGAGACTGACTGGCCGGCGCTTGATAAGCGTGTCCAAGCCGTTTTCAAGGAGAAGCAGGCGTTTGATCGGTTGGATGTCTCAAAAGAGGATCTCCGCAAGATGTTTGCCTACTCCAAGTATAAGCTGCACTACATTGACAAGTTGGTCACTGGTGAATCGAGCACAGTCTACCGCTGTGGTACCCTGGTTGATCTCTGCCGTGGACCCCACATTCAAAACACTGGCAAAGTAAAGACGTTTAAGATTATGCAAACGAGCGCGGCTTACTGGCTAGGAGACCAAAGCAATGAGTCTTTGCAGCGTATTCGTGGTGTTGCATTCCCGGATAAGAAGGGAATGGCCGATCACCTGAAATTCCTTGAGGAGGCAGAGAAGCGAAACCACTTGAGAATTGGCAAGGAGCAAGAACTTTTCTTCTTTGATGATGTTTCACCGGGTTGTCCTTTCCTTTTACCCAACGGAACCAAAATCTTCAATGCTATTCAAAGTCTCCTCCGGTCCGAATACCGGAAGCGTGGATACCAAGAGGTCCAAACACCCAACATGTATGATGTGGGCATCTGGAAGACCAGTGGGTAAGAAGCCCTCTTGATTATATGCTATCACTATGTGAAGTGTTGACTAACGGCGTGAACAGACATTGGCAACATTACTCTGAGGACATGTTCAGTATGGAACTTGAAAACTTCTGATATATGCCTGTCAAATACTGACAATTTTATAGAGCTGAATGTTGAGAAACGCGAGTGGGCTCTGAAGCCAATGAACTGCCCCGGTCACTTCATTTTATGGGGCCACCGCGTCCGATCATGGAAGGAGATGGTACGTTTACTTTGAGAACAAGGATCAATTCTTACTCGACGGAGTCGCTTGAGCATGATCTTTGGAGCGTTGGTCTTTGGTCTTTGGCTAACCGTGTGTGCAATTCAGCCCCTCCGCATTGCGGACTTTGGTGTGCTCCACAGAGCTGAAGCGAGTGGTGCCCTTTCAGGAATGACCCGTGTGCGCAAGTTCCAACAGGATGACACCCACATCTTCTGTACTCAAGATCAGATCACGTCGGAGATCGAAGGCTTGTTCGATTTCTTACAGTCAATTTACGGTCTGTTCGGCTTCACCTTCAAGCTGAAGTTGTCTACTCGCCCTGACAAGTACCTGGGTGAGCTTGCGACATGGGACTACGCCGAAGATCAACTCAAAAAGGCCATGACCAAGTTCAAGGGTGACGATTGGATTATCGACGAGGGTGACGGCGCTTTCTACGGGTTTGTTTTCCCCCGGGGGGTTAGGAATTAGGCCTAGTTTGAAAGAGACTGACGAGAAGTAGGCCCAAGATTGATATCACCATTGCGGATGCCCTGCAGCGTGAGTTCCAGTGCGCCACTATCCAATTGGATTACCAGGCCCCGATCAACTTCAATATGCAGTACGTCACCAATGAGAAGGGTGAGAAGAAGACGACGGAAGAACCGAAGGAGGGTGAGGAGGCACAGGCTAAGAGCAATCCCAATGAGTTGCCTGCTGGTCGTGCACGCCCCGTCGTCATCCACAGAGCGGTAAGGCCAAGTCCAAAAAGTTCAATGCTCTTGATCAACACCGATATTGACATATTTGTAAAATAGATCATCGGTTCTTTTGAACGCTTCTTTGGTATTCTTACGGAACATTTTGCTGGCAAATGGCCCTTCTGGTTGAACCCAAGGCAGATCTTGATCGTTCCCGTGATGCCGGCTGTCTACGGCTACGCTGAGGAGCTACAAAAGATCTTCCAGGCTGATAAATTGAATGTCGACATCGATGTCAGTGGCAACACCTTGCAGAAGAAGATCCGTACCGGGCAGATCCAGCAGTACGGCTTCATCTTGGGTAAGTGTTCGTTCTTGATTACTTTGGCTCTCAATACTAATATGTTGCAGTTGTGGGAGCAAACGAGGCGGAAACTAGATCCGTCAATATCAGAAACCGCGATGACCCAGCGACACAGAAGCAGGGTATTATGATTCCCCTTGAGGAGGCACGGATCAAGTTCAAGGCCTTGCGTAAGGAACGTCGGTTGGAGAACGCTCTTTAAGATGGGAATTCGAGAAGCATTTGATACGAGAAGGGGTATGTAGAGATGTGTCACCGATTTACGAAAAGAAATGAAACAAATACGTGAATCCAGTGAATCATTGGACGTAGAAATCCTGATAGGTACTAGTAGTAGGAATTCAGATACTATCAAAGGGAGTTCTCAGATCGATTGTGGTTGCGCCAGAAGAGGTGATGAGATCATATCGCCCCTCTTTGTTTACCCCTTTCTCATACCGCATTACTTGTTCAATTTACTTTAATTATCTACTACTGTTTACTTAATTAACTCGTAGTATATTTCTATTATGTAAGATTGGATTGAAGAATAAGTGACATTCCAGTGGACTCTGTATAATACGAGGTACGGTAGGGCTGATTAGCAAAATGTTACTATTGGACCAGAGGATCGGCAACAAAGAGAAAGAAGAGAAAAGGAGGTCTATACTTGGTACTTTCATTGAAAGAGAGAAGCAAGACAAAGTCGGAAGAATAAATCTATTCATATCAAATTTTTTTTAATATATTAAATATAATTTCTTTTGTATATTATGAAACGTTGATGATTTTCTTTATACTTGCGTGGCCTTAATTCCTTGGAACCCGACACTCCGATCACCCGCGGGGACTGCGGGGCTCTTGTTTCTCATCACACGTCGAGTCCCCTTTTTCAATTTCGTGTTCTCGACTTTTTCTTTCGTTTTTCATTCTTGATCCCCTTAAATTCCCTCTATTCTTCTTTTTCCCTCCCTGGCGCAGATTTCCTTTCCATCATGGCTGATTTACAAGGTCGCAAGGTCTTCAAGGTCTTTAACCAGGACTTCGTCGTGAATGAGCAGTACAATGTCACCAAAGAGCTGGGCCAAGGTGCATACGGTATCGTCTGGTACGTTCTCTGCTAGAAAATCTGTTTTCCCGAAGCTCGCGTGGTGGTGTTATTCCTGGTGGTGGTGTGGGGGGTGCCTAGAGCTGACGTCGTTCCAATAGTGCTGCGACCAACATTCAGACTGGTGAGGGTGTCGCCGTGAAGAAGGTCACCAACGTTTTCAGCAAAAAGATTCTCGCCAAGCGAGCCCTGCGAGAGATTAAGCTGCTCCAGCACTTCCGGGGCCACCGCAATGTACGTCGCTCTCCCCCCTCCCCCTTCCGCCGATAACATGATCTCAAAGCTGACTCGCGACCCCTCCTTAGATTACATGCCTCTACGATATGGACATCCCCCGACCGGACAACTTCAACGAAACATATCTCTATGAGGGTTTGTGGCATTCTGTTCCATGCATGATATGTATGCGATGGGAATGTGTTCTGACAATTTTATAGAGTTGATGGAGTGTGATCTGGCGGCCATCATCCGTTCCGGACAGCCCTTGACCGATGCGCATTTCCAATCCTTTATCTACCAGATCCTTTGTGGTCTCAAGTATATCCACTCGGCCAACGTGCTGCACCGTGACTTGAAACCCGGTAACCTGCTTGTCAATGCCGACTGCGAGCTGAAGATTTGCGATTTCGGTCTGGCCCGTGGCTTCTCCATTGACCCCGAGGAGAACGCCGGTTACATGACCGAGTACGTCGCGACAAGATGGTACCGTGCTCCGGAGATCATGTTGAGCTTCCAGAGCTACACCAAGGCCAGTACGTTATAACCAAAAACCCCCCAAGTCGAACAATTTTTCCCTAACAACCCGAACTATAGTCGATGTCTGGTCAGTCGGATGTATTCTTGCCGAACTCCTGGGCGGCCGTCCCTTCTTCAAGGGCCGTGACTACGTCGACCAGCTGAACCAGATCCTGCACTACCTGGGTACCCCCAACGAAGACACTCTTGCGCGCATCGGCTCCCCCCGCGCCCAGGAATACGTCCGCAACCTGCCCTTCATGCCCAAGATCCCCTTCCAGCGCCTGTTCCCCAACGCCAACCCCGATGCCCTGGACCTGCTGGACCGCATGCTAGCCTTCGATCCCTCCTCCCGTATCTCCGTCGAGGAAGCCCTCGAGCACCCTTACCTGCACATCTGGCACGACGCCTCCGACGAGCCCACATGCCCCACCACCTTCGACTTCCACTTCGAGGTCGTCGAGGAGGTCCACGATATGCGCCAGATGATCCTCGACGAGGTCATTCGCTTCCGTAACACCGTGCGCGGCCAGTCCCAGGCTCACTCCGCTCAACAACAGCAGATGTCTCAGCAGACCAATGTTCCCATCCCGGAACAGCAGGGCGGCTGGAAGGCCGAGGACCCCAGACCTCAGGAAGCTGCCGCCGGCGGTGGCCACCTGAATGACCTGGAGTCTTCGCTGCAGCGTGGTATGGACGTGCACCACTAATCCTCTTTTCTCTTTTTGGTTGTTGTTGTAGTTGTAGTTGTGAAGCCCTTCCTTTCCTTTGGCCATATTGTGTTTTCTTCGTATTCAGCTCGGTTCGGCTCGCCTACTCTGCCAACTGCACTCGGTCTCCTACCCACCCCCTGCATGTCGATATAATGAATTAGCAAAGAGATACCTCCGAGAGAAAGGCTGGACGGTTGCATGATTTGTTTTCTTCTTGATTCAGATTCGTCTTCGTGCTTTCCGTTTGTTTTTGTTGTGGATTCCGCTTGTCTTCCGCTTTTGCGTTCCTTGTTGTATCTGGTCTGCTGATCTGTGTGTTTATGGGTGCTCAAGCTATCCTTGGGGCCTGAGTCCTTTTTGGTTTACTAGTAACTCATGATTTGAGAGATTTGTGTTTCCCTCTCCCTGCCTACCTTGGTTTTTTTTTTTTTCTTTCTGTGGATCGGATAGATAGATGGTTTGTCAGTGGTCGAAACACATCAAAATGTGAAAATGTCAAAATGTAGATTCTGGAAATACTGAGGTGACTTCTTGTTTGGCTCTTGGTAGTGATTCTCTCCACTGTGCATCTAGAAATACCAGTGCCATATGAACCCGGAAGATGGAAAATAAAACAAGTAAAGACGCTCTCATATGCTAGGATGGTATGTAACGCTAAAGCTAACCACAACAAACCGACCCGCAAAGCTAAGACCCCAGCTAAAAGGTATAAATAGAAAGCCATAAAACAAGCAAGACCAGGAACCGTCTTTAATCCCATCCAAAAAACCGACTTATCAACATCAATGGTAATATCCTCTCCACCAAACAGCCATACAAGCCGACACGACCAAATCCAACATCTTAATCCCCTCATCCTCAATAATCAACTTCCCCAACTTAGCACTCTTCCCCCGCATCCCACCCCCAGCAAGCTCTCTCGCAAGGGAAAAGTCCAATCGATCCTCATCCGAATCCACACTACTCGCACTCGTACTCCTGCGATGAAAAGGCTGATGCCCAAATCTATTCGATTGCTGCTGCGCAAACTGGCCCGCGCGCAGAGACGTCCGCCGCAAAAGAGCAGCAGGGTTAAATTGTTGGCGATGTGAGTCAGAGGCGTGTGAAGGCGTTGAAGGAGTGTCCGGATTTGGACCAGAGTGGGCGCGTGGACGAGCATAGTTATTTGGGTTCAGGAACTGAGAGAGCGAGGCGCGTTTGGAGGATGGAGTTTCTGGGTTTGGAGGGTCGTACGTGGATGAAGGGGAGGAATATTGGTTCGAGGCTGTGGGAGTTCGTGACGCGGCGTGATAGTGTAGGTTTGCTGCTTGGAAGGGGGTGTTGAAGCGGATCTCGGCAACTGTGACGGCGGGGTTCGGTTCGTTCTCGCCAGGTTGAGGTACGCCGATTGGGCCTTGAATCATGTGTTTACATTTGAGACTTCGGCCGTTGACGCTGCTGGCGAAGGTGCAGGTGCCGTTCCAGGGGGAGTTGAAGACGTAGTAGCCGCTCTTCAGTTTTGAGGCGCTGTCGTGGCTGTTTCCGAACTCGGAGTTTGCGCCTGAGTCGTCAAAGGGCTTGGAGACGCAGAGTTGTCGGTGGAACTTGCGAGGTCCAAATGACTGTGGCTGTTGTGGTTGTGGTTGCTGCCGCTGCTGCTCGCTAGCTTGGTCGGCGTGTAGTGGAGGCGCAGGAGGTACGGAAGATCCAGAATTGCGCATCAACCCCGCGGGGAGGTTAGCAGCTAGACTAGCAAGCGAGAGCGGCTCGTTAGAGCCAGCAAATCTATTATAACCGGGCGTCGCGATATCAATCTCAATGGCATTGTGATCCATATGCGGGGTTGAGATCGTCGCGACGTTCCACTGCGTACCAGACGCGGGGTCTCGCCGAATAAGTGTGAGACGAAAACCTGCATTATTCCTTGGTGGATGCTGTGCCTTTCTTGGTCTAGGGGATGACCGTCCGGTGCTTCTTGACGGAGACCCCATGCGAGGTTGTGTCGAGCGTGGCGGTAATGGCGGCCTATTCGCATCAAGACTATGTCGCCCCGCGGCGAAAGCCTCATATCTCTCTCGCGATGACTCCTGCCCCTGGCCACTAGATGCCTGTCCCGCGTATGCGCTCCGCCTGTTTTCCGTTTTCGCTTGTGTTTCGTTGCCTGGATGACCACTGAATGGCTCCTCGCTAGGCGGCAGAGGAGGTAACGGCCGCCGTGAGATGGGACTTTGAGCCGCGGGCTCCGCAAGTGTCTTTGTAGGGTCGTGGCTTGAAACTGGGAGCGCATTGGTGACAGGCGTCCCCGAGAAAGATACATTCTCTGCCGAAACCTGCGGCATATGCACCGGTCGTCGTGACGGCAATACGGGAGGATTGTTGCCTGCCGGGGTGGGGGCATTGTCTTGCGACAAGGCAGGCGCATTATCTGAAGCTACCTCTGCACCACCCACGGGTTTCCTTCGGGGGTGGTTCAGACGGGCAAAGTCCCGTTGGGCAGGGTCATCGTGACCTGCAGCCTCGAGCTCCTCCCTCCGTAGCTGTATTTCCTGCTCGCGTTCCTCCTCGACCTGCTGCAGTAGTGCGTCATCCTCAGGTGTTGCGACGTGTAAATAGAAAAGCGATGCGTTGATAGCCTCGGCAGAGACACTGGATTTGGTGGGCGGTTTAACGGGGGAGAGGAAGATATCTGTTCGTGCGTCATGCGCTGGTCAGCTTATCTGTACTAGACGCTCCGATAAGGCCAAGGCCTTGAATTTGCAGTGCGGGGGAAGAGAGAGAGAGGTGAGCGTATCTAGAGAGTGCCCTCTTTGAGTAAATAGGTCTCACGTACCTTGACTTCCAGGAACCCGGACTATATATAGAACTAAAGGGTCGAGCTTCTCGTGTGTGGGATTACGCGGGTAGGCGGGGGGATTGGATGCGATGGCGGTGATGGATGACAGGGAGCGAGCCTCGACGGGGCCTTGTGTTGCGGCCACAGTAGACATGGTGAGAGGCACGGCTGCAATGCGCCGGCCGTGGAAGTCCGATATTAACGCGACGGAGTAGTATGGTTGTGAGAGAAAGGTTTAGAAATGGGGTATGGAGATCCAAGATGTTTATTCCGAGTAAACAGAGAGCGAGAGCGGGTCCTGTTCGGTAGTGGGCGGCAGGGCCTTACGAGATTTATTGACATTTCAAGTTATTTACGGAGCACAAGGGTCTAATGATGCCAACGTAACACTGTGGCCTGAAACCCAAGTGTCAAGACTCACTTATAAGAAGCAAGGGTTCCGTTGCGAGTGTTGGATCGTGGCGCAGTACGCGGCCTGCGTACTAGGCAACGGCAATTGATTACGTTTGAGATCTACATCTTCTCTAGCCACACTAAGTACACTAGTCTAGGTATGCTTATCTATAGTATACTATAAGGTGCTAATACAATCTCTCAAAAATTCACAATTGTCAAAGAAAATTGATGCGTTGACGTATTCAACAGTTGGTATCTCCCGCATGGCTAGCTACAAGGCTATAGATAATAAAAAAAAGGTAAGACGCACGATGCATAGGAGAATAATATAATAAAGGAGGGGATTCTCCACAAAATGGGGGGGTGTTCATACAAATGAAAGAGAAGAACTCCAATCCTGTTAGCGCCGCAAATGAAAGATCCTATGCCAATTCCCCTTCCAAAATAAAACAGAAAAAAAAAAGAAAAAAAGAAACCAATTCCATGGACATTAGACGACGGTCTCGGACCGTTCTCCCTCGGCAATGATGGGTACACCCAAACCGCGATCTGGACTCTGTAAAACAAGCTGCTCATGGCGGCGAGCTCGCAAGAAATCGCTGACAGCTCGGATCAGGATGAACCAGCCGACAATCATAAGAACATAAGATATCCATTCGCTGGTACTGATACCGGCCATGGAACCACCATCGCCTGCAGTATCACCAACAGTGTTGGGATCAAAGTTATGGCTGTTGGGGTCGGGTGGCGGAACGTATCCATCACCGCCACTACTTCCATCAGAAGTGGAAGTGTCGCTGCCTCCCTTCATGTAAAAACCGTATTGAACAAGGGTAAGGCCGAGACCCGCTCGGCTGCCATTCTTTGCGGCGTGGGTGGTGTGGAGCAAATAAGTCAGGAGGAAACCGACCAGCTGGAATGACATAGAAATCATCGCATTCCAGATAAATGAAAAGAAAGATCCAACAGGAAGTCCATCAACGTAGACTTCATCGGAAGAGATGCCGGGGGCGACGATCGTGGTCTCCCAGTAAGGTGGGGTTGCGTCGGCGGCCGCTTCTTCATAAGACTAGAAAGATTCACATGATTAGAACCCACATCATTGGTATTCTCAAGGGTAGAGGAGTATTATGGAGTATGTATAATTACTCACAGGAGGCAAGTCTTCATTCTTTTCGCCCCGTTCTGGCTTCGCCGCGAGATTGGCAAAGACACCGTCATTTGATGGCGCGACCGACCGACTATTACCCGATGAAGTGGTAAAATTTGGTAATATGGTTGGCCGTCGAGATATCGCTGATGCAGCAGAGCGATCTTGACTCTCGTTTCTAGATACTGACGAGGATGCCGCAGTGGAGGTTTGTCCGTTGTCCACGGGACTATAGGGATCCGGGTTGGCACGCATCAGCCGCTGACGATCATCCGGCTCTTCATCATCGTCAGAGTCATCTTCGCTGCCAAAAGCATCGGCCAAGGCATTATCATCTTCATCCTGTCGAATAGGATCGCTATGCAGTAGTCGCCTCGATGATGGCGACGAAGACCGGGAACGGAACGAGGGAGGCGGAGAGTGTGGTGATAGATTTGATCGGGTAGGATTCAGCGGATAGGAGTGGGTGTTATCCTCTTCATCTCGGGCGTTCACCTGTGGTTATGTTAGATCGGATCAGAATCGTTATCTGGGGTGGCCTCGAGGATCCGGACTGGGGGGATCAGCGGGGAGGATGACGAACCCGGGAATAGCGCTGCGAGCTCATGACGAGCTGAGCGTGAGAGGAAGAAGAGAAAACAGGATTAAAAGGGCACAAGGAAAGAAAAGCGATCTAGGGAAGGAAATGAATAAGGGTGAGAATGGAACCCTGGAAGTGTCGACAGATGGAAGCGCCGGGTTCCGTAATCGTTCTAAGGCAACAGGGAGCGCCATTTGATGCCTGAGGCGGTCAGGGATTACAAATGAAAATGGATTCACTTTTGATGATCTTTTGATGCTTTGGACGATTTGGTCATTTTTATACATTTGACAAAAAATAACCCCTATCTACACATCCACCATGGCTAATCCTCCGGTATGCTTACAATGCAATTGCTCTACGCGCATTTATTTCCCATGATCAATTGAAACTCATGACACTAACACACCTCCCAGCGCACCATCCAAACACGCCTCACCCACCTCCTCAAACACTGGCCTGTAGACAAAGTTCGCCCGACCTCTGTCTCCGTGCAAACCTATTTGCAAGCAGCCTTGGGTCAAAAGCCAGAGATCGAGCCCAAGAAATCCAAGCGCGACCCTGATGCCGTACCCTTCAGACAGCCCGTGATTTCCGAGTCCTCCGCCAACGCGTTGCAGGCACTCCTCGAAGACCGCTTTTCCCGTCGCTATCCAATGTCGAAAAATATCCGGTACCCAGCAAGTGACCCAGATCACTATGATAATGTTGTGCGCGAGTTCGAGGAGGCACCGGATCGCGACTGGATGGGTCGGGTACGGGCTCGCTTGAGTGGATTGTTCCGGTTGTCATGATAAGAATTGCGATCGATTTGACGATTCTCTCCCACCGCGTTCATGGTGTTCTTTGTATAAATGGGTCTGTTTGATTTCTTTGACTTGAGGAATATCTCCTTTTGATATCCCTTCTTTTGGTACTCGGGGTTTTTATGGGATTGCATTGCATGTACTTGTATTTGTACCGTCATTCTACGGGATCGGACTGTATCACTACTGTATTTACGAGAAGAAAAAAAAATTACTTAATCTGTGAGAAGAGATAATCTTTAAATGAAACTAGAATATCAAGTATCCGAATTTGGCTATGTACTGCATTGTCTCCCAAATTCCAGCTGCCCTTTCCGCTTTGGGGATCAGATCATCCCTTACATACTAGTCTCTTTGATGAGACCATAAAGCTTCTTGAACTCCGTTTCCGCTCCTAGCAAATTCGCCGGGGAATCATTCTCGATAATGGTCCCATCTTTTATGACAAGAACCCGGTCGTATTGCTCAATGTGCGTAAATCGATGGAGTACGGATAGAACGGTTTGAGGCTTGAAGTGCTTGGCTATTACCTTCTGCATAATATCTTCAGTCTCCAAGTCGACGCTGCTAATAGTCAGTGTAAGAACCTTTGTTTACGGCGTAGATCTAACGCACCTGCCCGTGGCCTCATCCAGGATGAGGACATGAGATTGAATAGTCATAGCTCGGGCAAGTGCCAGTAGCTGCTTCTCTCCCACAGACCATTCGGAACTCTTCAGCTCCATATATAATCCTCCGCCAGAGCTTATTCTGTCCCACAATCCAACAAGTTTGATAGCCTGTTCAATACTTTCGTCCAAAGCACCGTGATGGGGATCCATATTCAATCGAACGGTTCCAGGGAAGAAGAATTGATCTTGAGAGACAACGCTCAAAGATGAACGAATAGAATCTGGATCTAGTGCCGTTAGGTTTGTACCGTCAATCTTAATACTTCCCTCTTGAATCTCCATCATCTGAAGAAGAGCAAGTATCAATGATGTTTTGCCGCTTCCTGATTGTCCGCAGATTGCAATCTTCTCCCCGGGGAGGATATTCAATGAGACGCCCTTCAGGGCTGGAGCGGTAGAAGGACTAGTTGAACCTCGGTTAATAAAAACAACAACTGGATAAAATCCAGAAAGCAAACATTGTCGCTTACCCGTATGAAGCAGTCAGATTTTCAATGTCAATGGCTCCTTTGGAGAAGGCCGCCGTCGCGGAGCGAGCATCAAGACCAGATTCCGACGGAGTGTCTTGCATGAAAGTTTTCACGCGGTAGACAGCCCCGATAGAAGTCTCCAGTGATATCCAAGTATTGATCAACTGGGTCAGAGACTGATTGAAAGTCATGACCATGTAAAGCGCGACACCAACAGAGCCTCCAGAAAAGTTTCCACGCAGAGATGCAGTGATTGCGATAAGAACAACGGCCATTCCTCCGGAGATCAAGTCGAGAACCAATGTCAGCCACTGCTGTATACAGAATAGCATGTAAAATGGTCTTTGTGAGTGTCGAAAGTTTTTCTCGAAGGCTTCCTGGAAATGAGAACGCCAGCCAAGTGCCTTGAGGATTGTGACACCTTGCATTGCTTCCAGAAAGTGGGAAACAAGATGGGACTTGGCTTCAATATCCAACAATCTTACTTGGCGTGATGTTCGCAAGTAATAGATTTGTACAAGACATAGAACAGCGAAAAATACTGGCATTGATGCAGTGAAATACTTGCCAAAAATGCAGATAATCACAAGCTTTGTGAGACAGCTCGCGGCACCTGTTTTGTTTTTACGGTGTTAGTTAGCAAATCATTATGTTTTGTGACGATCTAATCAGCAGCATATAACTTACTTCCCACCACATTAATTGCGTCAGCAGGTAAGTTCATATCAATGAGCGTCATGTCTTCGCTGAATCTAGGTTACTTATCAGCGAAGATTCCATTAAACGAGAGGTCAAATGGACTTGTTGGTAAAACTTGTACCTACCGATTGACTAATGATCCCAAGTCGGTGCTGTAAAGAAAGTGGAAAGGTGCACTATACGTATCCGGGACATAAGCATGGCTGAATTCAAAGTAAAGGCGAGAAAATGTAAGAACACCCACTGGAGGACCGTTTTCAAGAGATCTGCGTGCATTCGTATGGCAGTTCGATTGATGATTTTGATGAACAACAACCTTTAAAATGTCAGTTTTTCCAATGATACACCTTTCGTGTATAAGCTGATAATCTTACCAGCAGCCGACCATTAATCCACAAGAGGATGCTACCAAGAATGCTGCATACACGGAAAGATACATGCCAACATGTTCTTTCTGCGTCTGTTCATCGGCGTTTGACCATTCTTGAATCCAAACAGCTGTAGTCGTAAACCTTTTAGCATAAGTATATCAGGGCAGAACATCGCACTTTGACTTACACGACACATTTGAAGAAGCAGATTCAAGAACCATGGCTCCAATGAAAGCCACAACAAGACCAATACCAGACCTCTGTAGGTAAAATCGATAGACACCAGATCCTCCCTTCTGTCTAGACTTGTCTTCTTCTTTCTTTTTGGAAATTTTTTCTTCCTTCTCTATCGTAGACTCAATTGAACTAGGTTCCTCCAGGCACATCTCAGCCGGCTCCTCTTTAAATGATTCTGGCTCATCTATGTCAAGTTCTTGACAAGAGACAATTTGACTGCTGAGGCTTTTATCTTTAAGACTGATTATCTTGTCGGCAAATTTGAACAACCGAGCTATAAAATTTTAGCATTCTTTGGTCTCCGAGTCTTGAAACAAAGAAGAGGGCTCACGATTTTGTGTTGTGATAATGACTGTCCTGCCTGCTTCCCGGAAATAGCCATTTTTGCTGAACAGTTGCTTTGAGATATAGCCGATGGTCTTGGAGTCAAGCCCGGAGAATATGTCATCACAGATAATGATATCTGCTTTGGAATACACTGCCCGGGCAAGGGCCTTTGAGAAATTAATCAGAAGAGGCCTCTTCAAAGGACGCAGATGAGGCTTACAATACGCTGCTTTTGGCCACCACTCAAGGTCACACCAGCGCTGCCGCACTTGAAAATATCACCTTGTGGAATCTTTTGAAGATCACCTTTGAGACAACAGATCTGTAAGGTGAAGTCATACCACTTTTGATCAATTTGGCCCCCGCCGGTAATATTCTTGCGGATAGTATCATTGATAATCCAAGCATTTTGAGGACAGTAAGCGATTCGTGCTGCATTTACCTGCATTCTACCGTTCAAAAGAGTTGTTTCACCCATAATGCTTTCCAGCAAAGCGGATTTTCCAGCTCCAGTTGGACCATTGAGGACCGTGAGTGACTGCTTTCTTATTTCCAAATTAATATTCTGCAGGACTGGGTCCGAATCAGAAGACCACGAAAAGGATGCATCTTGGAGAACAATTATATTCTGATCCATTTTCTCCGCCGTCTCTGGACCGCACTCGTTGGTATCATTTTTCTGATTAGAATGGCCTGTCGGTGCATTCCGGATGTAGAAATCTTCAATTCGAGTGAAGCATGCCTCGGATTGAAACAGACCAGGGAAAATTTGAATCAGTTTGAGAAGTGGGCCTGTCAATAAGCTGATCAAAGAGAGTGAAGTAAACGCACGAGCGGACAGTAGGTAGTCATTTCCCTTGACAATTGCGATTATTGTATAAACCAAGAAAGTCGCGAATGGTGCCAGGTCCGTTGGAATATTGGCTAAATGGTGATTAGCATTTGCGGATCGGGAAAAGTTGACATATGGATGAAGCTTCAACTTACATATAGTGATTGTCCAAATCAACAGCTCCCGAAAGCGCTGCGATGTCTGCAGCTCTGCTTCGCGCAACCCGAGCACAAGAGCAGAGACTGCCTTGTTTAATCCCAGCATCTTCACGGCCTTGATATTTCGAAGAACGCCTACAGTCCCAATCACTCTCCGCCCAATTCGTTCAACCCAGAGTTTCTGACTGTTTTTAAATCGTTTGGAAACCGGCAGCGAGGCCGCAACGGACACTTGTGATGGTTAGTATGATTTATTAGAGCATGTAGAAGCAAGGAAAGAGGCAGGTGACCATACAAATGCATATCAGAGCGGGTACCACACAGGCAGCCCCTAGTTGTCGCTCAAGCAGCCAGATGGCGATAATTATCTCAACCACACTAGCCCAAGTCTCATGAAAGCTGTGTAGATTCTTGACGATCCGATCTACATCAACCTCCATAAGCGTGACAGCTTCTGACTCGTTGACATCTACCGTTCTTGATCGCATTAGCTTTTCGTGAATCATTGAGACCAGTCCTGCTCGCATGATCGTAACGAAGCGGAAAGCTTGGCGCCAATAGATTGAAGTAACAATCGCCATCTCAAAGTACAATAAGACATAGGCCCCGATCAGTCCTTGTCCAGAATAATCAGGAGTCGAAGTAGGGCTGCTGCTAACATAGTCAACAGCGGCTGTGATCAGAAATGGTTGACAGAATTTGAAGGCAATCAAGACTAGACGAGGAATGATTGCAGACAAAAAAGGTAATAGATATGCCCGCAAAGTTGCTCGCAATAGACGATGTTTCTTTGGCTCGGGGGCAGTTTTATCCCATGCTTGCTGTAACTTTTCTCCCGCGAGCGATGCAAGCAACCTGTCATCCACATCGGGTAGGTCATCTACCTGCAAGGCAACGCGGTATCCGTCTCTGAAGACAGAATTGGTCCAGATAAAAAGACTCTTACCCCAGAGCCCGTGGACTTCTTCCTTGCTAGCTTTGTCTCTAACTTCCGGTAGTAAGACGGACTCTTTGGTCATTGACTCTGCAAAGGCTGCCAAAGTCGTCAAAGTGAATATAACTGTCCACAGTGTCCGACAGGTCGGATCCGAGTGGATTAGCCATAATGAGCGAAGTCTTGGAATAGACAAAATGCTGCCTAGTGAGAAGTACAAAGAGAGTAGGAGGGAGGGGCAGATCGCGCGCTGATCTTCAAGAAACGAGAGTACAATGGCAACGCCAGTGGCTATAATGTCGAGAATGGAAGATGCCAGCGAAAGGTTTGTAAAGAGGGTTTCATTTCGGAGGCGAAAACTCAGGAAGACAATGTTCAGAATCAGGAGGAGGATAAGGATGATCTGATTCAAAATGTGACTTAGTGGATATATTCAACTACGTTTGAGTGTCCAACCTACCAATTTGATGATAGCGAATCGATACGAGCTCAGCTTGGTGGTTTCTCTTTGCCAGATGATTATCTGGGGTGTGGCCAGCAACAGGAACAAGCTCGCGGGTAAAAGTGAAAAGAGAGCATCTTCAAACAAAAGAGTAAAATCAAAAGCACGACAGGCTGAGTCCACCCGGACGGCAAAGATGTTGTCACTGTTGGGCGAACAAGACAACATGGTGGATTTTTCCGTCCAAGGGACAGCAGAAAAAAAATATATCAGACCTCTTGGCCTATTTGTCTTTAATGAAAATTGCAAAATCGAGAGAGGTTATCAGAAAGAGGCGAAGCCAGCATCTAATATGAGCAGTAGATGCATGAGCATAAGACTCGGCTTACTGGGGACTCAAATGAGCACTAAGTAGTGAAAGAATCCACGAAAATACTAGTAATCTTGCCTTAGCGTATTCGGCGTAAGCGACGCGTCCCCCGTACTAGCCGAGCTGAACTTCCCACCTTACTGTCGTGTTTTTTAATGCTCTTATCTTCAGCCCTATGGATTAGATACCCTTAAATTCAAATAGATCCCTTCGTGTCCAGAAAGGCGACCAGAAATGCTGTTAGTGGATATTCAAGCTCAATGTGCATCTTGGCTATGCTAGCGCCGGTGGGGGGGGGGGGGGGGGGGGGGGGGGGGGGGAATAAGCAATGGGCCCCATGCGGAGTTCGGATTCGCAAATTTAGGCTGCAGCGTATGTCACATGAGATCGTTTACAATCCCGTTATCAATACTTATCTCGGGGCTTGTTATTTGCCGGGATTCGTTATGACATCCCCCAATGGCGACTCTTGGGCGTTAACCATTACGGAGTCCGTCGGGGGCTTTACTAACCACCTGGTCCCAGCATAAACCCATCTCGTGGCCTTCCAGATGTTGTCGTGTTACTTGAAAAAGCTAACATAAATCTGTCAGCACCTTACTCATACTTGCACTGCAGAGTACAATTAGTACTACTAGGATCAATACATATTAATACTAAATCCACAATCTTTGAAGAAAATCCAGTATGTTAGAACTAATAGTTTCTTATGCACAACAGATATGGTATGTAACGCTTCAACAGCAGAAAATCAAATCAGAAAATCAGAAAATGTACCTTTTTTTTTTATAACATGGGCTTCAGGTCATCAGAAACCTTGAAAGGAGCCTCCGTCTTGGCAAGGACTTCCTCAACGGTGACGCCGTCAGCAATCTCAATCAAGGTCAAACCATCGGTAAAGTCAACATCGAAGACACAGAGATCGGTGATGATGCGACTGACACAAGCAGGTCCAGTCAACGGGAACTCGCACTGCTTGACAATCTTAGGGTTGCCCTTCTTGTCAGTGTGCTCCATAGTCACAACGACCTTAGTAGCAGCTGGGTTCGACACCAGATCCATGGCACCGCCAAAGCCCTTGATCTTGCCAGGCAACATCCAATTTGCAAGGTCACCCTTGGCGCTAACCTGCATGGCTCCCAGGATGGTCAGATCAATCCGACCAGACCGGATCATACCAAACGACTCGTCACTACCAAAGCACGAGGCACCAGGGTTCAGCGTAACGGTCTCCTTTCCGGCGTTGATCAGGTCGGCATCCTCTTCGCCCTTCTTGGGGTAAGGTCCCAGTCCCAAAATACCATTCTCGGACTGCAAAGTCACCTCAACGGAGGGGTCCACAAAGTTCGGCGCCAGCATGGGCATACCAATACCCAGGTTCGCATACATGCCGTTCTTAAACTCCTTCGCCGCACGACGGACAATACGCTCGCGCTTGTTGGCAGTATCGCCACTGCCCAGCGCGGAGGTATCCTCACCCTCCTCCTTGGCAAATGTGTACTTCTCAATCTTCTTCTCCGTCGTGCTCTGGATGACACGCTTCACATAGATACCTGGCAGATGGATAGCGGCGGGGTCGATCTCGCCAGGCTCAACGATGTGCTCTGCCTCCACGATCGTCATCTTTGCATTGCGACCCATCGCGCCGTTGAAATTGGCCGCGGCATAACGGAACTGACAGTTGCCGAGTTTGTCCGCTTTCCACGCCTTCACGAATGCATAATCACCCTTGATAGCCTCCTCCATGACATAGCTCTTTTCATCAAACACCTTCACGTCGCGTGGCTGGCTGTATAGCGCGACGGTACCGTCGGCATTGTGCTTCAGTGGCAGGTCACCGGTCTGTACAACGGTTCCAAATGCCGCGGGTGTGTAGAAAGCAGGGATACCGGCACCACCGGAGCGACACCGCTCCGCAAGGGTGCCCTGTGGAGTAAGCTCGAGCTCAATCTCTCCTGTCAGGTACATGCGCTCAAAGGTCTTGTTCTCGCCAACATAACTAGCGATCATCTTCTTAATTTGTTTGGACTGCAAGAGCAGACCGAGACCTGAGCCATCAACACCTGCATTGTTGCTAGCGACCGTGAGTCCGGTGATAGAGGAGTTGGCGCGCACGGCGTTAATTAAAGAGTCGGGCACTCCGCATAACCCGAATCCACCGGCGAGGACGGTTGTGTTCGATTTCATGTCCTTGACAGCTTCTTCGGCCGAGGCGATGACTTTGTTGATTGCGGCGCGGCGGACGGTGCTGGAGAAGGAACGCGCGAGGAAGCGCTGGTGCTGTTGTGGCGAATCGAATTAGCCGTGAATCCAAATGCCAGTCATTCCGCGGGGAAAGAAGCTTACCTTGGCTGGATCAGCAGAGAACTGCCGCGCAAGGCGCATGCAAGAAGCCACTTGGGAAGGCATGGCTGCAGAAATGTGTAGGTAATGCAATTCAATCTTCTGGGGGGGTGTTTCAAGGGTGAATGAGAGACAGGAGGTCAACAATGCATTCCGAGAGGAGAGCTGCGGGTGACATCTTATATAGTTCCGGGGGCGGCAAGAATCCGCAGTTCTAGACTTGCTTCCCCGCAGAGCCAGGCCGCCTCCCCCAGACTTTCAAAGTTGATACTTTTTAATATTTTTGACCGAGCACAACGAAGCTTTGCAATTTTTAACTTCATATCCAGTAGTATGATAAATTACCCTACATCTATCTTGAATTTTATTTTTAATATCATCTCTTATGGAGGAGGAATGTCGTCTTCCATGCCAGTAACAGCCGAAACTCCCACCCGCAACCGATCCAATTCCGATCCGCGGGCCGCATATGCTGAGTCATAGATCCGGTGACGGGACCATGGGTCTCCAGGAGTAGGACATGCGCACCCAAATACTGAACATTTGAAGCGATCCAAAAAGAATCTTTCAAGAATGAAAAAGACAATACAATAATAAAATAAATAGGAAATTGAGATTATAAAATAAAAAACAAAAGCAAGAAAAAAACAACAGCCGCTTCAGATAGCAGGCGATCGCGGTAACCACTGCGCCATTGTGTCAATCGACACAACCAGGATTCGAACCTGGGCACCCGAAGGAAATCGCTGTGCTTGTACCTTACGCTAAGCTGTTGTTGAGTTCCTTTTTACAAACTTTGACCTATAACCCAACAACACAACGGGTGCAAGGTAAATTCCAACACCAACACAGTTTGTATTAATTCGCGAACTTTCAATCCTCCTTATTTGTTGCAATATGATCGATAGCTAATTTATTGATTTATTTGTTCTGACCTTGAAAAATGCATAGACCTTCCAATGCTCCAAGTTCAACTTCCAGACCTTGGAAGTCGAGGTGAATATATGTAGCATAAGTAACATCCATTTATATATTTATATTGTGTAGTATTCAAACCTGACATCTGGATGTGAAGTTCATGTGTGCAACATTGAAGGCTGGAAACATTTGTACTCAACATTGAATGTTCGCAACTTAAATTTGAAAGCTACATGAATGACAAAGTGAATGTTTGTTACATACATGTACTAGAAAATGGTTCAGTTTGTGTTGGCAAAATCACATAAAGTTAACATTTCAAATTAGAAGCAATATCCCATCCTACAACGTTCAAATGTTCCCTCGGTCCCTCTATGCATCAGAATCCGAGTCGGAGTCTTGTTCGGCGCTCACATTAATCTTCCCACCAGTATAGTTGGGCTGGTAATTTGGTTGAAATGGGGATGGCGATCCCTGGAAACCGACATCCCTGCGTGATTGTGCGCTCCCATCAATATTAGAGTTGGATCTCATTCGCGGATCATGTTGAGGGGTCTGGAACAGGCGTCCCTGGTGCATCGGTGCCCCATGCCCTTGGTGTCCGCCATATGAATTTCCCGCAGAGAGCGTCCAACTCTGCTCTTCCATTGAGCTTTGATGACTGTATGATCCTGACGGGCCTTCATTCCAGCCTTGCTGGTGACGGAAAGGATCTGGAGCACTTGACAAGTCCTGACTCTTCTGTGGCTGAAGGTGATGCGCGTGGGTTGTGAACGACGATGATCCTGCGGGCTGCTCGGACGAGGGCCGGACGAAATCTGCACGCTGCCCTCGTTGGAACATTATCTCCGACGCAAGTCGGCCCTTGGCCTCGGCTAGGTATTCTTCAAAGCCCAAGCTCGCTTTGGCCACGACATCAAAGTGTCGTGGGTTGATATCAAAAGATGGATCATCGAGATCTGTGCTAGGTGTGGTTGCAACGCCTGGTTTGGCCTTCTCGAACTGCGCCAGTGCAGAGGCGATGAGAAAGGCATTACGGATCTGACGTCCATTCCATCGTCCCTTCCCGTCCATATTGTTCCGGAAATGGTTCTTTGCAAACTTTCGGATCCCACGCTCATTAATGGTTAGCGGCGGCTCGTTATTCATACTGGCACGTTGCTCTTCAATGATTTTCAGACGGTCCATGTTGACCTTCCAAATTTCCTTGGTGTGTTTCTCGTTGAGATGCGGGTAGTAGAGAGTGATATGGATACGCGATTTGAACGCTTCATCGATCCCACCGGGGAGGTTTGTGGTAAGGAACAAAACACCATCGAAGTATTCCAACTCACGAAGAAACACTGAGACCAAGGCGTTCCGCTCTAGAGCCATTGGGGTTCTCTCTGATAGAAAGACGTCGGCTTCATCCATGAGCAAGATGCAATCCCACTTCTTCCCTAGTCGGAATATCTCTTTCAAGTTCCCTTCGACTTCGTTGGATTCTATCCCCAAATTTCCACAAGTCACCGGTAAAAGTGGCTTTTTCCAGAAATGTGCAATTTGCTCCGCTGTGGAAGTTTTACCCACCCCCGGCACGCCGTATAAGAGAATGATAAGCCCTCGTCCTTTGTTCGCAATAAAGTCTTGGTCGATGTTGGAGGCTCTGTGTCTCTCGCGTAGATCTTTCTTTTGGAAGTGCGAGTCGATAAGCCCGTTCAGCATAAGTTTATTGTGCGGGTCAAGAACGAGCTTTGAGTCGTTCATGTCATTACTCTTGATCAGCTCCAGGTTCTTGATGTCGAGTGCCAGGAATTTTCGTTTCTCCAACACATATCCAAACACTCTGCGCGGGAGCAGTTCAAAGTCCTGTTCTTGCAGGTGATATTTCTCGTGCTTGAATTTGAGCCCGTGAGAGAGGAAAGGATCGGTCTCAGAGCAATATGTTAGTTTTTGCAGTCGCGAATACTCGTTTGTCCAGTATCTGGTCTTTTTCGATGTCCCCTCGCTTTTCTTTCCGACAATTACCCATTCCCAGAAGTCGTATGTGTCGGGATCTCGTTCATTTGGCACATATTTGGGGAATTCCCAGTCTGAAACCCACCGGGGGTATTTGCTAGTTGCCTCGGCCATGTCTACGACGACATCACCAGAGACATACTGCAGCTGAGAACTATCATCCCCCGTCTCGAGATCAGCGCCCCAGCCTAGATGAGTGAGAAGTCCTTGTTGGTACTCCACAAACTTCTTCCCCTGGGCACGTGTGTCGACTCGAATCTGCTCGGCATTCTCAAGATATTTGAGAGGAAATACCACCAAACTTGAGATCTCTTGTTCTCCATCGTAGGGCGGGATCCAGAACTTTCTCTTTTGACAGATGTAATTCTCCCCGTCATAATCAATGGCATATGCCTTGACCAAAAAGCTATCCTTTTTGTCCTTGCCGGCCCTCTTGATGCGATATAGCCGCCACAGACGTTGATCAGTTCGACGGATTAAGGCGTCTGGGTTGGTCCTGGATCCTTTTTCCGCACCTGAGACGAAGAGGGTATCACCTAGCTTGAAGATGTATGGTAGGTATGCAAACCTAATCTTTGTGCCATTCTTCGGTGAAAGGGGGATAACCTCATCCTCGAGAAACTGAAGCAAAGTTTCCATCAGAGGAGCAAGCTCAGTAGGTTGTATTTTGTTGGGGTTGGTCTCTTCGGTGGCATCGGCTTTATCATCGCCTTCCACATCACCACTCGCTTTGGATTCATCCTGCTGAGTACCCAAGGCCTCTTGTAATTCATGCAGCCGCATTTTGAGCTTGTCATAGGCATTGACTAAAGGGTCAAAAGGATGAAGAAAAGTCAGACTTTCGGAGAATTTCTCCGATTTATCTAGGACTTTCATTACTTCCTCTACCAAGGGCACAGAGTTGATTCGAATCCTCGCCATCCATGCATCTTTTTTGTACTCATTCTTCTCCATCATGTCGCGTAATCCCCTTTCGGCGTCACCATTTGGTTTGTCGGGAACCCAGTCACTCTCCTCTTTTTCCGCAGCCTCCAACGTAGTATTGACCATGGCTGCCTCTACCACCGGGATCTCGGTCTGCATGGGAAACCGGTTGACGAAATTGATATAATTAAGCTTGCGCGCCTTTGGAACGATCACACAGGTGGGTTTCTCCTTTTTCTCCTCTTTCTCTTCTTCTTTCTTCTCTTCGGTATTGTCGTCATCTCTGGAAGTGTCACTGGAGCCCGCTTCACTTGGGGTTCCGGTCTTTTTCCGGGAAAGCTCCTCGAACCTCTTTTCGAGCTCGGCTAGTCGCTCCTCGAGGGTTTGAACATATTTTGACTGGCTGTCACCAGCCTTGAGAATAATGTGTGGTTGGTCATTTGTATCATCGGAAATAGTGTGCACAGCACTATCCTGGTGAGGAGGGTCGGCCGTTTCCATTGAGTCGGTTGCAATATGTGAATTTTGCGGACTGGAGCTAGATGCTGCTCTTGGTATCAACACGCCGGCTTTATAAGATAGCAAAATGACCCCATTCTTGCCCAAGGGGGATGTTCGTACCCTGCTCATGCACACTGGTTATTGAATAAGCAAACCCGCACAGAAAACGGCGTTCTAACCGCGGACCCCGAGAAAACCGGCATCCTGATCCTTCTCCTGAATCTTATTGGAGCGTGACCCTCCCAGCGAGCCTTTCGGCAAATGTGGCGTATGCGTGAAATAAGCGCTAGCACCCACTGCAGCCGGAGGGGACCGGGCATTATTCTTTGACTGGTGGAGCAACTGGTGGAGCAAGAGTTGAAACACTGAGGGGTATTACTCACAAATCCAGCCGCACGCATGTGCTGCTCTCCGGGGGTCATCTGCGCTGAGATGGGTAAGCTGGTTGGTGGGTGAGGTTCGGCGGCAAGAAAGAGGGGGAGCAAGTCAGCCCAACTGCACCAAAACGGAAAGAAGAGCCTCAATCAAACCAAACACCTCAATCCTTGACTTGGATCATACCGCGTTCCCTTGTGCTGCCAGACCTCATATCTTAACTTTCGTTGATCTGACCTACACCGGAGAATGGGTTGGCTCAAGAAGCAGCATAAGAGGATAGCAGCTGATTTTGTGTTGGAAAAGGCAGTGGACTACCACGAAGCTTTTGGCACAACACCAGCTGTCTACAACGAAGATGAAGGCAATATCGAGGAACTTCCAGCCTCTATGTACGATTCTCCTGTCCCAATCTTACAATCCAACACAAGTTAACCTATATTATGACATACAGTGATCTGCAACTGTCCCTGGTCGCGTACAACGAATCAGTTGAGCCAAAATTCCGATTCGATATACATCAATGCACATTCAAAGACGTCGTTGAGGAACTGGACCATGCCCGTGGAGCCTACGAGAATAATGCCAACGGGCTATCTGGGATACTGCATCGGGGGGTTCGCGCCGCAGGCGACTATGCCGACCAGATTACCCCATGGGTAGACTTGATTCCATCGGACTATGGCTTGTCCTTTTTGAGTGCAGGGTTAAAGATAATATTTGGGGTGATCCTTCTTTTCCCTGATTTGTCGTTGGATTCTTTTGGATTCTTCATGAATATGACATCTGATGAAATATGGTTTAGATCGCGCAGCAAAATGCTACCAACCGCGATAAGATTCTCCAAGCATTTGATAGCATCCCAGATTTGATCCTCTCTGCAAAAGCTCGACAAAATCAATGGGCTACTGCTGAAAAGCTACGCACTGCCGCCATTAGGCTATATGAGACTCTGGCTCGGGCAATGGCTCAACTGATCTTCCTTCTAAATGGAAGCACAAGCCACGCGCCGCGGTGGAGCGACCGAGCAAAGAAAATCATTCGAAGGCTGACCGCATCAGCCCATACAGGCCGTTCAATAGACTTCATTCTGGCTGAAGTGGAGGGTCAAGCGGATATGTTCGACCTGTGTCTGGAACATGTACGCGATCAAAGGGCTATCGATACCGGGGCCGATGTTGCGGAAAACAAGAAAATAACGAAGAATATTGACGCTAAATTATCGGCTTTGTCGCAAGCAACGGAGGACGGATATGCTAACTTGATCAAAAAGATCGAAAGTCACCCATCTGGTCCAGTCATAACGAACCTACTGTATCAGGTAGTTGTACATGTTGATCAACCGCAAGATGATCGAGCATGGGGATACCTAGAGCCAAGGCCACCACTGAAGCTGGACCCCCTACTGGATGAGCTTGAGCTACATGACATCCTCGGTGTTAGCCCACAGCACCTGACAAGCGATATACAGCTTATTCTCAAGGAGCTCGATCAATTCACATCTTTGGCTCAAGCCCAGGCTCAGCAACTTTTCACATCTCCGGCCTTCAAGTCATGGATGGCATCAACACATCCTACGAGCCTCCTCGTACATGGAAACTTTGCTGAATCCGGCCCAGGTCGTATAACTCCACTCTCCGTCTTGTGTGCAATGCTCGCCCTGCAACTTCGCCGCAACATCAATGCAGAGAGCAAGCCAACCATAATACTTCATTATTTTTGCGGTCTTCACGGGTCCCGTCGCAACCGGGTAGACTCTCTTGTCGGACCAAATGGACTCATACGCTCATTGCTCGCCCAACTTCTTCAAACAGGCCGGCATTTCAATCTCGATTTCATCAACACGAAAGATTTCGTCCACCAGCTAGAAGCTCACAATCTTCAAAAGCTATGCTCCACTTTTCTCGAGCTGATCGAACAGCTCTCTCGCAAGACTACCGTCATATGTATTCTGGATGGACTCAGCGAGTTTACCTCGCAGCATTTCAAGGACGAGTTGATGGATGTGATTCACATTTTGAATCGTTTGGTGACACACCGGACTCTCCACCCGAACTTCAAACTCCTTTGCACGACTCCACTTGCTCGAGATGCATTGCTCGATGGACAGTTAAACGTGGAGCATCTTTTCCAGTTGAGGCAGGCAATAGACGATTCATACGAGTCTGCATTCACGGATAGAGCATTCGAAAACTTGACGTCGCAGGGTAGTCGACTGGATCATTTTCGCATGCGGGTGCGAATGAATCAGGCTGCTGAGCAGGAAAATCGATACTCTGGCTCTGATTCGGAAGAGGATTCTGATTGGTGATGATCTAGGCTTTTAGTTATTGACCCACATGTACAGCAACTGCGACATGAATATTCTCCTTGTGTTTTTATCTTAAAATTGTTTGAAGGTGCTTCATTGGTGAGAATGCGGTCGGTGCTTCTCGGTGCTGGAGCCGATATGCACAGACGGCCTCAAATTGAATGTAAATTTCCCCTATTAACTACCAAGCACAAGCAGATCTCAAATTTAAAGGAGAAGAGTGCTGATTTCGAAAGAAAAGTGATGTTTATCATGGATTTTAAACGAACCAAAAAGGCCAAGAATATCCAAACAGCTTCAAGAGAGATAAACATAAAGAAACAGCAATAGAAAGGGTATGAGCAAACACAAAACTCTCCAACAACCCAACGAAACAAACAAGTACTCCAGCGTCTGCCATCTAGCAACCAATAACATCTCCATGGGACTCATGACAGTATGCCCCTTCCGGGTACGCGTCGTCATGAGAAAGCTTATGGTGTCGGAGATAGGAGAACAGCTGCGGCCGCTGCTTGACATTTACCAAAGGCTGTGTTGCACAATAGGATAGAAGCAGGTGCGGTTGCTCCCATGGTTGCGCCCCAGGTGAAGCCTGCGGCTGAGTAGCAGGCCATGACAACTGCCGCGCATCCTGCTTGGCAGATCCCATAACTGATGGGGCCGGCAGCAGCGAAGCTGAGGAGGATGTAGATCGGAATCAAAAGTGGTAGGACTCGCATAATGCCTGGCTTCGGGTCACTGGAATGGGTGGCTGGAATTTGTGGTTATGAGTGGAGAACGAGACTCCAAGTCTGGGATAATTTGGAAAAGATGAATCGTCGGTTTGCCAAAGATATGGAGGTGGTAGCACTTGAGGAGGTGATATCAAGGGAGGGATATGAAGGAGAAAAGAGAAGGGGTAATCATTATGTATGTCTGGTCTTTATATATGTTTATTACCAGGAATCCTGGAAATATCCGGGTTGTCATTCATGCACATATACTGCAGTGTCCCAAATAAAGGCGCCTTGTGCTATGTAGCCCTACATGCTGCATATAGTACCAGTACTCCGTGCCAGAATTTAAGAAACGGCAAGTGGGGCCTTAAGGTAGCGTAGTAAAACTCATTTGATTGGGGGTAACCCATATGATTGGCCTCCTGTGCAGTGTGCTCGGTGAGCAAGTCATATTACTGCGCAGGCTCGCTCCAGATGTCCTGAACAGACTGATCGGCTCACTGAGCATAAGTAAGGTTCATATAAGTCTCACCGAGCCGGAGGCCATGCTCAGATTGATCTACTCAGTGAGCAAAAGCGGCGAGAGGGTGAGCACCAATCCGGAAATGGCAACCAAAAATCGCCGGGGGAAATCCAGTACCTAGTATGTAAGTATCTGTGAATTCAAATGTTGAGTAAGAAATATGTATTTTCCAAGTAGACAGACACGCTTAAATTTGAACATTTGGAACCTGGAACCCAAGTTTGGAGTCCCCGGGCGACCACTTGACCCTTCCACCACCTGCTGGCTCCAGTCGAAGCACTGGGGGACAAGCACCCCTAGCCCTTCAACATTGAATATTCTCAGCATCCAGGTGAGGGTCACCCGCCCAGACAGCAACATCGAGGTCTAAGCTCCAACCCCGTTCATCAATTGATCGCATATCCACCTCAACATTCATCTACCTAAATAATGAAGATATCCTCGCTGATGCAGTTGGCATAAAATAGACATGGGAACTCATGGTAAAAATAACAAAAAATCGTGGATAAAAGGGCAGCATTGAGGAACCTTGCAAATGGAGGCGCATCGTAATCGTCGTCATCATCATAATGGAAGGTTGAAACATGCCAGCTGCTAGATGCCATGCATCGGAATTTATCATGCCACCCACTTATTCCTGTTCAGTCATGTCGGTATCTTCTAACTGTTGATCCATAGCACGAACGAACGGAGACTGCTGGAAGTCCTGGTGGGCGTGTTCGATGGGATTCGGGCTGATAATGCCCTCCATGATAGAGGGGTCATCGGCGGGGCTGTCGGATTTGGCATCCTCGACAACATTATCATCGAAAACATTATCCTTGGCAACATTATCCTTGGCAACATCGCGACAGACGGGGCTAACTAGAAGGTCCTTCTTGGATCCGTGAATGTAGACAAGGAAGTAAGGAGTTGGGGGATTGGCGTCGTTTTTATTACCGAAGATTTCATTCAAATCCTGGACTTCGGTCACGTACTCATCGTTGTATTTGCGCCATATGTTCTTCTGGAAGTCTTTGATGTAGATCCAGTAATGGCCGAAAGAGACGGATCCGCGGTGTACAAAGACCGCGTACAGGTGGTAGGGGATGTCTTGGAAGTGAGCAAAATTGCGGGCAATCAGCAGTTTTGTGTCTTCGATTTGCTGGTCGAGGGCTATGTTCTTTTGTTAGTCCATTAACCCACTGCAATACGATAGACGAGTCTACTCACAATTGTACTCAGTGACCACGTCCTCCGAGATCTGCTTGAGGTCCTGGGCGAGCTGTTCATTGATCTTCGGATTGTTGGGACCTGAGTTGGGCTCGGCACAAGGCTTCTCAGCCTCCAGCATAATACTATCCTCCTCAGCTGTGTCTCCATCGATCGAATACAGATCGTCGAGCCCACCATTGGCGCCGTGGAAAAGAGATACCATACTAAGGCCATCTTTTTCCTGTGAACGGAGAGTAATGTCAGCTCTGTGACCTCAATAAACCTGCATATTGCCCAACCTCAAGGATATGATCATACCTGTTTGCGTAGCAGCTCCGCCTGGCGCGTTTCGATGCTGGCAAGGCTTTTCTTCCACTCCCAACACTGGCGCCTTCCTTTCAGCAGATCCGGTCTCGAAGTGTCCATATACCGATCCATGTAGATCGTTTCGAACAGCTGCAAGTGATTTGTTGATTTGTAGGAAGTCTTCTTCACAGGATCAAATTGGACACGCTGCACCTGAATTTGGAGGACAGGGGGAATGCGCGTAATGGATCCGTATTGCTCTGCCTCGGAGTTCTCAACGCTGATATTCTGAACGTCAAAAGCGCCGTCAATGGCATCATAGATGTCGCGAGGTCCAAGAGCCACGTCAACTTTGATATCACACCAACGTTCATCTTTGAACCGCGTACCGCCGGAAGTTGTAATGTAGGACCGAGTCTGACCATAGAACATACTAGAGGATGTTAGTGTTAAAGATCAGAAAAAGAAATTTGCGGAGAAAGGGTTCTTACTCTTTGACATGGTCAACTTGCTCTCCATCCGAAGCAAGCTCACGGGGCTTGATGGCGCACTGGCTTTGGAAGAGCACATTGTTGATGACCTCTGTGACATCTTGCTGTGCCCCAATTTCCAATTCTTCGATCAGTTGCTTCTCGGTGTCGATTTCCGGAGCGGGACGCGGAGGAACAGGCGGCGGACGGGCAGGAGGTTCGGGCTGGGTCGGGGAGATATTGACATAGCCCTCACTAATTGGCTCAGAACCCACGGATGGCGCATGAGCCCCAGCTCCATTATTCTCTGTTACCCATGCTGCCTCGGGGGCTACATCGCCCACTTCACCCATCTCGATGGTGGCACCTGTGCCATTATCCTCAGATACCAGAGTTGCCTCACTTCCTGTATCACTCAACTCGACAGTATCCGAGGCTATGGAAGGAGTCGCGTTATGGCCCGGCACGTACTCGAAAAGAGGCCGAGGAGGGCCAAGCGGGCCTGACACAGGGGCGCCATTAATGTCACCCAGTCCGTGTGTCTGAGATTTGGTAATTGTCGACCGTCGACGAATCGCCGCTTCGTTTCCCGGGCTGATAAGAGTCAACAGAGCAAGTTCCTGGCTAGGGGTGACGGAAGAATTTTGCGAGAAAATCATATCACGGAAGAGGACCCTGAGTTCGGTAAGGACTAGAAGGGATTGATGAACTGTCAGATCTTTTCAAAGGGGCAAGAAAGGTTCCAATCTTACATCGGAGAGAGCGCTCAATTTCCTTTACAGACACCATGCGGGATCCCACTTTCTTTCCGCTCATACTTGCTTCGTTAGCCGTGTCCATTTGATACTTCTCGATATTCAGGACCAAATCTCTGTAGGGCTTGATGGAAAAGTAGAATTGGAGAAGGCTGTTCAGGTAGCACGTGTTGCCGATATTCTGTAGTCCAACAGGCCATTCGGTCAGATCTTGTTCAGTCTCAGCGGTGATCCCTGCCATGCTTTTGAGCATAACGCTGTCGATTTCCTTGGCGATGATGCGGAGCGCTCGACCATAAAGTTCTATCTGACGAGGGTTCTCATCGACACAAATTGTGTAAGCAGCCATGATGGAACCGTCATCTGCAGTCCGGTCAGGGATCTGAAGCATGCGGTACGCATCCGCAATATCCATTTCTCCGGCAACTGTCTCTCCTGTTTTGATGAAATGATCCAAGCCGTGTGAGTTGCGTGATTCTGCAATAAGTTGCACGGCCTTGTCTGCTAATTCTTTGCAAGAGGGGTTGTCGTTGACCTTTTTTTGGAAAGCGTAAGTCAAAGTGGACGTCAAAACGTAAGGTCAAGCAAAAGTCAAAGAATAAAGATATAAAATGAGACGGAAGAGGAAAAAGGAACAAGATTCGAAATGTGTTCTGTGTTCTGGCGTACCTTTGCCGTGTACATCGTTATGATAAAATCATCCGGTGTGTTTTCATCAACCCCAAGGAAAACCCTAGCTTGCTCAGCGGTAGCAACACCTGTAACGCCGCTGTTAGCATAGTATCGTTTCACGTTAAAACGAATTGAATCTAGTACTCACGGTCTTCTGATGCTGCTTTGATACGTTCACTTCCAAGATCTTGACCAATGTTCCACATCTGGCGGCGTGCCTCTGTTTCCTGATTGGTTGAGCCAAGGACCGCATAGAATTTGCTCACTATGGCATCCTCCGTGATATTGCGATCATTACGCTGAAGCCCAAAGTACTTGTATGCATCAGTCACGTCCTCATTAGTGTACCTTCCTTCCGAATAGGCCAATTGGACGGCCTGGCTGATGATCTCCCAATCCTCACCACCTCTGATGGTGCCAATGGACTTTAGGCAGTTCAAGTAATGTGGAGCTCGCGGTGGGTCAACCTGCACTTGATGGTGATATGAATCTACAATCAGCGAGGCAGACATATCCTCCACAGTACCAAGATCTTCGTAAAAGCTATCATAGAAAAATGGTTAGGAGCAGCCCGTTAGATGAAGGATAAGGGGGGAACAAACGGAGCAGGTGCCATTTCAAAGTCATTTGCACGCTTGGATCTCGGGTCTACCTAGATAATTAGCAACAAGAGCTTAGTGAAGGGTAACCAGATTCCAAGTAATACGGACAATCGGATGCCTCCAAGGCATAAAATATATCATCCTTTGCGGATGGAGGGAGGGCAGTCAGCTGGATTCCACGCCGTTCTGAGGTTGGCCTTTGATTGATTAGGCAGACCAATTCAAGGATGGCATCGTCCAGGAAAATGCAAAAAGCATCTTGATATGGTAAAGAAGCCTTTTTATCCACCAGAGGAGGCTTCCAGGCAGCATCATTCTGAGATTTTTTTGTTAGATCTTTTGCTTCTTTTTGGTAGGGGAGGAGTAGAACGAGTTGATAACAAACCTCAGTAGAAGAGAACCCTAAGAACTCTAATAATTCCCTGCAAGGCTCTCCCTTCACACCAAATGACACCATGAACCGCTTATTACCCTGGGTGATAGGCTTGCTCCGGTCGCCATGGCGAAGTGCATTAGTGAGGTAGAGACGTAGATTATCGAGGACAGTGATGGGTAAGGGTGCGGCTACACCTTCAAGGCGTTCCGGCTGAGAAGCAAATGCTGCCTTGGCTCGTTCTCGAATGACATCCGGGTCAGTTAACAATTGCGTGAATTTCCAATCTAATATTGGCGAAATGATTCGAAGAGAAACCACTGTCGAACAAGATTGATGTAGACACTGGTAGTGGAACGTCTCGGCAGTTTGTCCGGTCTCCATCACCTCCTCAGTTGTCCAACGACCCCTTTGTCGGCCTGACTTGTACACAAAATGATGGACATGACCTGCTAGACCATTTCCAGACGTGACCATGCCATTGTTGTAGGTGACAACCACCTGTAAATGACGGCGGCAGTTGGAGCATATTGCAGACACTTTAGACATTTGCCGGCGGGGTTGGTCTGCCTGAGCAAGGTGGGTTTGATCGGGTTTTTTCACATAGTCATGCGGACATGCATCGCCCGAGATGTACTCCAAAGGCCCATTGTAGTCCTCTGGGTACACCGGAGGGACTTGTGCAAGCAAGTTGCGACCGCTGCTCGGTGGGTAGGTAGAATCGTACAACTGAATATCCTCGGCCAAACGCGGGGCAGTTTTGCCTATGAAAGAAGATATATTAGCATACTATGTAACTTGTTGGTAGACGAATCAACATCGTAATCAGATCATCCTCGCCATCACTGACCTGCCTGTTGTAGATAAGCCATCACGTAGCTTGTTTGAGAGATCTTAAGACTGTGATGAGCTTTAGTCACAAGAGCAACTCAAGATCGAATGAACCATAGAGCCTAGTGGATAGACTGTACAGGTGCCAAACGCGCTTTCGCGAAGTGTGATGATGGTAGGTACAGCGGGGACTCGGAGCCCACCGCACTGAGCACCAGTGGGCGGGACAAGTGGGTGAAAGCTTCAACAGAAACTACCTAATAGTTAAGATAGTTCTGGAGCTGATTGTTTCTGAAAACCAAATGGAAAAAGATTAAGGCTGAAAAAGAAGAACTGTAAGAAAGATGATGACATGAAATGTTACGTTTGAGTCGAATGAGCTCTATGTTCCAGCGGCGGTCATATAAAACCGGTCGTAGATGGCAGAACAATGACATGGGCAAATAGATGGTATTACGTAAATGGGTAGGCGGTATGATATAGCAAAAACACATCCAAAATCCCATCTTGAACTTCCCGTCTAACCCGCAGCTCCATCCCTCCAAGCACACCATGGCGCACCACGAGGAGGAACACCACTACCATCCCCAGGATGCTATCTCAGCAGCCACTAAGGCCACAGCCCTAACTGGTGCTGTTGGTCTTTTTGGATCCGCTGTCCAGAACACCCTGGCCCGTCGCAATGTTGGATCCATGGGCATCTTCATGCGCACTGGAGGTACCATCGGTATCTTCGGTAAATCTTCCAATTCTATAAGCTAGGTGCCAATTCAATGCTGATTTATGTATAATTTTAGCTGCCATGGGTGGAACCTACGAATTCGTGAAGGTCGCCTCGGCCAACCTCCGTGAAGTGGAGGATACCTGGAACACCGCCCTGGGTGGCTTCTTCTCTGGTTCTATCTTAGGTCTGCGAGGTCAGTAACAATCACTTTTGATTTACTTTCCTTGGAATATTTGGAGGTCTGGATTATACTGATACTTGTACAGCGCGCGCTTTCCCCCGCGTTCTCGGCTACGGTGTCGCTCTCTCCACCCTCCTTGTCGCTTTCGAGTACACCAATGGCCTGTACGGATACCAGAAGGACCGCACAGAAGATGAGTTTGAGCGTCGACAGAAGCTGCGCAAGAACTACCAGACACCGGCTGGACAGACCTTTGCCGAGCTTGGTGAGGGACGTGGTATGTTTGAGATCCCAGTATCCCCAAATTGGCATACAGATGGAATAGACGGCACTTTTGATATTAACCATTTTGCTTAGGTATTTACGGACCCAACTACGAGGAGCGTCGCGCTGAGCGCATCAAGGAGGCATATGGCATTGACGTTCCCACAGGGAAGGTGCCTGCATCATAAAATTGTCTCTTTGCGTTTCTCTCATGCCATTTTCTGTTCTCCGGTTGCGTTGTGTAAATTATCCCCCTTTATCATAGTTGCCTCTCTAGCATGCCGGGCACGTCCAATTCGATTTTCTTGTGTTTATCTAGGATTTGGATGACGTATATGTCGGAGAATTATGCTTTTTAGACCACCTACTGGGCCGTAATCGTTATAGCTGTTCCAAGTGAGCTACTGTCGGTATTACCTATTTCCAAAAACCAGCATGCACATGTGTCAATCGGCAGTGTAATCCCATGATAATCATATCTAGCTGATAGCTTGTTGATTTGGTCAATTGGTTAAATAGGGAGAGGTGGGATGTCCTAACGAACGCGGAGGTTGGTGCACGGCGGGGGAGGGGGATGGTTCAGGACGGGCCAATAGTGACACGGGTATATCAAACATAACATTTGAACATTTGAGAGTCTCAACTCCTCCAGAAATATCCATAACCACTCATGAGAAAACATCACTCAATCATATAGTCACCTCGGGGGTGATCTCGGATTACCGATCCCGGTTCATAATCCCGAGGCAGCAGCCACTGAATGCAGGTGAATCGGAGCCACCGATCATCTATAACCATGGGCGATCATTTGATCTGTACAAGCCCTAAAATACGGAGTTGTTCTCCAGCAGATCTTTTTCTTTCAATATTTCCTGTGCATGACATCTTATGAAATATCTATCAGGTCTAATAAATGTGATATCATCCCGATTGCCCCGAAACAGGCCATTTTACGACGAAACGGCGACGTCGCAGTCAGGGATCATGGTGAGGTTGGATTTTCCCACTATACCCGGAAGCACGCGGGGGGATTTCCACCATGATATGCATAGGCTTCAAGTGATCTTCTTTTTTTCGCCCCTATATGCGTATTCCTGTACGAGGACTTGAGTACTCGATGAGCTATTCCACTATACAGGGACTTCCCCCTCTTTTCTTCTTCTCTCCGACGTCATGCAGCGTTCATCACTTATTCAGGGGAATCAAGCGCCCCCTTTTGAGGGGCTCCTCAGCCACAGATCGTGCGAATGAATAGCTACATAGACCCATCAGCCACGATAGGCAGCCGGATTGATCGGGCTTTTCAATGTACATGTACATGTACATGCCTAACTTGACTAGTTTATTGAAACTATACTTGGAAGTATAGAAATTACCCCCCTTTTTTTTCTTCTCTTTTCTCTCTGTCCTTTATTAACTCCTTATTATAGATCACAGAGTATTGTTCCAAGTCTCAGGAACCATGAGAATCTCTCCCTTTGACGGCCAAGACTTCCGAAAAAGAAAGTCCTCGACGTCAACCATTAAGGGAACATAAGGTACAGTTAAGAGTGTAAAGCCGGGGATCCCGGAGTTGACCTGGTTTCCAAGGCTCGTCATCCTTTACCCGATCCCAAAATCCCCAAAATCTCGTAGACGTCATTTATAACCAAGCTTCATATTTACTACGCCTCCCTCCCCCTTTTTCTTTCTTTTTTCTTTTGGAATTCAAAAGGGTTGAATTTGGAAGAAGAAAAAAAAAACCGGATCCTTGGCAAACCATACAAACTGCCAGTCAAATCTAGACGCAAAAGACTAGCACTTCTACTCCGTACTAGTCTAAATCTCCCGTTCGCCTGGTAACCAAATTGCCATCTTCCCTGAAGTGATCGCTACCTTTTTTCCCCTCTCTTTTCTTGATTTGTATTTTTCTTCCAACTTGACTCACCCCTCAATCTCGCTCTGGCTTTGTTTCGCTCTCTTTTCTCACCTATTCATCCCATATTCTATACACCTCTCTACACATCCCCGGATTCCCCCAAGTTTCCTTTTCCACGTTCCCGTCATGGCCATGGCCGCGCGGCCACAGACACCCGTGCAGGATGCATACTCGATCCCGAGCGCTCATGACCCGAGTCTTCTGAGTCGCGGATACGGCACCCTTCGCACCTCCTCTCGACCGAACTCCTACGCCGGAAATAGCTCTACCTTCCATTATAGTCACGGTACTCCCGAGCAGTCGTCGCAGATCCCTTACAATCCCCGGTTCAAAGAAGAACTCGACTCCGTTAGCCACCGCAGCTCCATCGCACTGGATCGCCCGGCCTCCCTCGTGCAACGCTCAGCTTCAACGGCCTCCCAGGCCCGCTCAGCTACCCCGACTCGCCAGGGAACTTTGCGTAAAAAGGCCTCCCTGAGTAAGAAGGGGAGCTTGCGACGCAATGGCAGTCGACGATCGCTTGGCGCGGGGAGTGTCAAGAGCCTGAGCCTCGGCGACCGAGAGAAATATCCCGATGGGTCAGAGGATGTGAATAGTGCTTTTATGGTTCCTATCCCAACAAGCGGAAACCCGACCGAGGTGTTATCAACTCGTTTCCAAGGTATGTGGGGCAGAATTGCACGCGATCCGACTAGGCCCATTCTTATCACTATGGGACCAAACTGACGTGAGATTTGCAACGCTATTATAGCTTGGCGCAAGATCCTGAAGGACTTGATCCTCTTTTTCAAAGAAGTACAGAAATCATACGAGGCCCGATCGAAGCTTTTCCTATCCGCGTCAAATGTCATCAACAACCAAACTACTCCTTCTGCATTCTTACAGTCAGGCGGTCTCGCCGATGCGACAGAGATGCTGCGCGATTTCCACCGACAAGGATACTCCGAAGCCAACAAGGCCGTCGAGGTGGAGGTGGAAGTGATCAGCCAATTGACCGGCCTTCGAAGTGATTTACAAAAGAAGACGAAAGAGATTAAGAGTCTGTCGGGTGATTTCAAGAACACCGTCGAGAAGGAAATTGACGGCACGCGCAAGGCTGTACGGAATCTGCATGAATCCTTAGGTCTGGTTGATACCGATCCGTCTGCGACATCCGGAAAAGGCGATCCTTTCTTGATGCGCCTGAATGTGGAGCGCCAGGTCGAAAAGCAGATTGAGGAGGAGAATTACCTACACCGCGCATACTTGAACCTGGAGAACTCGGGCCGCGAGCTTGAGTCGATTGTTGTGAGTGAGATCCAAAAGGCTTACAACGCCTACGCCGGCATCCTGAAGCGGGAGGCCGACGAGGCCTACGATACTGTTGAAAAGTTACGTGTGGGTCCGATCTCCATGCCTCAGGACCATGAGTGGAATACATTTGTTGCCAATACCGATGAACTCGTCGATCCACGGATTCCTCCGCGTAACGTGGAGAGCATCACGTACTCTGGCAAGGATCACCCCGCGGCGGCTGAAGTACGAGCTGGTATGCTGGAACGCAAGAGCAAGTACCTGAAGAGCTATACCCCAGGTTGGTATGTCTTGTCCCCAACTCACCTCCACGAGTTCAAGTCGGCGGACCGGGTGGCGTGGCAGACTCCAGTCATGTCTCTATACCTACCTGAGCAGAAACTGGGTTCCCACTCAAATGAGGATTCAAGCTCCCACAAGTTTATGCTCAAGGGTCGGCAGACCGGTGCCATGCACCGAGGCCACTCTTGGGTTTTCCGCGCGGAGTCTCACGAAACCATGATGTCGTGGTACGAGGACATTGAGAGCCTCATTAACAAGACCGGAGAGGCACGGGATGCTTTTGTCCGACACGCCTCTGTTCGTCGCCACGTGCGTAGTGTGAGTGGCATGTCGCATAATGAGGTCCTAGAAGATGATGAGGCCGACCGGACTCCCTACTCAGCAGAATCCGTGGTGCTGGCCCAAGGACCCCAGGAGCGACCCATGTCTGCCACTCGCCAGGCCGGTGGTGCGTTCCCCAGCGATGTTCAGATTGACCGGAACATGCAGGAACCGCTTTCTCCCTCCAGCGGAGCAAGCTCAGGTGGCAGAGATATAATTGCTGCCGCTGCAGGATATCCAGACAACAATGCCATGGCTAGCAATTCACAATACTACGACCAGAACGGCTCTGCTGATCGCCAGTCTCAACGTGTCGCAAGCCAGAGCCCCGAAAACCAGTCTCGGAACCGGATGAGCCGACACGATAGCTATTACGGACAGTGGATGGGACCGGCACCCATTATCGTTGCCAAACAGAGAGATCAGCGACCCGAATCTGCGGTTGATGACCGGGAGGTCCGATCGGACGGGGACAATGGTTCCGTGGTTGCAATGTCCGGGGTGATCGGTGTTGCAGACCGCCGTGAGAACTCAGCTCCTCCCAACGTCGCTCGTCGTGAGAGTGTCTCCACCGTACCCACCAATACCAATCAGACCGATTATACCAATAACACCATGGCTACCTCCCTTGATGAAGCTCCAGAGGTCGGCATCGTCGGCGCTATTCCCTTCAGAGATGGTTACGCCGACAAAGGCATGAACGGCGCCACGACGGGCCCTCCTGACTTTTACCCTCCCCGAAAAGAGAGAATGGACAGTGTGCTGGCTATTGACATGAAGATTCCCGGCCGTTACCCACCTACCAATGTGGCGGCATGAGGGACTTGATACATATTTCATCTTCCGTGCATTTAACACCTTCCCTTCTTTTTTTTTCTGTTGATCATGATTTGGCATTGTTATATTTTCATCTTCGTCAATTCCCCTTTTTGGTTGATGGTTCTTGGCTTCCCTGGATTTTTGATCTATCTTTTGGATTTGTTCTGTTGTACATGTACAAACCAATCCTGAAATATGCCTGAACACTTCCCCAGCTTGATTTAAGGTGTTTTGGTCCAACCGCTCTGGTGGCCCGGCCCGCTCATTGGCCTGTAGGCGTTCATACCGGGTGAGGCGCATTGTGGATTACCCTTTTTCCTTTCTTTTCCTTTTCTATTTGTTTTCGGCGGTGTCATTTTCCCCTCTTTCTTTTGATATCCTGGGTGTTGGGCACCCGCGCTTTCGTTTAAGACATTGGAGTAGAGTTGTAAATGAAAATGATACATTTAGGATCTACGTTGCTTTCTTGAAACCTTTTTACAATAGTTTTTTCTACTTACCTCGGGAATTGAGCTTGCGTAAATGAAACTTCCCCGTCTTCATGTGTCAGGGCGTGGCAATTGGGGTAAGAAAAAATACACTAAATACGCCAGTCACAATCACAAGTGACAGTCGCGCATGGTGACACCACGTAGGCCAGACTGTGATAGGAAGGTCGGGATTGCAATGGTGGGAACCTTCCAGACTTGCATGATTAGGTATTTTATGTAGATAACAGATTGGATGAAAAGCACCAGACATGAACAAAGTAATCATGGTCTTTTTTTTTAAAAAAAAAATAAGACAAAAATCACGTCCTGCAAAGTGATGATATCTTGATTTCCTTTGTGTTCAAGATGAAAGAGAAAAGCGTAATGGAGGCGGTGGAGACTTTGGTCGAGTATCAAAAGAGCCAAAACAACCTCAAATCTTTCCCTTCCCTCTCTTCCTCATCTTCTCCCCGACAACCTTCTCTTTGCTTTGTACCACTTCACCTCGACTACACCACGCGTATCGTGGGGTGTTTTTTTTTTCATTTCGTCGGATTTCTTTTCGTCGGATTTCTTAAATCATGGGTATGTGCTCGGTCTCTATGTTTCCAGCTTCTTCCTTCCACTTGTTTTCATTGTTTTCCGACGTGTTTACCCTCCCCTGTGTATCTGGTAATACTCGATACCTCTTTCCCTCATTTCCCTATATCTCCCCTTGGTACATTCTCACCCTCGGCCATTCCCCCTTCCCCTCATCCAATCATCGTTTTGCTCACCCCCAAAATGTTGAACCTTGACGCCTGATCCTTCTTCTCTCTCGTTCTCCCCCCGCTTTCTTCTCCTTCTCTTTTTCCTCCTCCATATTTCCCCCTTATCGTTATTCTTGTTTCTTGTCCGCTAACTTGTTCAGCCGACGTTTATCGACCATATCAAGTAAGTTTGGCCCTTCATTTCTTTTGGTTTTTGGAGCGTTTTCTCTTTTTTCCATTTTCCATTTCCTTCTATTTTGTATTATATCCTTCTATTCTCCCCTTACCATTCAAACTATGGAATGCGATTTCCATACGATGCTCATGAAGCTATCGCGACGGGATGGTCAGTGCGGGGGCGGAAGCTTCTATGGAACGGGATCTATCATCCACGAGCTTGGATGTAAGGGAGAGTGGGAAAGTGAAAAAAAAGAACCACCAAAAAATTTCCGCGCACACTGCATTGGAAGCTTTTCAGTGATCGTCACCAAATGCGCCGTGTGCGCGCAAACATGGGGATGCTGTGTCCAAGCCTCTCCCGTATCTCCCGGGGTCCTCGATTCGCGTTGTCTCAGCCTCCTAGTCACCTGACCCACCTCCACCCCCCGAAACTCCTGTTACTCCACCCGCCTTTGCAACCAAGATTCCCGCACCTCTTATTTTTCCCTCTCTTTTTTCGCATTCCTTCCTTTTCATCCTTATTCAACTTCCTTACCCGATCTTTCTGCGCGTCGTCGCATCTTTCTCAAGATGTCCGAATACCCCGATTACAACGATTCTGACCGAATGCAGCAACGTGAGCGATCTCGTTCGCCCCGTCGTCGTTCTTCTCGCAGCCCTCGACGTAGCCGTCGCTCGTACACTCCTCGCAGTCGCTCTCGCAGCCGTGACGAATACCGTCGCACTGATCGCCGTTCGCGATCTCCTTTGAGTGCATCTGGTGCAGCTGGTTCGGGATCCCCTTACGGTGGACGCAGTGGTTACGCGCCGGGTAGAACATTCGACGATCGATCTGTCAACAAAGAAAATATGATGCAATCAGTGCGCGACTCATCCCAGCAAGACCGTCGGGTCTATGTGGGCAACCTGGCATACGATGTCAAGTGGCATCACCTTAAAGATTTTATGAGACAGGGTGAGCAAGGATCCGATGCGGGGGTGTGATGGTCGAGGAGATCAAACAACGAAACAAGGAAGCAGAAGACTGACCGGTAGTTTTGTGATGGCTTTACAGCTGGAGAGGTTCTCTTTGCCGATGTGTTACTTCTTCCGAATGGAATGTCGAAGGTGGGCGCCAATACGTAGAGCGGCTGGTTCCCTTTTCTACTCCCTGATTTTTCGTGGTTTTCTGGTTTCCTTGCATGGACTGTTGGGTTGACGGGCTGGGCCTGGCCGTCTGGATATTGTAGGGATGCGGGTAAGCTTCAAATTCCTTGGATCATCACTTGAGCAAGAAGTGTGCTAATACGTATCAGGATTGTGGAATACGCAACGAGGGACCAAGCACAAAACGCAGTCAACTCGCTCAGCAATCAAAATTTGATGGGACGTCTTGTTTATGTCCGCGAGGTAAGCTTATCCACAAACATGAGGAAGAGGGTTGGATTTTCCAAATACTGATCCAATCAACAGGATCGTGAAGCCGAGCCCCGTTTCGTCGGTGGCCCCCCGCGCGGCGATTTCGGCGGTGGTGGTCGCGGTGGCTTCGGTGGTGGTGGATTTGGTGGCGGCCCTGGTGGTCCCCCTGGTGGAGGTGCTCCGGGTCGTCAACTTTATGTGTCGAACGTTTGTTATCCTCGGCCCCTGATATACTAATCTTGGTTTGCCAGGCTGTTGACTCGTCGATGTAGCTTCCTTTCAATATTGGATGGCAAGACTTGAAGGATCTCTTCCGCCAAGCGGGTAAGTTTCGCACTGACTGTATGCCCTTTACGGCATTTCCCTTTTCCTTTGTTTGGTTTATTATGTGAACGCTTTGGTGAAATTGACTTGAACTCCCTCGATTTTAGCTCAACAGGGCGCGGTTATCCGCGCTGATGTGCACACCGACCCTACCGGCCGCCCCAAGGGCTCTGGTATTGTTGCTTTCGAGTCTCCTGATGATGCCCGCAACGCTATCGCTCAGTTCAACGGATACGAGTGGCAGGGTCGCCCCCTGGAGGTTCGTGAAGATAGATTCGCTGGTGGCGGTCCCGGCTTCGGCGGTCGTGGCGGCTTCGGTGGCCCCGGTCGTGGTGGCTTTGGCGGCCCTGGTGGTCCTGGTGGCCCCCCTGGTGGCTTCGGTGGCCGTGGAGGCTTTGGTGGTGGCCGTGGAGGCTACGGCGGTGGCTTTGGTGGGCGTGGCGGCTTTGGTGGCCCCGGTGGTCACGGTGGCCCCCCTGGTGGTGCCCCTGGTTTCGGCGGCGGTTACGAGCAGCACCAGCACCAGCACCAGCAGCCCGTTGCTTCGGTCCCTCCTAACCCCTTCACCGACTTTGCCACTTCTGGAGGTGAAAAGAGCGCGGTTATTTACGTGCGAAACGTAAGTATAGAGTCTCTTCCAATTAGGGGGTTCAAGGCTGACAGATAGGATGACAGCTTCCGTGGTCCACTTGCAACGACGATCTGATCGACCTTTTCTCGACTATCGGCAAGGTTGAGCGTGCTGAGATCCAGTACGAGCTCAACGGCCGATCCCGTGGTACCGGTGTTGTCGAGTTTGATACTCCTGACACCGCTGACACTGCCATTTGTACGTCAATACTAACCCCATCTCTTCTCTGCTGGCGCCATGATGTTTACTAACGCCCGTACAGCCAAGTTCACCGGTTACCAGTACGGTGGTCGTCCCCTGGGCATCACCTTTGTTAAATACCTGAATGCCGGACCTGGTCCGGAGATTAAGGAAGAACAGGACCCTTCAATGGGCATCACGCAGGACCAGATCATGTAATGTATCCTTAGTGGATATTCTTATACTTGTGGTATGATCTGTGTTATTTTAGGGGAGATTTGAAGGGGTTCCGTTCTGTTTTGTTTATCATTTGCTTTTCTATGCCCTCTTATGTCGCTTCTACATCTCCTATGATTCCCTATTCCCATGTTCGTTGTTGTTGAAACCTCAAGTGCGATCTGCATTATCCTGGAAAAATGTCTGTGCTCGTGCACGTGCAGATCCCGATCCACCGAACAAGCAACTTTACTTGAACTCCTTCCCGCGTAGTCTAAACTTAACTTTTTCCAAATCCTCCTAAAACCGCAACACAATGGCCTCGATCGCTCGCATCTGCCCACGAAGGGCTTTAATCCAAATCAAACCCGCATCATCATCCTCTCCTCAATCCCTCCGCACCCTCACAACCGCCTGTATCCGCACGACCCGACCAAGAACCACCACCACCACCACCACCACCACCACCACACCCACACCCCAACCAAGCTCTCGCCTCTCACAACCCCTCTCCAAATACCAACCAAACAGACCCTACCACTCAGCTCTCCACCCCGCTCTCCCAGTCCATGAATACACAAACAGCCAAATCGCAATCCTCGAAGCAAGTCTCGCCCACACCCCAGTCCACGGCTTCACCCACACCTCTCTCCTCCTAGGAGCCCGTGACGCAGGCTTCCTGGACGTAAGCGTCCAGCTCCTCCCCCGCGCCGAATTCGACCTTATCCTCTTCTGGCTTGCCAGTCGGCGCGGTCTCCTCCGCGCAAAGGTCGAGGCCGGAGAAATCGCCTTCACTGCGGGGCAAGACGTTGAATCCAAGACCAAGACTCTTATCCTGGAACGTTTGAAGATGAACGAGGAGGTCAGAGGGCAATGGCAAGATGTGAGTACAGTACACCAATCAATCAAAGACCCAGTTCAATCCGGTTTCGGTTCTTCTTCTTTGCTTGCCCCCCGCTGCCAATACACATACTAACCATATCTTTGAAAAAGGCCCTCGCGCAAATGTCTCTCCTCGGTAATATTCCCCTCGCCCTCACCGAGCTCCATGCCCTTGCAAACGATATCCTTACGCTGGCGGGCGACGCCTCGGTGGATGCGAGCTGGTACACGCGGCGCGCGGCCGTGGCGGCTATGTATGCCAGTGCGGACGTGGTGATGACGCGCGACGCGGCGCCGGATATGAGTGAGACGGAGCGGTTTATTGAGCGGCGCTTTGAGGATAAGCATATTTTGGGCAAGAAGGTGGAGGTTGTGGGGCAGTGTGTTTCTTTTTGGGGAAATACGGTTGTTGGGGTGTTTAGGAGTTATGGGTTGAAGATTTGAGGTCGTTTGGTGTGCTTCAGGCTTGAATGAATGTGCCTTGGGAGCTAGACGGCGACTCAATTATCCTGACGGATTGTATTTTTATGTTATGTTTACCTACTCGCCTTCTTTTTGTTTATATTCTACGGAATAAGAAGGTTCAATGTTCACATCGAAGCTTTGTGGACAAGACCTACCTCAGGCAGCTTCTTTCAAGGTTCACTTTGGTGGATGCATTGATCTACCCGGCTGTAATCCTGGAATACATTTATTTTACGAATGTCCACCGTAAATACGTGGAATCTAATCTTATCATCTTCAATGCCGTAGTGGATGTCATGATATCATTTCAAAACTCAAGTATGCGTGGCTATACAAACCAGATGCAAATCCCTGGAGCCGGACTCCCGAGGTCACACAAACTCAATACCTAAATAGATAATAGATACAATAGATAGCCTATGTAACGAGGTTACTCGAGCTATAGCTACCGACTGTCAACAGTAGTAGCCTAAGAACATAGTGACAGCAAACACCGGTCTAATTAATGCAAAGAAACTTTCTGTACCGCCTCTTCAACACTCACAGGTGCCACAGACTCACTACTCTCTCCCTCCTGTCCATCGTCAACCGGATCAAAAGCCGTCGGCGAAGTAGGAGAGACAAGGATAGTGGGTGATGTGGGCGATGTGGGGGAGAAAGGATCACGGTCGCCACTACTATTACCATCGAACAACACAGGATTGGTCTGATCATGTATATCAGGCTGAGGTTCTGGCTCCCCTGTCGTCAAATTCGGAGGCAAAGTAGTCTCCGCGATGATGCCGGCTTCTTCATCGTCCCTTTGTAGACTACCGCTACTCGTTCCGCTCTCGATGGAGTCCGTGGCCACATGGGTTTTGACCCGGCCCCAGCGGCGTGTTTTGGGCGGGAGAGGCTTTACGCCATGCTTGCCAAGTGTGGTGGGCGCAGAGGGTGAAGTTGATCCCGACGCCCCTGGCGAAGGAGAAGGGCGGTGTTGGCTGGAAGATGGGGTGGTGGTCGTGGAGCGACGAGGTGGGGGTAGAGCCGGAGGTGGGTTTGATACGGAACGGCGTGCGTGAGCGGGGAGTCCTGGGGGAATAAGATTGGAAGTTGTGGTGGAGTTCCGACGGTCAATTTCAGTACCAGTGTGGGAGGGTGTATTTGGGGCAGTGTAGGTGGTGGGATTGACCTCCACGCCTTCGGGGATTGTGGAATTATTGTTGCTGTTGCCGTTGCGCTCACTGCTCGTGTCGACCGAGTGCTGCTGGTCCTCCTCATCCATGGCAAGGCGACGGCCTCGCCAACGGCGGGATTTGGGTGGTTCAGGCTTAATCTTCGGGGGTCTGATGACAGGTGCGTCTTTGCGGCTGGGTGTCATGATACCTGGTTTTTCATGCAGGGCTGCTACGGCTTGCACGCTGAGGGAGGAAGAACTAGCTGGCTCGAGGTTCATGCCCAACCGTGAAATTGCGCTGAGCTTTCGGCGGGATTCTGGGGCCTCGGATGAGCCTCTCGAGTCTATTCTTGTTGGCGATGCTTGCCCTGGCGAGTCGGGAATAGTGCTGGTACGAGACAGTGACCGGGTCATGTCAAGTGGGTCTCCGATATCAATCGGGGACTCCTGCTGAGCGGTATCCTCCAGTACTGTATCGATACTAGCAGTCACTGCGAGTTGAGTGTGGGATTCTTGCGCAACATTCATGTCAGGCTCGATATTGCGTAGCCAATCTACCGTCGCACATCGAGCGACAAGTCGCCGCGTGGTTTCGTCAACCTCCTCAAAATGAAGGATCTTCGCCTCCTCAGTATCATTGCCATAAGAAACCTGGCCTCGTACTAGAAGGCTGAGCACCTTCCGAAGCTCGTCCCGCTTGTAGTGTGGTGGTTGCCTTAGCTGTGTATGTGCTAGAAGGGGGTATAATACGCGCAAATAAGTATGTCGCAGTGCAGCTGCCTCCTCAGGGAGATCGAGCAAGTTGCGGATCAAAATATCTACCAGCACATGGAGATCATTCGTGAAAAAATATTCGTAAGTGCTGGGGGTAGTGAATATCAAGTAAAGCAGCTTCAGTGTGAGTAGCTGCAGAGATGTTTCGGCTATTTTATTTTTAGTGACATGACAAACTCTGATCAATGGCAGAAACGTACCTTCGCGGTTGATCAGCAGAATGATATTTTCACCAAAAGTCTTGTATAATCCGCCATACACAGAAAGGACTTTGATGACCTTGTTGGTCAACTTGCTTGACGAAGACGGACCATCCACGGGGTCATGAGCCGAGATCATAAATTGCTCATTCAAAACAAGCTGATCAATCAATTAGCCCCGTCATTCCATCATGAAACATAATACCAACTTACCAAGACCCGAATGACAGGATAATGATACGGATCCGTAACATCATATGATAAGTCCTCAATAATGTCAAAAAGACATCGAATGAAGTCGTCATCCACGAGAACTGCACAGAAATAAAGAGACCTATCATCAGCCCCATCGGCATCAATAGGTAGTGTATCCAAGAATCATACCCAAATCCTCGATCCTCACCCGTTGAACTCTCGACATCTCGTACAACAAATCCATCAACAGTCGGTGGAGGCCAGCCTCGCTATCCATATCCTCCCTCCTTCGTGCCTGAATGAGCTCTAACAATCTCGCAAAGACGCCCTCCTCGTTCATCATCTGCAGTGACACTTCATTTTGCCGACCATCGAAGAGCAGGAACGACGTAATTAGGTGAAGGGTATTCGGGTCGTCTTCCTGTGGACCAAAAAAAAAAAAAAAAAGAATAAGCGCACTGTTGCAGCGAACCGGAGTATGGGGGGGGGGGGGTTTATCCTACCTGCAAGAGACCATAAGTGATCTGTCGACGAACATAGTCGCAATTTTCGCTGAAGATGCTGGATGAAAAGAGCTTGTACGAGCATTGCGAGATCTCCCACTCCGACTGTAGAAATTCATCTATACCGCACAGCACACAATGTCAGTTCTGATCCAAACCAAACAAATATAGTATAGTATACACGCGCATGTGCCAACGCTGACGCTACGCAGCACAGCTCGCAGCGGAACCGATCCGAACTGGGCAATGTGTATAGAGGCGGCGGGAGAGGGAAATCTTGGCACCTTTGTACTGAGTCGTAAAGCCCAAATACGCTCTCAAAGCATCATCGATAAGGTCTTCAGTGTCGGCAGGCTTGGAGACGATCGCTTCGAGTTCTGTGAGGTGTTAATTGGAGGAAAGACATGGTCACATGTGAATTGGGTGATCATCGAGAAGTCCGATCGGGGAGGGGAAAGGGCAAACAGCCATCACAATCATAGCACACGATCGGCCGGTTTTGCTTTTTTTGCCTCGCGGGCTGGTATGAACCTACCATTCCAGAACTGTTCGGACTCCAAGACCTCTTGCTCCATTTCCCGAGCTCGATCTGCGTCTTCGGGGCGTAAGGAGAGCACTCATTGCGGGCCCCTTTGGGAGGTTTGAGATGCGGGATATGTTGGAGGCGGGGCGACCTACGGAATACGTACCTTGGCTTTGCCTTTCCTGTTTTGGTGCTTATCCCTCGCCGCTTTTTTGTTCTTTTATATGTATTATGTAATCATTTGTTCAAACCCCAAATGGGCAATTGCGTAGTTTTAGGACTCACTTGGTAAGATTATCTATGGCTTGAATGTTTCTTCCAAGATACTCAAACACTCAGAAAATGCTTTCAAGTATATAAATCAATTGATCCGTGTATATTGACTGCTCACCACGATACTATGTACTCATACTTAAAACCCACTTGATCCATAGATGTCTGGTGATGTTGACATCAAAACCTCATTGGGGATGGAGTGCTACCACATGCACATGTGCAGTCAGGATTCAAGTATTTAATTTTACAATCTCAAAAAGAAGAACAATATATGCAATTTTCGCTGGTATCACTATGCAAGAAAGAAGAAACTGAGAACATTGAAAACTTTACAATCCAAGCGGGCGCTGGAAGGGGTGCGCTTCGGTGTTCCTATTGACTTTTGTTAGCAGTGTACCCTGAGACTCAGCTGGATGATTGGAGAAAATTCAAACTTACAAAACATATTTATCCAGATCCACCACACTTGGATCACTGAAAAGTAGGTAGAAATACTTCAGAGTCTCTGCCAACCAGAAGGACTCCATGGTATCCTTCTGTACAGGTTTCTCGGCCATAACATCCGCGATAGCGGCGTTGGCCAATTCAGTCCGAGTATGCTTCGTGATCGCCTGGAACATCTTCCAGCCCTTCTGGCGCCAGGCATCATCACCTGTGAGTCTGTACATGATGAAGATGGATTCGATAGCCTCGGGTCGGAGATAGTAGTCCGGCGAGGGAATGTTAACCATACCTGGCGGGAGATAAACGTCGCGGTCTGATGGAGCAAGGGAACCTGGCTGAGAGACACGAGGGGCGTCTCTGTTCTCGAGATTATTGGCAAATGCATCTGAGGGAGCCGGTGCAGGGGTGGCCGTCTCTCTACCAATGGTGAATTCATCTCGCTTATGATATGGCATCGGATCTTTGTCATGCGGGTTTAATGAACCCGGCATGGGCAGTGGGACGGCCAAGGGGCCTTCACTGGGGCCGGTTTCCGAAATCTTCACTCGCTGCCCGTATGAGCTCTCTCCGCTGCGGTACTGGGCACCGGCGGCAGAATCGCGAATAGGACCAAAGCGATTGACCTCGTTGTCGAAACGGGCCTGATCCCAGTCGCAGGAACGGTCTTTGTCGCAAGGGAGCATTTGGAACCGCTCGGGCATAATACCGGTGGTTGTAGACTCGTAAGCCCAAACACAGCCGTCTGTTAACTTAGCTGCGAGCTCCATGTCTCCGTCGATGCCAAAGGCCTTGGCTCCAACGGCAACCATGCCTCCAACAAAGCACGTCAGATGATGGCTTTCATACATCAGCACGGACGGAATATCCGGACTTTTCGACGCGAGTTCCACGCCGGAAGTTGAGGCCATGAAACGGATGTCATGTTTGCCCTTGACCATGGGTGTGAAAAGAAGGTTTTTGCGGGCTGCATCGATGGCCTTCTTATACATTTTTTTGTATTGATCGTTGGCACCCCCGAGCAGGAGATATTCCTTAGGTAAGTATTCATACGTTGAGTCGGCCATTCCTGCTAAGCTATATTTGTTATCACGGTAGGCTGTAGGCATCCGTAGGCCCCCGTCACACTTTTCTTGAACCTGAACCTCCGGAGTATCGGAGCTGGAACTGTGATGGTAGTATGCCGGCTCTGCCTCTGAGAAGTCGTCAGAGACATCACGCGAGACCAAATTGAGATAACTGCTCAGATCAGTCGGCGCGGCATAGTGCTTGTGAGGCACAGTTGTTGTTGTGCTGTTGTGTATTTCTGTAGATGCTTCTGTGGGGGGTTTCACCGCTGGCACCGACTCTTCTTCAGCCCGGGGTTCTTCTCTTGAGGTCGAGGGGGCACCATGACCACGGTAGTTATGCTGGGGAGTGTTGTATTTAGCACAGCCCTGCGCGTTGACTTTAATGGGCCAAAGTCCTGGGATAGAGGTCTGGTCTTGCAGTGCCTCCAGCTCGTTCGTGATCCGCGCAATGGCATCGTAGTACTTGTCTTTCTGGGTCAATTGAGCCAATCGAGTAAACTCCAAAGACATAGATCCAATTTCGGCCAGTCCAGCCTTGGATGATGCCCGATGGGGTCGAACGACGTGATCCGGTGTCCAACGGTAGTAGAGCACGGGCATACGGTTGGGAGTATCAAAAGCACCAATCAAAATCTCAGCAAGCTCCTCTGCCTTCTCCAGGAGAATGGAGTATCGCTGCGCCGAGATATCATAGGCACCAAGCAAGCCACCCAAATACCGAATAACAGTCTCAAACATGGGAATATCCTCTCTGGGCGAGGTCTGGAAATCGATCTTTTGGATCGCATCGACCGCTTCCGAGAACTCATCCGTCATCTCCATGATCCATAAGGTATCAAGCGAATCAACCAAGGTCGCACCCCACCCATTGAACGGATCTTCAAATGCCGCCGAGAGAGGCTTGACCTCATCATGTCCCAAAGCAACCTTCTTATAGCCTGCCCAGGCGTGCTTGAATTCCGCTTTGATCGTGCTGAGTTGCTGGAGGCGCTCTTGCTTGTCAGAAGTCGCTTCATCTTTAAACTTGGCCTGTAATTTTGGCATGGACTTTGCATATGTCTTTGGTAGCGTGATAAGATCAGCCGCTGAAACGGGGAATCGATCTGGGAATTGCTTCCATCGTGTGGTCGGTGCGCCGGGTTCTGCGTGTTGGGTGGCGGCTACCCTGCCCGAACCGCCAATATCGATTTCCTCCAGAAGGGCAGAGCTCGAGTCTGACCCTGAACTGATATACGTGATCTTCCCAGCAGTAGAGCTGGACCCGGTATTCTTCAAGTTTTCCGCCGTTCCCTTCTCCGGGGCATTGTTATACGATCCCGCCCCCGCTCCCGAATACGAGGACGAGGACGATCCCCCAGTTTCCTCCTTCAAGGGAGCTTTCGGTGAGCTCGGTGAGCTCGGTGAGCTCGGCGAATTGTCATTTTCATACGGATTAGATCCGAACGAGTTATAGTCGGGCTTTGCAGGTGCGAACCTGGAGCTTTCTTGCTCCAACGGCGGCGCGCCGGGAATAGGAGCGGGATTCGCGTCTGATCCAGATTGCGCTTTGGGATAGGTTGCTACATCGGGGTGTATTTCAGGTGAAGTTTCGATGATTGTATCGGCCCAATCACGCGACCGGGCGAAATGAATGACAGCGAGGATGAAAGTTGCAGCGAATACCAGGAGAACTCGGTAGCGGCGGGCGCGAAACATGACGGTTGCCCCCGGTGTTTGGCCGGGACAAAATGAATGACGAGAAGAAAGGGTGTAAGGAGAGGAAAGCAAGCGCCCAAGCAAGAGAGAAGCAAGAGAGAAGCAAGAGAGAAGCAAGAGAGAAGCAAGAGAGAAGCACCGGAGAGAAATCAAAGGCAAAGATTAAATTCAAGACCTTTTCGGTAAACAATGCGGAGCAGACGATCCACATGTGATGTGTGTCGGCGCGATAAAAGAATCAACGCTATTGGATTGATTGGAATTGTATGGGACCAAAACCTCTAGTTCCTGCTCCATAGTACACATTAAAGTAGATTAGGAAGACTAGACCGAAACGAATTTATTCTATTTTTAAATATGATCCTTGCTATCTGAAGTTCTTTTTTTTTTTTTTTTTTTGAAAGAGAAAGGAGAAATAAAATAAGAACTCTATAGACGATTAGAAAAAAAAAGAAATGGAAAAAGGGGGGAACAGTAGATGCCAAGGGTAACAAGTTCAGCTTCAGCCTTCAGGGTTCCAAGCCAAGAGCGCCGAGCCCTCAGCCGCGGTCTCGGCCACTGGAGAAGCCATTGGAGAAGCCACTGGAGAAGCCACCAAAAAGATTAACGCAGGGGAATCCAATCACGGAACAGCTGGACTCGCATTCTGGAACGGAAATTACTGTCTCGGGTCTAGAGCTACAGCCTTGTTCCCTTTTTTTGTTCCCTTTCCTGGTTTGCCTCGGACGATCAGCAAGGGTCCAAGAGGATCGCCCTATCACCTTGTGGGGGTTGATGCCCAAGGCGTTTGGCTTCCGTGCCTGCCCGAGGAACTGTTATGCTGTTTATGCTGTTCCATGCAGCTATGCAGTAAATGCAGCAAATGCAGTAAGTGTAGTAAATGCTCTACAAGGGGGGGAATGCCAAGGAAATGCGCCAAGATGGAGGAATGGAAGCCTTGACTAGGTTGCATTACAGTAGCGGATTTGTGAAGAATAAATTACTGACTTTTGTGCTACCAAGGTACATACGTGCGTAATACTTAGAATGAGCATCAAATTGATATACTCAGTACTCAAGATTAGTTCCTACTCAGGACTTGAGATAGTACTCAAGTGCTACTGGTATGTAGTAGGTCTTGTACAGTGGCCTGGGGAAATCATGTGACGAAAAGAACCACAGGTACCCATGTACTACTTGGTAAAGGGGAGTGATGACGATTCAAAAAAAAAAAAAATCTAATACGTCGCTAATTCAACGCCAGAACAGTAAGACAAATCATGGACATTATATGGTCGGCTCTCATGGACTAATCCTGTACGCTCTACTATATTCCAACCGTAGTCCGTCGACCGTCTGTATTGGCCCTCTGGAACTGCTGGATGAGTCCCAGCACACCGGCTCCCCCGGCCAGATCATCTAAATGCTCACCCTCATCACCCTCCTCATTTTCGTCGCCTTCGGTTGCCAGCGGATTCATTCGCCACGAATCTCCCAGATCACCTTCGCTCGTGCCAACCCCACCACTGGATGCACCAGCGGGGCCTGTGGCTCGATTCAAAGAATCACGAGTGGCTTCCGACGGTAGCTCGTCATCTTCGGCGGTATCAGCCATAGGATGCTGCGACCGAGCAAGACGAGAGCGGGGGTAAGGCGCAGTCCGTCCAGGGCGGAAGCCCGATGTGGATGGCTGATTATGTGGATCTAGAAGCATAGAAGCCGTGGGGGAACGAATCTGGTCGGCTGCCATAGGTCTAAACCTGGAAGCTACAAGGGACGGACCAAATGGTCCACCCATAGCCCCCGATCGAGGTTGAGGATCATATCGATCATGGAGGCCCATATCGTGGGGTCCAAGTGTGGGTAGATTCGGGGGTGGGTGGAACGGCCGTCGTCCACCAGGCGGGTGATTGGGACCATAGTGATCCAAGAAGCCGTAGTATGAAGCAAGCATCTTTCCATCCTTGGTTGAGAAGTAATCTGCTCGTAGGTCTTGTTGTCGACCAGGAGTGTCTTTCCGGCCCGCGGACATGACATTCGTGCCTTTTTTGAAATCAAAGACCGCAAAGGAGCACAGATAACCCATTCCGTCAACGTGGACGGTGAACTCGCGAAAGAAATCGATCAACCGGTCACTACACTTGGGGAGACTGAACCACAGCACAAAGGGCGTAAAAATCATGCTGAGGATCTCCTCTAAGAATATGACAATCTTCATCTGATAGCAGACAGCGAATTCTTTGCGCACATCGTCACTATGCAAGCGTCCTTTCCAGGTCGTCGGGAAGTAGTGAGTGAAATCAATCAATTCGAGAAGTGCGTATTCCGGATCAAAGACATCGGTCTCTTCGGGAGCCAGTCCGTGGGCAAATGCCCAAACTGTACCAAAGATACCCAAATAGAAGAGAACGGTACGATCAGGAGTGATCTCAAAGCCGAGGAATAATTCCGGGTCCACCACCGATGCAAGGGCAAGGACCGAGGCTAGTGCACCCGATATGAAGGCCACAAACCGAGCCACCTGAACTGTCTTGTCTTTGGGGAACTGGTCGATGTAGCGACTGGCGAATGGGTAAGACATATTTATCCGACGCTCAAATAGATGCCAGAGCTCATTAAACTCGCGAAATTTCCATTCTGCCAATGGAGTGTACTGGCGAGATCCGATCTGACCCGGATTCTTTTTGAACTCATTGAAATAGCGGAAAAAGTAGTGCATGAGAAAGTAGACGACAATAAATGGAGCGACAAAGATGTTCATGATACCGGCAAATATAAAGCGCCGTCGTAGCCCATCACTTAGCGCTCTTCGATGGGTATCCTTGAGGAATAAGGTGCGCAGCTGACCTTGTTCATTGAAAACATAGTCCATGATGCACAAATTGAGGTTCCATTCTAACGTTCGTGAGAAGAGCTGGCGATTTCTCAGAAATGGAATTGGCAACGTTAGATCCAGGATATCCTTGTTGACCAGTGCAATCATATAATTTTCTTTGCGCATGAGACGATTTGCAATGTCATGAGCATCCATTCGCTGTTTTGATTGACTGCCCATGAATCGTCGGTGTTTGGCAGATACTGCCGCTGCTGTGGAGGGATTAGAATCTCGCAGCGTCATCAGCCGGCTGACAACTTCTTGCCAGGCGATGGTTTGGACCTCCCCATCCGAGACGCCAAGTAAATGAAAATAGAAATCATGCATATGCTGAAGCCTTCGGATATCCAGCAGATACTGGAAGAGCTTTCCGATCCAGAAGAAGCTGAATAGCCAGAGCAAGAAAAGCGTGGAGCCAGACATTTGAGACGTGCATTGGGGTACCAAAATCTCGTCCAGTGATTTGCTGCCGCGGACTTTGTGATAATTGACACAGTTGGTGAGGAAGGTGGAGAACCCCACTACGAAGGCAAATGTCAACAGATTCAAGGTTCGGCTTAGAATAATAGACCAGAATCCATTTCCCAAGAAGTAGATGTACACGTCCTTTAGGAAGTTGTCCAAGTCCTCTACATTGGCCCAGCGCCACATGGCTTTCTTTTTGGGATCAACGTTAGCCAGACTGAGTTGCTGGCCATACAGCCATCGCTTCCAAGGATGACGGTCATCGGTATCCGAGGATTGTCGAGTATGAGCGGGTCCCCAGCGTGGAGGGGGTGCAGCGGATGAAGTTGGCGGAGGACTGGGGGTTCTGGAGCGACTAGGCATCATTTGAGGCGGAGGAGGGAGTCGTGCCCGTAAATCCTCGTCGTCATGGGCCTCGACCAAGAGGGACTGCGGCACATCTTCATCTCGATCATCAAGCTCAATTCCCTGAGAAGACGTCCGAGTCATCCATCGGGGTCTGGAAGATCTACGACGTGAGACGGATGGGGAGCCCCGAGGATGGGTCTGCGGTGACGGCCGACTGAGCAAAGCTGCAGTTGGGCTAGACAGTTGACTATCCCTTGCATCTGCCAACGCATCCTCCAGCTCCCCATCACTGAAATGTTCCTGATCCGGCCTCGGGGCCATCCCTGCACGCTCTTCAACATCAGAGGAATCGGATTCGGCATCATGTTCACGGATGGCTTCATAGACGGATGGCGAGTCTGTAGGTGGGAGAAACCGCGAGAGTATATTTGAGGACATCATTGTTTAATCTGACTCAGGGTGATCCTCTTGAGTCTCTGGGAATTATCGCCATGGATTTGTGGAGGTTTGGGAAGGATATCCGATGAGGTCAACACGGAAGCTGTGACCCTGTGGGGATGCGGTTACTCTCCACAACAGCTCAACAGTCCCATATGACGACTCCAGAGACGCATGAGCTGGCAATAAAATATACTGAACCTGTTGTCTCTTCTCTTGCTTCTCTTATCCGTTCTCGTTCTCGGGAAGTTGTGGTTTCGTTTTGTTTTTGTTTTGAGGGGAGAATATGACCTGGGGCATCTGATCACATCCGCGGGACCTAGGCCATCCTAAGCTAGATATCAGCAGGTGATCGTGATAGACGGATTATGACATAATATTCCCGCCTGAGGCCAACAATCTAATCGGGTTCCCGATACGAGTCATGTGGACTGCTTAGTCAGTGCGGGGGTCTCGGGAAAGAACCTCGTTAGTTAGTTGGACACTAACCAATCCCTAACAGTTAGTATGCATGATGCAACTGGGCGCGCCCTTTTTTTCGTTCTTTTGTTCTTTGTCTTTTAGTCTTGTTATTATTGACTTTCTGGCCTTTCTAGAACAGTCAATTAGCGGTGACATGAGCTTGTACTTGGTCTTGAATCATGAAGAGTTTGAACACCCCCTCTTCCCACCAATTTAATATTGTACAATATGAGTTGGCTCCACTTCGGAGCATTTCCATCTTCAGGAAAACGGATTTAAGGAAAGAAGCGGGAATCTACTTGATGACACGGCCCCAGTCCGCAACTCCAGTCCGCACCCGCTTGAAGTTTAGTCAACTGGTAGTACACGGAGAACCCGCATCATTTTTCCTGAAAAGAGAGACTCCCGAGGTCGGCATTGTTATCGGTTTCAAATACTTCGAATGTGCGCTTCATCTTTCCCCGTTGAGTACTAGCTGCACTTTGTTCCATATAGATTCATCCCCGAATATACTCATCGTTCAACCTTGGAAGGCGATTCGTATACCCACTCAAAGTATACGCCCAACTCCGAGCCCTTGGAAAAGCCCTGGAGCCGGTGGATAACCTTGTGCAAGTGTAAATCCGTGGACCTGCACCTAGTCATGTACCTAGTGCGCTTATGCATGGAACCAGGGCGCATCAAAATAAACAGGAGATTTTTCGCGGTGGCATTGGCTCTAGAAAGAGGGTCTGATCGACGACCACCGGGATCATGCTGAGTCTGTGGCTACTGTTGATTCATGATGATTCGCTCACTACATCCACTGCCACTAAAGTACCTTCCCTAAAATGGATGCCACGCAATGATGCTTGGGCTTCCATGAGTGGAATTCACGAATCATAAACCATGAATCCTAAATCCCAATAATCCCAATAATCTCATCACGGTGGAATAATATTAATGACCAAAGGCTTATGCTGAAAGAGGAGCCCTATGTATTTCGGACCCGACGCTAAGCTTACGAACTTTAGGACTAAGGGAAACTAAGGGGAAAATCGACTTGCTACTGCCGTGTAGCCTCCCTTTTAGCGCCTCATTGCAGTCCCGATTGGCGTAATCTCGGTATTGCCGGTTAAAGGCTTGAAGAAGGCGCGGGATTCGGGTCTGGAGGTTTTTTTTCCTTTTTTTAATTGTGTACCTGGAGGAACGAGAGAGCGGATTTCCGAGGGAAATGATGATCTCATAAGGTTCACTGGTTCGTCCTTTTTTTTTTCGAAAAGGAAAAAAAAGGAACAGTAATAATTTAAAGAAGATGAATAATATGTAAATAAACAAATCCAAATGCAAAGAACCCAACAAATGGTTGGGAGTTGGAAATCAATGGTTTATGATTTTATACAGGAAAGAAAAGTTGGTTCGCGGTGGATTTCTTCTCCCCTTTATACACCTCAGCTCCGTTATCCACTTCCCTCCCCTCTTTCCCTTCTCGCCCCTCTCCCAATTCCCTTTTACCACCCTAAAAAAAAATAAAAAATACATATCACGATCCCTCATCAATTTCGGTCCGGAGTATCTATATATCCCCATCATCATCCCTGTGCCCTTCCCTGGCTCCGCCCGGAACCTCTTACCTGTGCTTGGGGGATCTGCAAAACACGGACGCACACACACAAACCCACTCCAAACGAAAGCGCCCCCTCCCCCCTCCCCCCAGACATCCCCTCTCCGGCATAATTGCTCTGAAGACCTCCCAATTTCAAAGGGGACTGATGAAGGTGCGTGTTATCTTGACTTCCCTAGTCCCCATAATCCCGCTCGCTTCCATTCCCTTCCCCCTCTTGATAATAATGATATCACGTCTGCCCCGGATCACCTTTTCGGGCTCCATGCTTTGAAAGCTGAACACACCTACACCCTTTCGGGGATTTCGCGACGGCGGCTTAGTCGCAATTCCCAGACTATTAACGAATTGGTCGCTCACCGTATCTTGCTAGACCCTGCATCTCTCAGACAAACGACGGTGACCCGCGAACTCCCCTTTGTCCCTGATTCGATCCGCCGTCTCGACCGAATGTACGACTCCGGCCTCCTTCCTCCCCTTGCACTCCATGTGTTCTCATAAGGACGCCCTGCACAAAATCCGACTTTCATTTATACTCGTGCGGTTGAGCAGGTGTACGGAATATATATAATCTTGGTTTTTTTTTTCGAGGTAGCCTCTCCCCAAAGTGCTTCCCTCTGGTGCGGACCTTCTCCCCATCACGCTCCCGTCCGCTCGCGCGAGAGTGACGACCGGGCAGAATGGATCCAGAAAACCCCAATGGACACAGTACGAAACGGAATTCTATACACCAAGCATTATACAGTCGTCCCGTGGAGCGACGATCGAGCAAAAAGTCTTCATCTAGGGACCGCCACGGCATGGTCTACCCAGACAACTTTCGAGACACTGGTATTCGTACCGTGACCCCGGAATCCCATTCCCCTATATCCGAGAGCGAACATTTCACCCAGAGCGCCCCCTCACCCCGAACTACCATGCGATCGCGAACCATCGAACGCACCGAGCCGGAACCACCGACGGAAGCACGAACCGTGCGGACGCGATCGCGAACTACCACAATGGAAGAGCAACGAAGCGACATGGCTTCCGCTACCATAAAGACTCGCGCACGCATTGGTTCGGTCAACGCCGCCAGCTCATCCCAACCCAAGACAGCAGAAGGTAAAACCTCCGAGGATTCATCCTCTTCCATTGGTTTCCCATCGATACAATCCCCTCCCAACTATATTGGTCAAGCAGTTACCCGCCATCGAAAATCCCCTGGGAGTAGCCGTTCCCCGACAGTCGCACACAACCAATTCGCCTCACCTCTATCTAATACCGATGCCGCCAAGATACTCCAATTGATGAAGACCACCTGCGGGAGGATGCATGGAATCTTGTCATTCCGGACATCTTCCATCACAGCGTCAAGTCCCTGGACATCCGGATACTGTGCCATTAATGTCGCTACCGGCAGTCTTATATACCAGGCAAAGGGGGAACCAGCATTGGCAAAAACCCTCATCCCTGACCTTCGTGGCTGTAGGGTACGGACATTGTTTGATTCAGAGCTTCAGACAACCTACCTCAGCGTCCATACATTCACCTCTGGGCTGGGCATTCAGTTACGCCCCCATGTCAACGAAACATTCGATTCATGGCTCGCAGCTCTACTCTGCTGGCAACCTATACGTCCCAAGGGCGTTCAAAACAAAATGACCAAACCTCAATCCGTCGTCATTGGAGACCGACGAATCCCCGAACGTCGGAGAAATTCGGAATCCTCAACCCATAAAGACGCGGCCATCATCAAAGTTGGTAAGATGCTTCTTTGGGACAAACCCTCTGCGGCTGGAGTGCGACCGGCATCATCGGCGCGTCGCGTTTCAACATATAGGCAGTCAAGGGCTCTCTCTTCCTCCTGGCAGAGAGTGAGCTGTAGACTGCTAGAAAATGGCTTTTTCAAGCTGTATACCGAGTCCGATGTTGTTCTCGTAGCTTGCATTCAGCTCTCTCAATTATCGCGCTGTGCAATTCAACAGCTGGATTCGTCAGTGCTGGACGATGAGTTTTGCATCGCCATATACCCTCAATACACAGCACACCCCGTCCCCGATGCTGCGATGCGTCCCATCTATCTCGCCCTTGAAACCCGCGATCTTTTCGAGGTCTGGTTTGTTCTGCTACGTGCGTTCACCATTCCAGAGCTATATGGCCCTCAACTGCAGGCTGCGGAGGAAGATCCGAATAAAACTCCGGAAGCCGACAGTTCTCCCACCAAGGGCATGTTTCGAATCGAGAGAATCCTTCACCTGCGAGTCACGGAGGCGAAGCTTTTTCGCACCAAGGAGGAAGAAACACCACGAAGTCGAAAACAATCCAGATCTCATGGGTACACTGCTCCAACCTCGCCTAATATCAGTGACTTCTATACGGAAGTACTTCTAGATGGAGAAATTCGGGCGAAGACTGCTGTCAAATATCGCACCACAAATCCGTTCTGGCGAGAGGAGTTCACCTTCAACGATCTACCACCCGTTCTGTCCCAGGCTTCTATATTGGTCAAAACCCTGAACGCACAGAGGGATTGGACCCTCATCGCGCAAGGAAAATACTCGTCCACTCAAGAAGTCAACGCAGTCAACATGCTTGATGAAATTGAGATTTCTACCAATGACGCAATCTTTGGACGTGTAGACTTGCGGTTGGATGAGCTAGACCCAGGCGTGGACTGTGAAAAATGGTGGCCGATTTTGGATGAACATGACCAAGCAGTTGGGGAAATGTTCATGAGAGCTCGGATGGAGGAAACGGTAGTATTGATGTCCGAAGAATACGCCCCAATGAAGGAGCTCCTCCACAAATTTTCCAATGGTTTGACAATAAACATGGGTCAAGTGATGTCGTCCGAGTTGACACAATTGTCCGAGATGCTTCTCAATATCTACCAAGTCTCCGGGTCTACAGTGGACTGGATCTCGGCTCTAGTTGAGGATGAGATTGATGGCCTCCACAAAGAGTCCACTGCTAGCCACCTGCGGTACACGACACGGATTCATTCGAATGACTCCCCGGGATCTTCTGGTCATGATCGTAATGTCCTGGTCCGAGATATGGGGAGGACGGCTACTGTGGAAGCCAATCTACTATTCCGTGGCAATTCACTTTTAACCAAAGCACTTGATCAACACATGCGTCGACTGGGTAAAGAGTATCTGGAAGAGACGGTTGGTGAACGACTGCGTGAAATTGACGAGAGTGATCCTGAGTGCGAGGTCGATCCCGCTCGAGTCCCGCGCGCCGAAGATCTCGATCGTAATTGGCGAAACTTGATTAACCTCACCACCATGGTTTGGAAATCTATTGCTATCTCATGGTCCCGCTGTCCTCCTGAGCTCAGGCGTATCTTCCGACACGTCAGAGCGTGCGCCGAGGACCGCTATGGTGACTTCCTGCGTTCTGTGACTTACAGTAGTGTGTCTGGGTTCCTCTTCCTACGGTTCTTTTGCCCGGCTATCCTAAACCCTAAACTGTTCGGGATCTTGAAAGGTAAGAAATTTCAATGTTAAGAATTTCCCATTTTTGTTTCATTCACTAACTTGCCATATTCGCAGACCATCCTCGTCCTCGTGCTCAGCGCACTTTGACTCTTATCGCCAAGGCCCTTCAGGGCTTAGCTAACATGACGACATTCGGCAACAAGGAACCGTGGATGGAGCCGATGAACAAATTCCTGGCCGGTAACCGGGCAGAATTCAAGCAGTTCGTCGATCTTATCTGCGACATCCCGTCAAATGCGACGGCTCCCGTCCCTACTCCCTCTTATACCACCCCGCTGCAAATCCTTGGACGATTGCCGCGTACCTCTCGCGAAGGCTTCCCCAGCCTTCCATTCTTGGTTGACCAATCCCGATGTTTCGCAAACTTGATTCACATTTGGTTGGAAGTTGTACCGGAGCGGCTCTCTGAACTGGAAGAGATTGACCCGTTTCTTTCCAAATTTCACGAATTGGCACTCCATCTGCAAGAGCGCACCGAAGATTGCTTGGATGAAGCTGAACAAGCTGAGCGTCCAAATGATACACTTCAGATCAAGTGGGAGGAGTTGGTGGATTCCATGGAGCGATCTGTAACATTCTATGATGAAGCTTCAAGCAAACCAGCTACCCCCGCTCCGGAGTCTACCGCTACTGCTCCTGCTGCCCCAGGGTCTGCAGCCTCGGCGACTCCAGGTCATCGTGGCTCCATTGGTTTCTTCGCACCTCGACCTCCCATGCCCCGTCGATCCACCGACTGTGCGCCAGAGGAGGATGACACCCCACCCAGTTCTTCATCTGCAACTTGGGATCAATCCCGGATGCCCTTCACGATACCTCGATGGTCCGATCCAAGAGATAGTACCGGCAGCTCCAAGAATTCTTCCACATACTCCCTGGACCACTCTGAAAACTCCAAGACCCGCAGAGCTAGCGTCACCAAGGAAAGCTCCAGCAAATATCGTTTCTTCGATTTTGTCCCCGCACCCTCCCGCCGTAAGGCCAAGGAACGCGATCAGTCTGGTCATCATTCACACGAAGATCTCCGGAACGAAATCTGATTGACGAATATTCCTCATATGCCCTCGCATTTATTGAACTCTGGGTTCTTTACTCTTTATGTGCTCATGAAGTCCACGCTCCTCTTGTGTTCTCGTCCTGTTATTTTCATATTTTCTCATTCTCTTCCTTCTCCATGTCACCCCAGCATGTGTCACGGTGTTGATACCCTTTCCCCTCTCTTGGTTATGGTTATTATTATTTTTCTTCATTGTTTCTTAGGCCACACCCTCCTGTATGCCTGGTGCATCTCCGACCCAGCTCTTGCAACGACAAGAAACTAAAAACCAAAATACAAAAAAGAGACAAATCCGGTACAGGATCGGGCGATTGGGCCCTTGGTTTATACAAAAGCACAATCTTTGCTGGGTCGGGGTCCGAAGTTTTGGAGAGGCTTGTTTTTCTTTTTACGTTTCTGCATAGGCAGACTCATTGGAGAGGCTATTCAACGTGTAAATAAATACTCCTGATATCTTCCCGAATAGATGAATTGGGCTTTTCAATTTGGAAACAATTGCATGCTACCACGGCCATCACTATCTACTACCTAGTAGGTCGCTTCTGAGCAACTGTTACCGCCGCGCTTAGCCTTAGCCTTAGATAGAAGAAAGTGGGTTTCTCCTTTCCTCATCTCAATTCAGTGTTGAAACCATCCATTGAGTACTATCAAGTCCATAAAACCATTCAGAATGGGCCAGGAATCTTACTTCAAACACGGTACTCCTAGTTCACCAATCTTATAACGCGGCTCGATGATATGATACCCAATATAGCCACGAATATAGGCCTTGGCAACCTCGAACAAATCCGCATCTCCAACGACCATGGCCTCAATACGATCAATATTGTCATGAACTTCATCGACCATTTCATTCAAGCATTGCAGTGGAGTGACCTGATTCACCTCAGCTCGGTGGTAAACATAACCATCACTCTCAGAAGACACGATCGACTCCTTATAAAACGAAAGGATGTCGTTCACCTTATTTGTGAAATCAATAAGCTCCGGCACTGCCTGAATGAACAATTTAAAAGTCTCCCCATACCCAGGACAGACATCTCTAGGCACCATCAGCCACACAAAAGCTTCGGCGTTGCCCGTCAGATATCGAAAGTACTGAGGAAACCCGGGCGACAACCGAAGCTGCGAGAACTTGCCCTCTGTCTCAGACTCTAAGACCGCGGAGCTCATGTGGCTGATGAGCCCGGTAATGGCTTTGTCCGAGCAGAACTCCAGGTAATGGTCATCCAGCTCTCTGAGCATATTTGCGCAGCCCTCGAATAGTTTGGCCTGGGGCAAGTTTCGGATGAAGCTGCGGCGGAATCCACGCATGTCAGCTTCGGCTGCGCAGATGTCGTCCAGGGCAACGAAATAGGCTCCGTATAGGCCGGTGAGACGGTGGAGTTCTGGGGAGCTGGATTGGAGGGGATAGAATTGATGGGCGATTGAGGCTCCTTGTTTTGATAACTTTGATGCTTTTTTGGCATCAATTTCCCCTCCTAGCATTTGGTTGAAGAGGTACTCTTCAAGTGCTGTGGTATCTTTGGCAGGAAATATTTGAAAACTAGCGCCTTGGAGGAATCTTTCGACCAGTTGTGTGTATTCATCCTTGGAAACCGGGGTGTCGATCACCGAGCCGTTGGGTCTGGCGTTATCGATCATTTTAATCGATGTTGACTTCCAAAGAGCTTGAGAGGTGCAAGAAGGATGCAATTGATCCAAACTGTTCAGTGATTTCAAAACAAAATGTGTGGACATCTGGGCCTGGGCAACTTTGAAGGTTTCTCATATTTATACCAATCAATTCCAACATTGAAAGTTCTGCTCAATGAATTTTTGTCAGTATGTACATAATCTACTGCCTATCACTACTTCTTAAGTGCACATGTGCTCACCTAGCTTTCTCTTGTCCAAGATTTTGTGCTTCGATCTTCCCTTGGAGGGGGGACCTGTTGATGTTGAATTTCTCCAAATTTGGTGGCCAGTGTCGCACAAGAGTCCATTTACGGATTGGTGCACTATTGTACAGCATCCAATTCCCTAAAAGGCCAAGCCGTGTAAATCGTTACTTTGAAGCAAACTCTGGATATTTTATACGCACATATGGGATTCATAGATATAAGGATTATCCTTTGACATAGTATTTTTGGTTCCGCAACAGTCCCTTTACGGCATCTCGAGGTTACATATATGCATTGATTCCAAATCGGGTCTCATTAAATGACGTAAATATCTGCAGCTTCATCCATTCAATGTTTAACTCTGAATTGTAGGCTATGGTTGATTAGTAAAAATCTGGGTATATGTAAATCAATTCTTCGTATTTTTGACAGGATGTAACAGCATAGGCGGCAAGCAAATCTTGCCAGAGTCCTCCTTCTGATCGTACCCTAGCCAAGCTCGATAAAGCCTTTCAGAAAATTCGGAGTTAAACATGAATGTCACGTTGAGCAAAATATCATTATGCATATTCCAGCTCCAGATGCTATCCCGTCCAGCATTGATCGCGCCCGGGCTGCCTGGGTTTGCTCGACGATTCAACTCTGCAGGATCCCAACTATGCGCATGAAAAATCGGCTGAGGAACCTGAACTGCTTTCAAGCCATAGTAAAGAGCCCAGGACGTCGGAGACATCTCGGATGCCAGCCCAAGGCCTGTTCTCTCCTTGTCCGCATGCATAAGCCGGAGTAGATGTGCCGAGACTCGAGACATCGCAACCACAGACGCCCGACGGGGCGTGCTTCCCTTTTGAGCAAAGTTAAAGACACGATCACGGAATGGCCATTTGGTATGACGAGGATCAAAGCTCGGTAGCCAGGTAATCACATCCGCTTCCTCGCCGATACCCCAATCCCAGAGATCTTCTTCCAAGTCCACGACCGGTATCGTGGGTGCTTCGCCATCAGTATTGATTCCTTTGACTGCCTGTGGGCCTAGAACACTATCTTGATTGGCCATGCTCTGGTCCACTTGGTCGGTGAACTCATCCCAGGTTCCGTGGATAGCAGGGATGTAAAAGTAGGAGTTGCGCTCCCACAGGTTCTTTCGCGGCTGTTGTTTCCCAAAATTTGCAGCCTGCTTGAGAAGGTGATAATAATGTCCAGTATATCGGGAATCCATCTCAAATTGCCAAATGTAGTCGTATCCTGGATGGAGTCGCGAGAAGATTTGCACTGGCTGGAAGTACTGAAGAATTGCCCTACGATGGAGTCAGCATTGCAGTCCCGTACTAGCAAGCGACAGCGAATCTCACACGTGAACGTCAATTTTTGAGTACCAGTCTTCCAAAATTTGATTGTTAAAAAACACCGCAATATCCCGGAATTCTTCCGGTAGATGTAATCTTTTGAATTCTTCCATGCCTACTTTATTAGCGGGATGGGGTAGTTCAGTATCTTTAGCATCGACCAAGATAATGATTTCATATTCGGCTCCGGAAAAGAGAGCGAGTTCCATGATCATGGATCGAAGGTTATGGATACCATCATCTGTGAACTCCATCCCTAGCCAGCCTCGTATAATGACCGCTGTCCGAGGGTGGTAATTTTGTTGAGTAGTATCTTCATTGGTATTATTTTCCACAAATCCTGAATCAAGCTCCTTGTGGAGTGTGGATAACTTTTCCCCGGACTGAAAGCTTCTATATCGTTCAGCATTGTTCTGCAGGCAGTTTTTCTGCAAGCTAGCCCAATCTACCTTATCCCACTGTGTTGCGTTGACATTGTGAGAGCTAGGATCGTCGCTATCGAGGCCTTTATCTCCATAGCCATATGCGCTATATCGGGACTCGGGATCGGTGCAGAGACCATCATCAAGGTTCCATGCTTTATATGAGCCAAAAATGGGAGCCGGGGAATCTGTTTCGAAGGCATTCCAAGGTTAGTGTTCATCTAATCAATAATGTGCCGCATCTGAGCATCTGCCTCGATATGCTTTAGTTTGATTGGATTGTCGCACCGGAATGATTCCACTTGAAGCCTTTCATGGCTGTATTGAGATTATCACGATCCAATAGGTTCCCATCAGGGCCAATGCAACTTTGGAAAGAGCCTCTCCATGAATTTTTCCATTCTGCGCTATTATAATCGGGGTAGGGATCGAATGGAATTGATTTCGTTTCACGTGATATCTCCGAGAAAGTTATACCTAAGTCACAGTCATTAAGACACGTCTTTTTGCTTTCTGAAAGGCTGAGGGCATGTAGAAAATTAGCACTCAGTAGGGGGCTTTCGATCAGGAATTTGATGACAGGGGGTGTCGATAGAATCACTTCAAAGTTTACCTTATGTCAACATTTCCCCCCGATTGAGCTGTAAAAAGCTGCTCTCTCACGCGAGCGGCGAGTATAAGTCCTAACAGTATAAATGAAAGGATGATTGCGTGAGAAATCCGTTTCAAAGGAAATCCCAAGTGTCGTCTGGACCACATCCCGCCAGCCATAGGCTTTGAGCGTTGAGATAGGCAGGACTTTGTGGTAAACAGATTCCAAGACAATCATGTGGGAGTGGAGAAATGTGATTTGAATGAAGCGACGCTAAGAATTCAATGGGCCACTCCAGCTGCTCCCAGGGGGCTATGGGGGCAGCCTTTCCTGAAGCCTCGGTCCAGTACAGCCTGTGGACCTACATAAGTGGTTCCTTGGAAGCATCAGGTCTAAGTGTTTAGTGCTGACATCTGGAAATTTCGTTCACAATTTTGTTCACACTTTACAGCAATCCGTTCACCAAAACAATACAGCGGAGTTCTCCGTAATGTTTGACAAGCTTCTGACAGATCCACATTGTATCAGTGGACATCTGCATCTGGTTAGTACTCTGACGAATTTGGAGTAGTCTATCTCCACTCCAACCCGCTATCGACTCATGAGCACGAGAGCCGCGTGGAAGCTTGTTGTGAAGTGGGTCGATCTGCTTGTTCGCGCCGAACCGCACAAAATGCTTGTTAGTCGATTTGGACAACAAATTGACTGGGAACTCACCGGTACTTCATAGGTGGAAATATTATGCTTGGAGGCGGGTTATGATAGCACATCTCTTCTATCCTCGTGGATCAGGCGATGAGCTTCCAAGGGGGGAAAGGTACGGGGTATACTAATCTACTGGAGTAGTTCGACGTGTACTAGTATGGACTAGGCATCGCACGGCATACTTTTGTTAGGTGAAAACTCTTTCTGGTCCTCCGGGCTATCTGGCTGCCCAGAGTTCGTTTTGTGCGACAATTTAAACCCAATCGGTGTCGATGTCCGATGGACCTTCCAATACTCTCTCCAGCTAGTTCGATCACACAGTCTCTTCAAATTTCATAATTAGTAACTTAAAGTATGTGCGGCCAAATTATACACAAGAATGGCTTAAATTACCTAGTATGTATTTCACAAATACCCAAGTTCCCAAAAACATTCGAAGGGTCTACTCCATACGCTTAAAAATGTGGGAATTCTCATCGAATACACTGAGCAGTCCCCATGTGTACTCCGTACTCCTTATGGTCCCATTTCAAGACTTCGTGGAATCTGGCCAAATTGCCGAGAAAGTCCCACGGTGACTCCCTATCCGAGCTGAGCTTGTTATGTATGTCTAGTTCCATTTAATGTACGTGGCCCACTCGCACCAGCCAGGCCCAGGCCCACTTGCATACGCGGCCGATTATCACGGCTATCTATTGACCTTACGAATACCAAGACTGATCATTGGTCCCCTCGTGAAATTTTAAGTTACGTTAGTTTAGTGTGCTTTTGAAGATCTTGAGTGGAATCCTTCCGAACCATTGTACGGAGTACACGGTACCTAATGAGAATTCCAGCCCATTCACTTTTCCGAGGCTGCAAGGATGAAGGGTCTGCTACTATTCTCAGTTTTGAATTGATTTGTTAGTGGCTACTATCTACTGCGCAGTCTATGCGTTTCAAAAGGTACATCTAGGAACTACGCTCTGGACTTGAGGTAATGGGAGGAGAGTACGGATAATGAAGGATAAGTTTCAACACTTTTCAGATATCCCAACTAATTTCCAAGATTTTTCTGTACAAAGCGGAAGACCCGGCTTTCCTCCCCCAAACTAGGATAAAGAATTGTTTTATCCGTCATGTCCTAATTTGTTTGACTCTACGGAGTGGCCACCATTGGACAATATCACTGCGTGGCTTGACGAGCAACTCACCTCATCCGATTGCATGAGGCTCCCGACGAGCGATACCTAAGCCACAAGTGTGCCGTGCACGTGAAGTATGTACCCCATAACTATTTTCTGCAGGGGTTAGTGGTACTTGGTGCTCCATACCTACTAGGTAGTACCCAGTAGGCTCGCAGCATTATTTTCCTCTTTTACTTGGTTTTTTAATTAGCGGTGAAAAGCTTGAGAGTTGAGGTCAGTTCCAATTCGAAATTTAAATCATGGATACCTTAGCCTCTATCTCACATCCTCATGAAGAAGCTGCTGATTGTCAATTTATAGGCTTCCATGCTAGTCATATACTTGCTGCCAGGAAGGGGTTTCATGTAATAGGTGTTTGTAGGAGGCTCATATGTTGAATATCTAGGTAGAGCCCTGTGCAATGTTGAGCATAATACCCGTCGTAGTAGTTCATCTTCCCGTCTGAACCCCAATAAGAAGTCCACATACACCCATGGATATCCTGGCCCCCAAAGTTAGTGGCCCACAACTGTGTGCCACATGTGGGGGCACTCCATAGTCTTCGCATACAGATCCTTTGACCACAGATATGGAGAAGGTTGGGTTATCAAAGGAACGTCTTTTTGACGAGGTTTGACTTGAAGCTGTTCATTTGAGAGTCATGGTTCTTTAAAATGCTCGTGAGTTTAAAAAAAAAATTCTCGCGGAGACACCGATCCGATGTAAAGAGTATTACAATAAACATCACAGTCTGGGCTGATATTATAAGCAAAACAGGCAGCTATTTGACTAAAGTCCACGCTACGATGATTGAGGCTAATTCTTGGAAGCCATTATGGACTAACAACTCACTAAAGAAGTACTCCGGTACCTAGTACTCCGTAGTGCTGTTGATTCACCTACACTCCTCCAGTAAAAGTGCAATTGCCCAAGTGGGTACGGAGAACGCCGCAGCACCTGGGCAACAACTGGATCTTGTTTGCAAATCCTGTGAAATCTAGTCCTCAAGGCTGAGAGTGACTAGCACTTTATACTCGGCATCTGGAGGCAGGAAAAGCTATAAAAGGACATCTGGAGGAAGGTTCCAAGCGTGTATCTATCCTCCATCCTACCTTCTACATCCACACGAAGAAAAGAACCATTCCATCTAAACATCCTTCAAAATGAAGTTTCTCACTATTGCTTCTCTCACCCTCCTCCTCGCCGGCGCCCAGGCGGCCCCGTCTACTCCCTTCTCCAAAAAGAGCCCAGCCGTCATATTTGACAAGCGCTCCTCGATCAACGACTGCGGCACTTCGACCTTCACAAACGAGTCCTCCAGCGGCTCGCCCGAAGTTGCGGATTGCAGAAAGATTGCGACAAATATCAAGAGTGGAGGAACATGGACCTTTGAGGGCTTTGGTGTTCACCACCAGCTCGTTCAATACGGTACCTGTGCCTTTGGTGTCAAGGTTTCCGCGGATAGATACACCTACATTGGTAACGAGGATATCATCCAGTTGATCGATGACTCTATCAAGAAGTTCAAGTGGGAGGGCAAGGTCGGTGCCAAGGGAACGATGAAGTGTTCTGGACAGGATGGCGACGATGAGGTTGTCTGGGGTATCTACAAGACTTGATTTGTTTTCAAAGTTTGTGTGGTTGAATGGATTGGACGAGATTCAATGTCATGTATTACTTTCTTTTGTTTCTATTGGTACTTTGCTGCTCAAGCTTGTTTATATGTCAGAATAAGCCTCGGCATCCATGATGTTCAAAATGGACTTGCCTACTAGGTAATCACCGAATTTAGCGGTCTCATCTCCTGAGGTCATGAAGATACTATAACGGAATTGATTGATTGGTTTTCCACATCTTACATAATAGACATAAGCTCTGTAAGACGATGGACCGCGAGTAATGCCAAAAAAAATATTTCTCGCAAGTAGCATTTGAGTTCAGTTAGGTGTAATACTGGAACAAAATGGACGACTTTTCGATCGTCAAAAACTATATACTGGTAAGCCAGCACTTGGGATCACCTCCACTCTATTCATGGGGTTTAATTAATCTAGATTACTAAGTCATCCAGATGTCTTCACCCGCGTAACGGGTCCCTTGTAGGATTTGTGGCCCCGAGCCACATAATAACCCATTGAACCAATAATGACAGCTCCGTAAATATCCACAGCCCAGTTCATGTCAGTTGGATTCACCTCCTTAGTCAGGGGGAAGAAACTAAAGACCCAGATCACCAACAAGACTAAGATGGAGATCGTGTCGCAGATGGGTGTGAATTTGCCCATACTCCAGCGTGCTGGCGGTAGAGGCTGACCGCGCCAGCGGTGTACATATAGCCAGACATATGAGATATAAATAATATAAGATGAGAGCAAGGCGGCTGTGCCAAGGGACATTATGGAGTTGAAGGCCACCGAAGATCCGACGTTAACGAGTGAGAGAAGGGAGACGATTACCAGGCTCACGCAGAGGGCGTTGAGTGGGACTGTAAAGGTCGGGTTTACCTTCATTACCGAGTATGAGGTTAGAGTTGCTCGGACATCAAATCATTTCAGGGCTATCTATATTTCTGGGGAAAGAAGGAGAAGTGGGACGGGGTAAGACTTACGTGGGCGAAGAAGTTGAAGAAGGGGAGGCCCTTCAATGTTGTCGCGGGCAAAAGAGTAGATTGATCTGCCGGGATGTTGTTGCGATGTTACTGATGGCGGCACAGAATTACATGATTATGATCACGACTGTCATTCCGGTAGCAGCGCGGGTCGATCCCGTGGCGTTGAGGAAGACTTGGATAAATGTGAAACCTGTCGAGGAGGCGAGGACCTCGTCAATGTCGCCGATAAAACGAGGCGATCAAGAAAACAATAAGATTGTTTTAAGGTCCCAAGTTTATGTACATACTACATAGAGCGTTGTTTAGCCAATCAGGTCATCAGGTCACTTTTTGACCTGATGACCTGATGGCCTTCAACTGGTAAACATACTACCTTCAAAATACTATGTATATATACACATGTGCATCAATTGATGTAGTAGATATATTTTAACTCCTAAAGATAGAATACTAAACACTTAGAGAAGCATCTTTAAGCTAGCCTACTAACCCACTTACTAACCTACAAGAAACTCACTATAATACTGCTTTCTGGAAATATTATATATTCAATGTTATAAGGTTTTATATATAAGCTTTCAGGAGATATAGTATATATAGTAACGAGGGGAACGCTATGCTGTGCCATCTAAGTGCACGAGTCGATCCAGCAGTGGACAATGCCGAGACTACTACCCAAGAACAGCAGCTAGGGGTCAAATCAGAGACGTGTAGGAGTGTGTATTCCAATCTAATCAATCACTATGCCCGCTATACAGTAATGACAGTGCTGACTGTACCGTAACGGCATGTCGGGAAACCGTCATGATAGGTAAGGACGTACTTCCCCACTACAATAGATAGATGTATATAGTAGATCAGTAATAGGTACCCTTTCGGCTTAGCCGCTGGGTGTAAATAAATTGTTTGTTTGTTTGTTTGTACCTATGGAGAACAAGGAAAGCCAATTTCGAATATTGTTATAATGAGACTCGAGAGACTGTATAAAAGGTTCAGACCATGGGGATGATCATAAGACCTCGCAGCCCGTCGCCCAACTCCCACCCCCGAAGCCGTAAACCCCGCAATCTCACCCGAATACCCTAAGGTTCAAATGTTGAGGACTTTTTTCTCGCCGAGGATGATTCTCATGATGAGGACGATTCTCACGTCGAGGATGATTCTCACGATGAGGACTATGTACTTTCTGTTAGGAGATTGTGAACCATGTGGTGTCACATGGTCTGCTCCTAGATGCTCCAGCGCGTGGGTTGGTTTTGTGTGCGAGAGGTTTAGGGTTGTAGTTAGGGAAGTGAGAGCTTCTCTCTCATTCCTTCCTTCCTTCCTTCCTTCCTTCTTTCCCCTCTCCATCCCGCTCAGTAGAAGAATACCATGACCATTGATTCTTCTCCGTCTCTTTCTTCCCCTCATTGCCATTGGTTTTCCCTAGATCCTTGTGGATCTGACATTTTCTCGTCCCAATCACCTACGACTACTCCACCATTATAGCCAGAGCCTGTTTGCTCTAAGAAATAGTGCTTATCGGTGTTATACCACTTCTTCTAGCCTAGAATGGCTTCTTTCACCACCTTTTAGGGCACCTGGGGTCACTGACTTAGTTAAATAGTAGTTATGTTGTTTTGCTTACCAATCAACTAAGCCCTTAACTATCCTCCACCTTTCAATATACTCGCCTCGAGGAGGTGCTTTGGACAACTACACGAGGAAGACTATGTGTATATGGCAAATAATCTCTTATGATTTAAAACACCACCTCGGAACTCTCACCAAACTCCCCTCCTCAACCGCCGCATTCTCCTCCCCCAAACGGTCAACTCCTACCGCCGATTCAATTTCCAGTACACAGACCACAGACGATTTCGGATTAAAGTCTCGAACTCAAGCAACGCCGATTACATCTACAGCGATAGAACGATTCAACACCAACGTCAGCTGCCCTTCCAATCTGCCACCCGCCATAACAGACCCAGAACCGCAAAACCAATCTTAATTTGTTTAATACTCATTTCCAGAGCTATGATCATATAATTTATCTTATCAGAATACATTGTGTGATCTGATAGCTCTAGATGAATAGATCTCCCACTACACGTAAATTTCTCTTTCTTCCCATGCTCCATGAGCATTGCCATCCTTGATCAATTCTGGATATATAGCTGGATACTAAGAGGATAAAGAAGTTAGGATTCTGTGTATATCACGGAAAGCTAGAAAGGAACATACTTTTCTTCTTCCTTCACAGCCTATTTAGCAGTGACCTTGAAAGAGGAATAAGAAGTGGCGAAGGCGGCGTAGTGGATACACTGATCGGTGGGAGGCAGGACGTAGCCCGAAGTAGTGTCACAGTCGTCAGTAGTGTACACAATAACCTCAAAGTCATCGATATCGTAGACTGCCTGAATGCTGTCGATGGTGTTGGTGAAAGCAGTGCAGCTCTGAGCAGCGGTACCAGAGTGCAAGCTGACCTCGGTAGCACATGATTTATCACTGTAGACGTACAGCTCCCACGCGGAAATGGTGCTGGCAGCAGAAAGAAGGTATCCGAGGTAGCTGGCGGCCTTCATTTTGTATGATTAAAGCAGGAGATAAGGCGAAAAGGCTTAAGAGATTTAAAGCAAGAAAGGAGACGGATATTAGAGGAAGAAGAGAGTTAAAGAGGAAAGAAAAGAGAGAAGACAAACAGACTTATCATAAGTCCTTGTTCATATTAATAGACATTCCTTCCCCTGTCTTCCTTGAGAAATCTAACATAAAACCAAAAAAAAATATTTCAAGGAAATTAATTCTCTCTGGGTTTACACAAGGTAGCTGGTTGTATTTTTCAAATATTCTCGATACAATAGATTCTTAGACATTTGTAGTGAACTGTCTGAGCATTTCGTATATGGTTCAAATATATCTACTCAATAGCCGGTATTTCTCTATGATTCCGCTAGAAATTCTCCTCTTTTACCCTAGTGACCCGGCGTCGGGCGATGTCCGGTAATATTTAATCTTGTCACTTTTCTACTCTATAGATACAGCTAATACTCCACTTTTTATCCTAGTAGCTTGAAGCCAACATTTGAAGCTCGCAAAAACTGATAATCGTTAGGGCGGTATAGTTGGTTTAGCGAACCTGAAGCTACTAGTAACCTATGCATTACGCGTCTGTGGAGTGTGACCGTGTGTAGGGATTATGTGGAGATGGTCTTGGCATGGGCCCCGTAACCGGCACTAGTAACGCTAACTGAAACCAACAGAGAACTAACTTCACTCTACCGACGTCCAACATATGAATGTAATTTAGTGACTGAAATTTTACTTGTGGGATTTGGAGCTTGTCAGTTTCTTGAGTTAATGTGGAACATTGAAGCATTTGAATATTTTTCTGCAGAAGACTCGAGGGAGCATGATCAAGCATAATGATGATTGAATTCTGGCTACTACGTGATACTACGTAGAGAAGATTGAAATCGTCAACTGGTGTTATAGTGATGAACGAACAATGTCCCAGTACTTTGGATATATTATTATGTATCGACACAGGGAGTAATATTAGGGAAGCAGAGAAAAGAAGAAAACAATAATGTGCTTGGTCCCATTTATCTGTGTACAAACATGACAGTTGGGGCCAGTGGTGTTGACATTATACAGCAAGGGAATATTGAAGAACGGCTTCTATGTCCTGGTCTTTTGTATATTACTTATATTTAAAGTTCACCAGAGGTGATTCCACAGGTAGTAGCCTTCAATGAGAGAAGATCTAGGCATACATGTATATGGCAATTCAAATAAAAGCCTACAAATAAGTTTCTGCTATAAAGGTCTTCCTGCGAATATCCCCCTTGCATATTATCGTGCCGAATATCATTTTGCTCAGCTGCAAACAGCGACTAATGGATTTTCACTGTTCAATGTTCCGTCTAAGTATCCGCTAAATAAGACAAAGCAAGTATTAGCCTAACCATCGCTTAGACTCAGGAATTCTAATATAACTCACATTAGACACTCATCACTTTATAAGACAAGAGGTTCCAGTCCGACTTGGCGCAGTACGACTCCGAGTCACCCCTCATGAGGTCCAGGTAGTGGGTGCCATCACCAGTACAATCCAGAGCGGAGTAAGCCATAATATAGTAGGTGGAATCGTCGAAATTGGGACTGAAGCCAAAAACCTTGTAACCAGTTCCAAGATCCATGTTGTAGCAGCCAGTCTCATAGGAGTTCATCATCTGGTAAACCAGGGTTGAGTCTTTGCAGAACTCTCCGTGGTAACCTTGCACTTGCCAGGCAGACGCAGAGGCAGCCATGGCAGCGAGGGAGGCAACGACTGAGAGGAACTTCATATTGAATGATCGGATGGGAAAAAAAAAAAATTTCAAGTTGTTTTAAGACAATATTTTGAACAGCAGCGATTGACCACTCTAGAATGGGTTTGGAGATGTGGTACAATACTATTTATATAGTTCTATTGGTGATATCCTTTTGCTTACACTATACAAAGTTTGTATGGATAACCTTGAAATGGACTCAACTCTCTCGTTTCACACTAGTTTTAGGCCATTAGTCGTAATTCAATCGAAAATAGAGAAAAAAGATGGCAGAAGTGGAGTGAGAGGGGCAGAAGTCCAACTTAGCCGAGGAGGAAAGGGGATTATTTTCATAACACGACCATTTTCTATGCTGCGATACGCAATGAAACATCTGAACGAATGTTCTCAAGACTCGAGGCCTCCGATCTCTCTACCGGAATCTAGAATTCTCCTACAGAAGGCGGTGGCGTATCAGAAGACGCCCGTCGTTCGTGGCAGGAGAAATTTTTAATCCATAAGCCTGAAGCGTGGTAGAGATTTATCCAAGGAAGCGAAGGTTGAGTAAGGCCGATAGACTATGTCGAGCCTCGGTAACTTGGACAAGCCACAGACCCGACACCATGGCGAATAGCTCTGGTCCAGCTAGTCTGCCAAGAAGCCCACTGTCAATTTAGCTTGTATTGAACTAGATTTCCTAGCTCTCGCTCCTTCGGCCTCAAGTCACGATTTCAGTCAGGTTTTTACGTAATTAGTCTGCTAGTTCACCGTGTGGCCGTGGAATTTCCTCAAAATCCCAAAGCCGCTCTCAAACACATGGCCAAAATGTGTTCACGATCCTTCGAGTCTACGAGCGTCCGACTAGATGCTTCGCTACCGAACAGTCGTGTGCAGGTATCCGAAATAGGGATATTCCATTGCCGAGGCTAGGCTTCACCACTTGGGGTGGGGTCAAAAAGGGGTGGCGTTTGAAAATTGAGGATGGGGCCCCATTTCTCAAGCAAGTACATATAGCATCCAGCCAATGCACTGATCACTGCCCACTACGAAGCACGTATGATCTTAGCAGGAATGAAAAACACAATGAGATCAAACGGGTGGCTTCCATCAAAGAAGGGAAACTGCGGCAGACAGATGAGCTGCAGGTAAATCAGGAAGACTGAAGGTCCTAAGGCAGAGTCTATGGCCCTGGGGCTGGAGAATAAAGTCCCAATTCCCGTACCCACCATGGATCTCGATCGTATCGGTTGAACTCCGAACTGTCTTTTCACGGACGTTATCGGATACTCCGGCACTCGACAAGCAAGCTCACAAGCTGGATTTACGAGTCTATGAGCACATCACCATTTAGGGGGGGAATTTGGGGTGGATACAGGATCCATTTTGCGATCTTTACAACTTAGACATCTGGAAACAGCTTCAATACGTAAACCGAAAAATTGTGGGGCATTTCTCTTGCTGTAAGTTACCAAAATATCTCATTTCTCCATGCTCGATTTCAGACAAATTTCATTGCCCATAAAGGTTAGAATGATATAAAGTAGTACATACTAGTATACTATTGAGTATTTAAGATATCAAGAACGCCCAGCAATTCAGCTATTTTGCGTACCCGAGGCAAAACCAAAATCTTCTATTTTAGGTTTCATCGATTTTCTGAATTGTTCATTTTTCCTGTGACAAAGACCATCTCAAAATGCAGCTCCTTCAGTCTCTTGCTTTCCTTGGAGCGATTTCCTCCGTGTCCGCTTTGACTATCTCTATCTACCCAGCAGAAAGCTGTGAGACAGCATTGATGTCATGGACGACTACCCTGACAGGCTGTGTCAACATTAAAATGGGGACTTCTGTGCACTCCATTGCGGTGACAGATATGACTGGCTACGAAGTTTGGACATATCCTACTGCCAATTGCGCTTTTGATCTGTATACAAATGTCGCGACCACCGCTGGTACATGTACGACCAACGGCGAAAACGAGGCTATCAAGTCGGTCAAGATTGTTGCCACTTAGAATTATTTTACCGGATGACTTAGCCAGTGAGTATTGTTAGCTTTCATTCCAATATTCTCCTCACTTTTCTTCGAGCAAACATCGAGTTTTAACATACATTCTCGAAAAAAACAGAAACATGGACCTTGGTCAGAGTTCTCCCCGGAAATTTGTTATTGGCTTTTATTTGTGTCTGTGGGACTCATGATGGGTAATCTTGTCAGAGACACCTCTCAGTACAAGCTTGGAATGTACCAAGCTAACAGTATAGAAGGGTGAAGAATTGGGGCTGTCTGCTACTTGCTACCATGATGGTCGATGTCTTCATCTTAGCAACACCTTTTGAAGTCACTATATGAAAGCCTCGATATTAGATTCCTCTTCTCAAGTGCTCCTTGTCCTCCGGTCTCCTCTCTTATTCAAGGTTTCTCGTTCCAATCTACACTCTTCAAGCTCCATATAAGTATAATTTGTAGTCGGGGTGAAGGACATCAAGCTTGTTCTTTAATTCCCCTGTACATGTATATAATATCTCAAGTGCTCATACACTTTTACATTTGGAATCCTACTTGAACGAGCGAGCTTGATAATATAGACAGATGTGCACTCGAGTTATCTTGTCTTTTTCTCACATGCACTTGAGCAATGGGAACCTTCTTTATCGGGGAAATCTTGGGAATATTTAGCGATGGGAGAACATGGACTACGAATAAAAGCGCGCATACGTACGAAGAATGCAGGCATGATCTTTTTTCAACTTGGAGTGAAACGGATTAAAAAGACAGAAACGCAATTTGAGAGTGACTAATGTTGGAGCAGATCTTAACTTCCTCAGAAGTCGGCTGACAGCCTTAAAAGTAGTCTCCAGCACCGCAAAGAGTTGTCTGTCTATCGCTCCAGACTATTATGGTTAGATAGACCATCGCTTACAATGGTTTTTTTATACCCGTAGTTGCCGGCCCGCGAACGAGGATCCACCTTTGAGGGCATCGAGCACACCACGTAAGCTTAAAGGGTAGGCTCCACAGCAAACTTGAGCTACAGGATCAAGCTAGGATCAAACTACCAATCTGTACGGAGTACTCCATACACTGCCTGGCAACGAAATTTGAGAAAACTCAAGCTGGTTGTAGTGCTAGTGTAATATAGTGTAATATAGTATTATATACTGTATTTCACATAATTTTGAGCTTATTGTCCAGATGAGGAATTGAGGTACTGGCTAGTACTCAAACCTATCCTAAAAGGTCATAGCGGTAATTGACCGCTTCCTAGGTTTGACAGATTCTTTAGGAAGATCGAAGGAATGCCATACTATCGCTTCCCATAGCTTCATTTTTCAGGGGAGAAATTTTTCAGACTTGTGAAGTTCGGCTTTGATCGGGTCGTCAATTTTGTGTAGTGTGGCTTACGTGAAGTGGCTTGGTTAGTGGGGTTTTTTGGATTGCCGCCTAATGCTTGTATAGCTGAGCTAGCGTCGGTGCTGGCTGAATATAACTGATCTCGAGTACTGGAATTTTCCTGCTACGGAATTGATTTTTTTTTTTTGATCAATGAGAAAGCCTCTTAATAGGCACAATCAAGGGAATACCTGACTGAAAATTTGAAAAAGAAACTCATCAATGAAATGTAGAAGACTTGACGGAGAAAAACCGACTCGGAGATATCCGGACCCACTCAGAGCCAAACCGGAAAAGGAATACTCTCAACACTAACAAGATAGCGTACACACTACAGTCTTAGCCTCTCCTACAATTCAGCTAAGCTTTTCTATGTCGTCTTAAACATTTATTTTCTTCACTATCGACTCTCACTGGCACAATACCCATCACTGTTGACTATGATCCCCGGCCTTTCTTCTTGAGATTTCACCATAATTTTGTGTATCTCGGCTTTACTCCAACTTTTGCCATGCGTTTCAACTCGTGGGCAACAGTCTGCCTTGGAGGTACAATCGTATCGTCGATTCCCCTCTCTATTTCTCATGAGACCTACCTTCCCTACTTCCCTTCTGTTGACCATGAAAGCGTCGCAAAATCATATCTGGTAAGAAATATCTACCGACTTACAAATCCAGCTAGCTCTAACAATAATGCAGTATCTAGATTGGGCAGTAGACAACGGCTCGCTGTTTGCGAACAATGACCGTATCTTCCCGCCATCAATACCAATGCAGCTATATGTGCCCCGACAGAAAGACACAACACAGACACCTTCTACTGACGATATCATTGGGCTCTTTTACGCCCTTGAAGTCCGTCCGCTACCAGAGAGACCTGATTCAACCCCGACTTTTATCAGAATTCGCGTGAATCTATTAGACTCCCAAGGTGCATCCGTCACTGACGAAATTGTTGTTGTGGATCTTCTTCGTCAACATGATGGCTCAACTATCATCTCGCAAATCCGTTTGGATTCAATTCAAAGGCATGGTGACGACGGCTACAACTCTGTCGAGCCGTGCTATATGAACCTCTGGTCAAAACTTTTCTCAAAAGACAAGAATCTTTGCTCGGGTGAAAGTTTGCAACCGGCCATCAACATAGCCAACAATGGTAACAACCCAAACTATCCTCAATCTGCTTATGAGACAGTCATTGGTCCTTCTGATTCTCCGCATGCACTTGGATTTCTCCCTTCTTTGTCATCGCCCATATATAGCGGTCATCCAGATTGCAGCTTCACGCGATTGATGCAACCCTTTATTCTCCAGGTCTTTCTGGGTGCCATGCTTGGTCTGATCTTCTGGCTATCTGGATTTGCACTTGTTAGCTTTTTATGTCTCTTTACGCGTGTCTTGGCTATCGCAAGAAAGAAGGTAGTTGGGTACAAATTGGGGTTGTCGAGGATGCAATCAGCTCCCAAAAGGGGTAAAATCCTGCCTCAAACATCTGAAGTCAGTATATTCAAAGTTGACACAACGAGTGCATGATACGCTCCTGGCAAAGAAGAACACCCTTGTACAATATTCAGAAAAAAGCATATAATAAAAAGGTTACAGATAAATGCTCTACACTAAATGACAGATCGCTAAGACTTGGCAATCCATTTGCTGCCTAGTTGATAAGGCATAAAGAGTATTGACAAAACTGAAAGGTCGAACTTCGTTAAGTGCTTGTCATTGGGTATGTCATAATCATAATGCTTGTCCTTCTTGTAGCTGAACGAGTGAGGCTATCTAACATTGAAGGGACTCGTGCACAAGACCTGCATCAATCCTTTCAATCCTACGGTCTACCAGTTAACCCTTAGTAGGTATAATTTGTAATATGTTTGATATAATCTATGAGTACTACTAATATAAAACTTCTACCCTTAAATATTTAGTTTCTAGCTAATCATTAGTATATTTTTCCTTTTTTTTTTAGTTACCCATGCGGCATCATAGTGTCCGATTCCCCATATGCGATCTCCGCAACGGATCGAAGTGGTTTGATCATCTTGATCATCCTCCAACAGATCTATCTCGACAACGCACTTTTCCACCCCCATCCGTCTCTTCATCTGTCCAATGCCACAATCACCGCTGCTGTTCTCATTCACTCCAGTATCATGATTTCCACTTGTGGTCGCATTTATCACAGGCTGGGGGCAGGGTGTCAAGAACAGCTATGGCGAGAACTTATTTTCCTTCCGACTGGAAAAAGTGTTGGAGATTGTGAACCATGTGATGTATCATGTCACATGGTCTGCTCCTAGATGCTCCAGCGCGTGGGTCGGTTTTGTGCGAGAGGGCTAGGGTTGGTAGTTTAGGGAAGTGAGAGCTTATCTCTCTCATTCCTTCCTTCTTCCTTTTCCCCTCTCCATCCCGCTCAGTAGAAAGAATTCCATCATAGTTGTTTCTCCTTCTTTCTCTCCCTCATTACCATTCGTTTCTCCCAGATCCTTGTGGATCTGACAAAAAGTGAATCAACCAACCACTCTTGAGTATACGCGACTAATACAAGAAGCACAGGGGAAGACAATGATGTTCATGCCGATGTGCTTGAGCCGGAACGTGGATCTCAAGACCGTCAGCACTCGCGCCAGTTGATTATCCACCACACGCAGGAGTGGATCTTGGAAGAAGAGTATGAAATGCAGCCGATGAAAGACGTACTTTGAGTTTTTCGATTATAGCGATTGAATGGTTTGTAATACATGTATACTAATAGACACAAACTGTATAGAACAAAAAATCAGAAGCAGTACATACTATACTGCGTACAATCTCTATGCTACTTACTACTCACTACTTAGCCACGGGGTCTCGAATCATCGAGAGCGCTCCCTCGGGGCTAACCTCCTTACCCACTCGATTTTCAAACCCAAACTTCCTGTAAAGCAGAGCAGCATCAATATGCGCATCCAAATAAACAGGAACACCCTCCCGATCCGCAAGATCACACCCCCACCCAACCAGCATCGAAGCCGCGCCCCGTCTCCTATACGCAGGATGTACAACCAGCATATCCAAATCTGCAGAAGCATGCATCAGCACGGACACTAGTCCCAATCTCTCTTCTCACGGCACCCTTCCAGGGCTCCGTGGAAAAAAGAAAAGAAAAGAAAAACACATACAGTAAAACCTCCGATCTCCAAAAAACACCTTCCTCTCCTCCTCCAGCCCTGCAAACACCAATTCACAAGTCTTACGATCCGACTCCACATGCCAGGCGGGAAAACGCTCGCCACTGTGCTGTGGGTCTAGGTCCCATTTAGCGTATGCAACCACGGCATCGGGCACAGCGGGATCGACAATTTTGAGGTATTTTCGATGCGGGTTGTGGAGAAGATCGTGACCGTTCGCTTCGTTCCACCAGGCTCGGACACCTGGTGTGTTGGGGAACATGAGGAGGTTGATGGGGATGCTAAAGGATGCATACCATAGTTCTGAGAGCGATGGGATGTCTTCCTGTGTGACGGGTTGGAGGATGAGAGGGGCCATGGTGGACTTTGACTTGCAGTGACTGAACTATAGACTGGCTTGGAAGCTGGCTTGGGATTATGATTACAGAATTCGGAGGAATATTGGATTTGGATTTTTCTGGACGAGTTGGCCTTTTCAGTCTTGGATCTTGTGTCCGGTGACTCGTGAGGCTAGATTTCGGGGTTGGGAACCCCTGCGGATGCGCTACTCTCCTTCCGGCTAAGGGAGGCACTTTAGCGGTAGGGAGACTTAAGCTTGGCTCCCATGCTAGCATACTGTACTAGCTATGGCGGCCGATAGAGGCCACCCCTAGGTCATATCCCAATTTCAGATTCTAACTTCACCGCCCTGTTTCCCGCCTGTATTGTATTTATCATATATCAATAGGAATATCTTAAGGGATTTGATCTAAATACGGGTCACTTTTAGAATAGACTTGAGAATAGACTTGAGAGTAGTCTTGAGAGTAGTCTTGAAAAGGGACTTAAGGAATGGATTATATGACTAGGATCTCAGCCTCTCTTCCTTGCCAGTTGTTGTGATAATTTACCTCGAGAAAGAGAAGTAATACCATATAGCATTAGAGTTCAAGGATTTAATGGAGTTCAAAAACTAATATGAATTTGGAATTACTCGTAATTTACTTTCTGCCGGTCGGAAAGTTGAAATTGGGATTTGACCTAGGGGTGGCCTCTATCGGCCGCCGCAGTACTAGCATACTAGCCCATTTACAAAGGACGGAGTTCGTGTTTCGAGTTCATTAGGGTGATTTGCTTCTTTAAAAAAAAAGTTTCCATTGTTTTTTTTTTCTTCCAATTCGCAATGCAAGGCTGGGGGAATCTGATAAGAGACTAACCGAAGTTCCTGTCAATGGCTTTTCATAGGCCCTTACTTTACATAGGCCCAAAGTGAGATATGAAGGGAAAGAATGAAAAAGGGTGGCAGACAACAAAAAAAAAGGAAAACATAAAAAGAAGAAAAGAAAGAAAGAGAAACATAAATAAAGAAAATAAAGATAAAAATGCAAGATGACTACTGATCATGAATACCCCAAAACCGCTCCGCATTAAACGTATACCGATTATCGTCTTTCCAAAGATCATCAAAAGCCGTAAAAAGAACCAAATCATCCCCCCGGTGCGCAAAACTGCGCCGCAAGCTTTCGACAGCGACACGCTGGTTCTCCGGGGAAGGAGTAGCATCGCCATTGGCTTGACCAGCGTGGGGCCACCCCGATTCCGTGATAATAGTATGCTTGCCGCCAGCGGCAGCCGAAACAGCATGCATCTGCTCAAGAGCATAGGGTCCAGCATTGTGCGGCTGCTGGGTCGCATCAAAAAAGGCATGGCAGTTCGCCGCACAATAATCTGATGCGTGGCAGAGTTCGGGGTGTTTGAGGAGGACGGAAAAGGTATCAACCGTCACGACAGGACCATTGTACCCCTGTGCGCGGAGAAAAGTACGAGCTTGCGTAATGGCGCCGGAGACTTCAGCCGGGGTACTTCGGCCACCGTTTACGAGCTCGTTCCCCACGGCTATGGTGTGGAAGACAGACCAATCTTGTGTACCGTCTTCTTTAGTTGCTGCGTCTTTGAAGGCGTTGAGACTTGTGGGGAAGTCGGTCAGGTCGTATATGCCGGCGAATACTTGCATGTTGTGGAGTCGGGCGGCACGAGCTACAAGGGTAGTTTGGTCACAGTCTGTTCCGTATATGCGAACAAATTTGTACTGCGTCAAGATGTCCAGGTCCTTGTTGATTTGGGCTTGGGTCTTGCAGCTTCTGTCGGCGTTGTATGGGGTGTAGGAGATACCGAATTGACGATTGGGATCTGAGTTGAGTTTAGGGTGCTGAGCTGGCTCGGGTTGCTGAGGTTTGGCGGGTTTAGGTTGTTCGGGCCGCTGGGGTGGCTCATGGTGAGGCAGCTCGGGGTGAGCTGGTTCAGGTTTTTGGGGTGATTCGAGATGAGGCGGTGCAGGGTGCTGTGGTTCATGATTCGGATGGCTATTGTCATTCGTAGGCGGCTTGTTTTGTATTCTCTCGTTTGGAGCGGCGTTGCTCGTAGTAGTCATACCATCTTGTGGTTTCGTCTGTGTAATTGGCAAATCAGGGCTCGGGGTTGTTGCTGGCAATTGAGCTGACAGAGTCCCAGGAGGCTGCAAAATCTCAAAATAAGCCTTCATCCATACATGCTTGGTTAGCCACATCACTCACATTGGCTTGAGAAGCAGAGGTCGCAGCAAGAACAAGCCTTGTTTTGGTGTGAAGCGGTTCTCCATTTTCATCAACCACAACAACTACCTCCGAAACAGTCTGAGCTTGAGATGTATTATGAAGTGCGCCCTGACACTGGTTTGAGTCTACCCAGCGGTTAGTACAAAGTGGTCACCATGCCCCAATCTCTCTATAAGTGAGGCTCTCTCTCTCTCTCTCTCTCTCTCTCACCCTGCGACGCAGCATGTACAGCAGATGTACAGGCCATCGATAGCGCAAATAGCGCCCGTGTAAAGTGCTTCATTTTGCACTATTGACTCTCTGGGTCGGGACTGCCGAGCCCTTAATTCGAACCTGGGGTTAGTAGATCACAGGCATAACAATGGGATTGGCCCCAAAATCTTCTCCACGCGAACAGGGGAAGAAGGGATTGGTGCAGATCAAGTGGGTTATATTCATCATCGTGGAGGTAAAACTCCGAACAAAATGATAGCAGGGTACGTAAACAAAACAGGTATGCCGGGATAGTTATCCAATGTGGGGTGACATGTGGAATGAGATCAGGGCCAAGGTCTTGAACTGGCAGCCCTTCCTACAAGGGAGGGACTGTGGGAAGCCAGGGCCTGGCTAGGGTGTCCGTCAAGACCATTTTGGAAGGAATGACCTTGATTTTCCGAATGGCCGAGATCTGGTGGCTTGGGCCGAGGAATGCCCCTGGCAACTTTTCAGTTCGATGGAATGCTGGACTCATTCCGCCTGGTCACCTGGAGACTAGTGTTGGATCCGTTCGTAGGTAACATTGAGAGGAGACACATTTAAGTTGTCTGAGGGTGCCTTTTTTCGGCTCACAAGGAGGGCTTCCTCCCTGGATAAGGGATCGGACTGCAATAGCAGGGGCTTGGAATCTGACGTCCGGGGCAAATCAGAAATTGTGCACGGAACCTTATGAGATAAAGATCTAAATCTCAATTGTAGGAGTCTCTCGAGGGCTCTTTGCCAACATTGAAAGCCACTGTCAAGCGCAATTATAGCAAACGCCAGGGGACATGAAAGTATTCTGTGTAAGAATGCAGCGCAGCGCTAGGCTGCAGCCGTGGAAGAAAATAGTATTAAACAATCTAAAGCCATGCACCGGTAAACTATGATACTACGCCATTGGAAAGAAGAATAACAAGGGTGTGGGGGGCAGTGCTATACAAGGTAGCGATAGCAAGATGCATATGAACAAACAACTTAACAATACAGAGAAGAAAGGAAGGCATTAGGGCGTATGATGTAAAAGGGAGAACCAGGGGATGCCAGAAGTCGTTGGAGGCATGAGCGGTCATTGACGGTGGCGAGAGCCATCTTTTCAAGAGGATAAGCAGGAAAAAGGAAATTTATTTCTTTTTGCTCATCACCTTTGTGATGGCATGCCGGACAATGGTGCCAGCCTTTTCGATCTCCTTCTTGGTGAGGCCAGTGGTGACACAAACCTTCAGCGCAGCAGGGACAATTTGCTTTGGCTCAAAGTTGTCCTCGAGAGTCTTGAGACGGGTGATAAGAACACTGTTGGCGAGGCACTGTAGACAGATAAATTAGTTTCTGGGTACATGGCGAATGTATAGCTTGTTTGTTTCACGTACCTCATCAACAACATCTTGGAGCAAGAACTGCTGGTCTTCATAAGAAAGCTTCTTAGAAGCCACAACCTCGGGCTTGATAACCAAAATGAGAACGGGGTTTTCGGGAGAGCTGGAGCAGTATACCCAGTCACTCCGGGGGTCTAGTTGAGCCCGCATTGTTTTAGTCTGCTCGCGCAGCTGCAATACTGTCTCTGGGTTGTTTTGAAGGAGATTGATAGTCTCGCTGGCAGTGGTAGAGAGAAGAGCCGGAAGAGCCGCAGAGAAAGTGTACGCTGAAGCAGAAATACGCTGGTGGTGGACAATCTCCTCTGATCCAGCACAGAAGCCTCCACCTCCTACGAGGCAACCAGCCAACGAACCCACAATCATGTCAACCTCTGCGGCATCGACATTCTGGTGCTCAGTCACACCACGACCAGTGCGGCCCAAAACTCCGAAAGACCATGTCTCGTCCAAGATCAGGCGGAACTTGTACTTGAGCCTGAGCTCAATCTGCAATGCAATATTAGCGGGATGAATTCGCCAGTTCTCCAAATGCTTCATCACTTACAATCTTGGGCAGATTCACAATGTCACCGTAAGATTCGAACATGCCCTCGGTGATGATGAATCGTCGAGTCAACGGCTTGCGCGCCTGCTCCTTGGTGATTTTGGCGAGAACTCGCTCCAGGTCCTCCATATCATTGTGTTCATACCACCGGACGGTGCTCCGGGAGATCTGGATACCCTTCCGGATAGCAAAGCTCACACCTCTGTCGGCCACGATAATGTCACCACGCTTAGAGAAGGCAGGGATCACACTGGAAATGGTCGAAAACGCTTGGGAGTACATGATACAGGCAGCGGTGCCAAGGAATGACGCGATATCGGCCTCGGTCTTCAGGTGAACGTCTTGAGTGCCGTAGAAACCGCGAGGACCACATGGACCGACACCGTAGTTTCGAAGGGTCTGGATCGCCTTCTCTTTGAGAGTCTCGTTGGTGTTGAAGTTGTAGAAGTTATAAGAGCTGAGATTAGTAACGGTGCGACCGTTGGCGAGTTTAGACTTGGGGCCGACAGGACTAGAGATACCCAAAATAGGTATTCGTTAGCACAAGTTCAAAGATATGAGGGTTAAGAGTCCCATCTGGGCATAAAACCAGGGACTTACCCCACAATCACAGTCCGTCTGGCAACTTCCATCTCCTCCAAAGGTGTGGGCTCTCCGACCAGTGGCTCAGGGGTCCACTCGTCCACCAGGTCATCGATCTCGTCCTCCGTGAGTGGTACTACACCGGGCTTTGTCGAGTACTTGGGAGCCAAGAGATACCGCACAGCAAACAAAAAGAGAAACAATTCCACCGCGGAGCGAATTGGATCATCTTGGTAGCTTGACTTGACGTAACGAAGGAAGATAGCGGACCCGGGTATTTGGTGGAAAAGGGTCGCGAGTTCGTGCAGGTACTCCGACAGGAGACGCTGCGTCTCCGCGAGATCCATTTTGAGGGTCTGGTAAACACTTGCGTCGGTACTAGCAACACCAGCCAAGTCGGTTCCAGAGAAAAAGGAGAGAATTAGTTGCGGCAAGCGACAATGGATTCAGGAACATGGAGAATGCGTACGGGGGGCGGCCCGGCTGGATCGGGTATTGTCACGTGACTAGCACACGGCGACGACTTGAGAACCAAAGTAATTACCAGAAAGGTCATTTCGTACGGGACTCAAGGTTTAGACTAGACATGTGGATAGATGAATGAATTTTTGATTAAATGAAGCAATGCAGATTGTATTCCGTTATGTTTATGGAGAAAGAAAAGGAGAAAATGAAAGCAATGAAAGCGGAAAAGAATGAAAGGTAAACCCCCCAGGACAATGAGAGAACCACTCAAGATACAAGAGTCATTCTACAGGAGCCATTAAGATCAACAAGTACGCCAGTGGTTTAGAAAGAATGCAGCGCATCGCAAAAAAAGGAGAAAAATGGGAAAGAAGACAAAACTTTGTACAGGCCATTTTCATACAAGATGGGGCCAACACCCCTCAAATCAACTTCCGCAAGTAGGTAGCATCGGTACCAGTGGTAGCGGGTGTAACACCAGTAGAGGCAGTGTAGCCTTCTGGCAAATTACTGCCAGTATAGTAGGAAACGGTGTCGTTAAGTCCCTTGTCCATGGGCTGCAGAAGATACATCATCGGGCTGTTTTTACCGTTGACACCGATTTGTCCCCAGAGAGTGTCGAGGAAGCTCTTGGAGATATGCTCCATGTTGTGGAGAAGAATCGGGGCCACAAGGAGGACAATAAAGAGAATAAGCATGGCGAAGTAGAGAATTGCGAAACGAACCACGCGTCTCTTGCGGAGCTTAGACTGCTTCAGGGAGTAAATAGGAGGACGGATTTGACGGCTGTGAAGGTTAGTAAATGCTTTGTTTTTATTAGAATGAGAGAAATCGACATACCTGGGGCGCAGCCAGAAGAGAGTGACGGAGTGGAACTTGTCCGCGTATGGAATGGCAAGAACCGGTAGCATGAAGAACAGGATGATGTGACCGAGAACAAAGTCCGCGGCGAAGTAACCCAGCTCGGTGATCTTACACAAGAACTCACGTCCGGGTTGAGACATAGAGTGCCAACCCATGTTGTACCATTTACCAGTCCACCAGGCGATGTTGGATTGATCGTGCTTGAACTCACGAGTCAGGCAGAGTGAAATGATCAACTTGTAGATGAAGCGCTGGATGGCCATCATGGCGACAAGGCCAGACATGGTTCTGGCCCAGTTGAAAGATTCCAAGACGAACAAGACCTCAAAGAAGACAATGAGGATAATGACAGCGATTGCGTGGGCAATACCAGCGAGAACAGAACCGAACTTCTTGCAGCACATGCTGAAGAGGGGGCCCATACAGCAAGCCATGCCGAAGAACATACCAGCGACACCGGCGTTGATAGCGACAGGGGCCAGAGCACAGAGAACGATGCGCAGAATGGCGTTGGGCGCATAGGCGGTGCTGTTGCTGTACATGGTTCGCGAGTTGATGAACAAGTAAGGGATCAAAGTCACAGCGACAACGACAAGCGGAGCAATGATCTCGCTGAAGAAAATGTTGGTAAAGCGGGCTCGGGGGATGTCGCCAGAGTTCTTCTCGGATGGAACACCAAGCACCTTGCGCTTGTAACCAGTGAGACGGGTACGCGAAAGACGACAGAAACCAATCCAGGAAGAAGCGTGCGATCTGGAGTTACCACGCGAGAGCCAGCGGAGATAATCGCGGTAGTCGATGAAGAAATCGTTCCACGCAAATTGGTGAGGGTTGAAGATGAAGGGCGAGATGATCAACGCCAGCAGTGATACCCAGAACCAAAGCAGGGCTGGGGTCCAGACAGACGAAGTAGAGAAGAGCAACATCATCAACAGGCGAGCACCGGCATAGATTGACGGACCAGCGAATCGCGAGTACAGAACACCGAAAGGAATACGGGCTGTAGCGAAACCACGACCAGTACCGATGTAACGGGCACCACCGAACGACAAATTCTGGTGAACGGCCTGAGCATAGATCTGACAAACGAAGACTTCGAACATGAATGACATGGATCCGAAGTGCTTGGCCAGACGAGTAGCCATGCGCCAGACACCACGTTCAGTCAATTCTTGGACAGCAAGCGGAACCAAGGAGATGAAGAACACGATGAAAATGGAGATAACACAACGGTTAACCCAGTTGACAATGGGGTGGAGATCAGCACAGTAGGTAGGCAAGAGAGGGTCGGTGACAGGGAGGTTGGAGTTGTAACGGCAGATGATGGTTTCGTGCTTGAGAGCACCCAAGTTGATCAACACAATCATGAACATCTGGACAGACAACATGATGAACATGTTGTTGATATGGAAACCAGGGTGAGCGTAGTAGAACGAAAGGAAGCGATCCAAAGGAAGCTGGGTTCCGAGGTAGTAGTACTCTCGAGACAACATCTGTTCACCCATACCTGTTCCAATCTTTGTAGTGAAGTTCAGAACGGAACCGAAACCCAAATCACGACCCTTACCACACTGGTAGTACTCGCAATGCTTGATACGTCCACCACGCAGGAGAGCGGTCATACCAGCATAAATATCCTCGTTCAAGTGAAGACCCTTCTGAGCCTTGGACACACCACCACGAGTTGTCATGAAAGTAGCATTGAGGAAATCAGGATGACCATAGTGGAGCTTACCACCGATCTGGGCCAATGTTCGTGCGAACAGAGTACCGAATGTCTGTTCCTTGGAAGCAGCAATATCACCAAGTACACCAATATTCTCGGAGAAAATGTATTCACGGGCTCCAAGAATGGCAACAGGGGTGGTCTCCGGGGAGGCAATACCAGGTGTGTAAGGGGAAACGTTGTCAGTGGTCAACTCCTCAAACTCGGCCAAAACACTGCGAATCTTTAGACATTCTTCCAGGTAGTTGTCCTGGTTGGCGTCAATCAACTGGATGTATTCACCACGGTAGAAGATGATGGCGTGGTTCTGATTGTCGGACTTTCCGTCACCAAGAATCGGGTTACCGGAGAGTTGAATTCTGAACTTGGGCTTGCGCATTCCGTTCTCAAGGATTTCACAGTGACCATCAATCAAGGCAGAGTACAGACGAGGCTCCTCTTCCTCGGTGGCTGGGGGCTCCTCATCAAGGTAGGCAATCTGGAGATCGGGGTAGGCACGCAGAAGGAACTCGGTGTTTTCGCGCTCGTCCTTGGTCATCTTGGCGTAACGCTGCATGGAAACACAGATACGGAACTTGCGACGAGCCATGCGCTCCAGCTCACGTTCCAGCTTCTCCGAGTTACCACCGAACATCTGAACAACTTCAGGGTTCTCAACGCGGTAAAGCAGCTTGATGGCACGGCTGTAGTTCATGAAACCAGAGACAGTTCTGTAGAGGGTCTGGGAACGCAGGGAAGCCCAGATACGGGTTCGGAGGGTGTACTCGGGAGCAGCAGATTTGAAACCAATGCAGTAGAAGGGCAGATCATCAATCTTGCTCTTCTGAGCATCCTTCTCGCCCTTCTCGTTAACATCACCGTTGAATTGCGAGGTCTCGTCAGCCAAAATCTTAGTGTCCTTGACGAAGCAGTCCCACTCGTGCGGGTGCAGTTGCTTGAGATATTCCAGGAGGGTCACACGTGAGTAAGGCTCGTCCTCACGAATAATTTCACGCAGAGAGAGCAGAATCTTTTCACTGTAGTGAGGGATAAGAACACTGAAAGTGGGCATGTTATCAACGGGCAAAGGCTCGGGCATGGGTGTCGACAAAGACTGGGCAAAGAAGGAGATACGGCGCTCAGCCTCACTACCAGCCGGGAAGAATTCGGTCTTGAAGGACTGATCCTCTTGGGAGACGAAGAAGGTGGGGGCACGGAGGGTGCGCTTGCCTTCTTGCTCGGATGGGACCTGGTGGTAGAGGAGCTTCTGGACGTGGTCGATGGCCAAGAGATGTTCCCGGTACATGGAAATGATAATAGCATTCCACACTTGCGAAATCAGGACCTTGGGCTTGTACTTGATCTCCATGTCTGTGGTTGCGAGGACCTTGGAATAGATACGCTTAGGCAGACGGGAGAAGATGTTTCGCCAAGGCGACCAGATGGAGACACCAAGGTAGAATGACCGGGCCACGGAGAAGATGGTGTTACAAATAATGTACCACAGGTAACTATCCAGGAAGAAAAGGGTCAAGTCCATGAAGAACATGAGACCCAGCAGGATCTGGGGTTGCTTGTGACACAGAACGTTGCCAACCCAGTAGACACCAGTGCACTCCCAGATGGTCATAGGGGAGAGAATACGAATAGGGTCCTTGAGCGAAAGAGTCAAGAAGAAGTAAGACTCGGCCAGCTTAGCACCAAAAACGCAAACCCACAGGCCATAGGACATCCACATGTCATTGCCGTAGAGACGGGGGAAACTAGCCGTGAATGTCTGACTGGCCACGTACTTGCGACCTGTCTTCTTCATGTAACTTCCGAACAGACCGCCCAAGGGCTGAATGGCGAAGAAGGCGGCGGTTATAACAGCCAAGACGAAGGAGACAATTCCAAGAATCGTACCGATAGTGCTCCGGGAGCTCTCCGGGAAATAACTGAGGAACCAGAAAATGATGACAGGGAAAACGAGGTTCACAATAAACACGATAATCAGCAACCAGAAACGCTTGTTCAGATGCTGGGCTCCGGCCCATTGACGGGGGACGTAAATCCACTCGCAAATGGTAGCAAAGATCTGAATGAAGGCCGCGAGTGCTCCACCAAAGCCGACCGCGCCTAGGTACTTGGCGGTGCTGGGTTTGTTGTTCGCTTGTTGGGTATAGTGGTCGGTGTAGAGAGTAGGGGCGTTGTATGCAGTGAAAAACCAGAAGGCACACAAGTGAATCACCCAAATGCGGTTGAAGTTGGTCACCATGTGGAACCAGGAACGAGTTTCCTTGTAGGTCTTGAAGAACGCCTTATTCCATACAACGTCCTTCAACTTGGGCCAGCGCTCGCCGGGGGGGCAATCGACCAAACGGGTCTTGTCCTCAAATCCAATACGCTCAATGCCCTCGGGGTACCAGAAAAGCTGGTTCATGTCATCGTAACCAATGATCTCGTTGTGGTCACGCTCCCGACGCACATACTTGCCGTCCAGGATTTCGTATCCCTGGTCACGGCAGTACTGGTAAAGGGGCGTGATGATTTCGTTGAGGTAAGTGAACTCCTCAACGGGTTCCACACGAGCCTGGCACTCTGGGGAAGAGAAGTAGTCGTCGGCACACTTGAAAATGAAGCAAATGCACTCAGGCAAAAATCGAACCTGGTTAGCTTCACCCCACACGAGCAGATACAAAGCCACTTGACGGGCACGATCATGCTGAGACATGCGGTTCATGCGAGACTTCCAGCGGTATTCGGCCGCTTCCAAGCTGTTGTCGCCTTCCAGAGCCTCGAGGGTCTCCTCTTCATTCTCTGGGTTTTCTTTGGCGGCCTTTTGGGCGGCCTTGCGAGCCTTGCGGGTTTTGCGGTCGGCCTTTCCGAGCTTCATGTTGGCAAAACCAACAGAATCATCGAGATCCAGGTGAGCGGCAAAGTACCAACGGCGGTAATTGGCGTTGTGTCCACCGATGTAGTCGGCGTGCAAGGACAACAAGGCCTGATTCGGGGTCATACGAGAAGCACGCGAATCGAGGAGGGTCATCATATGGTCGTACATGTTACGCATGCTGTCTCTTTGGAAACCAAACTTGTTGACCAAATCAAGGAAAATGTCTTCCAACTCCTCCTTGGAAAGAGGAATCTGAGCATCGGAAGTCCAGGCCGGATATGGCTCCCGCGAACGCTGGCCAGCCGGCAACGCGTTTCCGTATTCCATGCCATAGACGGGTGTAGACGCACCGGACGATCGGTTTCCACCGTAGGAAACCTGCGATGAAGGAGGTCGGTAGCCACCATATCCACCACGACCGTATTGACTGTCCGCGTAACTGTTGTAACGCTCGTCACCACGACCATAGTAATCCATATCCGCTGCACGGGCAGTTTCCGATCTCATGGTGAAGTCGCTGAAGGTCTCGGAATCTTCCTCGGAATCGCCACGACGGCCGCGGGCCTGACCCTGCTCTTGACCCTGATCATAATATTGTTGATCTCCGTAATATTCCTCCTGTTGACCTTCGTAATATCCGCCCTGGGCAGCTGGCGAAGCAGCGTGGCCGCCATCGGCATATCCCTGCGGGTGCTCGCCCTCGTAGTATTCCCTGTAATCACGGTCAGTCATTCTCGTTCCTTTTTGAAATGAAAGAGGGAAACGGATTTCCCTCTGGAACGGGGATGCATACCCTCCTCTATCGTAGTATCCATCACCATATGTTTGGTTGTCGTAGTAGCCCTGGGCATGCTCTTGTTCATGTCCATGCTCGTCCTGATAATAGGCGTCGCCATGACCTGCCTGGGCGTAGCCATCATCATAATGGCCGCCCGCTTCGTAGCCAGACATGACGGAAGGGGTCGTAATCGATCGCTTTTTTTTGTATAGCTCTATACAAGACTCAAATCAGCCCAGGGTCCTTCGTGGCAATGGGCAACAAAGCCAATTGTCTCGACGCCATCTTACCTCAACGATGACCCATGCACAGTATTGCTTTTATTGATAAACGGTACTTCGATTTTATTGCGGCATCGACACGGAACGAATGGCGCAAACGTAAAAGGCGTTGAGTGAAAGGAATGCCGAACGGGTTCGAGGTGAACCGAATGTCAAATTCGGGGTTGATGATAACGAATGGACTGTGAGAAAGGCAAAATAGAATAACAAAAAAGGAAACAATGGGGAAGGAGCAAGACCTCCAACAAAAGAATTCCACAAAAAAAAAAAACTAAGCTCCAATCCTTCCTTCTGAACGAGTGTCACAAGGGAAGGTGTAGGTTGATGAGAACGAAAGGAAGGGGGGTTAGGGAAGGAAAGGAAAATATCCGGTGCTGTTATTTTTGGGATCTGGGCAAAGAGGGAATGAGTTGGAAGGCTAATTTACCGTCACGTACAGCACAGGTACACGTATGCTTATCCAGCAAGTACCCGGTACCTGCGTTCACTATGGTGTGTCCGCTAAACCCGGTTGTACCCACTACCACTCCACCCTATCATTGTTCATCTCAGGGGTTTTGCTTCTTTTCTTTTTTTTTTTTTTTTTTACAGAGAGGCTGGTCTGGTTCACGATACCGTTGTTGTCCAACGTCGTTACAGTACCCATCAAGTCGTGTATACAATTTATACACATCATACCATTGAAAGGTACAGAAACCCAGTAATCTCGAAAACCCCATCAGCTTTCTCCAATGAGAGTATCCCAACCTCTCACCCTCTATCCAATCACACTGTCTTGAAAGCAGCGGATTCCAAGGGAATTACGACGGCCCCTGAGACTGTGTCTCCACTCGTACCTTCACAGTATGTATTGTGGTAACAAATAATGTGGTCGCGGTGGGTATTTTTGTCGAGAATACCATTAATAACTGCGCCAACACGTCCATAAGAGGCTCTGATTTGCCTGTGCCTTGTTTATTGTTACCACCCGGCATGCAGGGATAGCGTTGCACGAGGGTTTTTGTTTTTCATTCCTGCCGTTTCCATGTCCCACTGGTATCACTCTAAACTTCATCATCTTGTAGACAGCAAAAAAAAAAGAAAAAAAAAGGAAAAGAAAAGAAAAGGGGAGGAAAAAGAAAATCAGTAACAAAGACTCGGAGCGCGTCCACTGAGGCAGTTCCATGGCTGACCAAGCGATAGAACCCACTTCCACACAAATATTCTTATCCGTAGTAAATTATTTACCCTTATTCCCCTCTTTTTTGCTTATGTTTAGAGTAAACTCGGTTCCTCTTTTTTTTTGAAAAGAAAAACTCCATTGATCGTCGTAATCGTTTTCCTTGAAATGATCGCTCTTCCACTGATTGGCTTTTCCTCTTTTACACGCTAGAAACTCAATTTGCTTCCATTCGCCACTCCGGTGCACACACGCGTCTGAGATTGTAAGAATTGCATGGTTTGACTTTTCCACCGTTGGCGCTATCCCATACACAGCACAATCTGGTCCTATTATAATCCCTGATACGTGCACATAAATAACCCCACTATGCCGGTAGTGGTTAACTAAAAAACCTGTTTCACCCGTATCAATGCTTTTTCGAGCTATCAGACCTTTTTGCTTCTATCAAGGCAGCTGATAATGATATATATAATTCAGCTGCGAGTAGTCGTAAGTGGTGTGTGTTGTCCATGTCGGTTAGAACTTTAGCGGCAGGATACTACAGGTACCGATAACCAAATCTGGGTAGTTATATATATATCATCTGTAAACATTTGACTAAAAGCATCCCACCACTCAACATTCAAACCAATCACCGACCGTGATGCTTGAAACTTCTTGCAATCATCCATGGATTGCTTCAATCAAAATCTTGGTTCGTCTACTCTTCGCTTCCCATTCCATCTGATTTCACATAAAATTCGATACCTGTAATTTGATGTTGACTTTGATTGTATGAAACACTGTACACGCTACTGGTAACGCCCGTATTCAAGCGTCGCAGGCGATCTCCACCGTTGGTTCCAGCCCTCTGCATCCTGTTCCACTTCAGGGCTGTTTCAAGTGGGTCGTGCAATGCTTTTATTCTCGGATTTGGAGCCTCGGGGTGGTCCTCCGGTCTAGCCGGACGGTCTGCATACGCAACTCTCTGGCGAATTCACTGCATTTTGGACATGTACTATCTGCGATCATCCCGATCATCTAGATGTCTCTTCCAAACACTGAGTTGCCTCTCAGATCAATCTCCCGTCATGTGCAGTGTACATGCACATGTGCGCACATGTCTTACTGAAACCTTGGAATACAGATTCGATTTTCAATGTTGCGACCGGCAGACACAACGCCTACTCGGAGCAGACTCGCGCGCACTTCCCGAGGTCCAAGGCTGGTGTGCAGGAACGATACATCCACTGCAAGAAGATGGAGCCCATCATCCACTTTCATCTCCAGCCTGATTATTACCAACTTCTGTCGCCCCCTGAATTACTGTAGCTTCGTACTTCTGGGGATTCCTCTAAAATGGATAAAAATCACCTTAGTATTTATGGAGTCCTCCGTTCCCCGGGCATCTTCCCCATTCTACATGACTATTTAATTTTTTGGGGGAGCCTGGTGGGCATCGGGGGTTCACAGAGCCAAAAATAACCTGTCCAGAAAATAATCAAAGGGTCTAGTCAGCGATCGCTCATCAGTGGACTAGCCTAGCGTTGCAAGTTTATTGTAATGACCCGCCTCCTTTTCCAATATCTGGCCACTTCCGATCCCCCTTGACCCCTTTTGGTCCAACTGTGGCTGATTTCCCATTTCTCGAACCTGCTCAACCCTTTTCTAATGATTCATCCGCTCCGGGTGGCTTGTCCGGCTGTCAAATGCCACTGCCGTCGAAGACGCTATTGTGTCATTGTTTTATTTCCCACGGGGGGCGTTGTTAGTCGTTCGTCAGGTTTTTCCACGGCGAACTCTGTACATGCATCCGAGCCCCTGAATCTGAATTTAGAATATATGGATTTTCCCTGCCATCCTGACTCGAATTCGCCACTGACATCTGATCAAAAACTCGAGCTGACGATTTTTTCCAACTTTTGTGCGCCGTACTTGTACATATATCCCGTATTTTACTCTGTATTTGATTGGGTAATCCAATCAGGGGGGGCTGTGTGCCCCATAAGCCGGACTCTCCACCTCCAGGGCTGGGGACTCTTCCCAGCACTCGAGCTGTGCACATTGTACTCCGTACCAGTTGACAATTACTTACATGTATAGATACTTCCTCCGTTGTGCGGAGTTCGAAGTGCATGGGCCTATGTACATACATAATCGCGCTTAAACCACATCACGAATCAGATGTCGTGAGAACTGACGTATCAGGCCGCCTCAGCTCACATTTCTTCAATGTTGGCCCCAGTCAACCAGTAATCACAGCTCATCTGGATGGAGTACATGATTACAGTATGCGGTGTTCGGATTTCATATTCCGTCAACGCCCATTCTCATGATACACCACCTGGGCACCCAGCCATCGCACCGTATGAATCTCTTCCATATTCTAGCTTTGTTCATCACACAGCAGCCTTGGAAGCCAACCACCGATGAGAAAATTCTATTATACATAATTTACACATGAATCAATCCCTGCATCTTATCCTGTATCGTGCGTCGTATACAGCATGTATGCCGATGAGCTTTTCCCGCCCAGCCTTTGACAATGAGACCCAGAATGTAAGGGAGGCTGATCTGCGTGGATGCATGGCAAGAGAATGGCCAGATCCATCGCGGAAGCTTGTCGATCCAGGGACCAGGCGCCCTTCCCGGAACGCATTTTCTGATAGGATCGGCAGGGTATCCATTCCACGGGGACCTGCATGGCTATCTGGTCCGGTATACTACTTCTGGTAAGCAGCTTGTCTGTCCAGCCTATTAGAGGTTGATGCTGCTTTGTTGAGAGATGATGTTTTGTGATCATTGATCTTTCCAGTTTTGAGCCACGTCCCGTCAATGTTTGGTACGTATATATGTCGATAGAGATATTATGCGTCTTTTTGTCCTCGATTGCCGGTTTGATGCGCAGGTCCTCGGTGAATAATGCACAGTTCCTTGGTCCCGGGGTCATGCCCGTGGGCTTGCTTAGATCACACTTAACTCGTAGCGAGGCTCCCAGGTTGGTCCTCTACCATACATAGCCAATCATATAACATAATGGAATCTCAAGCTCCTGTCCATACATGTACGGGTGGTCAGTTTCAAATCCATTCTCGGACGCTTGCGTAGTCAGTAACCCTACTTAGTACCTGGTATATTCATGGTTGTACTTAGGTAGTAACCTTCAATGGAAGAACACTTGCACATTCTGGATACATGAGTATACTCGCACGGTGTCGATTCATAGATTGAGACAATATACAAAAATTTGAATGTTTGAAATACGAATCTACGGTCATTTGTTGATTGCGGCTTTTTTTCACTGTTCCGAGGTTCATTCAAATGTTTAGATGTTGAGATGACACCCAAGGATGTCCCGACGGATGTGTTCAATATATGTCAACACCTAAGATTTAAACACTGTGTTCTGGACAAGTCAATATGCATGTGTGTTTGGACATGCGCCAACCTCCAGGGCTCCCTTTCTCAAGCGAAAAATCAAGATCAATCAATTCGAACCAAAAGAAAAAAACGATAATGTTTTCGTATTTCTCGCACTGCTACTTTACATACAGAGAAGTGGAAGACTGATAGATCAGTACCTACTATGTGTAAGTGGAATGGGTCGGAGTTCCAATGAGCTACCGCCTGGCCGAGGTTATAAAAACCAAATAATGACACAGGTTATTCTTCCTCCAAATAATTGACTTAGACCAGTCGACCTTATACCTCATTCGCCAAATGGTTGGAAAAGTTGACCCTCGGAAGACCATACGGTCCGCTAAATCAGCCCCACATAGTGAAAAGTCGCACACAGATGATGCCAATGGTTCATAGATCCATAAACTAAACTGCTTACATCAAGAACAGCCCGGGTGGTCTAGTGGTATGATTCGCGCTTAGGGCAGCAACTCCTAAGCACTCCTGCGCGAGGTCCCGTGTTCGATCCACGGCTCGGGCCTGTTATCTTTTTGATCTTTTTGCAATTTTATCTTTGCTCCCTAGTAATTAAATCATATTCGCTCTACAATAGCCGAGCCAATAAATAACCTGGCAGTCTCCAGTCCTCTTGCAGTATGTAGGTCATGCATGGTCGGTTTGTTGATGTGAGCGACGATGAGCTCAAATTGACTGATACATGTAGTTCAAGTCATTCTTTTCGCTCGTGCGACAAGAATTTTGGTTCTGCAGACTCTGAAGGCTGCCTTATACACTGCCACATAGAAACCAGGATATAGATTCCACGACACTGCATCCTTGTATCACAAAACCTGGACTACCCTGCGCGCCCAAGCCATACATTGTGGTGCCAAGTCCCAGAGAAACATTTCGAGGTTAGGAGCCTTCGCTACACAATAATATCGTACAGAAGAATTGGGTCCAATTTCCATGGTTTTGATACCTACGTATGCGCTCAATGGGATTTGGTTATATGCAAGCGCTCGAGTGCGGTTGTTTACTCCATATTTATGTACGTGACACCAGGTTAGAAAGTGGAGGCGTTAGTGCCACATGACTGACTTCGGGAGCTGTAGCACCGACCAACTATATACCTTGGTATCGCTAAGGTAATGGTGTCAAAATTGCCCAGGTGATATCGATGACAGCCAGAGTGTGCATGCTCGACCGGAATTCTGGAGACGCATTTCCCAAAGTTCTGCATGAAGGATAGCTCGTAAGAGCCGGAATAGTTGGCGGCACGAGTTCGTTGACTTGTTTCACAAAGAAAGTCGAAATAAAGTAGAAGAGCCACATTGTCTTAGATACATAAAGCTTATATGTAAAAAAGGCCACGCATGTGTAGTTGATAGTAAGAACTCAGATGTAAATATAATTAAACATCAAATACGTGGATACATATTACGTGAGTTGGAAAATGGCAAGTTATGGCAAAACCGAAAAGTAATTTATGTAGGATCACTGCTTGGTTGGAATCAAAGATCTGAATATTCATCAATTACATCATGAGTAGATAAAAGCCGGTTGTTATTTCAATATCAACTAGATAGCAGATCCGGGCTGATCAGCAGATAAACTGGGAGGGGTCAAATAAGCAGGGGAATCCCTTCAACTCTCAAGAGCGACTGGTGACCAACTTGTTGAATCTTCAAGGTTTACTTGAAAATAGTTCCCACAGGCTCCGATCGAATGATATACTTGTCGACTACTTAGAAACTTGGAGATGAATATCTCAACCCTTTGTTCTATCGTGGAAGAGAGGGGCTGACTCTCCCAAGCTGATTCACTTGTTGTTGGACTCTCTAAAAGTCACTCACAGAGTCAATGATAAGTTTTTGTCTTACACGGCGGACTCTGGTTGGGCTTCGACAATGGCATGGATATCTATTTACGGTCGACATTATCCCAAGAAGGGAAAGGTTTCAGACGGCCCAGGCTTGACTTATACATCGGTACTTGCTCACTGTTGAACCAAGCCCATGTCAAGTGAGAGGATATAAGAGTGGCTCCATTTTACCTAAAGCTCCCCATTGGAGATCAAATCCGGGGCAAAGAGCTTATAAAAACATACCTCCTTCGACCTTGAAAGCTCTATCAGAACCGCTTCAACAAAAAAAAGATGAAGTTCCTACTACTTCCACTTTGCACTCTTGCAGCCTCGGCCGCTGTATATGTCCGTGATGTCGAAGATGCTGACCGGGAGTACGTGGTCACCATCGCATTCGCCAATGAAAAAACCGGTTACAATTTTTTGGTAAACACTCCTGCCGATCATCGAGAGCACCATATTCATAGCCTCTTCCACGGTTTCCCCGTGGGTAGTTCAACAATGGCTACCTCAGCTCAACTGATTGGTACACTGACACCGGACACGGCCTGTGTGATCACGGATAATGGAATCGAACTTGCTGTTTTGGATACTAAGCACACCTTTGCTTGGATATCCGAAAAAGGTCACCATGATTCCCCGGTTGATGTGGACCGTTTGTCTATCAAGTGTTTGGCTTAAGAGGGTCGTGCAAGGGTGACCTTGGATGACGTTTCTGGTCTTGTCTGATACTGGAGGAAGTTCAAGACTTCAAAGCGTTCAGATAACCAGGGATGAATGGAGAGTTATCTAGGCATTATTCTACTTTTTGGATTGCTATTTATTTCAAATGTTCATCCCGAGGTCCTTTACTCTTTTCTTGTCATGCTTCTTTTATGTCTTCAGATGACGGTTCCTTATGTTGAACACGGGAACTGAAGAGTACGAGCTTGTGCGAATTAGCAAAATCAAAAATAATTGCAGTGTAACCTTGGAATTGATGGAATTTCCTCCTCTCTAAGAATGAACTCAAGTTAACGACCACCCGATGGCGAATGTTAAAACTCATTAGAGAAATATACCAAAAGCCAGAGCCTCTTTACATTGGCCAAATACAAATATTGCAGTACATACTATTGCCCAGTTTATCTTCTAGATAAGACATCTCGTTTTTTTATATTGCTTCTCAAGCAGAAAATGGCGCTAACCCCTATTTTCACATTTTAGTGCTAGACATTTAACGGCTTTTCTTGGCAGCTCAAAACGGGCATGAGGCCGTGGGCAAAGTACTTGAGTGTGGAGAGAGACCGAGCGTATAAACCATTAACCGAGCTTATGTATTCCTAACTAGTAGTAAGCAGAGCACGGCCCTGCGACTGGTCCTTAACTACATATAGATATTGCACACATAAACCGGGGCTTGCATCATTCCAATCATTTATTATTTCTGTTTGGCTACTTTCCCCTTTTGTACATATACCCGAAACTCAGTAAGGAAAGAGCCTTAGATACGACAGTCATGTAGAATACCAAGTCTCAAGAGTACAGAAGTGACGTATAATCATATATCCCAGGCCACTTAGAATGCCGAGGTATCGATCCACGAGAGAGTGGCGGGAACAGTCACTGTGCCATTGATAGGCAATCCCTCAGCTATGCGATTGTCAGTACGGATATCCTTAGGTGATATAATGGGGAATAAAATTACCTCCGCTAGTGGTCAAGTAGAGAATGTGCTCATCAGAAGGCAAACGGCCGAACTTGCCAGCAGAAACACCAGCCAGGATGGTCGAGATATTGCTACCGGCAATGACAGCAGCCTCGGACTGGTTAGGGTACAGAACGCTGAGCTCATCCATCTGGTTCTGGGCGATGAAGGCAACGCCATCACTCTTGAAGATGAAGTCGTCGGCCTTGGGGACATTGCTAGTAACGACCTGAGATGTGCCAGTGGCAGCACCCTGGCTGTTAACGCTGATACGGTTCAATGTGCCGACAGCGGTGTTGGACCAGTAAAGGTAACCGTTGTGCAGCTTGATACCGTTGACACCGATGTTGGTCGGCGGGTTGGCGATGGAGTCGAACTTCATCTTCTCATCGTTGACGGCAATCGAGTAAGCACCAGTGTTGGTGTTGACGCGGTACACCCAGCCGTTGTAAGCATCGGCGACAAGAATCAAGTCGTCCGACAGGGTAGTAAGTCCGTTCAAGAAATCAGAAGTGGTCACGTCAACCAGCTTGGAAACGGTGGCGTTGGAAAGAACCTGGCCGGTCTTTGCAGAGACGGCGAAAGTAGTCATATCAATTTCCCAGATACTGTTGACGCCGGAAGTGAGCACAAAGTCGTCATCAACAAAGCCCGAGGTGACAACATAGAAGATGTCGGTGTTCGTCTCGGAGATACCGAGACAGCCCATGTAAGTGGACGCATTCCAAGAAGCAACAGTGATGGGCGCCTTGACACCCGTCGGGTCGAGCTGCAGAACCTCGGGTGTGTCCAGACGCGAGAGAAGGATTTGACCATTGGCGCGAACCGCGAGGTTCTCGGCCCAAGTGCCATCGCCGAAGCTGTAGAGGGTGTTGACCTCGACAGCAGAGCTGGATCTGGTGACAGCGCGAGGAATAGAGTGCACACCGCCACGACCTGGAAGAGCAAAGGCGGTGCTCAAGAGGGAGCAGGCCGTTAAGGCCAAGGAAAGAAGAGGAGCCATTGATGACAGTTCGTGCGTCTGTGGAATGATTTTCTCAAGGCTTGTTTCACCAAGGGAAAGCAGTGGGACGCAATATATATGCCGGCATTATCCGTACTTTGTGGGCGAGATGCCATAAGTCGCTAGTGGGCTAGTCATTCTTCGGAGAAACTAAACTAGTCTGGCCAAATGGGCTCAGAGTGGGCTACTTTCGGATTCCTCGCAGGAGATTGAGAATAACAACGCATACGCCATATGTTGCATAGATAAAATAAATGAAATGATTGATTACATCCAGATGTGTACCACGGCAATTCCAGATTCAAACTATTAGTGAGATTGGAATAATATAATTTCAGGGGCAAGATTGGGGGGAAAATACCACTATATTTAACAGTTGCCCTGCAGCAAGATGAGGAATTCCTGCATGTCGCCATGGGCCTATAAGCTTTTAGTTTACTTCGCATTGTAGCCGATGTACGATGGGACCCACACACACGGCCTGGATTTCCCCAATCGTACCAAGTACCTAATCTGTATACGACCGACTCGAGTCTAACCCCGAAGGTATAGCCACGTTGACCATATGTCATATTAAGGGTGGGGGGGGGGGGGGGATTATTATGTCGGATGTTCTGCTGATTTGATAGACAGATATATCAATTCGAAATTTGCCTACTACCTAGTAGGGGATTTTTGTGGTCCAAATTTTGGAAAAAGCGAAGAGAAAAATGGGGGGAAAAAAGGAAACGTTTTCCATTGAAAAAGAGAAAAACCCCCATGACAACAGCCACATGTTATTTGACAGGATTTTACGGGCTTTCCGCAGGCCCCCGGGGCTAAATCTAGAAGCGTGATTGTTCTCTGTCCCGCGAAGTGGAGTCTAAGCGAGTTGCCGATGCGCCAATCAGTCATTGGTGGACATATTAGCATCTATATCTAATCCCCTTTCAGCACTTTTCTTCGTAAACAAGAATCACACTAATAGGCGCAGGATTTAGACTGGAAGGTAGCCCAATCGGCTTTTTTTCCTTTTCATTTCCCGGATGTTGTCTTTCGTTCATGGAGGGGCATGCCCCGGGGCCGCGCCAGTATGAAGGTGGCGTTTGTTTTTTTGCCTACTGCACGGAGAAGGCCTTGCTTGGATAAATTAGATTCCGAATGTCAGCCTCATAATAACAAGAGCCCTTTCTTTAAACGTGTGTGATTGCCATGTTCATTCCATTCCACTAGTCAATCTGGACTTTTGTGCGTCCCTTCCCAGACCATGCCCGACAGTGGGGATATCGGTATGCGAGATGAAGATACAAAATTTCAACCTTTTGCAGCACAAGACTGACCTCTTTTTTTGTTTTATTAAGGGGCGCCGGCCCTTGGGGTATGCTGGGGACTCTCCACCGTCGCTTTGACAGTAACGATCGCCAGACTCTATACCCAGTCGCGGATCACCCGTCAGCTTGGACTGAGTGATGCCCTGTTGGCAGTATCCACTGTAAGTGCTTGGAGGCCCGTTCCCAACCCCATTTGCGGACTTAGTTGACTGACCGACCAGTGCATCGTTCTCACCTTTGCATCTATCATCACCGTACAATACCACTATGGGTGGGGTCGACACCAGAGCACGCTCACTACCCACCAGCGCATCGAAGCCCTCAAATATAATGCGATAGGTCAGAGCTTTGGCGTCTTGGGTTCCACCTTTGGTCGTCTCTCCACAATTGCGACCATGTTCACTCTCTTTGGGATAAACCGCAAGCTGCGGCGTGGACTTTGGGCAATTTCCGCGGCACAGATCATCACCAATGGCGCCGTTGTGGTGTGTTTATACGCGCAGTGCACTAATGTCGTCTTGCTTTGGGACTCGAGTGCTTCTGGCACATGCTGGAATGCGGATGTGCAGACGGTAAGAGAATCCAGTCGATGGCCGAGCGTTTCTGTTTCTGTTACTGTTGCTGACTTTTAAACGCAGTACTTTGGATACGCGCACTCGGCCTTCAACGGCGCCACTGATCTTTTCTTGACCTTCTTCCCTGCGTATATGATTCGGAATTTGCAGATGGACCGCTGGACAAAACTTGGAGTAGGAGTCCTTCTAGGCTTGAGTATTCTGTATGTCTTTCGGATCGCTTCCCAAAGATTACCATGGATTATAGCTGACCATTCAGTGCTGTTGTTGCCGTTGTCATGAAGATTGTCAATCTCGAAGCCCTTGCAAATCGGGGCGACTATACCTGTCAGTCACAATATTTTTGTTATGAGTAACGTCACCAGGAGAAGGAACTGACGCCTTCACAGATAATACGGTTGCTCTGTTCACTTGGATCTTGTAAGGATGATGATTTCCTCGATTAAGAACAACACACTAACAACCCCTTTTAGAGCCGAAGCCATTCTCCTCAACATCGCCGCATCCGCTCCTGTCCTCCGTCCCCTATACAAGAGGATCTTGAAAACCGAATCTCGCAATTACTCGTATGAGATGAATAGTCGCGAGATGACAAGGAGCCACATCTCCCGCAATCAAGGCGGCATCAAAAGCCACGATTCTGCAAGTGACAAGGCTGCCATTCTAGCCAATCAGTCGTCGCAGGATAATTACTATCACATCACAGTGAAGCAATCTTATTCTGTGACTATGGCCGATTCGGGATCTCCTTGATGGGTTAGAATGAGTGCGGTTTAAAAAAGAAAAGGAGGGAAAGGAAGGAAATGCCTGAAGATAATGTTCACCCAAACTTATAAAATATCCACATATTAGTAAATATAATGAAATACAAAGTTAAGCTCCCGAGGTTTTGCTCCACGGACAACTGCCGGATAATCCATCTCCACTTCTGGGAATCGAAAGGAGGTGGGGATTTAAGTTCACTGAAATAGCACTTGGGTAACTGGTAAACCATTTGCTTCCAAATCACGCGAACCGAGCTCAGAGGTGCACATGTGGCAAACTTTTCCGATTTTCTCTTCCGATCTATCTCCCCTCGATCTCCGACCGATCTCCGTTCAGCTTGTTCTTGATACCTTTTGCTTTTGCTTCTAGATTCATTTGGGAATGATGAGGAACAATATTATAACAGAATCCAATTCTTGGAAAATCACAAAGAAACATGCAAACATCCCTTACAGTTTTGTTGAAATTTATGGGGTAAAGGGATATGGCGGAAATATCTCGGGACGGCCAAAGTTCGGCGTGAGGGAATTACTCGGCAGTTGCATATCAGCCCAACCAGGAAAAAGGTTCGCTTCTAACTTCTTAAGCTTACAAACGAGAAAAAAAAACTTTGCGGCTTTTCCGACCTGTCCCATACTCATGAGATATAAATACTGACCTGGATCCTAGTACAAGATGAGGGTCACACAGTCAAATCCAAATCCAAGCCTTGCCATCATCCTACATAAGCCATCCCTCGTTTCACAATGAGTACCTCAACTTCCACCAAATCTTCAAATACCAGTGTCGTGGATATCGATCCTTCTTTCACTCCTCGAAATGATACCATCTCGCGCATTAAGCAACATCTCAAGCGTACCCAGCAAAAATGGGGACCCCTGATGGCTGCCAAGGAGTCCTGGGAGGACGAATACAACTTCCCTCCTGGAAGGTATGCTGGCCAAGACGACCGGCCGATCATTCGCCAAAAATCCGTTGATGGTGAGACTTGACAAATTACCTGGGCTTGTTTGAAGGATCATTGTTTCTCTGACTTTTTCTTTTCTTTGGCAGAACTATAAATCAGCGATATACTTCACACGATCTCGGCCTAAAGCCGACTCCTTGGCTTCAACTCCACCTGGAAAGACTGGCTCGGGAGGATTCGGAGGGATTGGGATTTTATATTTAATAATTGATGATAATGCATAGAATGAATAGAACGAATTAATGGCATGGACTCTTCTTTCAATGATAGACTTGATGTGTCATTGTACAAATAAGACAGCATATTTTGCACTCAGTAAGTTCAAAGCGGACATATTGGTCAACTGTATACTAGTACTGTATTATACTACTAGTATAGATATGAACGTTCAAGTTCTTACCAAAAGTTGCCAATTACAGGTCTAGAACGCTTATCTCTGCAGTTAAAAGGGTCATTTCCTGGCGGTTGGCGGATGACATCATTGTTCAATGTGGAGCTAAAATACGAGAACTTCCAGAACTCGTTTCCCTGACACCTGAGCAAGTCTTCACCTCTCAGCCTTCCACCCTAAATACTCTCAAGGCTGCAGGTGTGAGAACTACCTACTCGCGGATTCCAAAATGTCCAGCCACATCAAAGATGCCGCCATCGCCGAGGTCAAAAGCGTCCAAGCAGCTTCCGAAGGCATCCTCAGATCCGGCGCATATCTGTATCCATTCAAGGTAAAGCCATATCAAAACCCACAATCTAATCTCGAGGGAACTAACCCAATCTCCACCAGGGAATAATATTCTTTGCAACCCACAAAGATCTCTGGGGCCCATTTACCGCCCGAGCCGGGCGAACCATCAGCTTGGGCTTGGGCGTCACATCATTCATGTTCTTTTTCACCTACGTGCCCCAAATGGCCATTATGGCTTTTACTAGCGGTCCCTTGGCCGCTATATCTGCGGCCGTGCTTGTTCTCAGCGAAAGCGCCACACTGACGAACATTTTCTCTCGATCTTTCCTGGTTGAGGACGCTCTCATCGATACCTTTGACGGTACCCTTATTGCCCGCAACCAGGAGTCGCTTGTCGCACAGGGACGCCAAGTTAAGCCCCAATCTGGAAGTAGAGGTGCGGTTGCAAGGCTGGGCAAGATCTTCTCGAGGCCCTTTGCGAAATTCAAGCCGCAGGTTCTTTTGCGTTCTTTGCTGTACTTGCCCCTGAATATGATCCCGGTGGTTGGAACGGTGCTTTACATAGCTGTTCAGGGCAAGAGGATTGGTCCAGGACTACACACACGTTATTTCCAGCTGAAGGGTTGGGACTCGGCGCAACAGGAAGAGTGGATTGCGAAGAATCGAGGAGGATATACTGGGTATGTGAGCCTTTTGATATTTGCCTTTTATTAATACTGACCAATGCGCAGACTTGGCATTGCCGCCTTTGCTCTGGAGATGATACCCTTTGCTTCCATTGTCTTTTCATTCACGAATACTGTTGGAGCTTCCCTTTGGGCTGCAGATCTCGAGAAGGCAACGGAATAAGAGACTGGAAAAGACCGACCGGAAAGCACCTAGACTTTAATTGAATAAGACACACTATGCGAGGATGCCTAACCTCGGGAGAATATTAATTTCTATATGTATCTATAATTTAATGCTATTAAGAATACGGGGAAGAAGCTCCAACTTCCACGGTTAATTGTCAACTTCAATGTTGATGATTGATTATCTCCAACGCCTAAAATACATGTTTCAACACGTACAACATCTATATGGTCTATACTAATGGGTTCGTCTATCGTCGTGAAATGCCGAGCAGTCTTCTATGTAATGATCTATTTGCCTAGGCCGAGCATGTAAAAGGTTTGCCAATGGATCCTGATTGAAATTCATGGACCTGGGATGTGATTAGTGAAGGGTCATTCGGAACCGAAGGAAGTAGTCTCACCAGATCAGCGATACTTGCATATGTACCACAGCAGAAAATAATCATGCCAATCACAAATACCACACCATTGCAGATGGCCGTCTTCAGGTTATGTTTTTCGTACCATGCGCCTTCCCGCAAGAGCATGTACCACATAACCGGAGGGAAATAGAAGGAAAGACCAGAAACAAAAAGCGATGATATAATGGACAGCAAGTCCGAGAAAATGGGAATAGCCTCAGCAATAATCCATGCCACCACCGTTATAAAGAGGACGAGGCTGAGCCATGTGACCCAGCCTTTCGGCGTATTGATAAAGCGGGCAATGGACTTCTGATACATCTTTCCATGGATGTATCGGCAAACCACTGTGATGTTGATAGAGCCCGAGATGAAGATGACCGGAAGGGCCAGTCCAAATACAACTCTTGAGAGCAGAGGGCCAGCCGACAGCAAAGCCGGCGACTGCACGCTCTGTCCCACAAAGGCATAGATGATCGACCCAGTGAGAGTATAAATCACGATCTGAACTCCACCTAGCCACCACATCGCCTTAGTGTAGTCTTCGGGGGTATGCATATCCTCCATAAACGAGGGCAGACATCCAGCAAACGAGTACGCAAACACAATATTGTTGGTAGCCACTATAGCGGACGTGAAAGAGATGCCCGGCTTCGGCCACGCCGACCAATCCGAGGAGCCCGAGCTCTGAATCCCAGTAGCAACCATAGTGACCCCAATAGCCAAAACAATGGAAGCAAAATCAATGTACCCCAAGATGGCAATCTCCGCGAACGAAGGTGGAATAGCAAGGAGCATCAAGATTACCGCAGAAACAATGCTAAAAAAGACCGAGCACGAATCGCTCTGCGCGATCGTCCGGAACGCAATCGCACCGGTCAAAGCGTGCGATCCAACCACGCACACGAGCAGAGCAACGAAGCTACCGACGAAAATCTTCGATCCCCATTTCCCCATAATCAGATGGCCGACATCTGCGTAGTGCGCGATCTCGGGGTACGCAAGCTTCACTTGGCCGATAATATAGCCCGCATACATGGCGACCAAGCCGATGCTCACAGTCAGGATAATACCGGGGACCATGCCCAGCGCCGCGAAGGCGGACGGAAGACCAAGACTTCCTAACGCGATAGCCTCGACGATCGCAATGATGGTTAGGCGCTTCCATCCCAGGCGTTGGAATTTGTCGTTGCCCCCCGGTAGGAGGGGTTGGGTTTCGGGATCATAGTCATCGGAATCCTTCGCGATGGCGTTATTTGTCATGGCGCCCAGCTGATCCTAGCGGTGATCACGTTATTGGTGTATATTTACAACCCCGCCAGCGAGAATATCGCGATCTGGCCGATTAAAGAGCGACAGTAGACAGGGACCAAAAAGGGGAGCTGGGCTATATAGTGGGTGGGTTGTTAGGTGATTGTGTCTTGGGTGAAGATCAGAGATTATTATCTGATTAAAAGATGATTCGGAGTGGGCCGAAAATCGGAGGTTCTCCGCACATGCATGGTGGTCCGTGGAGCTTATCATTTGGCTGAAGAGTGAGACCCTTTCTGGGCGCCAAGGGCGGATGGGTATAGAGTTATAATGTGCTGTAATCCATGATCATGGATGATATGGTCGCCTGCGCAGAATGTCAGTCACATGGATGGGATGTCTCTAAACCTGGTGACAAGTGCGTGTGTAATGTATGCGCTGTATTATGCTCTTAAAGTACTAGTAAGCTGTAATGTGACTGTTCTGAGCCACTGGATGATAGACACAAATCAATTATCAACATTTCAATATCAAACCACTTTACTGCTGTTTACAAGGTTGTTCCAATTTTGTCACTCATCGTCCCTTCCAAGGTTGTATTCTGTACATACCGGAACTGTAACTTTCGTTTAAACGGCACCTACTCCAAGTCGGCTTCATAGCAGCTTTAAGAGTCTAAACGTAGTCTTTAGTCCCACAGGTTCTTATACTGTAGGTAGTAGTCTTTTTGGGAAAAGAAATTAGAGTTGCTATCTTAGTTTTCGGCTTGAACTTCTTCTTGATTGAGTAAATACGAGAGAATGCATCCCACCTGCTGCCTGATATACTAGGCCTAAATATAATCACGTGCTCATCGCTTCCTTGAAACAAGCGTGTCAAAATTCGGAGTTTTTCTTGATTTCTTTGTATGCGGGTAAAATAAAATCATTAGTCTTACTGCATGAAAAGTCCGAGCTGCAAAGTTCCCTTACACGACAATGTTAGCCACTAGTTAACTTACGGAGTAAACGACTGAGTCATTCAGCAAACGTCATTGGGCGGAAGACTGCTTCCCGCAATTGCTGCCTCTTGTGTGGCCTAGTCTACCTAAAAGCATAAAACAACCCCGAAAGCCTTCAAACGCTGAATTTCAATATCTATTTCGCTTGATATTGTGTTATTCCCCACCTGAAATATTTCCATATTCATCTCGGGAACACCGGACCAGAAAGAGGAACTGAGAGAAGAAAAAAGATCAACTCGACGCGGGGTCTTGGAATCAAAATTCTATATCGGAGTCAAGCTTGTCCAATCTCTGCTCAAAGCAAAACCCTGGAACCAGGAGTATACAAGACATAATATCTATTCAAGTCGTCCGTGATAATTCAACTCCGTCATGTCACAAGTCATAGAGCAAGACTTCTTTGGCGGGGCCATTCGGGGTGTGGTGCCACAGAAATGGATTGACGCCAGGTCAGTATAAAAACCCGATGAAATAGAGTCCAACCCATGGCTAACAAACATCACAGCAATCTCCGCGAAATCCCAGACCACCAGGAACTATTCCTCTCACCCGACACGCTGTCCAATCTGATCATTGAGATTAATGAGCGTGTTTCCCAAGAAGATGCTCTGAGCACCTTCGCCACTCTCTGCCAGCAACAGCCTTCACTAGCCGCAGACAGCGGAAGCACAGCTGGCACCACGACCGAGACGGTCAATCAAGCAGCCGCCCTGTACCATCTATATGATATTTGCGAAGATGGCGATGCTATGCACGTAGTCGCGGCGCCACAGCGCGTGACTTTGGACCGGTTGCTCTCGAATGCGCCGTCCAAGCCGTCCATCAGTTCGTACAAAGGAATTGTTGAGTTCAAGACCGCTTCCGGTCGTCGGGATCAGCGATTACCTGCTGCGAAATCAGGTTCGACGGCTGCAGGCGTGTCTATGAACGGGGGGTCGGCTAGTGCACCGGCTACCAAGACACTGACTTGCCACTTCCTTCTTGTGCGACTCGAAACACAGGAGACGGACTTGGTGACTTTCTTTAATGTGCCACATGATGAGTTTGACAAGGAGGGCGATGCGGGAGGTTTGTCGAAGGAGGAGACTTCTGCGGAGGATATTATGAGAGCCATGGAGGAGAAGCTTCAGATCGTGGATTGGGGGCTTTTCATTTGAAAGACCCGCTTATAGCAAATGGAAGAGGCAAATATCGGGGCCTACAAGTGGGACTGGCTGAGGGACCACATCTCTGGATTGGGGGGGTTATATGATGCCTACTACTTAGGTATTTGAGATCAAATAAGATTGAACTTTGGCGAGTATGTAGAACCTTGAAATAAATAAGCTGTGAAATGAATGAATACAATCAATCGATGAGGTTATGCACGCTTCCTTGGATGCTAAATCATGTCTCAGTCTGGCTCAATATCGCGAAGAAGAAGAAAGCACAAGAATGTCTTGGTATCAACAATGGACGAAAGAAAACTCCACGCTATGATGGTAAATGCATAAACGCAGGCAAAATTATAGAACAAATCTTCCAAGATCTCGTGTCACATCATCCACAATCTTCTTCTGGAAAGCAGGCGTAGCAGGATTCTTCCTAGGTGAGACATTGCGCGGCTTAGGCTTGATCTGCTCAAGCTTGTTGTTACAAGCACCACAGCAAACGCGAGCCGTATCGATACTCTTTGAGTGACGGCCGTAGGTCTGACCACAGCTAACACACGCCCACACATACTTGTAATCGATCTGATAGGAGTGCTTCGTTGTAACATTGATCTGACCACCGTAGATGGGATGATCCTTCAATGCCTCGGCGCACTTCTTCCCCCACAACTTAAAGCTAGTGCCATGAGGATTATCGTGGCACTTTGAAACCATATAATTCGCCAAATGACAGTACTCATGGGCTAGTGTATTGAGCAGCCGGTACTCATTGTCGATAATCCGCTCAGCCAGCTCGATCTTGGCATGGTGTGTGGTTGTCCCAGGAATCTGGCGACCATTTGAATCTCGGTCATTTATACCCTGCCAATGCGCCCGACCAGCGGTTTTCTGCAATGTTTTGGACCAAATGATTTTCACGCCACCGGTCTTCTCAGCAAGCTGGCTGACTCTACCCCCGGCCACCGCATTGTCTAGCACATTCAAGAAGGTTTCTGCAAAGTCTGCCTTTTTGTTATCGAAAGAGAGTCGGCGGGCCTTTGCAGCTTTCCGGGCTTCCGTCTCGGCCTTTTTGAGCGCAGTTTTACTGGGTGTTTTCGCTTCCTTAGCTGTGACTCGAGTCATTGAATCAGAGTCGGTGCTCGTGATGGTGTCTTGGCTACTGCCTTCGTTGTCCGAATCGCCAAAGTCCCGCAGTAAGTCAATTACAGAACGCCCGGGGGTTTTCTGTTTGCGTGGTGAATGGTGGTCAACCCAGTCGTTGGTCTCCTCTTGACTCCAAAAGGCATCTACGCTTTCACGATGAGGGGTTGGAGGGATGCGGGTTCTCTCCTTGGTCGGGGACTTCAAGAAACGACTTCGTGATGGACTGGAGGGCGGTGGTGTCTGAGGACGCTTGTTTGTTGGTTTTAACGGTGGCGGAGATGAGTCCAGCTCTATGATGGACCTGCGTTATATAGATTAGCAAGTCGATTCCAATTCGAGATATAGAATTAAGATAGGAACACATACGGAGTGGACTCTGTTTCCACCTGGAAAGTTGACTCATTGTCACCATTGAGTTCCAGATCTTCCAGCTTTGTAGAAAGATCAAGATCATCTTGAAGCGTTTCATTAGATCTCACTGGTGGGTTGGAGGGAAGCTTCACAGAACCAGGCAGCTTGACTTCTATATGGAACGGCTCAGAAGGAGTATATTTGCTCTCCACATTTTGATCCAGATTAAAGCCAGGTCGTCGTCCTCTCATCAGTCTCTTTCTGGGGGATGTACGAGGTGGTGATGGTGTTGGATCCCTTTGAACCTCCTCTGTCTCAGAATCCGATGTCTCATGAGAGCTGAGCTCCTCATTGTCGCTAACAATGAAATCCTCCAAGGAAGCAAAGCTATCGTTTCCAGAATCTTCATCCTCAACCTCAGGACTCAGACGGCTGAAAGACCTAGCCGTTGTATTGCTTCTTGGGGTTCGTGCCGTGCTCCGTCTGATTGTCGATCTCTGTGGAGCAGGGCTCATTGTTGGTGAATTTGTGTCTGTGCCATATTCCGTAAGATCATTCTCCTTCTCATAGTCCTCTGTTTCCAATTTATCACTGGGTCTTTGGCGTGGTCTCTGTTGTGGTCTCTGTTGTGAAGGAAGGAGGAGCGAGTTGGTTCTGGTGAGTTTGAGGGTTCGTGATTTCTTTTGTCTGCTAGGAGAGATAAACGACGAGCTTTGATCTCCCCCCGCGCCCGTACTCTCAAATGACAGGTCCTCATCTGAAAAGATGTCAAATAAGATACCTGCTCCCTTTTTCGGTTTCGGTGTCGGGCTTTTGAAGTAGCGGGCCCCAGATCCTAGATCACCAGCAACCTGAGTTGTAGGTAATTGGGAGGCTTGTGTAGTCAAGCAAGCTTTCCGTGGAGAGCCGAGAGTCTGTGATTTGGCCGCGTTGAGTCGTGCCATCTTTGCTGAGTATAGGGAGGATTCGATCGGTTTTGGTATCGGTTAAGCTGGTCGGGTAAAAGAAAAGCTTGCACAGCTAGGAACGAGACAGAGAAGGCCCTGCCTATTATATTCACCTGTCACAATGGACAATTGTGATTTTCTCCGGTGGTGACGGGGATTTTCAACGTTGGTGAATTGTTGACAGCCTCCACCTAGGCGTTGGCACGGCAACCGCTTATATGTATGCACCTCATGCATTAATATATACCCAAAAGATACTAAGCTAGGTATTATTGCAACGGAGTTATAATTATATCTCGTAAGCCAAGAGTGTCTTTTACTACTTGATATTCTTGTGAATTTGAGTCTTGATTATTAAACTAAGCCCTGGAGAGGTTCAAAAGCTTTTTAATCGGAGTTTTATCAAACTAGTACTTTATACTACTACTCTTTGTTATACAATCAACCAACCAGCTAGCACTTGAGAGAACATAAGTACTATTGAAAGCCACAAAGGCCCCGCAGGGCCGCTGAGAAAAAGTAATGCATTTATCCATCAATGCCCGGTTCTGGTATATGCACCATTTAAATGCAGGTAATAAACTTCCTAACGCCATGCAAGAAAACAACACTATGCAAAATATGAAAAAAAGAACATAGCACCTGGGCATTACCACCCACCGCCAATCTTTCCAGCAAGTTCAACCACTCGAGTGGTCTCATCCGCAGGGGTTTGCTCTTTACCAACATCACTTTCTACCTTGCGGTAAGTTGTATAAACAAGCTTGGAGAGTGGGATACCCATAAATTGGGACCAGCGCTGCAAGCTTTCGTGGATACGAGCCTCTTTATCCACGATGGAGAGCGAATGATTTTTATCATCTAATTCCATCTCCGAGTCTGATTCCATTGAAAAGTAGGCCTCGTCAACGCGAGCAAGCCAGGCCCGTTGTTCATGGGGCGACGGCTTAGACGATTCAGATGCGACTGCATCCATTGACTGTGAAGAGCCAATAGCCTCGCGGGCGTCCTCCACCCGGATTTGCCCACCGCCATTTGTACAGCCACCAGGACAGGCCATGACTTCCACATATGCATAGTCGGAACCCGAGTTTGCTCCTGCGGCGACATTTCGGGACACAGGCTGGCGGCGACCGGCTACGGGCCTAGCCATAGGTTTCGCGCCTGGCATTCGGGACGCCCGCGCTGGCTTTAATTTTCGGACAAGGTTCTGGATGTTGCGGAAACCGTAATATCGAGCCGCTTTCATAATAGGTTGTCCCTCTCTGGACATGAGAACATACTCGACAACATCTGAATTGCGTCCGCGATTTGTGACGAGATCAGATCCAGGATTGCGTGCTTGGAAAGTGGTAAGAACGTGGTGCAAATAGCCCCCGGAGGAGCCTGTTGCAAGAGACTGTTCTGCAGGAGAATTTTGAAACGAAATGAATGATCCCAAGGTCTTTTCTGGGAATGGGGGATTGTAGTTCGAGGGAAGCGGCTGAAGAGGTAACTTTGGAAGCGAGATTCCCCGTGCAGAGGCCAAGGAAAGAAGCTCACGAGAAGTGATAACACAATCCACATCACGGACAGGTTCATATGGTTCTGTAATGGTGTTCTCAAGGCCCGTTTGCCAGGATAAATCTGTAAGTTCCTCACGGCTGGCCTCTAGCTTCTTGTCGAAACAGGGCATGACTGCCAAATGCCAGATCTGAGACGGTGGCACTCCAAGTGACTTGCTCAGAACTGTTTTGAGAAAGGTTCCAGACATTGCCTGGGGAGATTTGAGACGAGACAGATGTGGAAGAACGAAAGGGTGTGTCTTTTCAGCGTAGCAAATCCAGCCGGGGCAGGCCGATGACAGAATTGGCCGCTTAGGAGGGGCATGTTGACCTTCATTCGTAGCGTCCACAAGTGACTCGGATACTTCATCAGATGTAAGAACCAAGACAGCCTCCCGCATGGCATTTGTGTCCACGACCCATGTGAAGGCACTGCCTTGCTTCCCGCCACTTCGCAATCCTTGCGGGCCTCGCAGGAACTGGTCGATCATGTACCCCGCTTCCTTTTCCGAAATGCCATATGTTGCAGCTAAGCTGGCCCTCACCTGCGGGCTCACACTGGCAACGAATATCTTCCCATCTTTGAAACCGCCAGAGCCAACTGTTGTCCCAAGAGGCGATTGGGTTAAAGGGATCTCCGCGTTGGCGTCAAGGGTGTTGAGAACTTCGGTGTGCGATTGTAGCGAGATCAAAACTGCCTCTGCCGAGGTCACACAGCCAGAACAGGCTAGACAGTCTGTCAAAGAGATTTGCGCAGGGGGAAGGTTTTCTGGTTCGACCTTGTCTTCTGTTGTCACTTCGTAAGGATTCTAGGATGCAAGATCAGTAAATATCTCCAGAACAAAGGCCAAAAAGAATGCTTACCTGGGGTTCTTTGGTGCTCTTTGGAAGGGATTCAACAGGCTTAATACAGGCAACTCCGGGCGAAATGAAATCATTCAGGTCGTCGGCCGACAGGATCGCGCTCATGGTGGCGGGGTACCGCTTTGAACAATGAAGTAAGTCTCCACTAGCAGTGAAAGTCGGGTCACTCGATTTCTTTTTGTTGCTGATTAGTTAGCTTCACAGTATCTTATAAGTGTATATCAAAGAAATTCAAAGAAAGTTTGATGCTGCAGGATTAAAAAATAGTTCAGAAGAAAGAGAGCCAACGAGCATTGCGGGCTTTGTCATCGGTGGCGATATCGGCTCAAGATAAGGATTCACCGCCCGTGGCTGAATGATGTGCTCGTTGATTGGCTGCATTCGATCTATGTATTCCAGTTTTTTTTGAATCTTTATCTGTAAGATTCTTCTTTCAGTACCATTCATGTCAATGGATTTTTGACTTCTTCATGAAACATCAGGTGAAAGGATGGGTTCCAAAGTTATTTTTAAGTTCAAAACCTCAACAGGAAAAACCCATGCTTTCAAAATGTTCATCTATAATATACATAAAGACCAATTTAAACACAAGACATCTGGACTTGGAAGTATCGCAGTTTATGGATATGCTCTCCTCTCTCTTATGATAGAAGAAGCCCTCCAAGTCAAAAAAAGAAAACACAACCATTTGACTCTTTTTGCAACATGCCACCAGCCAGAACAGTCGCAGGAGGCGAGAAGAAGAAGCGGGTTGGAAAATGGGCACCCATCCCTGGGGCTTCCAAAGGCAAAAAAGGCCTGGGAGCTATTCCCGAAGACGAGGAAATTAAAATCACGGCATCAGATCAAGAAAGTGAGGCAACTCGTCGAGCAAAGGGGTCTAGGCCCGACCGGAACTACAGGAGCGGAAGAAAAAGACTCGCAGAGTCAATATTGACACCTTGGCGAAAACGGACTGCCAAAAACACGATGAAAGAGACACCTGTCGTCATTCGACGTAATGAATTGTACTCAGGCAATCTTTCTTATCTTCTCGAAGATGGAGATATCCCGCCTGTTCACATCGCAAAGTTCCCTAATATTAGGCCATGGAGTACGACCCGCATCAGAGTCATAAGGCAAGACAGCTTTGACTGTGCAGTCACTCTTATGAACTCACTTGAGATTTTGAACATCCCTCAGATACATCGCGTCTGTGTTCTGAATTGCGCCGACCCCGAGCGGTCTGGCGGTGACTGGAAGGACGCAGCAACAGACCAAGAGGCGCAACTCTGCTACCGAAGCACACTTGCTCAAACACTTCTACCGGAATATTATCCCCTCAAAGAGTCTTCCCCTCAGTGTGTCTACTCACCCAATGTGTTTGTTTTCAAAGAAAATGAAGAGCTGGAATTCTTTCCGATGTGGGTAGACTTACCTGACAGGCTTCCGATGGTAGCCGTCGTCAGTATGTCTGCCGACGAAAACCCACCAATTGATTATACTGGCAGAGACTATGGAAGAGAGAGTGATCGAACTCTCATGATGAAACGCATGCGTTTCATGCTTCGTGTTGCCGCTGACACATCCCATCGTGTACTTGTCCTTAGGGACATTGGATCCGACTACGGCCACCCAAATATGGCGGTTGCAGACTGCTGGCTGAAGGTGCTGAAAGAAGAAGAGTTTAGAGGATGGTTTATCTTCGTTGTATTTGCATTGGGTCATTTGAAAGATCATTACGACACCTTCAGACCGGTACTGCATAATGTTGATATCAGTTACCCCGAGTTTGAAGGCATTAACGGATAGGTCAAGACGCAACTATCAGATGATTTCAAGGTCTTGGATTGGAGATATCTGGTAAGATTTTTTCTTCGACGTTCCAGATGTCAATGTTGTTTTGTTTTGTTTTTTATTCTTTCTTGTTCTTCGTCTTTACTCCATGCCCTTGCTCCATGCGTTTACTTTCTTTGACCGTCTTCAGTGTTCCAAGTTCAGTTTCTTCCAGGCCTTGCTTTACCTTAGTACATAGTAAGTATTAAATATGAATATTCAGATCATATAAATGTTAGACTATATAGCAGCTGTCAAGACCATTCGAGTATTAAAGAGGTCGTATATTTGAAACATTTGAATAATCTACACTACTTTCTTGACCGAGTAGATCGTCTCTTAACCCCCGCATCTAGTACTTTCTCATCGATTTCTTTCTTAATCACCGGATTGCTTTTGGTCGACCGGCCTTTGGTAGGTTTTTCCTCAGCCTCTGAATCACTTTCTTCTTTGACACGTTTTCGCTTCGTGGGAGTATCGTTTGTTTCTTCATCTTTCACCACGGAGCCATTTTTCTTCTGCACCGCGGGAACGACGGCACTCGTCCTACCCCCGACGGTGACGAAAATGATCTTATCGCCATTTGGAAGAGCAGAGGGTTGGTTTTTCTTTCCCTTTCCCCATCGGTGCTTGAAGAGCCAATGCTCAGGAAACTTTTCAGAGTCCGCTAGAACCTCGATGGCGGTTGTAAAGACGTAATGCATGGCGGTGTGAAGCTCCTTGATCTGATCATCAGATAAAGTGTTGCTTGTTTGTTCCGGATGGATTTTGGCGTGGTACAGGATCTCATCGCTGGAGATTTCGTTAGCATAGGGGGGTCGAGTCTTGAGATCCAGAGAGCAGAGCTTACGCCATCCAATTCCCAATTCCACTGATATTCGCTTGGTCCAGTAGCAGAGCCTTGATTGGCATTCGCTTCTTCCTCAGCTTCTCCACCAGCCAAGCCTCGTTAACGAGGTGTTTATCCGCCACCGGATCTGGCCCATTCTCCTTCAGAGGGGAATGTTTGCGAATCTCGTCGGCCGGACAATCTACCAAACGAATTCGACTCAGCCTGCGAGCATCCACAAACGCGGCCTCTGTTTTGGGCTCATCATTGGTCTCGAGCAAGAATTTTGCATATTTTGGAGGCCACTCTTTGTCTGCTGGTTTATCAGAGCGATAATAATATGTATCGGCATCCTTGATCTTCAGCCATCCAGCCATGCCAAAATGCATCACAGGATGTGGAGGCGAGGACATGGCGATCCAGAAGTATTTTCCTTGTTGCCCAGCCCCTACTACCTTCTTGCCTTGTATCGACTTTTGAAATTCCTCGGCACTGGTGCCGACTTTGCCGTACACAATATCATCATGTTGTGCTTGCACTTTGGATAGGGTCTTGCCGACTAGATGTTTGCGAAGAAAGTGCACTATGCGCGCCACTTCAGCGTGTTCCGGCATTTTGAGCAGTAAAATGACGAGAGGGCAGTTCGGAATGATCCAGTAAATAATGTATGAGGACGCAAGGCTAGTAGGGATCAACTATTCTAACGCGTCTGCCATAACACGAAACACGAGATCACCTGACTAGAATTGCAAATCGACGGGACTACGCCCGATCGAGATCGGATGACTACGACTGAATCATACAACCGACTCAGTTAACTAATACATTGCTACATTCAAGCTATATTTGTCAACTAATTCAAGTGCGAGAAAGGTCAAAATTTTCGGAAATACTGCTGAAAAACTGGCTTTGCTATCTGCTTTGTGTCCGATATCATTACTGGTCACCTTCTCACAGGTTTCGATCACTAGCTCCACTCTTCTTAGTCTCCACCTAAGCCAAGCTGGAGTGGTTCTGGGCTACCAAGACGAACAAACAGTCCGAGGACGTAGTTCGCAACAAGATGCCAGGAGCCTCGATTTCAGAGACTCCGGTATTGACACCCCAATTCTGTTTTAATGAAAAGGCTCTTCGAGGTGTGTTGGAAGCTTGTGCATTGCGCTCTTGGATTTGCCTCCGCTGACATTTACCTCGCATCTTCACTAGATTTTCTGAGCCTATCCCGCTCAACCATCGACGATTCAATTACACAGCATTTGAATGCCTTGATTACACCCGCCCGAGAGGGGTTCGACCCATCATCGACCGCCGTGCGACAAACCGATTCCAGAAGTCATAAGGTCACCAACCCCGAAGCTTGCCAGGGCTTCAAGGAGAACGTTTTGTTTGCCTCATGGCAAACTCGCTCAGATGTCCTAACTTACTGCGCTGGAGTGGCTACCAGTCCCGATCCCGATGATCCGGACTTGATTCTGCGAGAGACCGAATCCGCCCGGGACCGAGAACGAGTTGTCGATGAACGACTGGACCCATATTCGGCTCGTTTCTTCCCTAAGGAACCTCGAACTGAGTCACTGGCTAATTTGGTTCGCAATCAGCGCACTGTGGAAGAAATCATACGGGCTCGCACATGGGGGCTAGTAACGGAGAGATGTGGCGCTGGATCTTCATGGGAAGATGCTCTCAACAGCTGGCGACACAAGCACCAACGATGAGAGTACCGGCTATGAAGTATAGTAGCTGCATGGGCTGGTTTGTAATATTGCCCTTATTCTTCTCCAACCATGACATCCCTGTAAATTATTGCTGCATATACTAGGGCGTTTATTGTCACGAATCTTACTACCATGTGGACCTGATCTATCTTGAGCAATTTATTTCTTCAACTAATCATAGTCCAACAGCCATATAAAGGAAAAATAAAATCAAAGGCTTCTATACAACTGAATTGGTTTTATTTATAATGCCAGGGCGTATTGTAGTTCATGGTCTGGGTTGGTAGTGTTCGTAACGTGTTACATACTGCAATATGTACTTGGGACTTGAGCTTGTCCTACCGCATCTTATCGGGGCAGCGGTTCTGCCAAGTTCGGCGGACGGACTCCCCGCACACATTGATTCCTCTCTCGCACAAGTCAATCCCCTCTCCAGCCATCGCCCACCATGCCGCAACCATTGAACCCCAAGGATCAGTCCTTGTTCCGTCAAGTGGTTCGCAACTTTGAGCTCAAGCAATATAAGAAAGGTCTGCCCTTTTCCCTTCTTCAATGGCCGGACCTCAGCTGATAGCATTTTCATCGCGATAGGTATCAAAACGGCAGACCAAGTTCTCCGCAAGAACCCCAAGCATGGCGACACGCAGGCGATGAAGGCTCTGATTATGAGCAACATGGGGCAGTCCGAGGAGGCCTTCACGCTCGCCAAGGAGGCCCTGCGCAACGATATGAAGTCGCACATTACCTGGCACGTTTACGGTCTCCTATACCGACAGGAAAAGAACTACGAGGAGGCTATCAAGGCATACCGATTTGCTTTGAGATTGGAGCCTGAGTCAGGCCCCATCCAACGAGATCTAGCTCTGCTTCAGATGCAGATGCGTGATTTCCAAGGATACATCCAGACTCGCACGGCAATGCTGCAAGCGCGCCCTGGCGTGCGACAGAACTGGACAGCATTGGCGATTGCTCATCACCTGTCTGGAGATTTGGAAGAGGCCGAGAAGGTGTTGACAACGTACGAAGACACATTGAAGGGAACCCCGCCTGTTGCTGATATGGAGCACTCTGAGGCTATCTTGTACAAAAACTCCATTATCGCGGAGACGGGCAACCTCGAAAGAGCTCTCGAGCACCTCGAGAAATTCGGGTACCGGTGTACGGATGTTCTCGCGGTCATGGAGATGAAGGCTGACTATCTCCTGCGACTTGGATCTGACCGCAAGGCCGAGGCTGAGGAGGCATACACTGCGCTTCTGGAGCGGAACCCCGAGAACTCGGTCTATTACAACGGGTTGATACAAGCAAAGGGTATTCCGGAGACCGACCACAAGGCATTGAAGGCGCTGTATGACCAGTGGGTGGAGAAAAACCCGCGTGGTGATGCCGCTCGCCGCATTCCTCTTGATATTCTAGAAGGCGAAGACTTCAAGCAAGCCGCGGATGTTTACCTGCAGCGAATGCTCAAGAGAGGCGTTCCTTCGCTTTTTGCCAACGTCAAGACTTTATACACCAACCCCGCCAAGCGCGACGTAGTGCAGGCTTTGGTTGAGGGATACGTCTCTAGCAGCCCAGCGCAAGGGAACGACTCTGCTGATCCCAAGGAGAAGGAATTCCTCGAACTGTCTTACTACTTCTTGGCCCAGCACTACAACTACCACCTCAGCCGCAACATCGCCAAGGCCATGGAGAACGTCGACAAGGCCATCGAGCTATCACCGAAGACTGTAGAATACCAGATGACCAAGGCGCGGATCTGGAAGCACTATGGTAACCCAGTTAAGGCAGCAGCAGAGATGGAGAAGGCTCGTCTACTGGATGAGAAGGACCGACACATCAACACCAAGGCCGCCAAATACCGACTACGCAACAATGAGAACGAAAAGGCTCTGGAAAACATGAGCAAGTTCACCCGCAACGAGACCGTGGGCGGTGCTATGGGTGATCTTCACGAGATGCAGTGCCTGTGGTATCTAACTGAGGATGGTGAGGCATACTTGCGACAGAAGAAGCTGGCACTGGCACTTAAGCGCCTCCACGCCGTGTACAACATCTTTGATACCTGGCAAGAAGATCAGTTCGATTTCCACAGCTTCTCTCTACGCAAGGGTATGATCCGCGCCTATGTCGACATGGTGCGCTGGGAAGATCGTCTGCGGGAGCACCCATTCTACACACGAATGGCCGTCTCTGCTATCAAGGCGTACATCCTCCTCCATGATCAGCCTGACCTCGCCCATGGACCGATGCCCACCATCGTCGATGGTACTGAGGGATTGACCGAAGAGGAGAAGAAGAAGGCCCTCAAGAAGGCCAAGAAGGAGCAGCAACGTTTGGAAAAGATCGAGTCTGATAAGCGTGACGCAAGAAAGGCCGCCGCCGCCAATGCCAAGAATGTCGATGGAGAAGTCAAGAAGGAAGACGCCGATCCTTTCGGCCTCACCCTAGTGCAGACCAAGGATCCTCTCAACGAAGCCATGAAGTTCTTGACACCCCTCATCAGCCTGAGCTCGCAGAACATCGAGTCCCAGACCCTTGGTTTTGAGGTTTACCTTCGCAGGAGTAAGTCTTTACTATCGACTTTTGTTTCATCTTATATCTAACGCAGTATTTTTTTAGACAAGCATATCCTTGCCGTGAAGTGCCTCTCAGCTGCCCACGCCATTGACCCCTCAAACCCCACTCTCCACTTGCAGCTCTTGCAATTCCGCAAGGCTCTCGAAAAGCCTGCTGAGTCCATTGACCCTAAGGTTGCCGAGGTTGTCAACGCCGAATTCGAGAAGCTCCTCCCCAAATCCCAGGACCTTGAGGAATTCAACGAGTCTTTCCTCTCTGCCAACAAGGCCAGTGCCACACATGTCCAAGCTGCTCTTTCTGGCCGTCTCCTCCTGAATGCGGACTCTAAGACACAGTGTGAGAAGGATCTTTTGGCTACCCTCGACTCTTCTGATATCACCATCGATGAAGCTGCTCTTGCCCTCGAGCTTCTGACTAAATGGGGTATCGATAAGGCCGCCTATGCTGAAAAGGCGACTAACAAGTGGCCAGAGTCTTCCGTTTTCCGTCTGAACTAGAGCTTTTGTCACCAGTGAAGCTAGGCTGAGTTCCACCAAGGTGGTTAGAGTATCGTTGGTTATACATATGATATGAAACACCATCTCAAGAAGAAAAAAAATCAAAGATCAAATATATTCAGATTACAAAGTATCTATTCACCCATGTGGGCAGCTTTGCCCCATCAACCTTCAATTGTTGGAACCTTGGAAGTAGTAGCATGTAAACCTTTAAATGTTGGAACCTAGTACATGTAAACTACATACTACCTAGGATCAATTTCGGGCATTTTTTTGAAGTAGGTACACATTGCTACCTGACATCTGGATATCTACTAGGTACCTCAGCTATGGATACCCAGTGTTTGAAGCCTGGGCAGGGCTCCAGGGCTCCGGGGCTGTCCACTTCCAAGGTTAGATCAACATTTGAATGAATTTGCACACATGTGTGAGCAGCAGCTGCATGTGGGTATATATAGTATGAGGTGCTACCTACTACATTATGGAATATTGCCCGCAATTCCCGAGGTCAGACATCAATTGATTGGTACTTTCTTGGTACATACATTATGATAAAAACTCAAATGTCTCAAATGATCTATTGCATATTGTGCCATATACACCCCAATGAAAATATGAAGCACTGAAAAAAGAAAAGAGATTGAGAGGCGCCTAATATACAACCTTGAAAGCCAAGGATAAAAGATATGCAAAGATAGAGCTGAGAAAACAAAACATTCCTCATGTTTTAGACAATCAAATGAGATAAACGAGGAGACACCACCTTTCTAATAATGAAACAAGGACCACAGAGGGTCATTAATAGCTATGCATCAGTTAAGCATCAAATTCACCATCGTAGTTGCCATAGATTGGCTTGCGGCGGATGGTCTCCTCATCTTCACCATATCCGTATTTGATCCACATGCTCTTCCAGAATGAGACAGGAAGCGGGCGCTCTTCACCAAGGATGTATTCCTCACGCGTAGCCAGACGCTGAGAGCGGGCTTCATCTTCAGGGGAAACTTGCGCAATGCTCATACGAGAGGCGATGCGAGGGTCCAGGACAATATCATCCAACCATTCGCGTTCCAGGTCCTTCTCATCACGCTTGTGCACAGACTTGTGCCATTCCTTCTCTTCCTTCTCTAGAACAGTCTGTTGCTCGTAGTGGCCCCGTACAACGTCGGTAGCGGAGCCTTCGGGGGAGGCAAAAGAGTCGACAGCGACGCCGCTTAGCTCGGAGTCAGCACTGAAGGATTCGTCGCGGAAGGGTCTCGAGCTGTTGGCGAGCACAACAGCAGCAACCTCACGGCCGATGTCTTCGGCGAGGTGGCGCTGGTTAAGGTAGCGGTACATGCGGATGGGGGTGTTCAGGAATCCGAGGATGTGGGGGAATTCAATGGGGGTGGAGCTGTCGAAAGACTGGGGAATAGAAGGCGGGAGTTGAGCGGACGGATAATTGGCGGATGTGATGTAGGCATCGGGAGGTCCGGTAGGCTTGGATGGCTTTTCTTCTTCCTTCTTCTCATCCTTCTCCTCCTTCTTATCCTCATCGAGCTTCTTTTCGAGTGTTTCGAGGGTCTCCACCTGAGAGGTGTTCTCGATGGGGGCATCCCCAGCCGCGATATCCTGAATGGGGTTTTCAGACACCTCGACAGCAGGAATCTCGGCAGGTGGGGGGACAGGAGCATCCATGGGTCCCAACCATCCCTCATGTAAACCTCGGATATACTCCTTCCATGTGTGTCGTCCAATCACCAAGTCACCCTTAGGGCCGGACTCATCTCGAATACCCTTGGCCTCCCGCCCTGCAACCACAATATCTTCAGTAGTAGGCTCGCGGACATCTGTGCTTGGTTCACCGGCTCTGCGCCTCAGCTTTCGGATATTCTCCGCCGTGCTGGCGCGCACCTGGCCTTCTCGTCGGCCCTCCACCACGGTGTAATCCAAAGCCGCGGCGGTCAAGATCGGCTTCACGTACTCCTTGAAATGATCTCTGGCAACCTTCAAGCCATCTCCCGGTGGTGCGGCAAGATAAACGGTCAACCTACGGCGCATCTCCGTCTCGCCTAGTGGCTCCTTCGCGATATGGGCAACCAGCTCACTCCATTTTTGCTGCGAGCGGCGCTTCTCTCGACGGTCGTAGATGATAGCGCTAGCAAAAGAACCGGTGATTGTGAGAAAGATCATCCAGTTTCGGGAAGGAAGTTTAAGGCGAATGTTGGGTAGACCTGATGGTTTTCATATTGGCATTAGTATTCCTGTCTGGCCCGAATCGCGAAATTTCCGGGGAAGAATGAGGATTTACCCATCATTTTGAAAACAGGATTCGGAGGCTTGGGAGCAGCCTGGGGCTTAGCAGCCCCGGCAGGCGCTGCTGAATTAGACGAATCCGCCATTGTTATTTTATGGGGAATCACGAACGATTGCTGTTGCTGTTGCTGTTCGCGCTCTTGCCATATTCTGGATCTGGAAAAAAGTTACCCGATCCCGTGATCCAAATCACGTGCTTATCTTATAGTTTTGACTTTGGGAATAAAAGTGTTCTTTCTTTTGTATTTTATTAACGGTCATGTTGAATTACTCCTACAATCGAACTCCTTCGAGTTATCTAGGAAAAGGCCTGATTTTCTGTGTTGGGCGAGGTTGATAGTCATCAATTCGTGCTGTCCCTTAAAAATGTTTCAAGTGGGTTCCGCGGAGAGTTGTTTGCTGCACCTAATAGGTTTATCCCTGTGAACATTTGAGCCTGACTGGAATGTCTTGTAACATCTGAATCAATCAGGGGGTCAATTACCCCTCCCCCTGGATGCTCATGGTCAATGTGGCATACAAAAGCATGAACATTTTGTATGAATTGTATGAATTGTATTAAATAGTTCATCTCAAAGAGACCCCGATAGGCGATATCGGATCCCATATTTAGTAACATCCAAGCAATGGGCATTTAGATCTCCATGGTTCGGTTTCTTGTTGGATGTGTAGGGGTATGGAAAAGGACATAGTGACATAGTACATTACAAGGTCAAAACAGTAGGCAACAACACATACAGGTTGTGTGACCAGTCATTGAGATCCAGGGGGAAAGACTATAACAATCGCCAGTTAATGTTCGGGGGTGGATTATTATTCTTTTGCCTCCTGAGAGCCACCGCTCCTTCAAAACCTCCCCGCCTTCTCCTTTACCCATCACCTTCAACTTCACACCCCACCATCTTTTTGTCTTCAGTTCCCTGGGAGTAAGGGCCACTTTCAAGATGGATCCCAATAACAACCCCAATAACCGCAACAACATGAATTACGGGTACAATGATCGCAACTATAACGCGGCTAACAACCGCGCGTATCCCACCACTCCGTCCGCTTTTCCCCAGCCGATTTATCAGACTCAGGGGGCCCAGGACCATGTCGACCCTTCCAACCCTGCCTACGCTCCTGGCTACTTCATGGCCAGCCCATACCCACCCCAGAACCAGAATCAGAACCAGAACCAGGCTCAGGCCCAGGCCCAGTACGCCCAACAGCAGCAATACGCACAGCAACAACAAAACCTGCAGTCGCCGCAGGCCGCCTACCAGAACCGCATGGGCTATCAAAACGACGGCACCAATGGTCTGATCCAGCAATTCTCCAACCAGGATCTCAATGCCAACCGTGGAGGTTTCTTCGGTCGGACAAACTCGCCTAGTCAGCGGCCCCGTACCGCGGGGGGCTCCCCGGCCCAGGGCCAGGCCCAGGCCGCACACTTAGTTCCTCCCGTGCCTCGCAGCCCTCGTCCGCCGGCGGAGAATGAGGAATTGCAGCGATTCTCTGACCGTTATTCCGAGAATGTGCACAAGCGGGGTAAGGCTGCAAAGGAATTGGTGACGGTCTTCTTCCACGAGAACATCGAACGTGCCCGGGACCGTAACATGCGGTAAGTTTTGAGTGTCTGGATCGACAATACCTATCTCCACATGATATCATTTAGTTCGGATTACTGACTGGCCCCATTTGGTAGATCCGTGGACCTTGACAAGACCCTCCGAGATCCTAACATTGTTGCTGAGAAGAAGAGTGAGGACGCCGAAGTGATTTCAAAGAGAGAGTCAGACTTCCTCCGATTCCTGCGAACCAAGGAGACCCCTCAAAACTTCCAATCGATCAAGATCATTGGAAAGGGTGCTTTTGGTGAGGTGAAACTGGTGCAGCGTAAGACCGACGGAAAGATCTATGCCCTCAAGTCTTTGATTAAGACGGAGATGTTCAAGAAGGATCAGCTTGCGCACGTACGCGCCGAGCGTGATATTCTAGCGGACTCGAAGGACAACCCTTGGCTAGTGAAGCTGCATGCTTCATTCCAGGATGCGGCTTATTTGTACTTGCTGATGGAGTTTTTGCCTGGTGGTGATTTGATGACTATGCTGATCAAGTACGAGATCTTCTCTGAGGATATCACTCGATTTTACATGGCTGAGGTTGTGATGGCCATTGAGGCAGTCCACAAGCTTGGCTTCCTTCATCGGTAAGTTATTCAGCCCTGTTATGATCATCTGCATGATCAATGTTGCATGCCCCTAATATGAACTGAATGCTCACAATTCCTTGCAGTGACATCAAACCTGACAACATTCTCCTTGACCGCGGCGGCCACGTCAAGCTCACTGACTTTGGTCTCTCGACTGGAGGCAAGAAGACCCACGACAACGCTTACTACCAAAATCTTCTTAAGAACTCGACATCAAAGGACCGCAACCGTAACTCTGGTTACTTCAACGATGCCATCAATCTTACGGTTTCCAACCGTGGACAGATCAACACTTGGCGAAAGTCTCGTCGTGCCATGGCTTACTCGACCGTCGGAACCCCCGACTATATTGCCCCCGAGATTTTCAATGGTCAAGGTTATACATACCTGTGTGATTGGTGGTCTGTTGGTGCTATTATGTTCGAATGTCTTGTTGGATGGCCTCCATTCTGTGCCGAAGATACTACGGACACATACCGCAAGATTGTGAACTGGCGTGAATGTCTTTACTTCCCTGATGAGCTGGTTCTCTCGCGTGAGTCTGAGTCCTTGATCCGAAGCTTCCTCTGCGATCCCGAACATCGTGTTGGTAGCGAGGGTGGTCAACATGGTGGTGCTACCCAAATCAAGAACCACCCCTTCTTCCGAGGTGTGGTTTGGGACCAACTGCGGAACATCCGTGCTCCTTTCGAGCCACGTCTCAGCTCAAACATTGATGTGTCTTACTTCCCGATCGACGAGATTCCGCAGGAGGATACTAGCGCTATCCACCGTGCTCAAGCCCGCGCTATGCCAGAGTCTCAAGAAGCCGAGATGAGTTTGCCCTTCATTGGGTACACTTACAAGGCTTTCAATGCTTTCCAGTCAACATAGATGCTTGGCCATCTTGTTTTCTTTTGTCAAGGATTGTCATTGAGCTTTGTGTGGTGATGAAACTCAACGCGTGAAAGCAGGCAGGGCTTGCATCACCGTGGTTTTTTTTTGCATACCTCAGGTTGCGCAATCCTAGACTGTTCTGATCTCACTACAAATCTTCATTCAGCATATCAGCGCGATTTTTTTTCCATTTTTCCGAATCATGACCCCAAGCGCCGTCTTTTGGTTCTAGTTATCAGTATCTAACGTTCTACGTGATGGTATTTATCCCTTTTGCATCTCCCCAAAGAACAGATGTGGGGCTTAAACATTGCATCCTGCATATTAAGTCATGATTTCCATCATCACATAGTATCTCATAGTTTGCAAAATCAAAAATATCCCCTCCTTATGATATACTACTTTATGCTGGAAAGGCCGGCAGTTACTATGCCTCCCCCTTTACTACATGAGTCCCTGTTGGTTTTTTTTATTACATTCCCTAGTTGGTCCCTAGGTAGTTGAGAGGTAGGAGATGAAGGTAGGCACTGGACAGTGAGTACTACAATGCGGTCAATACCTATCTCAAGTACTGAGTAGTATGTATATGCCCATTCCAACATCGAAGTATTAAGCACGTATTATGTACTGCAGGTGGGCACTTCAAGGTTAGATACATCCAATGCTATTATCATGGCATCCATCTGACATCACATGCATGTATCTATCTCGAAGCTTCGTGAAAAGTCTCAATGTTCTGCCTAATGGTCGACATTGGGAGGTCTCGGCCATCTATGCCTCTCTAGCACCTGTAAAGCCTTCCTCAACTCCACCGCAAAAAGGTTCGGCTCAACTTGATATCCTGAATGATGGCTCGGGAACATGAAGCGTGGGCATGCTAACATTTCCGCCTGAGCGATGGTTGTTCGAGCATAGAACGCATCTCCGCTTTGCACTCCAGCTGCAACCCCGATCTTGACTCGATTATCCACCATTTTTCTCAGGTCTGGACAATATATGGTAAGCGCCAAGTATTCAAATGTTCATTCTCCCAAAAATTCCTCCAATCCTCACACGAAGGCTCCGCAAGGGGCGGACTACTTTCAAACCCCTCCATCTCCATTCGAAAGACCTGCAGAGCGGCATCCTCGCCCGACGAATGATGAATATCTAACAGCATAAACGCCCGATCCAGGCGATACGTCGCATCATCAAGCAGAGCCGTAGTTGGTGCTTCATGCACAATCACCCGGTCGAGAAACTCTGGATAACTAACAGCAAACTGAAGTGCAATCACCCCGCCCCCGCTATTCCCAAAGATCGAGGTCCATTCATGACCCCAGGCTTTGCAGATGCCGATTATATCGCGAGCCTGCTGGGCCGGGCTGAGTGTTTTGGGCAAGGCCACCTGACTGGTATTTGTCTGTCGGCGATCATACGTGCATACTGTAAATGATTGGTCTAGGTACTCGAACAAGGGGTTGAACTGTCGACCTATCCCACCGCCGCCAGGGATGAATATCAGCAAAGGTCCTGTGCCTTGGTACCAGTAATGTAGGTCGCAGTCCTCCGTGAAGACTGATTCGTGTATGGGATTAAAGGGTATTTGTTCAGATGGTATCAGACTCTGGTTGCTTGGAAGTGGGCTGAATGATTGGAAAGAATCTAGATTTCCGGTGTGATTGTTGGTAAATTAATACATTATTGCATGGTAATCCGCAGATGAGTGCTCTCTCCACATGTGCAATGCAACCCCACGCCGATCCAGACGAATCCGTCTTTGCTCGATGTCCATGAATCATTGCCCTCCACCCACTTGACAAATTTTTTCCCCTAAACAAATGAAGTCAAAATAGACTATATCAGTCTGGGGGCTTGGGTGTTGGAAAAGAAGTTCCAATTCTTCTTGTCTATAATGTCTCAAAAACCAAGCCCTAGACTACACCCCACGATGGGTGTACAAGCAGAATCTACTCAGAATGAGCCTTCTCAAAAAATCACCACCAAAATGCTCCTTCTGACCATCTGTGTCTCGGGCGCCGCCTGGATTGCCGAGTTCGACAACGGTTACGCCGGCATCGTTCTAGTCATGCCCGCATATAAAAAAGCATTCGGCCACTGCCAGCAAGTTCCCGACCCAGTGACCGGAGCCAGTATCGAGCAATGCAGTCTCACCACGCTACAACAATCTCTCATTAGTGTGAGTATATTATTTATGGCAGTTGGATGTGCCTTTGCAGGAATCTTCGGCTCGATGCTCGGCCGCAGAGCGACTATCCAAATTGCTTGCCTTTTCTGTATCATTGGTGCCGCCGGGATGCTGGGTACATCGGGCAGTTTTCTGAACTACATGGTCTGCAAATGCATCAACGGCATCGGAATCGGTCAGCTTCTGGCTTCCAGTATTGTTTATGGCTCCGAGTGCGTTGTCGCAAGCAAGCGGGGCCTTTTGCTCGGCATTTATAATATTGGACTCGCGATGGGCAATGTGACTGCGGCGGCTGTATGCGCTGGATCAGCAACTCTATCGCCGACAAACGACTGGCAGTGGAAAATGCCTATAATCTGCCAGATCCCTCTGGGTATCATCCTTGGTCTCGGCGTGATGCTGTTTCCTGAATCACCGCGGTGGTTATTGTTGAAAGGAAAAGATGAGCAGGCGCGGAGGTCTTTCGCTACATATCAGCACTTGGATCCGGACTCAGCCGCCATCGCAACTCAACTCAACGAAGTCCAAAAGCACCTCGATCTTGAAAGGACACTCGACGCTACTACATCCTGGTTGGAGATCTACCGTGGTGTCAATCTCCGACGGACCGCCGTTTCCGCTCTCATTCTCGTTGGACTCGCCATCAGCGGCGTACAATTCGTGGGGCCATTTGCAGCACTGTTCCTCAGTGGACTGGGGATTGATAATCCATACCTGATCAATGTGATTGTTGGGCTGTGCATTTTCGCCGGTGCCTTCATCGGCCCTGTGGTCCTAGATTACGGCGGACGACGATTCGCCATGTTATACGGGTACGCAGCTATGGCAGCCTGCATGCTCATATTGTCCGCCGTTAGCACGGCTCTCGGCCAATTTGCTCCCACATCCCAAAATGTTGTGGTTGTCTTCCTTTGCATCTGGGCATTCGTTTTTGGCGGATTCATTGGTCCCAGTGTATGGCTTGCTTCGGCTGAGATGCACAGTGTCCGGATGCGCACGTACGGGCAAGCGAATACGACATTCCTATATGAGATTTTCAGTTTCGGAGCCACATTTTGGACACCTTATATGTTGAATGTCAACTATGGTAACATGGGATCTGATGTTGGATACTTCTACTTTGGGGTTACGTTAGCGGTTTTGATTTTAGTGTTTCTGTTCGTGCCGGAAACTTCCAGATTAACGCTTGAGCAGATTGATGACTGCTTTCTATCTGGGAAAAAGGCCTGGAAGACTTCAACCAAAAGAAATATTGCTATTTCTCGTGGCGACTTGATCGAAACTGTACAGTCTGAACATGAGGCGCTTATGGTTCATCGGGCTCAAACTGCATCTACAAGCCAGCAGGTGAATCAGTCAGTCCAGACTGCCAGCTTGTCTGATTATTAGTACACATAATACCAGTACACAATTATTATTAATTTGACGATATCTCTTGAGATCTCGGTACCTCAAGGCTGTCATTCACTTTTACTGAGTAAATTACTTGAATGTCTTGAAATGTTGTATACTACTAGATTCAATGCTACTAGTTAACTTAGAACTAGTCCCAAAGTGGGTCCATATATACGATGACTAATCATCCAAGATCCGCGATCCGAAAGAAAATCCCGACATTCAGCGTATCTTTCTACCGTTACCTTTCACGACCATCGCATCTGTCACTCAGCCGAAATTTCCAGCGCATCACCTTCGCAAACTCACCAAGCATCCAAAATGTCTCGCGAAGCCTACCAAGTCCCCTCCACCGGAGGCACCCAGAACGCCTTCAGCAACGATGGCGGATACAGCAACTCCATGGCTATCGACTCTCCCTCCGTCGTTTACCTGTGCGGCGAGTGCTCTGCCCGTGTCCCCATCAAGCGTGGAGACCAGATCCGTTGCAAGGACTGCGGTCACCGTGTGCTCTACAAGGAGCGTACCAAGCGGTGAGCTTATCTTTCGTCTCCGGAGACCCTCTTTTTGCTGGCGCATTAGCTGACGTTTTCTTTTCTTCTGGCTAGTATGGTGCAGTTCGAAGCTCGGTGAAATCGACCATAATATTTGATGAAATCCAAGGGGCTTGGCCCGGATTTGCGGTCCTGTGAACGTTGGACGAGCTTGTGATATCTTTGCGCTTTTTTATTCTCGCTTTGACGAATTATGCATCAAATGGCGCTATGGGAAATTCAAACAAATAAATTTTACATTCGATACCAAGATTGGCGATCTCTTCATTTTTGTAGGTGGCCGCTTTCAGCCGGTGATTAAAAAGCTACTATATCTTGGGATGGATGGAAAGCTTCTGTAAGTTCAAGTTGCGTTTGACTTGGGCATTGATGTCATTCCACATTATTCATTCCATGAAAGATATTTGGTAAATAATATCTTTAAAAACAAATTTAATAAAAAGACATTATTTGTGAAAGAAAGATCAGTCCGAGATTACAAAAATCCGAAACATCCAAGAAACATCCGACTGGGAGATGACTGTAAGTCATTACAGCTGGTTGCTGATTTCAATGAACTTTTCCAAGGACTGGAGAGCTTGACCGCTCTCAATAGCCCAGCGTGCGCGGCGCAATCCCTCCTTCCAGCGTCCACCACCTGGTCCACGCTCAGTGATGACCTTGCCGTCATCGCCGAAGCCCATGTTGCTGGTCTCTGCCTCACACATCCCAGAGGTGACAAGCAAAGCAGCAACGTTCATGAGGACAAACTCCAAGATAGGATCGTCCCGAGGCAGCTCATTGCGGAGAATGCTCATCAGCTTCTTGGCGTTGTCCTTGGGCATTTTACGCCCATAAACCTCAGTAAGAGGGTGAACCTTGACTCCGAAGTCCGTTGGGTGGAGCTGGAAGGAATCTATTTGGACAATGGTGCGAGGGTTGTATTTTTCGTCATCCTCGTCACTAGACTCCCCATCCTCCTCCTCGGGATATGGCTTGTAGTTGGGGTTGGGGTGTTCAGTGATTCTCCAGCAGTTTGTGTAGCCTGCGCAGCTGATCTCATCCATGTCCTCTGCACCACAAACCACCAAGGCCTTCTTGGCACCAGCTTGCTTGAGAGCCTCTACAAACACTGGGCCCAGGGCCTGGTAAGCCACACCAACAACTCGGGCTTCAATGGCCCACTCGATGGGGTTTGCGAGAGGTCCCATAAGGTTGAAGATGGTTCGAAGACCAAGTCCGCGACGTACGGGATTGGCATACATCATACCAGGGTGGAAGTTGGGGGCGAACAGGAAGGCATAGTTGGTTTCCGAATAGACTCTGGCAATGTTGTCTGCTGTTACAGCATCGATATTGGGCGCAATGGGGGCGATTGCTTTGAGGACATCTGCGGATCCGGAGAAAGATGTCTGTGCGCGATTTCCGTGCTTTGCGGTCATCAGTAGTGGTGAGGCAATGATCGAGGAAGCGGTGGACACGTTGAAGGTTGAGTGAGAATCACCGCCAGTTCCAACAATATCGCACTGAGTTAGGGAAAAAAACATGTTAGCTACAACATACAATAATGTCTTTGAAGAATCAAATATCATACCAAGCCACCCTTGTAGTTTCCTTCAGCTTTTCCCCGAAGCTTGACAGCTGCCTTCAAGGAAGGCTTGTCAATAGCGCAAGCGGCCTCTCGCATGCGATGTGAGCATTTCGCGATGACATCAGCTTCCTTATCCTTGCCGGTTGAATGAAGCAGCGTCAAGAGAGCTGCAGTTTGAATGACTGATAGTTGATCTTCAAAAATAAGCGCAAATGCAGAAGCAATGTCATCTGCGCTAACTTGGAAACCAGGATCGGCGGGGTATGCCAGGCGCTTAAGGAGGGGAGAGATAGAAACAGTCTCCTTAGACTGGGTGGGGGTAGTAGACATGATGAGAGAGAGGCCCTGCAATTGAATTAGGGCTTCAATTTAAGGATTGAGCACTTCAATTGGGAGGTCGGTATAGCTTGTAAACAAAAAAAGCAAGCATCATGACTCAAGAAATGCCCCTCTCACCGCAGTACTTTGGTCAACGGCAGAACAATACACCGCCTTTAACGCGCTTTACCACTTCGGGTGCCAAAAAATATCACCTGAAAATACCAATTTCAATGTTCATGCCGGGGGCTTTCTTGATTCTTTGATCCACTCCTTTCATCTTGCAATTGCTTGGATTTGTTCTATCCAGCACCACACATACAAAATGCCACCCCGGTTACAACTTTCTTCCCTGCGGCGAAACGCCCTGCAGTGTCCATATGAACTCCAGATGCTCAGGAAAGCCAGCACGGCAGCTACCACACCTGCAGCATCAATTGAGCAAATGACACGCTCCCCAGTACCAGTTTCGCGATCTCCTCCTACCCAACCACCGTCGCACCGTAATCCCGAATACCGTCGGTCACAGCTTCTCCGACAATATACCTCAATTCTCCGTACATCTCCCCTGATGGTGCTGTTCCAACACAACAACCTCAAGTCCATGGAATGGGCTTCTATCCGACGAGAACTTGTCAAGGCGCTGGAAAAGGTGGATGAGAAGATTGCCGCCGAGGGCCGGACCTCCCCAGCCCTAGCTCCCTATATCAAGATCCAGACCGTCCAGACTAGCATCTTCGAAGCTGCCCTGCGCATTGTAGAGCACTTCCGACCTACCGAGGCCGCATTGGCTTCCGGAAAGCCCCCGAGCGCCGTCGACCCCATTACCCAGACCTCCGCCGAATTGCCCATCCTTTCCGGTTCTCGCGATGATCCCGCCCTTACTCACGACTTGTCGCGTGCCGCCTACCAAGCGGTGAAGCACCTGAAGGGTCGCCACGAGCTTGCCGACGTCCTCGTCGGCCCCATCGCTATTCTTTCCATCCCCGCCGTTTCTCCCGAGCACATGAAGGCTGCTTTGTCGATCTTGACCCCCAAGGAATCCGGTTTCCGCGGACCTACCCGCAAGGCCAACCCAGACTACCACGAGCCTATTGTGCAGATCGGTCTGCAGAAGCTGAACCTCCTGGCTGCGCGCATTGACGGCCAGGTCCTTGACTTGAACCAGACCAAGTGGGTTGGAGGTATCGAGGGTGGCATGGATGGCCTGCGCTCTCAGCTCATCATGTCCTTGCAGAGCACGGGCTCCAGTCTTACCAACACCCTGGAGGGTGCTGGCAAGAGCCTTTACTTCACTATGGAGAGCCGGAGAAGTGCTTTGGAGGAGGAGCAGAAGCCTGAGGGCGAGAAGAGCGAGTTGTCTTAGTCTGGTCAAGGCCACTTTCAATCTTGTATAATATGTCATATAGTTGGGATCCTGATCCTCAAGCATCTTTTGTCCCGGATGGGTGTATACTGTCTTAGCAATCAACATTCGAATCGACCGTTCAAACGCGCCCAGTATAAAAGCCAACCACAGTATGCATAGTTACTACTCGGCCATGCAGATGTGAGTATCAGCCGTTTCTTTGAAGTTGGAAGCTCACGTGCATGTTTATGTGAGGTTGACTCAACATTTGAACACGATTGATATAATGTGCTTGGTGAATACACGTAAAATGATAGGCCATGATCTAGGACAGACGCGATAGTAGCTGGGAACTCAGCCTTGAGGAAGAACAAAAGGGAAAAAAATTGGTGATAATATACACTGAGGTAACACCATGCGATCTCATTAAAGCATAATGGAAAAGGCAAGTCCAACCTCCCCTCCGTCTAAAAAGGTAGATAAGTCTATTTAGTCTGGTTCAGACGCAGCTTAGCGTTCATGCCCACAATACAACGCACAAGGTCCCAGTCCCCATCGTGACCAACCCAATCTGTCACCAAGATACCTGTCGAGCAGTCGCCATCATCATCCTTGTGACGACGGCAAAGATAGTCAACAATAGCCGGGTTCACCTTGGCAGCGATCTTCTCCGGCCAAGTATTAGTCTTCCATAAGTTACTGGCACTCAAGAAGTTGATAAAGAAAGGATACTTCCGGGTCTCTTGTGCACTCGGTAGCACACCAGAAGGATAATGAACATGTGAAGCGCGATCAATCTGCTCCTTGACAAATTTAATCTTCTTCTCAATATTAGTCGATTCCTGAACCTCATAGAAGTCCTGAATGCAGAGCTGTCCACTCGGGCAAGTCGCGCTGGGGGTATTATCTTCCCAAGCAGCAGCATCGATTCCCCATCCATTCCCTCCATGTTCCTTCTTTAGGTCCTCACTCAAATTGAAACGGCGGATAAGCACCACCTTGCCGCGCGCCTCGCCCAAAGTCGGGATCTTAGGCCGAACCCACCAGCGACTGCCTTCACCTGCGTAATGCTGGTGCAAGATGTGAGCGAGCTGCTCATCCTTCGCATTCCCAGTACCCTCTCGCTTAAGCGAGATGACCAATGTTTCGGACGGGTTCTGTTCCAGAAACTCGTTGACCTCCTTCATCAAGTCACGGAAGTATTTATTTCCGGTAAACGAGACGGGGAAAACGCTGTGCACTAGGATCAGCTCATCCTTCGCCGGATCATCTGGATATTGCGGCTGAACACGGATATCGAAGAAGCGGACGCCGTTCTTCAATTGCTCGCGCGGGCTGACGGCCTGGCAGCGCACGGAAGGTGGGGCCATGTAGCATGTTGGGGAGTTGTGAGTTCCTGGAATTGAGAGCGCGGAAAGCAAGGTGTCGTCACGCAATTCGTGCATCCAGGCATTTAGATTCGCGGAAGAGAAGATGGTCAAGTGAGACTCCGGGGTGATGTAAACACCTGTGAAGCGGTATTTGGGGTGCTGGGTCAGCGCGTTCATGGTCGCCGACTCGAGGGTCGGGACTGGGGTTTGAATCTGGTGTCGCTCGCCCTCGACATCGAAGGTCAGACGCATGCGCTCCTTTTCGGAGTTCTTGAAGACGCGGCGCTCGGTCTTTTTGGTTGTGAATGGGTCCACGCGGATGTCGAGACCTTGCAGTTCCTCGAACGGTCTTGTTTGTTCGGTGATTGCGAGAACTGGGGCATTGGTGCGGGTTTGATTTGTGAGAACACGTGTAAAATTTCTGGCTAGAAGTGTGATATCGGTGCTTGACTCTGGTGCTGCGAAGCGCTCAATACGCTTTAGCACGATTGGAGTGGATGTGTTATTACGGATGGTGAGAAACTCGGCGACCATGGTGGGTGGTTTGATTGTGAGAAAGCTTTGAAAGGGGGGAAAGCAATTCAAGCAATTGGTCGGGAGTATAAGGCGGTTGAAAAAGATGTATCAGAAAGCCCAGGGAGCTGAACAGAATTTACCCATCAGGACTCAGGAGGATCTGCGGGCGCCTATCGTGGGGCTCTCTTGGCAATCGTTGATTCCATTCAATGTTTACAGGTGACAGAATCACGCTTCAGGTGACAGCCACTCAACTTCCAGCCTCACAGTCAATTCCAATCCGAGCGAGAGATCTCATCGCAAGAATTTAGAAATTATACAGCAGAAAGATCGTGATTATGTGATTGATGTGATTTAATGTCTATATTTAACTTCTCCGTAGTTTCCTCATCAGGACTAGTGCCATGAAGTACATGAATCGAATGCAGATGATTCTGATCTAGAAATGTAGCTCAGATTTGAATATTCCGGGGCTCTGAGGTACTTTATGCAAGCACAGTGCGCCGAGCAGTTAAAATTTCAGGTATAGTAAGTACCCATTTCTAGGTCCTAGTAGCCCTGGATGTTACACTTGAAGTGTATGTACTACTAGTACACACTACGTGCTTAAGACTTGGAATGGGCATATACTCAAAACTTGAGTATTCAAGATGAGAACCTGCTCAGCACTCGAGATAGGTACTTACTACACATGCATGTATTGACTGCATGGTACTCATCATGCGCTCAGAGCCTATTTCCAGTTCCTAATTTTCAACTACCAAGTTTTCAACTAGGGAACTCATATGACCAAAAAAACCACAGCATCCATAGTAAGTAGTAAAGGTGGAGGTAAACAAACACCTTCTTATCGTAAACACATGTGGATATTCTCAAGTAAGGAAATTCTTTCCAAGGTTTTCGGGTCTCCAAATTCGTGATCGAGCCTCTTCCCCGCATATCGGAGCTTGGGGTTCTGCGGGGGTTTACTAGGGCTTAGTAGGGCCCCGAATACCTAAAAAGCATAATTTCCCAACCCTTAGTATATACTAACTTACTCTAAATTTTCTGATTGGGCAGCTGGATGTGAAGATAACAACTCTTGGCCGGATCCGGTCTCCCATATATCAGATCCCCCACGTAGAACCCGGTATGAAGGATAACGTTAAAGCGATTTCCCCGCCATGGGAAAGCTACCTTATCAAGGCAATCCTATTGCAAGGTTAACAACTATGGCACATACCTAGTAGGTATATGGATGAGGTTGTATCCATGGATGAGATCTCATTGAGGGGCACATCATTCATTCCCAAACAATCTGCACCTCGTTCATTATGTTGGAATCTGATCCAGACGTGTTGGATGGCATTGCAGGCCCCCGAGGCTCAGAAAATGGTGTCTTCCACAAATAAAACTACGATTCAGAAAAGGCAACAGACTCGAAAGATCTTGACGGGGCAGGAGCCCCCGAGCTTGCCGAGGTGAAAGAGCTAAGGTTTGTTTATGCTTGAAGCAAATCAGACTTTGAAAAACACAATCATCAAGAACTTATTCTCATGGTGTCTATATAGAAAAGGCTTACAGCAACGACATATCCAAATGATTGCACTGGCAGGCACAATTGGAACAGGGTTGTTTCTTGGATCAGGTCGAGCCCTAGCTAATGCTGGACCAGCTGGTATCTTGTAGGTCAATTCACCCCAGGATTGATTAAAAAGCTGACAGCCACTTAGCATGGGGTATTTATTCATGGGATTTCTGATATCTGGCGTGACCCTTTCAATTGGAGAGCTCAGTGCTCTCATTCCCCTCAGTGGAGGTGTTATCCGCCCTGCTTCTTATTTTGTGGATCCAGCGTTTTCCTTCGCGCAGGGATGGAACGTAACATATCAGTACTTGATATCAATCCCAGCCGAGATCTCAGCGGCTGCTGTGATAATCCAGTTCTGGGTTACGGTGAACAATGCTATCTGGGTGACTGTATTCAGCGCCGTCCTTTTCGCAAGCAACCTTTTCCTGGTGCGAATATATGGAGAAATCGAGTTTACATTGGCGATTTTGAAGGTTTGCTTGATTGTTGGTATGAATATCATGGTAAGATTCAACACTTGATTATGTTGTCGAAGAATGACAAGCTCATATCTTTCAGGGTCTTGTGATAACAGCGGGTGGAGGTCCGGATCACAAGAGCATTGGCTTCAAATACTGGCAAGACCCAGGTCCATTTGTGCAGTACCTGGGTGTTCCAGGATCTCTTGGCCGCTTTATGGGATTCTGGACGGTCTTTGCAAATGCTGCATACGCATATTCTTCAGTGGAGACCATATCAATGGCAGCAGCAGAAACCTACGCGCCTCGAAGAAACATTCCCAAAGCTGCCAAGCGAGTCTTTGTACGCGTTATGCTCTTTTATGGTAAGCTGAAAACACACCATAAATTTCATACATGGATACTTTCTAACAAATGAGCAATAAAATAGTGGTTTCTGTATTCATGATCACCCTTCTAGTTCCATCCAATGACCCAATGCTTCTCAGAAGCTCGGGCACGGCCGCTCAATCCCCATTTCTGATTGCTGCCACCCGAGCCGGCGTAAGTGTCGTGCCTCATATAATCAATGCAATTGTTCTGACTAGCGCATGGAGCTCTGGAAATTCAAGTCAGCATCCTCTTTGAGCCGCCCGAGGCAAATATGCTAAGCTGACATACTAAAGCTCTTCTGAGCGGGTCTCGTATTCTCTATGGTCTCGCTCGTGAGGGCCAGGCCCCCAAATTCCTTGCCCGCACTAATCGTTGGGGCGTGCCCTATGTGGGTGTTCTGGCCATCGGCGTCTGGATGGCCCTCGGATACATGTCTCTCAGTGCTACTGCTGCCACTGTATTCACCTGGTTACAAGACTTGGTCGCGTGTGCACAGATTATGAGCTGGTTGGTTATTTGCACCACCTACCTACGATTTTACTATGCTATGAAGAAACAGGGCGTTTCTCGAGACAGATTACCTTGGAAAGCACCACTGCAACCGTATGCCGCATGGGTTACTTTGGTGTCTTTAACTATAATCTTGCTGACGGGCGGTTATACAACATTTATTCATGGCCGGTCAGTCACAACAATCTTGGAAATTTCTAGTGGCTACTGAAACTCTTTCTAGCTGGTCAACCGAAACGTTCATTTCGTCATACCTGGATATTGGAATTTTCGCGACTTTTTATTTCGGATACAAGATTTGGTACAGAACGAAGATAGTTTCTTTGGATGAATGCCCGGTTCTCAGATTTGTCGAGATCGCGGAGAATGACCCCGACCCACCTGAAGAGCCCAAGTCTAGATGGTCTGCAATCAATATTCTGTGGAGCTAACTAAACCAAGACGTGGCAGACAAGGTGGGAAAGAGAGGAGTGATCCAACATTCATGGATTGAAGGTTTTACAAGAGCGCGTGTATGAAGATTTTCTATATGATGTTTTGTGAATCATTTTCATTATTCGATTCTATTTTTAATTCTTCACAAATCACTGCCACTTGTCTTCAGCCTTCGGTACTCTTCTCCTGTCGGGACTTGGGAATACCCCTCTTGTGGGGCTTGCTACATAGTGGGCACTCTAGTGACTTAGTCTCTCCCGCACCCAAGAGATCGTGCAATACCACCAATGGCTTCAAGAGTTACCACATACATTCCGAGGTCCCCAAGACGCCACTTGAGCAGAGAAGAAGATCAGCTGAAAACCTGCTCAGCAACGCCACAATATCACAAATTCTACTAAAAAAGCTTAGCGTTGTCTCGCAGCGCAGATCGATTGGACCTCGTCATGGCGACACTAAGCTTTAGCTGCATGAGAAGCTACATCATGCCTCGATAAGCGGTCTCGCCTTGGTCACATCCTAGCACGTGTTTGGTCCAAGCAATCTGCTTTTTGAATTGATAAGAAGCTCTGCATAAGTGGCCAGATCACCTTTGCATCATCTAGCATGATACCCAGGCGACATCGGCCCGGATTGACAATCTCGACAGTTAAATAGTAGACCCCCGCACCTTGCTCCTTCCTTCCTAAGAAGCAAATCATTTATTTCCCCCAACTCAAGTTTCAATTCCTATCAGTTCATCCACTTCAATTCCTCTCACGATGACTATCTCCCATTACGGTGTCTGGGCTTGTACCCCTACCAGCTATGAAGCTCAGACCACAGAGCAGGACTCCAAGTCCCCCCACATCTACCTCCACTTCACCGACGATTCCTCTTCCAGCAAGAGCCTCGAAGCCGCCATCAACGTCAAGTCCACCGACACCGACACCCGCCTTGTTTTCTGGGTGAACCGCAACTTCACACACCCCATCACCGAGCAGCTCTCTAGCCTAGCCCTCGGCTTCCACCTCGCCGCGTCAAGCAGCTCAAGCAGCTCAAGCAACGACAAGACTGAAAACAACAACAACAACCACTACGACCACCGCAACCGTCACCACAACCACCACCGCCACGTCCGTCGCGACCTAGTCTCCAGCTCCTTCCAGGGCCTGGATTTCGTTCGTACAAAGGACCTGGTGGACATTCAAGCCGGAACAATTCTCCCCCTGGACAACGGCTCTGATGCTGGTATGCTGAGCGAGCTGGACCCCATCATTCAGGACGCCATCAGCCAGAAGGCTACCGCGTACATTTGGGGCTCGTCTTACGGATCTGGTATTCACGATATCCACATGAACCAGGGTTCTTTGCCAAGCTACTCCAATGGTATCTACGAGGATGGTGCGCTGCTGTTCAAGTTCCCTGATGGACACTGGGAGTCTGTCTTCTTGGCTTTTGCTTCGCAGAAGATTCCTACTGATGACCAGGGAGAGTACACGGCCGACAGCAAATCGCTGGCTTCTATCCTGGGTGACAGCGAATAGGTTATTGGTCATTGGTCAATGTAGTATATAGCAGTGTTCCACACACGAAGAAATTGATATAGATCAATATCATTACCTCCAGTTCCCGATGGATCATCTAGAGCTTCTCAGGTTCAAACTTCAAACTTCAAACTTCAAGGTCGCAGAAACCAAATACCTTAAATTAGCCGGGTTTAGCCGACCGTGGTAACAAACTTCTAGAATACTACTAGTATTTAATTGAGCACGGCGTTTAGATTTACAGAGGCTATGCGCGATTTTAAAGTTGAGCACATTCTTTACATACTAGTAAGGTTGTTTGCTTCAAAACCTCTTCGAAGACATCTGGACGTTCGCTTTTTCAATGCTATATAAGCTTATTCTAGAAGGTATATCTGGAAGGCTAAATTTACTATGACTTGGAGTTTACATAGGCTGTGCGCGATTTAAAGTTGAGCAAATTTTCAATCTGGGAAGTGGTTCCAAAAGAAGGTATACTTCTAGAATCCTACTAGTATTTAATTTTAACATGGCGTTGAAATTTATAGAGGCTATGCGCGATTTTAAAGTTGAGCATGTCCGTTAAAGTTCTTTAAGGTTGTTTGATTGAAGGATGTTTGCGCTATAAGTAAAAGGTAGCGGGCCGTTCTCGCACGGGCCACTAAAGCATATGGATTCCATTAGGGCTGGGCCAGTCTGGTAGGTTGTAGTTTCTTTTAGAAAGATGCATTTCTTTAAGTTTATAAACCTATTCATTATCCATTCGTTTTCTTAGCACTTGTCATCTCAGGTTGAGCAGCATCAGCTGAGGCGATTCAATCAGCTCCCTGACACGATTACCCATACGTGCCATGGTTGCCCCGTCAATAACACGATGATCAGCGCTCCAGCTGAAATTCACGAGCTCGCCCTTTGTGACCTGTCCTGCATCATCGAACACAGGCAGTGTCCTTGTTCTTCCAATGCCAAGAATAGCAACCTCCGTCGGCACAATGACAGGCGCAACGTACGTCCCACCAATGTTTCCAATGTTCGAAACGGTGATGCTACCACCGCCCAGATCAGCAGAAGTCAATTTACCGGCCTTGCCGAGCTCACTGAGCCGGGCTATCTCTGTCGCAATGTCGAAGATTGACCGACTTGCCACATCCTTGATGTTAGGTACGATGAGACCTGTGGGTGTATCCATGGCAATACCGATATTGTGCTTGGCGCGCATGATCAACTTGGGTTTCTCGGGGATGCTGGCGTCTACTCGGGCGTTGAGAATAGGAAATTCGTTCAGAGCAAGTGAGACGGCCTTCACGATGAAAGGGAGAAGTGTGATTTTCTTGGGGTCCCGAGAATCGCTGGCGAGCTTCTTTCTGATGGAAGAGATGTCGCCAACTGTAAGCTCGTCGGCAAATAGTAGGTGGGGGGTGTTGAGGGATTTTGTCATTGTCTTGAACATGGCTGACTGCATTGGGGTCAATCTGACCTCGGACTCGGCCTGCTTGGTGTCCGGTGTTGAAGAGAATTGTGGTGGGTTTGAAGAAGATGATGTAGACGAATCTTGGGCCTCAACAAATCTTAAGACGTCTTCTTTCATAACTCTTCCCTCTTTTCCTGTGCCAGTGATGTCTAGAATGTCGAGTTTGTGAGTCTTGAGTAGCCCCCGCACAGCAGGGGTTGCAAGGGATGCATGCTTTGATTGGGATATCTCGGGTATGGCTTCGAAAGACGGAGAGGTTGAGTTAGGTACTGTAGAGCCCTCAGCAGCTTGAATTGCTGCAACTACCTGTGATTCGGGAGCTGGGGCAGCTGGTTGTTGTGAGTCGTGTGGTGGATTCTCATCGTGGTATTTTCCATCCTCGACCTCGATGTCAATCAATGCCTGCAATAAAAAGGTTAAAAACAGCACACAAAACGTGAAATAATTGCATCGACTTACTCGCCCGGTAGGAACGGTATCATCAGCCTCGAAATGGAGTTTCTTAATTACACCTGCATACCGCGATGTGATCTAGACGGGTCAGTTTTTAAGTTTTTTTTTTTTTGCATTGAGTAATATTATGAGACAGGATAAAAGAATACTCACATCATCGACAGCCTTGTCTGACTGATACTGACATAAAGGCTTCCATTCCTCAATGTGCGCCCCTTCCTCCACATACCACTGGATGATCTGGACCTCAGTGATACCTAGATCTCGAATTAGCGATCAATTGGTTCATACAACATTGGAGCAAAACCTCTACCTACCTTCGCCGACATCCTTCAATATTTGTGACTTGATCCCCAATAGCGCTGATGCTGCATGAAATCCCCGGCTCGGCACGGACGCGATGGGGCTTCGAATGCGGAGAACACTCTGGGGTTGGCAGGATCGCAGAATCTGGGGAATACTACCCCCACTGCGTAAGATATTCATGATGCCGGGTCACCTAATGAGAGGAGAGATCAGGACAAGCATAGGGATTTTATTGAAGAAGTTAAAGGAAAATGGTCTTTATCTGTTGACCTGACTTCATTTCACGCCGACGGTAACCGATGATAGCCACGTGATTTTCCCCGCATCGCCGCGGAGTATACTCTGGTCCAAATTTGGTATTATGTCATCTTGCTTTGAAGGCTAGAACCGGTAACTTGATAAAAGAAGAAGAGATTGATTGAGCATTGAATATCTTACTATTGCATGAAGTTATACTGGTGGAATGGTGGTCATTTCTGGCTCTAGAAGTTATCATTTTGGGTATCATTTTCACATTCTATTAGTCTAGTATATAACAAAAATATTGTCGCCCGCCCCCCTTAACGCCTGCCCCAGTATCATTTCTCCCAAGTCTATACATTTACGGTGATTTGCCCTTATCTCAACGGTAGAAACTTCAACAGGTACCTTCGGAACCGTCAAAGTTTGAACAGCGCTCTTTGTCACGTAAGTCTTCGAACCCTGAGCAGCATAAAGAGGAAGAGCCGGCTCATTCCATGGCTTAGGTGTAAAGAACAGAATATGCTTCAAAGCCATCAGAGGCAAAGCCTGCGTCTTAGCCGCATCGATAAAGTTCACTCCGGGAGCCATAGTATGCCGGCATACTTCGGCCATATCAATTCTGTCAAATCTTCCCGGCCCACCATTCCTGATCGCATCCTCTGCCAGTGCCCAAGCAAGAGGATTATACAACACAGCCTCATGTGTATACACCAAGCCCGCAGGCTTGAAACGGGCCTCCACCTGCAATTCGCAGTTCGTCACACCGACATCTCGCTCATCTTTCATGAAAGCAGAAGCACCCCTTCCAGATTGAGGCTGGACTACCTCGTCGGTAGCGGAGTAGATCGAAGTTGTCGGGACGTACGCGGAATCTCCACCGTTGGAGCGCAGGGTCGCGATGAAGTTCGAATTGCGGGTTTGGTGCCACACGGCCGGTGTTCCGGGCTGCGTACCATTGAAGGGACAAAGGGCCCAGGCATTGACGGTACCGGCGAAGTCGGCAGAGAGACAGATGAAGTTGCTCACTTGGTCGCGGGTGCTGGGCCAGTATTTGAGGCTCCATTGTATTGACAGGGTGCCCTGGGACCAGCCCACGACGGCGACTTGTCTTTGTGTCCGACTTGAAATGTAGTTGATAGCGTAGGCTACATATTGTGCGTTTTTGGGTGCCTCGTCGCACATTCGGCCGGGGATGTTGAGCCATACTGGGTCACCGAAGGTGCTGGCTTTGAGGAGCTTGGCGAAGTTGGACTCGTATGCCTCGCCTCCGTATGTGCCTGTTCCCGGGACAAGGATCACGGGTGTTTTGCCATCTTGGCCAAATTTGAAGTCGCTTGGGATGTATATGGCTGATCGTAATGAGTTTTCTTCGGCTGAGTATGGTGCATCTTGGATCGATTTTGTGGGGTATATGGGGAGCTTTGGATCTGGGTTCTGGTTCTCGTATGAGTTGATGTCGGGATTTCCAAAGCCGAACATTTTGGTTGCACAATTGATTTTGTACTTGAATAATGATAAAAGCCCAAGCAAAGTGTTGTGGTTCAAACAGAATTGTTGGACATTTGCGATGCTTTAAACTCTTCTGTAACAACATAGGACAAACCCCCCGACCACAATGAAGGTCGAGAATCAACATCTATATCCACAATTAAGATGGTCCACAGCTGAGAAAAAAACATAAACAAAAATTGTGGATCTATCAAAATATGACTATTGACGCCAACGGGTGTTCTTTGTTGACAAACAGCCAATAGTAGCGATCGGCTGCTCGGGTACGGTGTCACCGACACTCACCGTGTAAAAGAGCCGCCAATATCTTAACGCGCTTATTGGCCAATCTCGGCAAACGTTTCCATTCTTGCATGAAATGCACGGAATTGCCGGTCAAGGTCTAGATCCACTTGTCGCTATGACGAACATGTTCGCATCTGTCGCAAAGTTGAGCCCTGATTTTTTGGGAGAAAGTGGAGTGGCTGTGTTTTCATTCGATATGGCTGTGTATAATTAGCTTCCTCAAGCGATGTGCGGAGCTGGTTGTGAAAAGTGGCTGCTGTACATCACTAGCTCAGGGTGAGATATGTTGAGTAAGCAAGTAAAGATGTGGACAATAGTGGCTGGCTGGTTCCTTGTTGGCTGACGGACTTGCCGGTCCAGACTGTATACACCCACTGGGTGATTAAGTGATCTGAAATTCCGTGTGATGTGTATAAACCTGTTCCAAACTTTTCTCTTCTCTCTTATCTGGGTGCTCGGTTAATATTGACTGCATTCATTTCAGAGATGTCTTAACCGTTCGACAGGGCAACTTCTGCCGCCAAATATCTTAAAAATACATCATTCACCTGGGCAGCAATCCACTCATCCTCGACTCTGTCACGTAAAAACTCAATTTTGACAATTTCACCAATCAATGGATGGAACTGGCAAATCTCACGAGCATGATCTTCAGCTTGATTGGCACAAAACAACCACCAACATCACAGAACCGGTATTCTGACTTTATGTCCCTTGCCCAAGAGATCAATGCCAACTCCATGTTTATGGATGTGCATACTTCTGGGCTACCGCAAAAGCCTTGGCAGCTGCCCAATAGTCGATGCGAATTCTCGGATATGACCGTGTCAACGAAAGCGACACGATGGAGAACACCGAAGCAGTGACCTGTACAGCGCAACACCGCCAACTAGGAACCTGTCACTATGATGTTGTCGATTCGTTAGGTACCCGCGTTCCAAAAGAGATTAGCGACTTCGAGAGCCCCAGCCTCTCGCGACTGTGAGACACTCAGTGGCCTTTGAAGCTATTTGTTTGTTCGTACTGTTAGAATATGGTATAGCGGGAACATGCTAAGAGCGGTTTTTTTTGCTGATGAGGAAGATTCGCAGAATATTCAAGGTTTAGACCTTGCAATGGTGCCAGTCTTTCCCAAGGTTGGAGATCTTGGTTAATTCAGATGCTCAGCTCTGCCCAGGTGGAGACTGCATGTGCCCAGGTGGATATCCGGGGAATAAATAAGCTTATCACGAGACACCTGCAGGGATGTTTGAAGGGATGGGCGATTGGCTTTCGGGAAAGGCCTGTTCAGGAATAGGTGGGCAACAAGGTACATATTACTACCTAGGTCAGTGGCTTCCACATAGTAACCGATGCATGCCTAGTGTTTGACGCTATATTTATGGAGCCTTGATGAACCTTGTAATGATACAACGATGGAGTTTAAACGTTTAAAGTTGATAGTTGCAAATGTGGGATCCACTTCAGCACTTAACACCAATGTCAGTAGATTTAGTCTATATAACATTTCAATATAGACATTGCTATGCCATTCGCCCCGAAATAGGGTATCAAGAAAGCCATGCGAGGCAAGGCCTATAATAAGAAAAATCACGCCAGAAACAAAGATGCGAATATAAAGACAAGATCAAATCCCAAAGAACACCAAATAGAGGGTGGAAGCAGTCCACAAAAACCCAAATCCTCAATGCAATTAAAGAAGCTGCCACGGAAGCCAAAATCACGGCATTCTTCAAGAATACTCCTTCAGCTTCTCACTAACAGCCTGCAGCACATTCTGGTGCACATCTGCCTGTGATCCCTCCACGTTAATCGTGATGGCATCCCATTCGCCCTGTGGCTCTTCCAGAGCAGCCAACTGCGAGCGAACCATATCGCTCTTCATATAGTGCGACTGGCGCTGGCTAACCCGCTGCATGAGAACAGCCTCGGTGAGCTTGAGATAAACAAAGTGGATCTGCACCGAGGGTGAGCCGTACGCGGCAACGCGCATTACGTCACGGTACTTCTGCTTCAGGGCGGAACAGGCAACGACCACACCAGCGGGTGGGTGAAAGTTGTTAGACTCCGAGGGTGAGAGGGCATCAATGGCTGCTTGACGAAGGGAGATAAGCCAGTCCCAGCGGTCTGCGTCTGTGAGGGGGGTGCCGTTGCCCATTTTGTCCTTGTTGGATTTGGGGTGGTACTTTAGCGCAGAATCTTGTCAGCTTTTGCTCTAGCTCTTGGTATATTGGCCCCGATGGTGCTCAGACGGTTCTTGTTTCTTGGGAATCACCGTTTTTTTTTTTTGAAACGAGATTTATTGGGGGATGGATGGGGAAAGGATTTGCTTTTTTTTCTCCTTATCTTCACGTACATCATCGCCTTCTAAAAATGGTAGGTTCAGCTCCTGGCGGATAGCTTGGCCCACGGTACTTTTGCCGCAGCCAGCAGGGCCAGTCACAACCCAGATGTGCTGGATCGGAGAGAGCTGATTGGAGTTCTGGGGACGCATTGCGGTGTGTGCGGAGGTACCGTTGGGCTCAAGATCAGGCATAACGTGGGCTTTTGTCACGGGGACGGACGGCGAGTTTACGAGAGCAGGTGTGACCGGTGGCTGAGGTCGTTCCCCGGCGGAGAGCATGATGCTTGGAATGTGGGATGAATTGAGCGGCGCTTAAGGCGAGGGAGTGGAAGACAGAAGTGTTTCCTTGCGCGACTGTTGAAATAGACTGCTGAGTTGGATGGTGAATATGTGTGGTGATTCACGAAGCCAAGTTGATGGAGATGTTGGTGAGGGGTATGGGGAAATTTTTGGATTGAAGATATTCAATGTTGTGTAATGGGTCTGAGGAAAAGGGAAAAAAGGAATGTCGCGCGACAGATCTCCCCTACTTTTTTAAGTATGACGGTGGAGTCGGGGCAAAAGAAGAAATCAGAAGCCGAGTGGGGGAGCTGTGGAAGGCGTTGATTGGCTGCAAGGCAAGAATAGTCATTACCCGAGTGGAGTGAGAATGAGACTCCGTGGAGTTGGGGAAGATCGATCGACAGAAGTACAGACTCTTGGCTTCTCTAGATTGATCTTTTGTCATGGATTAAAGAGAAAAATGAGCTTTTAAAGTGTTGATAGTCATTTATATCAGTATTTTAAATTCATTGACATTGATCTTTTACCCTTGAAAGTCTCTTGAAACGAAGTTTCTGTACAATTGGACTTGTATGATGTCACTTTGTATGTAATTTACAGCGTAAGGTACCCCCACACTAGTGACACCGCCAGTCCGGGTATAATTCAATGTTTTTTTTCTTCTGCAAGAGCCCCCCCCCTATATATCAACTCGTCAAAACCCATCTATCATAGAGTACATCATTGACTTTCTATATCGTAATCCTCAAAATCCTGAAATCATCAAAAAACAGTAGACTTCGTAGTCCTAGTGGGTAAATGAACACCAAACTGGGGACAAAAAAAAACAGAATATTGAGTCTCCTGGACAAACTTGTCCCCCCACGCATGTTTCAAGATAGTTCCCTTCATGCCAAGCCGTGGAACAGCACTTCGAGGCGAATATGAGAATGAAAAATTACTTAGACGGGAAAAGACCGCCCGAATAAAGAAAACGGCCCGGGTTTCTCGGATAGCAGACACGGCAACCCATCTCTTGACTCTGCTCTTTCGGCTCGACCTTGATACCCGGCTAAACATGGTTCATCCCGCGCATGAAAGAATTGCCGCACCCCAGTAAAGTCCGGGGAAGTTAAACCCTGTTAAACCCTTTCTCAGGTGCGGGACACTTGAAATCATTCCAGCCACTTTCAAGGTTTACGGTGGTTGCAAGTTGGTCATTTGAGTATTACCATTTGGATGTTCTAAACGAATATCGGGAATCAGAATCCGAGCACAACATGTTAGAACCTCCTAAAGAGAAACATTCAAATGAATGAAACCTCGATCACAAAAACTCCTGAGCCTTGGGCGATGACGTTGTGTATTTAGAATTGATTGGTACTAGTAGGTATGATTTAATGTACATACTAATACACACGTGCAGAGTACTCCAAAAAAAAACAATGATCGGCATGGCCTCGCACAGTCCCACCTCCCAATGTTTATTACTGGTTCTAGTACGGAGTATCCTAAAGACCAGTTGACGATGAGTCGTATCCTTAGGCCACCAACATTGAAACATTTGAAAGACACTAGTTAGAATCAATGGCGAGATAGGTAAGAGTACCTTGGGTAAAATTCGGTCAAAATCTCCGTCAAAGCAACTAGGTACATACGACTATTTGAAACTGGAAACATTGAATAATTACACCTGTTGGAAAATATCATTTACAAGTAGCGTCCAGTATAGCATTTGAAGCAGATCTTGACATATTCAAATACAAAGGGTCTTCATTTTTGCTACACATATATGACGATATAGCTCATTCTATCCCGGTAAAACGTATGTATAGTGCCTACATACCATGTAACTATAACCTTGATTTCCATTGATAATGGAGGACTGATGCCAAATTAGTAATGAGGCTATTCATGATCTTGTATGGATTCTATGTACTCGGTAGGTTGATAAACCAGTTTCTGATCGCAAATTTGTAATTTCAGGTGACAGCGATGATTATTAGGATATTTGGATATTTCCCGCATCAACACTCTAAATTTGCAGGATCCATTGGTTAAAACTTCGAATTGAGGATGCCTTGTTAAATTGTTGTTGAAACTTGAAAGCACTAGCACAGTTACTGAAATAGCTGCCTGCGGGGTCTGACTAAGCAAACTAGCCACGTTCTGGATCTCCGCGCGCCTGCTACAAGCATCATTAACTCACACACGATGGCGTCTCTCTTCTTTTCCACCCCGGTCGATATCGACGTCGTCCTAGATGATCTCGATGACCGCCAGACAGTCGACGCCAAGCTCGACAAGGGCCGCCGCGAGCGGGTTCCCCTGTACATGGATGGGGAGTCCGTCAAGGGTGCCGTGACGATCAGACCCAAGGATGGCAAGCGATTGGAGCATACAGGAATCAAGGTGCAATTCATTGGCACAATTGGTGTGTTAGAATGCTATTACGACCCGGTGGGCCCGAAATCCCAAGCTAATCGAGCTATGTGTGTTTCATCTAGAGATGTTCTACGACCGAGGCAACCACTATGAATTTCTATCGCTGGTTCAGGAGCTTGCAGCACCAGGCGAGCTGCTCCACCCTCAAACCTTTCCCTTCAACTTCAAGAACGTCGAGAAGCAATACGAATCCTACAATGGTATCAATGTGAAGCTGCGCTACTTCGTACGGGTGACCGTCTCACGGCGCATGGCGGACGTCGTTCGGGAGAAGGACCTTTGGGTGTACTCCTACCGCATGCCGCCAGAGACCAACAGCGCGATTAAGATGGATGTCGGAATTGAAGACTGCCTTCATATCGAATTCGAATACTCCAAATCCAAGTACCACCTCAAGGACGTGATCGTCGGTCGCATCTTCTTCTTGCTCGTGCGACTTAAGATTAAGCATATGGAACTGTCTATCATTCGTCGGGAGACTACCGGCTCCCCGCCCAATCAATATAACGAGAGCGAAACTCTTGTTCGCTTCGAGGTACGTGAACTGGCCTTGCTTTTGTCGGAGGGAGATCTTGTGATCATGGATTGAGTACGACCTGCTAACATATAACCAGATCATGGACGGCTCGCCATCTCGGGGTAAGTTTTGGAAACGAAAGAATTTCCAGGGCAAAATCACTCAAATACTATTGCCTGTCAAGACGATCCAAGTGGCTAACCAGTGTGTAGGTGAACAAATTCCCATTCGTCTATTCCTCGGTGGATTTGACTTGACCCCGACTTTCCGCGACGTAAACAAGAAATACTCGACGAGATATTACCTCAGCCTGGTGCTGATTGATGAAGGTGCGTTGGTACAATATCTGGATTCAGAATGGCCAATGATCGGATCTCCGTGGGATTCCGTATTTTACATAGCCGACGGTCTTTGAAACCGAAACGGTCGGGTCGGCTGGTAAATCCCACGGCCATTCTTGGTTACGGCTGCCCACCCCCACGCTAAACTGGATCTGGCGACCGGCGTGGGTGGGGAGGGGGGAACTAGACTCTTCTGATGGACTTGCGATGCATTTATTACTGGCTCTTGCTAACCACTGTGTTTTTATCTAGATGCTCGCCGTTACTTCAAACAATCCGAGATCGCCCTCTACCGTCAAGCACCCGAGATTGCCGCGACCCCACAAATCGCACAGCAGCAGGCTATACAACAACAGGTCCTCCTCCAGCAACAGCAGGCTGTCCTGCCGCCAGGATCTGCCACCGCTGGCCCAGGACGTGAGGTGACAAATGCCAATGCGCGGCAGCAACAACAGCAACAGAGTAGTCCCCCGCCAGCCTCGGCGCCGGTGGCATGATTTGATTGATTTCGTCCAGCCCTTCTATACCCATCAAACTCCTAGCTCTCGTCCCCACCTTCTACATTTCTCTTGTCTCCAATCAATGATATCTGTTATTTTGACACCGTTGTGTTACGATATCACTGTAGTCTACTGTTTGTCTTTACTGATTATCCATCCGCCGACACCACTTTCAATGTGAATCTTTCCAGGTTGGTTGCGATTCTGCAATGCAGTACTGTATCATCCTGGACCACACCTGCTCATTCCAATTTCTTTCCAATTTCTTTTCTAGAGCCCACGCAATTTTTACTGTCCATAATTCACTCTGGATTCTGTTTCGCTTCTAGGGACATGGGATCAGATACATAGAACAAATACATTCATACGTGAGCCGCATATTTCTATGAGTTGTAACTAAAGCCTGAATGGGCATACTATCTGCTGGCTCCGTTATTCAAAACGGCCAGTCTCCTGCAACACCCGCCCAAGAGCCTGGATGACCTGTCCATCATCGCGCTCTTTACCCGCAACCTGAATTGCTTTGACAATAAGGGGATACAACCATTCGAGATGCTTGCGTTGGTGACGCGGGGAATCATCTTCCGAGCCAGTCTTCGCCGAAACGGTCTTCAGAACTGGCGGGTCCGGAATAGCGGAAGGCTCACTCTGAAGCTGAACCATGTGGACAAGAAGATGTAGCAGAGCCTTGCGTGCAGGCGTAGGCTGGGGCATCAGGCCACGAAGAGGCTGATCGGCAATGTATGCTTTCAAGGACATGGCGCAACGGAGAAGAAGATAGGGAGAGACGGATTGGGCGAGCAGGGTCTGCGGGGATGGCGTCAATGCATTATTCGTCTCTGCACTAGTCGCAAGCTCGAAGAGAGTGTCCATGAGTGCGTAGGCCATTCTGGGACGTAGGGTTGGAGGCGGGTCGAAAGTACGGCCTGATCGGACCTTGTAGAAGTCCTGAAGAGGGTTCTTTTCGATCGAAGTAGCCGGGAGATCGAGTCGTTGAGGCGGGTAGATGAAGGAGGAATTGAACAATGCGTAAGCAAAGTCACGGCGGACTGGGCTTGCGATGGCAGATGCACCGAGCGAAGGCAGGATGAGTGTTTTGAGGCGGGTGAACGCGGCGATATCGAAAGCCTCGTCGGTTTGAATGCGGACGTTTGGTAGCTGCTGGGATTGGAAACCGCGGGCTGAGACGATGCCGTGCGTAGAATCCACGACGCATTGCCAGAAACGAGTTATCTCTGACGCATTGGCCTCTGTGTATCGTTTTTCCACGTAAGGAACTGCAATTTGAAGTACATTCAGTGACACTGTTGAGGCCTTCTGCCACAGGTAAGGCTCGCGGTCTTTTCCTTGCCATGTGTACTTTTGAACGATTGGCACACTGAGACGATCGAGAGTAGTTGCCAGGGCACTGTTGGTGAAAATGTCTTGCTTGATACCAAATTCGGTGATGTACCAGCTGATGAGGTCAATGATGTTCTTCGAAAAGGCCACAAATGTAGGTCTCCTCGAGTCACTTTCTGCACTCCATTGCAACAGTGCTGAAGCAGAGAGTTCAGCAAGACACAAAAGAATTGCAGCCTGGGATTCTTCTTTCTCTAAACAAAGAGTTTTGATACAATCCGTCACCAGTGCTTGAACAGCCGAAGGCCGCTCGATATCTGGAGAATAGCGTGGGGACACCGAGTTCCAAACGAGCAGCCGCAGATGGTCTAAGACCTTTTCAATGTGCTCTGTAGTCAAATCATCTTTGTATAAACGATATACTTGCTGGAACGTTTGAATATATGCCAGCGCTGCCTCTTGATTGGGTCGATCGATATCAAGTTTGGCTTCATCAGCAGCAGGATGTCCATTTGTCCATAAATCCCAAGCGCATTTTAGCGCATCTTTGCTCAATCCAGTGGGAGATTGCACCCGAATGAGAATAGATGAAAGACTAGCAAAGGTAGCTTCACTAAATTCAAGGAGCCGCATGTCAACCAGTGCTTGCAGATACTTCAGCAGTCGTGTCCATGACTGGTCAAACTTCTCATCGCTGGCAATAGTTTCGAAGAAAGTCGTCATCAGATTGGCAACTCCATTGATCATCACGACCGTCGTCTCCACCCACGACTTGAGATCATTTTTCACGATCTTAGACTGGTTCAGTGTGCTCTCAATTTGCTCCACCATCAAGAACAAGACTCTGTTGAGACATAGTCGCCATGCTTTGGGAGAAAGCTGCTGCCCATAGGCATCGAAAATTCGGAGAAGAGTATGAATTGCGCTGTTTCGGACCTCCGATCTGCTATCCGTGGTAACATCCACATTGCGAAGCAGCAGCAAAAGCCAAAGAGAATTTCTTGAGACAGACAGGTCCTCGCTTTGGGCAAGATCACCGAGAGCTTCTTCGCTGACAGAAGCATCAACATGGCTCTCGATAGAGAACTCTTCGATCTGTCCCTGTAGGAAATCGGATACAGTCCAGAAAAACGAGGTTGTGGTAAGGGATATGTTGAAATCCTGCGTTTGAGAAGCAAAGCTCGAAAGCGAGTCCACGAGGCTCAAAAGACAAGCAGCGGGCAGCAATGCGAGGAAATCAGATGCAACAAGATGAAGCGATTTGTATGCAGCACGAACTAAGCGTGGTCCAGATGGCAAGCCCGATGATCTGCGCTCAGTTGGTAGAGAAAGTTGATCGCTGCTCTCCACCTTTTCGACACCCTGGAAGACACCGGATATCAAATCAAATGCAAGGTTCCATCCATCTTTGAATGTTTCTGCATACTGCTCAAGGATGTTTTGGAGAACTTCCAAGCTCTGCTCGTGAATCTCAACCACAGTTATGGGAAGAGACTTCGAAGATACCAGATCAGATGCATATAGAGAGGCAACTTGGTCCTTGAGAGTCTGAAGATTCCTTGTCTGCACTTTGTTCTGTGTCTCTTCTTCGTCGTCATTTCTTGATTTCATAGTTAGAAAGACCAATGAGTTCAAAATTCCGCTGGCCTGCAGGCGGAGATTTGGGCTAATTGTGATGTTCGCAGAAGTTGAGATTAGACTCCGCGTCAACAGCTGCCAGGCGTTGCTATCTGCTGCGTCTAGTGAGGAAAGTCTCTCGAGATTTGCTCTTGCTAATTCATTGCTTTTGTCTAGCACAAATTTGAGCTCCTCATCTTGCATCCTTGATTTTCCTACAGTATGTGACACGCGCCGGGCGTTTTGGTGCATGCGGCCAGGTTGCCGAGATGACTGCGGCGAGCGGGGTGTTTCAGACAACTGTTGAACTTCCTCTTGTTCCTCTCGCTGTTCTGTGAACGAAGAAAGACTCAGAAGGGCAAGCAGAATGTCCTGGAAGGAATCACTAGGGTAATCACTGGTGCTCTCAAACAGCTTGGAAGACGCGGCTTGGACGGCAATTACTTCTGTGCCGAGATTTGCAGTAGGAATATCATTCCCTGACATGCTTGCGATATCTGCTGCACCGCTAGCTGATTTGACCATTGCACTCGATGATATTCCAATGACCAAACCAGTATACTGCAGTGTCTCTAGTAAGATAGACCAGGCTGGTTGGTCCAAAGTTGGCCCTAGTGCAATGCCGAGATTGATCAAAGCTCGGAGGCAAAGGAGATTTCTGGTACTGAGAGATACAGGAGGACCATCGGCTAGTAGTGATGAGCCAGTTGAATCCACCGGCAATGAATTGGTCCGTGCAAAATCGGTGCTTTTCCGTTTTTTCTGGAAGTCATCATGAGCCTGAGATCCTGCAGCAGTTGGTGCTCCGGGGGTCTGCGCTTTAGAGATACCGGTGCTTGCAGGCATGGCAGCTTTTCCAAGGGTTGTAAGGAAGGCATCCCGCGGGACTGATAGCCTGAGGAGACCTGCGACATGGGCCAATTTCTGAAACGCACGAACAAGGTTGTGATAAAACTCATCGTCAAGGGAGGCGTGTAAAAAGGTGGAGCATGCTGCAAGCACAGCAGGCCAACAATTATCAATGATACCAGCACAGGTTTTGATGGCAGAAAACTGGATATGGGATTGTAGATCCAAGGGGTTAATTGGTACCGGCGACTTCTTAGACGGGAACGTGAAATGGGTTCTTCCTGCGTCTGGCGATTGAAGGTCCTGAGAAGACCTCGCCGAGTCAGGCCCCTGGTCAGTAGTACTAGCCAATCTATTCTTTCGTTTTTGTTTCAGGTCTGGGACTGTTAGTGGAAGGATAAACTTGGCAAGCCCTTCAGCAAAGGCGCTAATGCAGTTCAGGACAAGGCTGTAGATGTAAGTCTCCGGGGGCAACGATGGCTCTGTTTTATCAAGAAGTTCGATATAAGGCGTCCGTACGACACTCCATTGGGTGCTAATCCCCGGGACCCTCATCTCAGTCTGAGGAACTGATGTTCCAATGACACCTGCAACGCCGCCAGTCTCGAGAGCAATCTGATCCTCTGTCACAGATCGTGAGTGGTCGGCACGCAACGGTATTGTGGATTGATTGCTGACACCGATCAATGATGGCTTTTCAGAAGCTAGTCGCACAAAAGAGGCCATATGATCCCGAAGAATGTTTTTTCTGCCTTCTTCTGCATCATAAAGCGAGTAAATCTGCCGAACAACGCCAGGCTCGGAATAAAGGCCTCGGAATAGCTCCATGCATAAGATCCGCTTCCATGGGGCAGTTCCATCCGGCTCAAGTAAATGAGTCAGCAGACCAAGGACCATTTCACATTCTGCGGTCAAAAGTGACATGTGGCGCTTTAGAAGTACAAGGAGAATCCGAGTAACTCGAACTGTTTGGGAGAATGTAGTCCTCTCAGATAGGCATCGAACGATCAATGGCACTAACCGAACACGCAGGACTTGAGACAGCTCGGGATGTCCTACAAAGAGGCGACCACTGTTGAGTATCACGCTTTCGATAAGTTCGAGAACGAAGGGAGCTGAGAGGCTTCTTGTGCGCAGAAATTGCAGTTGTTCGCCATCAATGAGGGAACAAAGATCGTCCAGGACCTTGAAAATTGTGTCAGTGAACAAGAAAGGGCATGGGCCAGGCACAAACTGACCTGTAATGCGTCAAATGAAAACTGTCCTATTTCTACAAACTGACCATCAACCTTTACGGTCTTGGTAGCTTTGGCATCATTAGGTAGCTTGTCTTCGCTAGATACCCTCTCAAAGGTTGAAACCACCAGTTGTTGAAGGGTAGCGGCGGCAGTACTACTGACAGCGATCTGTTTGCTTGCCTGCAGCGTTGCACATATTTCCAGTGTGTTTGCGAGAAGATCTCCACTAAGCTCATTAGAGTAATATTGGAGTAGAGAAGGCAACGATTGAAGAATCTTGAGTTGAATATCAAGACCTGTCGTGTGTCAGTAACTCTCGCTTTATACTTGGGTGCTGTCAGTTACTTACTCAAGTTCGTCGTTTCTCGCAGGCCTGCAAGTACATCCTTCAAACGATTTGATGGCAACGCCCTAGATGCAATCAACCTTTGCAGGCAGATCACGCCTATTCCAGCCAACTTTGCATGTCGAGTATGACAAGCGATGACGAATGGCTCAACAAAGTTCGGTTTACGAACAAGGTCTATATAAACATTTAGCCCTGTCTAGTAGTTTGGGTTCATAGCATGAAAGCATACCTGCCGCTATTTGCGCCTCGGATGTCGAGGGTAGCGCTTTCAACTCATTTAGCGATTGCTCTGCTGCCTGGATTTAGTTAGCGTTGCTATCCAAGGGGATAATTTGTGAGAGGCAAGACCTACACTTCGCAGGTCGGAATTCTTTCGTCTAGACTCTTGAATGAGGTTTGCAAGCTCCGTTTGCAAAAATTGAGAAGACATTTCTAACCAGAGAGCTGCATCAACGCATGGCCGGGGCCAGTATTCCTTATAACCGCTCCCCGTGTCAATGAAACAGGGAGCTCTTAAACACGGCTCTTGATGTAGTTTTGGGGGAGATTCCAGTCACGTATATTCCCGGCTTCACAATCCTTCACAGTTCCCAATGTAATTGCGTTTCTTGATTGAGAAGGTCAATGAGAACTGGGTGGCAGGTCAACAATCCCCGTGGCATCTCCCAAATGCTGGCAAGCAACTCCGATAAGATGCTTATCGCACGTGATCCCTCGTCATCAACAATGGAGGCGCGGCGGAAAGTGCCCCTCATCATTTACCACAATTTCTCCCGTTCAAAGAGCTTCTCTCCGATCCCAGCTTTCTTTCGATAAATAACCACCATTATGTCTGCCAAGGTCCCAAGAAATTTTAGGCTTCTCGAGGAACTTGAAAAAGGAGAAAAGGGTCAGGGTGCAGGTAAGATACCATCTCCATTGGTCCCGGAAACTTGCAGCATGATCACTAACCTATTTCGTCTTTTTCAACAATTGCAGAGGCTTGCTCATACGGTCTTGCTGATGGAGAGGATATGATGATGAGCAACTGGAACGGAACAATCCTTGGACCTCCCCACGTTTGTTTACCCGACTACTCCGACCGTCGCGTGCCTCCCATTGCTAACACTTAAATTGATCAGAGCGTCCACGAGAACCGGATATACAGTGTGAATATCCACTGTGGGCCAGAATATCCCGATCAGCCTCCCACTATTCAATTTGTCTCACAAGTCAATGTTCCGTGTGTCGACCAGCGAAGTGGAAAGGTAGGAGGGATCAACTCCCAGAAGCATAAAGGCGTGATTGCTGAGACAATTGAATACTCTAGGTTGACCCCACAAAACTTCCTTGTCTTGCTCACTGGCAACGCCAATTTACCATGGAAACCGTCCTGATTGATCTCCGCCGGTCAGTCCTTTACTCTACTTCAGATGGTTCAAATTATTTCGTGCTAACTTCAACACAGATACATGGCTCTGCCCCAGAACAAGAAGCTGTCTCAGCCCCCGGAGGGCTCGACTTTCTAAGCCTGCATTTCCATATGGTCAAATAAGAACCTGGAGTCATACGGTCATTCTTTCAAGTTGGTATCTTTGTTTATTCGCTTTTTTCCATGTTCCCATGATGAATCTCTTAGAGCGTGTGTAGTCTATGCATAATGGCATCGGCGTGATTTTTTCTGAAGTTCCATCTTGTGTACATTCAATGTTTGTCAACTGGTAGTATATTGATGGCCAAGTAGTATGCGTGGACTATAATGTTGTATAATCCAGATGTCGGGATGTGAGAGACCATGTGAGTACAAGGTGAAGTTATTTTTATCCCTGACCGGGATTTATACAAAAATCCCTAGTGCAAATCAAACCAGCTCAGCTTTATTCGCTTATGATTCAATTTTGTGACAACTCTTTGATGATAGTATTGTCGTGTCTATGAAGAATCAGAAAAGGCTGAAAGGTACTAGATCATTATGACCATTAATGCGTGGCTCCTCTTTCTCATAATATACGATGTTAATTTCAGGTTCCGATTCAACAAATGATTTTTCTTTTCCAATTTTTTTAATCTTGTCGTATTATTTTACTTTCATCTGTAGATCCCCTTGAATCCGGGGAACAGGATCACGTGTCGCTATTCTTCAAATCACATGTCGGAGCTTCCGCAATTTCTCCCGCATCGTTGCTTTATCGGAATGCATAAGGTGGTCGTACCGAAGCACTCTGGGGTTCATCGCTTTGCTTGTGAGTCAAAATCCTGGTTTATTTGATCTTGTTATCTAAACTAACCTATGGTTTTCTTCAGGCTTGGCACTTTATCGAACCCTTCTCCGGCAATGTTCTCCTTCGATCGGTAATGCACCATGGCTGGGCGAGACCAAATATCTCGCCAGGCAGAGATTCCGCAGATATAAAAATCTACAGAGCCCGTCACAGGTTGCAAATGCTCTCAAGGCTGGCTATCAGGTAAGACATTGCACAAACTTTCCTCGCGAGACCTGTGATATCCATTCCATGTGCTAATTTATTGTCTTTTAAGGCTCTGGACCTGCTCGACTCCGCTTCCAAGGGAAACCGGCAGGATGAAGATCAAATTAAATCAATCCTCACGCAAGCAAAATCCATCAAGGAGAGCTATTCCGCCATGCAGAGGGAGATCAGTCAATCGAAGCCTCCGAGTCCTGTTAAACCTCTCTCCCGACTACAACTCAAAAAAGAAGAGACAATTCGCCATGAGAAGGAAACCAGGCTACGACATCCAGATGCCGAATCAATACTTTCGCGCCCACGACCGAAGGTGAACGGAAAGCGACATGTGCCGGTTCTAGTCAATGCCCGCGGAGTACCTTTCCTGCGTATCAAAAAGCCGCAGCCAAGAAATCTTAGCGGTGTTATTAGAACGAAGCTGGAGAAGCGCTGGCATCGTATTGAATTGAGAGAACGCCTGCAGGTGGAACTCCTATTCGCCAAGGATGAAGATGCTTGGGACCAAATCACAAACACTAAAGTTGGAGACCCGTCCTCGTGGACTACAAGCATTAAGGCGTCCTTGGACGATGTTGCTTCCAAAATCAAACAAATGGATCAAGATAATCGAGAGATGTCGGAACGCATGTGGCAGATTGTACTTGATGAGCGCGAGCTGGCTGCAAAGGAAGAGAAGGAGAGACAGGCCGCGGAGGGAGAAGGCCCTACAAGTGGATAACGATGCTTCTATACTCAAATCTCTTCTTTGATGGATCATCTTCTAGCACTATATTTGGAGCTGTTTGTTCCATCTACTGCTATACGTCCAGCTTGATTCTGTATTATATCGCGAAATGATACCCCATTCTTATCTGATGTATTGAAGCAATATTTTCATATAAAACGAGCAGCTCATGTCGACATATCTATGCATTAACTTAAGCCGTAACCTTCAACTTATCAATTGCAGGAATAGCATCCTCGCCCTCCTCATCATAATCGCCCTTGCCAGCCAATCCTCTCTCCCACAACTGTCGCCCTGTGAGCTTCTTCTCGTCCTTTCCAGACCTCTTCTTCTTGTCTTCGGCCTCCTTCTCCTCCTTTTGTCGCTGCTCTTCATCCGCAATCTCCTTTTGGAAGTTGGCCATCCACTCCAAAAATGTCTCCCGGTTAACCGGTGTCCCCCGGAACTTGGCATTCTCTACCTCTTCCAGCTTAGCAGCGACCTTCTCCTTCTCGACCTGTACAGCGTTGGCGCGCTCCACCATGAGGGCCTCGGCGCTGTCCTTTAGTGCGCTCACGAGTGTGAATACCATGGCCATTCCCATATTCTCTTCGATGGTCTCTTGGAGAGATTCGAGAAGTTGGTCCCGATCCTCTTGGATATCTAGCCGCTGGTACCTGGCATTGGGCGGGGAGGAAATGTTCAGTTGTGGGGCAACATCGGGGTATTCTTCTGGGTATGAGACTTCCAGGTATATCACAGGTTGTTCGGTTTCTTCGGGGTCAAATTCGGGGTTCTCGAGGGATATCGATACTTTGTATGCGATGTCGGATATATCTGGTGGCGAGGTATTTTGCGTTAGTCAAGGCTTTTTCTCCAGGGAAAGTCATATAATTCAAAATGTAATTTATAGACTAACCTGTGATCTCATCTGGGAAGATTGAATCAAGAACCTCCCTCTCCTCGACTTGATCTTCGCGACCCATTTTTGCGATCCGCCTGCGGATTGGAGGGGTACCGGGTAGGATAGTAGAGCGGGGTGAAGGTGGAAAATTTGACTGTACAGACGAGCAAGCGCCTAAATTCGATCCCGAGGAAATGTAGAGACCGTGTGAGAGGGAGAGATTTTATCTTTGTAGCGGATTTGTATGGTATCGCCGTCGCGCGCAAAATAATGTAGTGGAGGAATCGTCCCACATGCAAACGGATCAAACAGCTCCAATTTTAAGATTTGAGAGCTTCACTTTTTTTGAGATTCTGTGTCCCGCATTTTTACCCAAGAACTCATATTTTCTCACTTGTCCACTTATCTATTTTGTTCATATACTTTTACTGAATAAAACTGTCATGGGAAAACCTAGACCACAAAAGAAAAAGTCCTCCAAACCCCGTTCAAAGTCAGTCCTCGGCCCTGGTGGCTTAGTCTCGAAACACAAAATGGCCCAAACTCCTACCGAAATACTCGATCAAGCCACGATCCTCCTACAGACCGGCCGCGTGGACGAAGCGTTGGAAAGTGCACAGCAAGCGCTAGACCTTACAGATGGCAACGGCAAAGCGCAGCTGCCCGCATTAAACCTGCTGGGAGAGATCAACGTTGAATTGGGCGAGATCGATACCGCTAGACAATGTTTCCTGCACTCAGTTGAGCTGGATCCTACTGGTTCGATACCAGAGTCCGAGGGTGGTGGTGCAGAGAAGTTCCTGTGGCTTGCTCAATTGAGTGAGCAAGGCGGAGTGGACAGCGTCCAGTGGTTCGAAATGGGAGTTTCTTCCCTGCGCCAAACTCTGCAGTCGCTGGAAGGCAAGACTGGTGCGGAGGATATTGCACTGGTTGAGGAGAAGAAGATTAAGCTGGCAAATGCACTCTGTGCTGTTGCTGAGATTTACATGACTGATCTTTCGTGAGTTTTTAACTTTACCTCTTGATAAGGTTTCAAAGTACACTACTAACGCTGCTTTTGTTATCAATAGTTGGGAGGAGGATGCCGAAGCCAGATGTGAATCTCTTATTACAGAGGCTCTTGCTGCTACACCAGATGCCCCAGAGATTCTCCAGACTCTTGCCTCTATCCGGATTTCACAGCTGCGAACTGAAGATGCCCAAGCTGCACTGAAGAAAAGTGTTGGCTTGTGGAAGGATCTCGCTCCCGAGGATCCCAAGGTGCCCGATTTCCCGGTGCGCATCAGTCTTGCACGACTTCTCATGGAGGTGACGCTGGAGTTTGAGGCTCTAGAGGTCCTTGAGCGACTCATCCTAGAGGATGACCAGAGTGTGGAGGCTTGGTATCTTGGCGGCTGGTGTCTTCATCTGCTGGCAGAAAAGCAAGAGGCGCCGCAGGATATCAAAGAAGATGAATCCGAATCACCACGACATGCTTCGTTGGTCGCCAGCCGGGAGTGGCTTAAACAGAGTCTGAAACTTTACGAGAAACTAGAGTATGAGGATGATCGTCTTCGGGATCACGCCTTGGAACTTGTCCAGGGCATTGACCAGGAAATTGGAGAGGATATGGAGGACAGTGAAGCGGAGGGTGAGGGAGAAGACTGGGATGGAGAGATTGACATTGAGTCTGACGATGAGGATCACGAGATGGCGGATTCATGAAATGTTTGTTAGATAAAACAAAAGTGAAATGACGATCTAATGTATGCATGTCTATAAATCATGTCTTGCTCTTTGTTCTGTGAAATTTGTTTTCTTCGTTTTTTTCACTCTTTGTTATTAACATGGATAAAAAGAGTACGCTTGCCCCTTAAGCTCTGTACTTTCTCCATCTCCTTGTACCAAAAGTTCATCTTCGCCACTTGAACCGCCTCGGCCCGGAAAAAGTTGTCTCCGCGCATGCAGAAGCCGATTTTTTGTCGACATTGCGCAAACAAGTCGTCGAGGTAGTCAAATAACTCCTGCAGGATGGACTTGGTACCAGCGCCGAACGGGGAGACTCTTGTAAAAACACCCATGGTCGAAGTGGGCGCCGTGGATATCGCGGAACCTGTCGATCAGGAGACGCTCACCCTGGAGGTCACGTCGGACTTTGAAACCGACAGTGATGGTTCAGAGGGTGATGGCGGGGATTCCGACGATGAGGGAGTCATTCGGTTTGTGCGTGATGACCAGCTGCAGGAAAGTGAGTTTTTATGTTCCATACTCGTCTAGATGTGTCGCGCCTATTACCCCGGACATCCCTCCCCGCTACCCGGAACCCACCCTTGCAAAGAAGATATTAACCTCGCTTCTGTCATATAGTTCCCGGTGCTTGCACTTTAGAAGAGGCACTTGCATATCGGAAGCGCTTGCATGATATTGGCAAAGCTGCTTTTGTTGAAGAAACTCTTGTGCATGAAACAGTAACCGCGAAAAAGCTATGCACGGCTTTTGGTATCATGCCTCCGGAGTTTTTGGAGAATGCTCCAGATGAAGCCTATCACCCCTTTCTTGCGCTCGCCATCTCACGGGAGTTCTCAAAGCGCCCGAAACTTCCTCAGTACAACAGTATTGAGGATGCTGTCAATCTGCTTCAAAAGTCCAAGAACATTATTGTTCTGACCGGTGCCGGCGTATGTCAAATCCCTGACACCCCTTTTAATCATTTTGAGGCTTAGATACTAAATTAAGTTTATCTTTGATATTTAGATTTCAACAAGTCTAGGTATCCCTGACTTCCGCTCAAAGGATACTGGTTTATATTCCAAACTGGCGCATTTGGGCTTGAGCGATCCTCAGGAGGTATTTGACATCAACATTTTCCAGGAGGATCCTAGCATCTTCTTCTCCATTGCGAAGGACATCCTTCCCACCGAGAAGAAATACTCTCCGACTCATGGATTTATCAAACTTTTGCAAGACCATGGGAAGCTCTTGACAAACTACACGCAAAACATCGACAACATCGAGGCCAACGCAGGTGTTCGTGCAGACAAAATGGTTCAGTGTCATGGATCCTTTGCCAATGCAACCTGTGTTAAGTGCGGCTTCAAAGTGCCCGGTGACGCAATCTTTGACCAGATCAAGGAAGGGGTGATTCCTGAATGCAAAATGTGTCGCCAGAGGATCGAGGAGGAGTCCCTGAAGTCACAAGGTCTGAAGCGAAAGCGAAGTTCCAATGGGACCCAGAAGAATCGCAAAGAAGAAGATAGCTCGGACGAAGACGACTACGAAATCCCCACTCCGGGTGTCATGAAGGTGAATTCACATTAGTGGAGCTGAACGTCTTTCTTTGTACCCATGCTGACTTTTGTCTCTTTACAGCCTGACATTACCTTCTTCGGTGAAGATCTTCCTGACGAGTTTGGCCAGCGCTTACTTCACCATGATCGGGAATTGGCGGATCTGGTCATCGTCATTGGAACCTCACTCAAGGTAGCTCCTGTTGCTGAAGTGCCTGGAGTTCTACCGCGTAATGTCCCGCAGATTTACATCTCACGCACCGTAAGTTTTACTAGTAGATATCACATTCCTATGCCTGCTCATACTGACATATATTCAGCCTGTGTCGCACACTGATTTTGATATCGATCTTTTGGGTGACTGTGACGTGGTGGTTTCAGAACTCTGTCGTCGAGCTGGTTGGAACCTGCAGCATCACATGATTCCTGCAGATGAGAAAGTAGAGGTTGCTCCCGTGGAGGGATATGAATCACGACATGTGTTTAAGGTTGTTGGTGCATAGCGGTGGAGTTTCAGCAATGGCTTCTCTGACAAATGGCGTCTCGGTTTTTATTGTTGGATATTTTCTTGCTGGGTGATTCTTGCTTCTTCCTCTTCGCCCTCGTTATGTATTTGGATCGACCCCCAGGGCTGGTTGACTATCTAGGTAATCATGGTTTGCAGTTCTGCGTTATTGTTTATTCAATGTTTGTTTTGAATTTTCCAATGTTGTTGAAACATTTGAAGATTCTTATTGAGGCATCTTCATATACATAAATTGATCAATTGCCCATGTGTCATTGTTTTTCAACATTGTTTGAAAGCTTGAACTGTTGAATCTATTCAATGTTATTAAGTAAATTTTAGACATCTGGAGGAAGTTATCAGTCCAGACCGACATCTGGATCCTCACATCAATGTGCAGATGGAACACTTTAAGTCGGGCGTGGAGGTTGAAATTAAGTGTGCGTGGTTACTGCCACATGATGTATATATCGGCAAGACCCGTTCAGCGGAGAACATTGAAACGTCGAAAAAAAATCAATCCCGCGGGCCTTTACACCCCACCAACTTTTTGATCTGGTGACCAACATTCCACAAAACTACAACGGTTGAAACGGAATAGTAATCCAGAATATTCACCATGGAATTCCTGATCCGACTTGCCCAATGGCATATGACTTTCCGAGTCGCAGAGCTCGAAGCCATTGCTACCCTCATCGGGGCAGACATCGAGATTATTTCATACGATGACGAAGTATGTGACCCCTTCCAATATAATAAGGCATTCTCAATTGCTAGCCGTTTTTACTATTTGTATTTTTCTTGTTTCGGCCTTTTATAATTTTTTGGGGACCCTCTCAACTGGCACCTGGGTGCTTGATCTGCACTGAACATTGAATCTTTGCTAACAAACCCCACTAGTCGCCATATTGCATCGTCAGGCTCCCAAATGAAGAGGCCGCACGTGCATTGATCAAGCGCTGCATCCTAGCCAAAGATATCTATGAGCTATGGGGCCATGGTACTAATTACGATGAAGTACATGCAGATGTCAAGCAACGGACCCCACATCTCTGGGCTCAATATGAAAACGTCCAATTTGGCTTCGATTTGGATTCCTACGTAGGAAAGCGCAGTCAAGCTGAAAGAATTGAGATTGTCAAATCATTCTCCTACTTGGGTTTCAAAGGACCTCTCAAACTAAAGAACCCGGAAAACCGGTGGTTGATTATGGAGAGATACTTTTCTCCTAGTGGAATCCCCGAGGCCGAGAGAGAGAAGAACCCAAAGCCGCTGAATATCTACTTTGGCCGCTATTTGGGTAAAAGTGACCGGAGTTCTATTTTCACTTACGAGCTGAAGAAGCGGAGCTACATTTCCACCACGACCATGGATGCGGAGTTGAGTCTCGTGACAGCCAATATCGCGCTCGCGGCGCCTGGAAAGGTCTTTTATGATCCTTTTGTTGGGACTGGAAGTTTCTTGGTGGCTGCCGCGCATTTTGGAGCTCTGACTATGGGCTCGGATATCGATCCTCGCAGTTTCCGTGGAAAGGACGAGGAGCGCAATGGTGAGATTTCTATTCTACGAAATTACAAGCAATATGGCACCACCAGCAAGTATGTCGACTGCTTCACTTCGGATCTTACCAATACGCCTCTGCGTAACGCTCCACTCCTCGATGGTATCATCTGTGATCCGCCTTATGGTGTGCGAGAAGGTCTTCGGGTCCTGGGAACTCGGAATGGAAAGCTTATTGAGCCAGTCATGATCGATGGCGTTTATGCTCATTAGTATGTCACATCCAGCCTTTTGAGTATCATCCATATTATCAAGGGCAGAATGCTAACGTTTGTCAATAGCCGAGAAGGATACATCCCGCCAAAGCGGCCCTACGGATTCGAGGCCATGCAGAAAGACATTCTCGATTTTGCCGCTCGATCCCTCGTTGTCAATGGTCGTCTCGCGATGTGGATGCCGACAGCGCTCGATGGTGATCACCTGACGGTGCCCATGCACCCGAATCTCGAGCTCATTAACGTTTGTGTCCAGTCTTTTGGGAATTGTGGGTGATAGCTCTGCCATTTTCACAATACCTCAAACAAGAAAATACTAATTTGTTTCGATACAGGGGCTCGTCAACTGATGACCTATCGTCGTCTTCCCGAAGGCGAGGTCTCTGATATCTCGGAGGGAAGAATCAAGGTCGACAACGACGGTGTCACAGCAAGCGAGGTCAACGAATTCCGCCGAAAGGTATTTATGCACCTATGAAAACTTTACAGACAAGAGGCTAACATTTATGGTATAGTATTTCAGGAGGTTTCAAACTAAGCGAACCGGCGGAACCACAGAGTAGCGGAAACAAGACGGAAGACACCCAAAGAGCTCGCAATGCCCAAAAAATAGTCACCCCTCAAAAGGAATCCAACCACCTTGTCCATGCGGTTTTCATCGATCACAAGATTATGGAATCAGAGATCACAAGAGACGAAGACCACTTGAGCAACAAAAAGGTGACCAGCGGTTTGCATTTAACAACCTCACAGCTTACCCCGTTTGATGTGGTCAGTTGAGAGATCGACGCCCTCTTCTCTATGGATGCGTTCAATCTCCCGTGCCAACTCGGCTCTCATAGCACGGGCTAATTCCTCGCCCTCATCATCGTCAAGCTCCGAGCGCTGTCCACGGCCAAACATAGCGAATCCAGGCTTGTGGACACCGTCGGTCGAAGGCCGGGGAATGATATGGAAGTGGACATGAGGCACTACTTGTGCAGCCCGGGCGCCTATATTCTAGAGTTAGAGTTCCTTGCGCGTCGCGTTTCCCACATGAATGATTTTTAAAAAAAACGATAGACCTGTTTCAAGAATACCAAAAATCGATTGAACTTACCATTATTCTGCACGACATTCCAATGTCTATCTGGATCCTCACCGAATATAGTTTTTGTCACAACCCTCGAGATAATTGGAAGCCATACGCCCATCTATGCAAGGAATCAGTTTAAAAACAAGCCAATAAAAGACACAGAGAAGAAAGGAAAAGAGCAACACGATAAGGCTATACACAGACTAATGTAATTCAGAAAAATAAAAAGGGCCAAAAGATTTGGCACATACCTCCTTTCCAACCTTCACTTCCATATCCCCCAACTTCTCGTAATGAAGCCTCGGAGCTACAAGAACATGCCCCGCAGTGAGAGGCATAATGTCCAAAAAGGCCATAACGTGTTTGGTAGACAAGATCATATGAGCTGTTGGTTGAGTTGGTGCCCCGGAATTTGAGTCCGCATCTGCGGCATGGGACGGGGGTTCATGGAAGGGGGCCGGTGGGTATGTGGCGGCGATATTGCAGAAAACGCACCGGCAAGGCATGGTGGAGATGAGTTTAAGAGTACAAGGGGTATGAGATGAGGTGAATGATTCGTGGCGGGTATTTGTCTGATGGGTCGTATTAGAAGCGAGGGGTGGTTGAAATAGGCAGTTTTGGGCCCGCCGCCACTGTCTGAGAGGCTTGGAAATGAAATGTGACTTGTCTTACGGAGTATAGAGAAATGATAGAACTAGTATGTGCGCCAGATGAAAGGCAAGGTATGTTTTCAGAAGCTTGAGCTTGAGTCGGATGATTCCGACTAGTTACGCCATTCCGTCTCAGCGTCTGTTTCAATCTGCGTTTTCAGCTCGGCATCTTCCCGCAGATGAACCAACCTCGGTTAAAACAAGACAAGAAAAACCAACAAAATTGTAGACAGTGGCCATGTTGCATGTGGAAAGAAAAATCTATAGAATATGGTGAAATTGCACCACCAAGACAAGAAAACCTGATATCACTATTACCTATAACCCGCGTCTGTTGCATGTATGATGTAGTATTGGTCGGATATGAAGTCTGCGCCTAGGCTGGTATGCGTTCAAATCTTCTGGGACATACTAGTAGGGATTGGATTTTGGCAAGAGGGCTGAGTAGCCATTGCCAGCAGTTGGATTTCAGTCCATGTATTGTATGGGAAATTTCCTACTGAGAAGCAAAATCCGAATTAGTAGTAAGTACGTGAAGTGACCTTACCTACTAGATACTAGTAGCATGTACACCATCAAGATTAAGAAAATGCCATGAGTAAAAAGATTTCATAGAAAGATCAGGATTGCATGCGATAACCACGGGAAACACCGAGCACGAAGTCAACTAACTAATAAAAAGATAAAAAACACCAATGTGTTGACCTCTGGCCCCGATGCTCTCATTACCACAGCCCAACCATCCAGTTTCAATGGAGAGCTCCATCACCAGACCTCTTCCAAACCACAATGAGAATCCATAACAATCCTGGCCATTCCGGCCTGCTCTTTTGTCCCTCCAAACTGCGATGCCATATTAACAAATGACAATGAAAGTTGCACAAGGTAACACAAAGCATACTTCGCAAGGTCGTATGAAAGTGTGCCAGACAGAAAGTAAGTCAATGGCTGTAAGAAGATAAGATTCCGATCTGAAGAAAACAAGACAAATACTAAGATCCGACGCCAGTCACAAAAGGAGAATGAGAATGTTAAAAAGGTATCAGGGCTAGACAAGGCACCCCATGCACGGTGAAAGAAAAGAAAACCAGTCCAACAGAAATAAAACCCCGAACTGAGCGCCAAACACCCCCTACCACAGAAACCAAAAAAAATGCGGAAGCACAGCGCACAAATCAAGACATCGTAAGAATATGCAAAATGGTATTGGTTACCAGCACAATGAAATGCCAACATATGGAGGATTTGAGTTTCCCTGGTCAAGCCGTCGGCCTTGGGATCGTCATTAAGGGGAACGACATAAGCGACACAGGGCTAGCATAACATCGTAAATGGCATCATTACTGTTCGGTGTCTTTGATGTAGGTGTAGGGCTCAGAGAGAGAGCTGTCGATGTACAAGTGGTGATACTTCTTGGCCCATTGACGGGTCAGAATGGAAGCTGGGACAAATGTTAGCAAGACAAAGCGAAAAGAAAACAAGTGAACAAGAAAACAGGATAACGTACCCTTCATGAATTTCTTGCTAGCGTATTTCTTGAAGAAAGCTTCATGGGACACAGGACGGTGGAGATAGTCGATCATCAAGCGGAAGACAGGGTCGATTTCCTCTTCGGTGTAACCGGCGTAGTGGGCAAGAGTGGCATCCCAGTCTCCACGCTCCAGGATGAGACGTGCAAGGTACATAGCAGCGGCGCCAATCTGGCTTTGAGGGTAGCACATAAATCTGTGGTCGAGGAGGCTGATCTCCATGAGGTACTTGCCCAAAGTGCGGGTCTGGATATCATAGTTATCGGCTTTGGAGATACGGCGCAGGAAGTTCATCGGGTTGGGGAAGCTCATGTTGTAATCGAGGGTGGCAAGGACATGGCGTTCGGCATCCAAGATCTCCTTGTCGGAGAAAGTTTCATCAGCGACATGGCTGAAGTTGGCGACATGAGGAGACAGGACCTCCTCATACTTGGAGGCGATGAACATAGCAGTGACACCAACAAGCTGTAGACGATCTAGGGCGACAACTTCGGCAGACAGGAAGCGGTCAATGATGTTGACAGCAAGGAACAAAGTCTCGGGAAGCAGACGGAATCGAGTGTGGACCTCAATCAACCAATCGACCAGAATGCCACGCATCTTCCACTCCAAATCCGGTTGGTGATCGATGTATTGGTGGTTGGGCATGGTCAAGATTTCAAGCTCTTGCAGGTGATCGAAAATCTCGACGACATACTCAGCAGCCATCAAGGGGTCATCCTTGTCTTCAATATCCAGATCTTCCCATTCTTGGTTGACAGCCACTTGAGGCTTCCCAACCTTGGAGGTAGTAACAACAGGCTGAACCTTCTCGACGACATCCTCTTCCTTCAATGATACATTTTGCTCCTGATCCCCAGACTTGGTAATCGGGTGGTGGCGTTTGAGAGGGGGCTCATCGGTCGACACGATATCCTCCTTGATCACCTTCTGGTTGCTGCGCTTCTTGGGAGACTTCCTGATGTTGTCGCTGCGAGGCTTAAGGGGGCCTTGTCGTGTGGAGTTGGTACGCGTAACCTTTTGAATGGCGCCAGCCTGAGTGGTAGCCTTGGATGCCAACCCGGCCTTGGCTGCAGCAGGCTTCTTGCCATCCTTGGCCTCGGCCCCCTCAGTCTTGTTGGTATTGCTCACATCACCCAGAGCGGCTCGGCGGCGTGGAATTCCATTGGCTGTGGACAAGGCACGCTTGACGGGCTGCATGGGTTTCTTGACTGCATCGGCAGGCCCATCGCCGAGAGCGGCCTTGGCCCGCGTCAGACGCGTCGAGGGTCCGTTTTCATCGTTCTCATTCATCGTTCCTCGGGAGCGGAGGCTACGGGCCTGTATAGATGTTAGACATTGTCAAGAAACAGACGTCATTGCACGCGTTTCAATGATTCGATGTTCAATGTGAATCGAGAACATCGAGACGCGAACAGTGAGCTGTAGAAGGATGAGAATTGCTTACCGGTGCCATCGTGCTAGACTCGAGAGGAAAATGAAACAGAAAGGGGACTGGAGGAAAGAAATAACAAGGAGGGTAAGATGCTTTCTCCTTGTCTCGCTTGGATCAGGTCAGCATTCCTTCGGACATTACCTCAGTGGGGAACCCAAATACCAAAGGGTCAAGGTTGAGGTGCACGTACCACGCGTGAATATGTATTCTATTCAAATAGAAATGCACTTGTGTACTTGCCTAAGGATAGTGGACTGGGTTAGGTTAAATGTTATGGAGTCGCGGGTCACGTCACATACAAGCACGATATTGATGTGTCGAGATTTCGTGTCGCACGCTGGTCTGAAATCACAACAAAAACGCGAGAAGATTGAATTGAAGGGCGTGGAGGTATTCTGATCACTCGTGTAATCAGTACCAAATGGATCGACCCGTGGAATATGGGTGGGAGGGGTGTCGGAAGGTGTCGTGGACCTGGAATGATGAAGGGAAAAGGAAGAAGTCAAAGGCCAAGCGATGTTTGGCCCTATTGTGCTAGCGTGGAAAACCGGTCAAACCTGACTGACGCCCCACTTTGCGAGGGTCGCGGGTTGATATTGCAGGGTTTCCGCCCTTAGAATACAAGAAGATAGGGTATGCTTGGTATGAGAAAATTGCAAATTAAGCAATAAACGAGGCAATGGAAATTTTTTGGTTCAAATGTGGAAGAGTCGATCCAAAAATGAAGGGGACGTTGGAAGAGTGGCAGGAACGGTATTGGTAACAGTGGATACGAGTCGCGGACGAAACGTGAGTCGCGGTGGGTAAACATGAAGTTGCGGGGGCAACGGGGAAGGGCGTTTGGGTTTTTGATTATGTCATGGAAATTGAAGGTCATGTGACCCAGCCACACTTTACCTGTGGCGGTGCTAATACTTGCGAGGCGGTGTCTCCATGTCACGTGCACACCCCCAAGAACTTTTTGTTTCTGGCGAAGATACAGCGAGTTAGAGAGAGAGAGCGGAGATCGAGCCCTGAGAAGGATTGGGATTCGAGCAATTGGGCTATCCTAGTTTTTTTTCTTCTTCTTTCTTTCCGTCCCTACCACCGAACATTTACCCCTACTCCTTCCTTCCCCTTCCTCACTCTCAATGCTGCTTCAACCCCGAATTGCCCTCCGGGGCATTCGGTTGCCCTTCAGGTGTTTACCTCCCGTGCCCTCCGTACCGATTCGTCGCTTTGCTTCCGTCGTCAATGGACCCGAGATTACCCTAGAGAAGCTAGCAAGCTCGGAAATTGACCCGAGTGCTTCTTTTGCACCACCCCCGACTCGTGATAATGCTGGCGTTAAACTCCGCACATACACTCCCCGTACGCCCGGTGTGCGACACTTGCGCCGCCCTGTCAACGATCATCTTTTCAAGGGCCGTCCGATCCACCGATTGACTTTCCCCAAGAGAGGTCACGCCAAGGGTGGTCGTAACAACTCCGGTCGGGTCACTGTCCGTCACCACGGTGGTGGTGCTAAGCGTCGAATCCGTACAGTCGACTTCCTGCGAATGGACGCTGGACCTCATCTGGTGGAACGAATTGAATACGATCCAGGTCGGACTGCCCATATCGCATTGCTTCGCAGCAAGGAAACCAAGAAGTTGAGCTATATCCTCGCCGCTGATGGTATGCGGGCTGGTGAGACCGTGCAGAGCTACATGTCCGGTATTCCGGAGGATCTCTGGAAGAGCATGGGTGGTACAGTCGATCCTGGTGTCTTGGCTGCGCGAACCGCTTGGCGAGGAAACTGCTTGCCTCTGCACATGATTCCCGTTGGAACCCTCATCTTCAACGTCGGATTAAGAGCCGGCAAGGGTGGTCAGCTGTGCCGCAGTGCAGGAACTCACGCTACAGTTGTGGCCAAGGGTAGTGATTCTCGACAAAAGGAAGTTGAGACTGAAGAATCCGAAGCCGAAAAGAAGCCCCTCTCCGTGCGGGATCGTCAGAAGCAGGAGCGCCTCGCCCAGCATATCACCATCCGTCTCGCGAGTGGTGAAGTTCGACTCATCCACAAGGACTGCTGTGCCACCATTGGAGTTGCTAGCAACCCCAACTATCATTACACTCGCTTGGGTAAGGCTGGTCGCTCGCGCTGGCTTAACATTCGCCCCACCGTTCGTGGATTGGCCATGAACGCCATGGATCACCCCCACGGTGGTGGTCGTGGTAAGTCCAAGGGTAACGTTGACCCGAAGAGTCCATGGGGTATTCCGGTATGTACATCTAATATTCAATATTCGTCAATCGCCCAAGATCTATGAGCTAACTATAGTTGTGCCCTACAGACCAAGTCCGGTTACAAGACCCGCCCGAAGTGGAAGATCAACAAGGCAGTTGTTCACCCTAGACCTCGTAACCAAGGTCAACGCCGTCGTGGATACAACTAGAAGTCTCGCACTCGCCTATTTTCTTCTTCACTAGCAGAGACATGGCAATTTCCTATTCTGCATTCCCCTCCGAGACACGTTTTCTGTTTCATTTTATACCTCATCCCGCAAGCAATTGGGATGGCTGTACGATATCTCGCTTTGTATTTTTTCTCTCTCTTCGCATTTCGTCATGTCTTGTTCTTTCCACTGTGCACTAAAGCTTATTTGTCATTGGTTGGAGCTTGGGGTATGGGACGCAACTGCTGTATAGTATGGTGGCACAATGCCATTCGCACAAAATGGAAACAAATAGATATATGCTCTGAATAGCCCGAGTTTTGCGAGTCCAAACTATCTACTTCCATGGATGTTAGTAGTACCTGTATATGTAGATGAAGAATATTTGAAGGGAGAGTTGAAGTCTACATATACTAGCTACAAGTACGTGCATGTAGTACTAAGGTACTATATGTAAGTACTACTAGTAGTTAGTAGTATTATGTATGATAATCAGATCAGCGTGACCTGCCAAGCCTTTCCAGGCAGCCCCGTCGTGCGTAACTTCTACGCGCCGATCTTAGACCTCCACCACTTTTAATAGGCGCGATAATAAAAAACGGAGATTAAAGTAACATATCCATAGTCTTATTTCGAAGCTCATCGAAGCTCCTCTTAAAAAGTAAGGAGAAGAAGAAAAGCTAAATTAAGAGGGGACTTTTGAGTTGTCACACCTCATAAAGGAGACTCAGGCCAACAAAGCTCAACTTTGCCCTGCCAAAAGTGACACAGTCATTCATGGAAACTGTTTTTCTCCCCCTACCAGTGCTTATACCCACAAAACCCAGCAGCTTGTGGGCCATGAACCCGTCGTGTCCGATAAGTGTATCGTCGATGCCCGCAAGCCTTGCGGCACTTTGAAGATCTCATCAGTGATAAGCGGTGGGCTGTCAGCCAACTCCTTATCGGTCGGAATCGCTACTTACGCATTTTCGACGCCTATGGTCCAACTGGCCTTCAGAACTAGCCATGGACAATTTCTCATCCTCTGAATTCTCACAGGGGCCTTCGCAGTACTCCTCGATGCCCACATCCTCTCGAACGGATCCCTCGAGCCTAGAAAACGGTGCGACGGCTGAAGATTTCGCCACGGGCGATAGCAGCTACGTCCCACGTCCCAAGCGCATCGCTTGTGTGGTCTGCCGGCGCAGGAAATTAAGATGCGACGGGAAGCGACCAAGCTGTGGAACATGCACGCGTTTGGGTCATGAATGTGCCTACGATGAAGTGCGCAAGAAGAGTGGACCTAAGCGGGGGTACGTGAAGCAGCTGGAGGCCCGATTAGGTATGAGACTACATTCATCTTTACCATCACACCTAGCCGTCGCGAAGCTTCTGGCTTCTTGTGAAAGTCGCTAATTGGATTTGCTCCATCAGCTCAGGTCGAAACGCTTCTTAAAGGCCAAGATTCGGATAGCGCGCCGCGCACTTCTCCCCCTCAACCTCAAGAACACACATTCAATGGAGCCTTCCAGGATGAACCCGGTCTCGCCCTGCCAGATCTCAGCATACTTGAAAATGACATGGGTTCCGCGATTCCCCCGGTAGCGAATAGCTTGGACGCATCCCAACCGAGCCAGTTCAACTTTCCAGATACCAACATCAATATTCCGAATAATATCTCGAGCGATTCTCAATGGAACCTAATCAGTTTGGGGTTGGAAGAACCTCTTCCGGCTCCGGACGTGATTGATGAACTGTGAGTCAAATGTTCCGTGAGAATATCTAGCTCACGATCGATCTAATAGATCATTCTAGGGAGACCATCTTCTTTGAGAAAATTTACCCAATGATGCCTATCATTCACCGTCCTCGATATTTTGCCAGTCTTAATCTCGGGCTTAATCTACGACCACCGATATGCTTGCGCTACATAATGTGGTGTCATGCAGCATCGGTTACAGACAAATACTTTTTCTTGCATACCCATTTCTACCAAAGGGCTCGCAAGTATGCGGAAACAGACGAAATGAAAGGATTCGGAGAGTCCATCATCAGTCTGGGGCATTGTCAAACTTGGATTCTCATTGGCGCTTATGAGTTCCGAATGATCTACTTCCCGCGCGCCTGGCTGAGTGTTGGTAAAGCCACGAGATTGGCGCTCATGATGGGCCTCAACCGCTTAGACGGCTCAGGGATTGATGTGAAACAGTCCATGCTTCCACCAAAAGATTGGACAGAACGCGAAGAACGAAGAAGGGTGTTCTGGATGGCATTTTGCACTGATCGATATGCAAGTATTGGAACTGGATGGCCATTAGCTATCGACGAGAACGATGTTGGTTGCCTTGGAATTAAGATTCTAGTTGTTTGTGACTAACTTATGACAGATCATGACAAACCTCCCGGCCTCTGAAGAATCATTCATAAAGAGCAAACCGCAACGCACACTTCGCCTGTCTGATATCATCGGGGGCGAGGGCGTGTCTGCTTTGGCTCCATTCGCCTGTGTAGTCCTGCTAGCAAATCTCTTCGGCAGAAATTTGACGCACATTCATCGGCCCCAGCCAACAGATAATGACCATGATCTCAATGGCGACTTTTGGAAGAGACACCGGAGCCATGATAATATTCTCCTTCATATTGCACTCTCCCTACCTGAACACCTTCGACTTCCGTCTGGGACCGACGATGTGAATGTTATTTTCGCCAACATGAGTATCCACACCTCAACAATTTGCCTCCACCAAGCTGCAATCTTCAAGGCAGAAAAGAACAGAATGCCCAACCAAATAATCACCGAGAGCAAGCGCCGATGTCTTGTGGCGGCGAACCAGATTTCTAGCATCATGAAGATGGTTAGCCATGTTGATTTGACTATTGTAAGCCCGAATCCATTGCGTTCTGATCTGCTTTGAAACCATACTGATTGGATATAGTTGAATCCCTTCATGTCTTTCTGCCTCTACATTTCAGCACGAGTGTTTGTGCAGTACATTAAATCTCGGCCTGACGATTCGGCCGTTTATTCTTCACTGCAATTCATTGTTGGGGCGCTGAATGCAATGAAATCCAAGAACCCTTTGACTGAATCCTTCCTGATACAACTGGATGTCGATCTTGAAGGCACTGGAATTCAATCCCAGGTCTCAAAAACCAGCTCGGCATATATTCAACAAGCAATGGTTCGTTCTTCTTGGGAGCTGTTTTCATTCTCGGAGGTGTACTAAGCTAACCTGTGCCGATCCAGCAGACCCATTGCGGTGATCATGTTGAGTGTGGACCCATTTACAAAATTCGACAACAACAGCGAGATGAGATCCCCCAGGGATCCTCGCAAGACTCCACCAACACCGGAATTCCGAATCATCCCCCTCCTAATACATCGACATCTCTTCCTAGTCGGCACAGAGAATCAGCAAACAATAACACGAATCATCCACCTACGGCTCTTGATCAACCTCAGTACTTCTCCAACCAAATGCGACATTCCGGCCTCAATGGTGAAACCGCCATACCAGGAACTCTCATTGATATTGACATGGATTTCTCGCCAGACTTCCTTGGAGAGAGGAACCCACCCTCCGATCACCCAACGCCCTCCACGCTGAACTCATCTTCAAACACATCCTACTCAATTTCGGGCACCGACAACCCGTCCCCTGGGAAGAAACAACAAAATTCAGGAATTACCCACTCTGGTCAAGGGTCAGGTCCCATCCATATATCTCCGACAAGCACAGAGTCGCCACAAATTCCCGACATCACGAGGTCTGGGCCGACTAGTGCATTTGATATTCCTCCCGCGTGGGACCTACCCACACCAAACTCTGATTTGTCCAATGTGGACTTTAACGTCAACATGAATTCCCTGAGTGAGGCTCAATGGGCACAGATCTTGAACAATAACGGTGGTCCGGCTGGATGGGATAGCTGGCGCCAAACAGGCGCGTAATATGGAACATACTCTTCATTGCAATCACCAATGGATCGCAACTACGGCTGCCGTTCTAAGTGCTACTAATACACAACCAATTTCCGCGACCTGTGGCCCCGCCAATTTTTGACTGCTTGGTCTTGTCGAATCCTTGGACAACCATTCGAATGTCGCTCGTGTAGCGAAAACGACCTTTCTTTCACACTAAGTCTGTCATGCGGCCAAGATATCATGACTGCTTCTTTACAACAAATCACCCTAATACCCCCAGGGCCGCCGAGACTTGCGCTGCATAGCAAACGCTGGTCACTGTGGAGAACGATACCAAAAATTTCCATGGCGGCCCTTTCCACTTCCACTCCCTTTGATGCGATCGGTTTGCGGATTTTTTATTGGTGTTGGAGATGAATATTGGGACATGGGACAGGGTAGGGGACCCTAGGCGCTATACCAAATTCTATGGCAGCCAGTGATTCCCGGTGTTTCTCGTCCCTTTTTGCCACGACTTTATGATAAACGAACAGTCTTAATTCTCAATTTATGTATATCTCCCCTCTCAGAACCGGTTTTCTGCTATATCTTCTTCTATTTAGAGACACTCAACTTGAACCATACTCATAACGTGCAATAATATTTCAGTGTATTTCAAAGTATGACCTAGTCATCAGACTTAAAGCAAACCGAACAACCCAGTGTATCAAAAAAGATCAGAGTCCACCGCCAGCCGCACCAACAATCTTCAGTCCTCCAGCGCCTCCACTGCTCGAGCCATCATTGCTAGTTGAGTAAGCGAGCCAATACCTTGACGGGTGCCAAGCTACGGCAGGAGTACCAGCCCGAGCCCCGGTAGTTGGGATAGTGTACACGCTTTCCCCAGTCTCCGCATGGAAAATCTCTAGGCCACCGGGGGTCGCGCCTAGCTCCACATCTGAAGCGCCACAGATAAACCGCCCGTCGAAGCTCCAGCTCAAGCCACGGACGGCACCACCATTCTCACTGGACAAAGTTCGGCGGCATATCCAATCAGTTGTATCCCAGAGCGAGATCAAAGCGTCACTGCCGCCCACTGCCAGATAGCGGCCTGTCGGCGCTAGAGCGGTAGAGATACATGCGGAGGTGTGAGCGTTAAGGGTGTGGATTGTTTCGAAGGAAGGATATGAGACGATCTTTACACGACCTTCACCGGTTGTGAGAAATAAGTGGAGATCTGGGTATTCGGGGGAGGGTATGTTATTTGAAAATGTCGTCTCGTTGGTCTGCACCGTTTGGGGATGTGAGGGCAGAGCGCTGTATGTAGATGAGCCCGAAGAGCCATTGAAGGCGCCTGTTCCATGAGTAATGATATGCGGCGAAGATGGCGATTGAACAGATACGGGGACTAGGGTATCGTCCTATAGTTGAAGTTCGTCTGTCAGTGGGTTGTTGTACACGGAGTTCGATACAGAGGTTAGGGCTTTTCTAACCTTTCTTCCGACAATCATTGTGCTTCCATCAGCTGACCAGGAGAGAGTAAATGCCTCTCCGCCGACATCTAGACGGCCGACACATGTCTTGGAGCGAACGTCCCAGAAGCGTACGGTGCCATCTGCGGAGCAACTAGCCAGCTCTGCATCCCGAACAGGATTGAAAAGGACCTTTTCGATAGCAGCAGAGTGGCCGCGAAGCTCAGTTGAGTTTTGTACAAAAGGACGCTCGGGGTTCCAAATGCGCAGCGTCTTATCAGCGGAGCCAGTCGCAATCAGCTGGCCGGCGGGATTCCATGCCAACGTCCGGAGACTAAGAATCGAACAGAAGGTTTTTGTCAGTCATTGCGCGCAAATGTTAAGTCGCTTAGTGCTCACGTATGCGACCCTGGGCCTTTCGAAATGGGATCATGGTATTGCTGTGTCTTGACGCCGCCGAAAACAAAGGCGAAATGTTCCTTGGTGAGCAGGTCCCGGCGCGGAGCGGGCGCCATTATTGGCTGCTTGTTTTGCGGTCGCTTTTGCTGCCCTTGTATCCAATCGCCTAGTGTAGGCCCATTGAAAGCTAAGGCAGCACCAGGGGATTTGAAACTGGCGAGTATGGGTAGCTTTATCTGACGTGTGGGGAGTTCGGACGAGTCGATGTTTAGAGCTGCGTCGCTTTCGGGCGGAGAGAACATCTCGTTGCCTTAGGCAGGAGTTTCCCGCCTTTTCAACTACGGTTTCGACAAGTGGAAAATATGAAAATACCAGGACTGAAATTTCGTGTGAGAATGGATTCCAAGGATTTTCTCCAGAACCGTCAAGTGGTTAAGTAGTGGTCAGAGATGAGGTACTATACATGGTTGGTTTGTTCACAGAACGAAATCTTATCTACAGTAGGAAGGAGCACAATTCACAAAGGAAACCACGACCCATGCTGACTACTTGATGAGTATACCTACTAGTATTCTTTAGGCTAATGAGTAGCTGCCAACATTTAAAGGTTACTGAATTGCGAGGCCGTTCAATGTTGGCAAATAGCCACATACCCATATAAGGGCTATATCTAGAAACCAAAGTCCAGGAACTTTCAATGTCCAGAACCGATCTGTTTTGGAGTCGGATAACACAACTAAGAAACCTTGAATAGCCTGAGAATCAACCATGATGAATTCAAGTCATTAATCCACACATTTTTATTGCTCATGACTTTTCACCAGCCAAGGTTAGCCAGAGTTGTAAATTGTGGGTGTGATCTTGATCTCATCGTAGCTATCGATAAGCCCTCCGAGCTTAATCGAACATCACTGGAGAAATTTTTGTCGATCCATCCACCCCCTTCTGTCACGAAAGTCTTCTCAATTGATTTACAGTCCCTCAACGATTGAGTCACTGTAAAATGTATTCCCAATCCCTTGACTTTGTTGACGAAGCCTCACGACGGGAGAAATGCTTCACCACCATCACCCAGCTCCCCGCATTGGTCGATCCAAAGCAGATCGCAAGTAGAAAATCGCCCTTCTCTGCCATCCTCAGCCACCCCTTTGTGCATACGGTAACATCGCCCCTGGTACTTACCGAGATCTTTGGTCAGTGGTGATGCTAATTAATATGTGCAGGTCGAAGTGATCCTGCCAAAAGATGTCTATGACCGTAGCCAGAAGTCGCTGGATGCCGAATTAGAAAAACCTCAATGTGCTCAGGTTTTCATGTACCCATCTGATATTCTCGAGCACGACTTCTTCAACACATATATCAAAGCTGGTGTGTAGTATGATCTGCAAATCTTGTACCCGTCCCTAAGTGGGTGGTCGCATGGGCGCCGTTAGCATGGGGTTAGCGTTGCACGACTCAAAATATCTAACATCTTCTGACTAGGAAACATCCTCTTGATATCTGAAGGGAAATCAGGCTCTGATACTGTGTTCACTTTGCGAGACGGTCAGTGTCGACTCGAGGGAATGCTCCAGCTCGCACGCAGCAAACTAACCCAGTATCATAATAGGCCTGCTTAGGATAGAAACTGGCAAGGAGATTTATGAACGCACTGGGCTTTCGGGTAGACCAATTCGAAGTGGTGGCCGGAAGCATATCAAGGAAAGATTTGGTAAATTCAACCACTGCCGACCCCCTAGGGTACGAATGAAAGCTGACCATATGATCAGTCATTGAGCTCAACTTACGACTACCATCAATGTTGCATGGAAAGAAAGGTTTTGACCGCATTGTTTGGTCATTTAAGAATGTCCTCAATGAGTCTCGGTCATGGCTATTCAGTGATCTAGAATCTACGCCGGAGCAAAACAAAGGTTTTATCTTTCTGTCGTCACTATGAGAGAAGATCACTCTTGCTGATATCGGATACAGATACTAAGCCCGTTCAGAAACATTCTCCCAAGTGGCTCGATTGCGCCCCTTGCCAAAATAGTCTCGGCAAAATCATAGTTCCACACTTATCAGGCTTAGTATCAAAAGACATGCCCGAGGTTGAGATACAAGAGGCTTGCGGTTCAATTTCTGAATGGATTGCCTTGGTTCAAATGCGATCGCCTCGCGTCTCTTCTGATGATGATATTGATCCATTTCTCAGTCGCTATAGTGTTCCGGACTCGGGCGAAACAAGCGTCACTGAGTTGATCAGCATAAAATGGCAAGGTCTCATCTCTCCGAAGTGGACTATACAGTTGTTTTCGTCTTTGCTGTAAGTTACAAACCCGAAGAATCAAAACGCCTCAGTTGTCATCTTGAGCTAATCATGCCCCAAATGGGCGATGGGATCAGTTGTCAAAGTACAAACTTTGGTCCCTCCGCCTGGTTTACTCTTTCAGCATCGGCTTTGGATAAACAGGCCGTGGAAAGTAAAGATGGGTATACCGTCATAGCCGCTCCAAACGTTTGTTCTGAGCAAGCTGGTGCAACAATTAGCGAGGAAGGAGCGTCTTGTAGGCGCCATGCGATCTGCTGGGAGTTCGTGGGAGCAAGTTGCAGCTGATTTTCAAAATAGGAATTGTCAAAAAACTACCTGGTTTTCTTTGTAAATTTTAGCCCTGGGGAACCCCCTACGAGAGCAACTCTGAAACGCTAGTCAAAATTTCCTAATTCGAACAAAACCCTAACCTCTTGCTCCATCTGCATCGGCATACGTCGGCATACATCTCCCTCTCCCTCTCCTTCTCCTTCCTCCTTTTCTTCTTCTTTCCCTTCTTCCATCCTCCATCTCCAACTTTCACCCACCCTCAGTTTCATCTCCATCTTCTTGCACCTTGCTAGGTCGCTCACTTTTCATTACTTGAAAATTTTTCTGTTCCTTGCTCTCTTTTTTGAATCCTATTCTCTCACCCACTTTTCATCATGTCCACTCCTTTCGTCACGACTACTCCTTTCCCCAACACTGTTATCACAGGAAATGCTGCCCATGTGTCTTTCCTTTCCATTGGTGAAACCAACACCATGGCCGACTCCAAGAATGACACGATGCACCAGCTGTCCCAGATTCCTGACTTCAGCGACGCTGAGATGCAACTTCTTCTCAACAGTGTCGGAAATGAAGACACCTGGAATGAACGTGTTACTGAACTCGCTCAAAGCTCACTGTCTCCTCCTAAGGAGCCATGGGAGCCCCTTCCTGAATTTATCAATCCTGCTTTTCTCTTGGCTTCCTCCGACTCCTCGCAGAATTCTTTGATGGATTCGGTCTGGTCGAAAGGTCTATCTTCGGATGGACACACCGACGAAACTTTTCCGGTCCCAGATCTGGTAGATAATACCCATCGCGTCGACAATTCGCTTTCGGCTCCCCTCCCCACCTGTGACAACCCAGCTGCGGTCCACAAAAAGCCTGTGTCAAACCTTCACATGCAGCAAATGACATCTCATTCTGGCAACTCTAAGCCTGCTCGCCCCCAGTCTGGCCGTAAATCTGGCCGCAAGTCTGGTCCTCGCCCTCGGACTGATACCACTCTGGATACTCTCCCTCAGTCTAATCGCCCTCAGCTCAACCCTCAGCTTGGTGACCCTCGACTTGCAGGCCGTCAGCTTGGTGACCCTCGGCTTGCCAATCCCCAGCGTGCCAACCCTCAGTCTGGTACCCCTCAGCCCGGCAACCCGCAGCTTGGCCACCCTCATCGTGTCAGCCCTCAGCATGTACACCCTCAACATGCCAACTCTCAGCGTGCCAACAACCCCCAGCGTGTGAACATTCAGCATGGCAACATTCAGCATGGAAACCCTTACCTTGGTAACCCTCAGCATGTTTACCCTCAGCCTAGCAACCCACAACTTGGTAACCCTCATGTTGTTTACCTTCAGCCAGTCTACCTTAATCCTGGTGACCCTCAGCCCGTTTACTTCCAGTCTGGCAATCCTCATCTCGGTGCCCCTCAGAGTGGAAGCCCTCAGTATGCCAACCCTCAGCGTACCAATTCTCAGGGTGCCAACTCCCAGCGTGCCAATTCTCAGGGTGCCAACTCCCAGCTTGTCAACCCTCAACTTGCCAACCTTCCACTTGGTCCTCAGTCTGGTAACACTCTGGCTGGCTACCCTCAGCCTGGTTACCCTCCCGCTGTGTACAATAACCAGGGTGCTTACTTCCCACAGGCTGATCATGCCCAGCCAGCCCAGCCTCCATATGGGCCCAGCTTCCCTGTCCAGCCAGATGAGGTCTCTATGGGAATGTACGGCTTGCCACCAGCTCCATATACCCAGGCTCAACACCAGAATACCAGACAGATGACACCTCCAATGGGCGCTCTGCCGACTCCTCCCACGAGTTCTCCTGCGAATTCTCTCCCTGGTTCTTCCGCCAGGCCCTCCATGAGTCCTCCCAGAGGACACCCTGTTGGACGTCCCGTGAACCCACAACAGGCCGTCGTTGGACCGGGCGCTGTGTCGATGGCTCCACCACCAGCGCTTGTACAAAAACCCGTGCCAAAGCCTGTACCTGCACAGATGATGCCCCGCAGGAAGCGCCCCTTCGAATTTATCAACTGGAGGGCGCCGCCGGGCTTCCAGGCCAACCCTGAAAACCACGGCCGGTGGTTAGTGGATGAGAAAGGTAGGCGCTTGTACCTCAATCGGCCCGAGCACAAGAAACGGCGCACCAAGTAGAAGGTGCGATCGTCAAGGGTTGCCCATGACCTTCTTTTGTCCGGTTCGTTATATGTATTGCTAAAGCAAACTTTCAGTCTGTCTTTTCTTTTTTCTCTTTTCTTATTATTTTATTATTCTATATGTATTGTTTAAACAAACTTCCAGTCTGTCTTTTCTCTTGTCTTATTATTTTATATGTATTCTTTTAACAAACTTGCTGTCTGTCTTTTTTTCTTCTTTTGTCTCGTTCTTTATTTGTATTTTTTAATCAAACTTGCTATCGGTCTTTTCTTTTCTCTCGTCTAATTCTTTTATATGTATTCTTTAAACAAAGTTGCTCTCTCTCTTTTCTACTTGTATTTGTTTTTTTTTACAAATCTTTTACAAAAAAAAAAAGTGATTCTGTTGCTAAGTGGTGTGAAAACATCTTGCTCTGTTCATTCAACTTTATTAATTTTGTTTCTTATGGTTTGTAAAATGCCACCCCTTTGTTTATTCAAATATCTCTCACTCGTAGCTCAGTAGTCATTTAGTTCTGTATAGAATCGCCGTATAGGTGGACATCAATAATGAGGTACTTGAGCCCGCGATGATTTGTCCTCTTACTTCCAAGGGTCTCAGAGCTCAGTTCCCCCATCTTCAACGAGCCAAATTTCAATTAAAATAAAACAGAGATGTTCTTCTCTTTTCAAATGTTTTCTTTATTATCTGCAGATGTCAGATGTTGACAGTCTTTGTTCTTTGATCTGCGGGTTGCAGGCTGAAAGTCTTTGTTCTGCAGGCACTTAAGGTTATTTCCCCCTGTTTCTTTGTTCCTCTTCTCTTTCTTCTCTCCATTAAACATTCGAATTACCCTTCTAGATATAATCCTTTTGTCTATAACTAGATCTGTACATGTAGAGGGGGGGTTGTAAATGGTCTGGTATTTGAAGAGTCCTTGTAGAGTTGCCGGGGTCTTTCCATACTAGTAAGTGCTGGTACGTAGTTGCATCTTGCCCTGGCTGTCTGTGGTCGGGTTTTCATTTCCCCCCAATACAACATCGCCTTGCGAGCCACTGGCAAGTCTTTGAGTCCCTCAATTGTCCAGCCCTGGATTATCATTACTGATTTTATTAAGAATAACGAAGATATTCGTACCCATTCACACTCGTTTTCAGAGCGCAACCAGGGATCTGAATCGCGCGCCGCATTCGACTCCCTTCACGACCTCGAAACATGACTGGAGGACGCTTGGATGATTCCTACCTGTTTTCCTTTGTCTTATAAAGAAGTAAGGCACTGCTGAGATGCCTGGTAGGGGACTATGACACGCGCAGTGGTGAGCTGAAACGCCTCTTGGGGCTGGGTTCTCGCCGAGACACATTGACGCGAGAAGCTCGCCGACCGACTGATCTGAACCCATCCAAGAGACTCTTGCGCTGCATTTTACAAGACGGGCAAATACTTGGATTTAATTGAAGCTCCAATTTCACAGCTGAAGAGGTTTGCATACATGATACACTTCCCCTACTCCCCGTGGTACTGGGATTAAATCTACGCGCATTTCTTCTAACAACAATCCTTTCATAGGTCGAATCTTACGCCCTATAGATATACTCTACCTTAACTCAAATGACTTTCAAGGACTAACACTCCGCTGGTGAGAGAATCTACACGTCTCTGACAAATTTCACTCCTCAATGGCGTCATGCATGAACACTCCGTCCGATTAGCCCAGCCAATCCATATCGAACAAAGTGCCACAAATATGACGACTTTCTCGCATTCTTACACTTTGTTTAGGCAAGATAGACGAGCTGCATTTTACCCTCGGGTAGCGTGCGCGGGCTATAAAGTCATGTCTCTCGAGAATAGACCACCGGGCAATTTCTCTGTTTCCTCGCTGTTTAAGCAACAATGGCGAGCTCATCTAGCTCTTTTCGGGTACACGATACCGTAAAAAACGGATCTGTGGTTATTGAAGCTCAAGAATCAGTTGATTCCGTTCACGATGTTTCTGGGGATGTCATTGATGATGGTCTGCGAAGAGGTCTGAAGGGCCGTCAGTTTGTGATTATTGCGTTGGGGAGTATCATCGGTCCTGGTTGTTTCTATGGACTCGGGTCTGGGCTTTATGAAGCTGGTCCATTGGGCTTATTGATTGGGTTCTCTCTTGTTGGTTGGTGATTTCTCTATGGTTGGTGATGTGCCTCAACTAACAGGAAGATACTGCATAGGACTGTCTGTGTGGATTTTGATGCAGAGCGTAGGAGAGGTTGCCACACTATTTCCACTTCATGGTGGATTCGTTGAAGTAATAAAGCCCTTTGATCTGCTTTATGAGTTCTGTTCTAACGTTAATAGCACTGCGACCGTTTTGTAGACCCGGCTATGAGCTTTGCGGTGTCATGGCTCTACTATTTCATGTGGAGCGTGTTTCTAGCAGCTGGTAAGAATTATTGTACCCTCAGATCCTTTCCAAGCACCTTCCAATGAAGTATTCATGCTGATACTCAAGCCAGACTGGAACAACGCAACTGTCTTCCTCCAATACTGGATCCCTGATACCAGTGTCCCAACCTGGGCTTGGTACATAATATTCTTCGTCTTCTTCAGCGCATTGACGACTCTCGGAGTAAATTTCTACGGCGAGACAGAGTACTACTTTGGAATGTTCAAGTTCCTTTCGCTTGTTGTTCTGTTCTTCATCTCTATCCTCGCTGATGTCGGGGCCTTTGGTAACGGATACGTTGGGTTTAGATATTGGACAGAACCATACGGTGAGATGGCCATTTCCTGACGCGCAAACCCCAGACTCGGACTCAGACTCAGACTCAGACTCAGGTGCTAACACTCTCCTAGGGCCCATCCGAAATGGCATCAATGGCTTCGGACAGGTCTTTGTCTTGGCCGCTGCGTACTACGTTGGCACCGAAATTGTTTCAGTGGCTGCGGGCGAGTCCAAGAATCCTCAACGCGATATTCCGCGGGTAAGAACAAGAAGCAAATTCAATCACGATCTGATCATTTCGTGACCCCGGACCTAATACTTCTTCTTTTAGGCTACTAATTCAATTCTTTATCGCATTCTGTTCGTGTTCATCGGCATGTCTTTTTTCCAGGGTTTAATTTGTCCTTCCACATCCGACGACTTGCTCCACGCATCAACCGATACTGCCTCATCTCCGTTTACCATTGGCTTCCAACTAGCTGGCTGGAAATCCGCTGGAAACTTCGTCAACGCGATCATTCTGATTGCCTTCGTTTCTGCTGCAAATGGCGTAGTCTATATCCAATCCCGAACGCTATACTCACTAGCCTTGAAGCGAAAAGCACCATCCATCTTCGCAGCGACCAGTGCCCGAGGAGGTTGGTAGATCCTGATTTTTCTTTGCTTGTTTGAAGCTAAATTGAGCTGATATGACCATCTTAGTCCCATACGCCGCAATTATATTCTCCAATATGTGGGGATTTCTTGGCCTCATGTCCCTCCAAACGACAGCAGGCAGTCTTTTCCTCTATTTCACTTCCTTTGGCGGGACAGCAGCATACATTGCCTGGGCTGCCATTACCTTCGTTCATATTAGAGTCCGAGCAGCGGCGAAGAGACAGGGTATATCGCCGAGGGAGTTCCCATTCACAGCTCCAGGCCATATATCGCTTTATTGGGGGAATCTTTTCTTCAATCTTTTCCTGTTGTTGATTCAGGGGTTTACTGCGTTTGAACCTCCATTTAACTATCAGTCTTTTATTGCTTCCTACATCAGTATCCCATTGGCGCTTGTGTTTTTCGTTGGTTATAAATGGTGGTTCAAGAGCAAGTGGTCAGTCCTACTTTTCGATCTATTTCTCTGTCCCAGTTGCACTCCGTGAGATCCAGTGCGCTAACTTAATTACTTATCTGATAGGGTATCTTTGGATGATATAGACTTCTCGAGTCGGCGTCATTGGGCTGCGGAAGATGAAGATGGAGTGAAAGGCAGATCATGGTTTCGAAGAATTTTGGATGCCTTGAAGGATTAGGATTAATCCAAGGTTGGAATATGGTGGGATCAAGCTATACATTCATTCATGGCAAGGCTCATTTCAGCAATGTTGAGCTTGTCTCCATATAGACATACTAGCATGAAGTGCTTGGTATCCATAAAAACCTCAAACTATTTGGAAATAAAATTTTGATATATGCTTGAAAACAAAAATGTGGGAGGATTCGCTCAAGAGCCACCCAAAATGTAATGCGAAAAACACTGAATGAAGCAAAAAGAATCACCGATGATCAAGCCGCCATTGTCAGTACATATCTAAGGCCGGTGGGTTAGTTTGAATTCCGAGCATCAGTCGGGGTTCAAGTAAAAACTTACGAAGTAATACAGTCCATGCGCTCCGTCGTCAATTTTAAACTGACAGTCAACAGTTCACGGGCGACTCGTGGCTCCGCCTCCTGAAGAGCCTTCCATTTCTTATCACTCAGACACCAAGCCACACATTCGTGCTCAGCCTTGACTGTAGCTGTGCGACGTGTATCGCTGAAGAATGGAAGTTCACCGCAAGGTCTACCGGCGACGACAAGCTCGAAGTAACGACCCTGGGGAAGCTCGTACTCACAGCGAAGCATACCAGCCTCGAGGAGATAAAACGCACGGGGAACGTCGCCTTCGTGGTACAAGATTGTGCCAGCTGGGTAAACCTCGCGCGAGAAGTAGGCGCAGGCGGGGAACCAGAAGTCTTCGTTCTGGTTGGAGAGGCCCTGGAAGGTTTGTAGGAGAAGCGGGAGGGGTTGACGCATTGTGGACCAGGCCGGTGCAGCCATCATTGTGATTGATGTTTCGTGTTCGCGGATTGTGGTTGTTGCGACTCGTTGAAGGTACTGACCACGTGGGGAGCTGACAATGGTTTCGGATAGATTTGAATGAGAGGATGGTTGAATGGGGACGGGAACGTCGAGGCGGTTGGTGGTGTGTGATGATTCCATGGGTTTGCTAATTAACGCTTCCTGTCGACTATAGAAGACCTTAAGGTAGTCGTTCTCGCAGAACTCGAGGGCGGAGTTGAGATCTTCGAAAATCGGGACACCTGTTTCTGGCTCGAACAGGCCCACATTCTGAAGACTCTTGCCGACGTCGCCTTCTACATTAAGACCTGAAATGGTGGTTTGGACGTTGCGCTTGCGGAGGATGCGATTGATGCGCGTGAATGCCTCGGCAGCTGAGAAATCCAATCCGTACACTCGGGAGAAATCCAGAATTAGGAATCGGATCGGTTGCTTCCTGAACGCATCATCCTGGATCAGGCCACGCATGGTGTTCTCCACGTTGACAATTGTGCCAAAGAATAGATAGCCACCGAGCTTCATAATCACGGTCTGCTGTCCAGCTTCGTGTAAGAATTGCTGCTGGATCGGTGGTCGACGAACTGTCGATCCGGCGATTTCTCCCGAGAAGGTGGCTCGGATAGCGGATTTGCGAGAGGTCTGGACCACAAAGTTGACACAGGCCAACATGATGCCAACTAGGATACCCATGACAAAGTCCCAAGCGCCCATAGTGACAACAATGATGAGAACTGTGAGATACTCGAGCCGTGTGAGCTTTCCCCAGGTGTCCACCAACGCTTCCTCCAGTAGCTCAATTCCCAGCAAGAAAATGAGAGCACCAACGACCATGACCGGGATGTACCCAATAATGACTGGACCAATGACCATAATTCCTCCCGTTGCAGCTGCAAGCATCAAACCGGCCAAGCGCGATTCACCGCCGCTGGCGATGAAGAGTAGGCTGTTCGTATAGACCAGGTAGTTCTGAATGCTACCCGCAAATCCTGAGACGGCATTCGTCACACCGTGAGCCATCAGCTCTCGATCAACGTTGAGATTATCTTCTCCCGTGGAGATTCCCAAAGCAGGGACATTGATCGGCACGTGGAGAACACCAAAGAAGGTCAACGCGAACATGGCTGGAAGTGTATCCGCGAAGGCGGTCCAGTTCACTGCAGAAAAGTCTAGTTCGGGTCAGTCACATATAATTATCTTGAAGGTACTCATGCAAGCTTACCATATAGACTGTAAAAGTGGTACCAGGGATGATTGGACGATGGAGCATCGAAAGCCCATCCCTTGGCATGAAGTGTATCCATGGACACCCCAGCGCTGAGAACAACGATGTAAAACATCACAGCAACGGCAATGAAATAAGCTCCGACAAGGAAGTTTGATCGAATGAAGCGCTTCAGGACAAGAAGTCCAATCGCAAGGGATAACGGTATAATCCAAAGTGCAACCGTATCCGCATGAAACAACTTCTGTAAGGTGACCAGATTATATTCAAGAGTTCCTGGCAGACGGGCGGAGACCTCGACAGCAGTTTGCAGGAGGAAATAGCCAACACCACCGATGCAACCAATAAGAATATGACGCGGGAAGAATCCAATCAGGGAACCCAGCCCGCACACACCCATCAAGAAGAAGACCAAGCCGGTCAAGATCGAGCTCACCGAGAAGGCAAGAATAGTTGTCGCAATGACTGATTGCGGGTTGTCTTTGCCAACCCGATTCATGATGGCAAATGCCATCTGGTGGAAGAACGGGACCACCTCAATCATTTCGCTGCCAATTCCTCCTTTGAAAATTGATCCACCACTTGAGAACACCACCTGAGCAATAATGGTACTGACATAAAACATGGAGATTCCGTCCGCTCCAAGATTAGCGAACAAGGGTTCTCCCAGAGGAAACAGAATCATGCCATAAGATAGCGCATCCAGAATATTGAGAAGAAGACCCAGCAGGACCGCAGGAATCAAACTGGCCGGATGCACGATTCCTTGCTGCCAGATGGCACGACGATCCCAGCATTTTGGATTCATTATTGTCCGGGAACACTTGGCCACCGTGGCGAGTCCCTTGGTAAGAACGGTAGAAGACCGTCGCGCAGCTCCTGCTTGGTTTTCAATGTCTTCAAGCGTGCCATAACGGTGCGGGGATTTGGATCGTGTCTTGGTTAATAAAGAGGTTCGTTCTGTATCTCGGGGTTCCGGTTCATCGTGAATGGTGGGTAAAGGTGGAAAGGGTTCGATTTCTGACATGGGTCTGCCATGGTCTTCCAGAGGACTCGAGGTAGGTTGACGAATCATCTGGGTCAAGGCCGAGGAACCCAGCATCGGCTCTTGGGGGGTAGCATCCGACTCATCTATCGCCTCGTCCACAACCGAGTGCGACGAGCCGGCGAAGTCATTCTGGTTCTGGGATATACTGGAGAATCGGCGTTCACGGAAGAGATCTAAGCTTGGGGGTAGGCTTGTTCGGGTGCGCGAGGGCTCTTTGTTTATAGATAGGCCGTATGTCGCGAGTTCGGCCGTTTGTTCGCGGAGACCGTCCGATGCATAGTGAGCCGGGTCTAGAGCGATGTGAGTGGTCAGTCAAAAATGCCTCTTGGTGCCTCTGTAACATTGCGCCGATCGCGAAAGCAGGAATAGGAGCCGACCGTGTTTCTTGCAATTGAGAGGGATGGTGCACCTACCATTTGTGGTGTTAAAAGAGCGATGGTAGAACGAGCGACTGGGGGTTCTCATGGCTGAGCCATTGTAGCTGGACGCCTCCACGCCGCCGGGGGAGCTACCCAAATTGGCGTGTTCCACCAGTGACTGTGATGGGATGGAAGCGTCCAGATCACGGTCGAAACTCCAATTCCGATGTGACAGGACCGAAGCGCGCGAATCACGCCGGCCGGGTTGTAGTACGCCCATGAGCTTTCCTTTCTTTTTGGGGGGTTGTGTGGCACTTGGAGAATGGATTTCGGGGAAGATTGGCGGAGCACTAGCGCATGCAACGCCGTTGAGAAAAAGTAACGGATGACGCAAGAGAAGGCAACATTAGTACAATCAAGTACAATCAAGGGCACGGGCTATTCAGAGGGGATTGAAGGGATATATAGAATAGAAAATAACTACTGCTTATCACCGACTCGATAATGGTAAAAAAGGCCAGTGACTAAAAAAACCAAGTTTCTTGGATCTGGTTATCTTGAAACTAAATCTGCTCCACTTTAGATAAGTGAACTTGGATTATTTAAGAATCATTAAGATAGGAAATAATAGGAAATACATTCAAATGTTCAATTTCTTACTTATGAATGGTTTAAATCCCCGAGAAAATCCAGATCCTGCATTAGTCTCAGAAAATTTTCAGTCTCCAATTCTCCATGTCAAGTAAGAAGGCTTACTTTCGCCCTCCGATCGGCACTTTGGCCACGCTTAACGCTCTAGACTTTGTTGGCTTGCAGCTTACCCTGGTCTGTGCAGCGGATCGAGGGTTTTGGGATTTTTAGAAGTGCTTTAGTTCAATGTCCTGCATACTTTGCTTTGCCCCCAAATTCCCACATTACACAAGAGTTTTATGTCAAGTTTTAGTCAAATGTGAATCCAATTGGGCCCTTCGTTTCATCCTTGTCCTCTATCAACTTGGGTACTTTTGTGCTTATTGGCCGCTACCGGCGCCCATACAATCAGCTCTTGAGCCCAAGGATGTTAGCTGTCCTCTCTCTACGGACTAAGTCGGCCGAACGTGGAAAGCTTTTTCTACTAGGAAATTTGTGAGACAAATAATAATAATAATAATAATTATAATAATAATAATAATAATGAAAACTTAGGACCTCGGGATCATATGACCCCATAGCAAAGAGCTATTAGCATGGCTTAGGCGTACAATTGCGCAACCTTGAAAGCAAATTCATATAAACCGTTTTAACATTGAACAGGGGGGTATCTCAACAAAAGTACACAAAACTCTCACGTAGCACGCCATACGGAAATTCCGCAACCATCAGCTCAATCGCTCCAAAAAACCTTGCGCGATCAGTCGTTCAACATCCCCCTGTCGAACATAAAGCTGACTATTCTTGATCAAGTTGATCACGCTGTCTCAATTAGCATTTCCCTCACCACAGCATGAATGGATAGAAACCCATATAAGAAAAAGGTCTCAAACTCACCCATATTCCGTCTGAATCTCCCCCGCATCCTTCAACACCCGTACATCAATAAATAAATCCTTAGGCGGCTGCAAGGTTCCCGTCAGATCAATATCCGTCCATTGCCCTTTATACGCAGCCAGCATATCCCCATACTGCCGGAAATACTCTTCTTCCTCGGGACTCAGCGAACTATGTCCACCCACTCCCGAAGGAAGTCCGCGGTCCTCTGATCCCTCACTGGGCTGCTGCTGTTCCAATGCATCCACGCCCTTCCAGCACAACTCCTCGAGTTTCTCGGTACGCACACGATGGTACGCGAGGAGGCAGCGCTTGTTCCGGCGCATGCAGAGATGGTCGACTAGCAGGGTACATGCGGTCGCTGGGTCCGCGGAGGGATTGAAAGAGCCCTCGAATGGTTCTAGCAAGCGGACGGTATCACGCTCGAGATCGCGGACTTCGCGAGTTACGGCGCGGACGATCTCGGCTTGGTAGGGCGGAAGGTGGGCGAGGGATTGCGTGCGTTTTGCATGTTGGACCTGCGGCGGTGGTTAGTTTTAAGGACGTAGGGCTCTTTTTTTCAATTTCGGGGGCTTCCAAGGCAATTTTTACGGTATTTTGGGGATTTGGCACGTACCAATTTGTTACCTAGTTCACCGTACATCGTTGCGACACGATCTGGGTCGGGTTGCAAATGCCCGACGCGCTCTTGGGGATCCATTGCGCGCCAAGATAATTAGTCAGGGTGGGGGGATCGGCACTAGGGAATCGGGATCAAGTATGGAATCTTCAATGAGGATCTCAAGATCAAGCAGTTTTTTGGGAACGGCTTAGATATTGCACTTGCTTTCGAAGAAGAAAAGATTCAATGTTGGTTGGTGGTCACCGGTAAGTTGATCTCTTGTGAGAGAATAAAGCAAGAGCTGGTGGAAACACTAAACATTGAAGGCTTTAAATATCCAGGTCAACTGGTGTAACCTGCGAAATACTCCAACAGCTACCAGTACATAGTACACTTTCGAGCAGGAGAACCATATTCAACTTGATACTTTCTATAAGCTTGCTTGGTTATATATGGGTCTATTTGGATTTTTCCTTTTTCTCAAGAAGAATCCCAACTCTCAGTATTGCATAGACGCTCTCATCTGATTATAACCCGCTTGCGTGATCGGCTCATATTTGGCCGGTTCATCACCTCTACAAGACGGTATACACTCAATCACCGAATCAGGGTCTGGGGCCATAAAATATGGGATGGAAAACCGCCCCCGAGTCATCCTCTCTTTTCCTTCAAATCGATCTGCCAAAGGTGGCAGAGTGACCCGATGGCTAGTCGATCTCAGACGATCTGTATCTATTAGTCGATAACTCAGCAGGGTAAATCAGACGTCACACAAACCATTACTCCATCTCTGTAAAAGATCCCCCACATTCATCACAATGGCATTTTTAATAGGCGTCGCGGGGACAAAGGTACCCGGCCGGTGGACGTCCTCCACCTCCAAGCCGCCGCAGTCATCCTGGAAGAGCAAGGTGATCGAACTCCAGTCTGTATGCGCCGGACAGCGAGCTGCACGGTCATTTTCCAATGCCGAGGCGGGTACAGGCGGATAATGCAGCAGGCGGAGCTGGTTGTTATGGCCCGAGTGCTTTTCGAGCAGGTGGTTCTCGTCGAGGTCAAGGCCCTTAGCTAGAGCTTGCAGGATTTCTCCACCCACACGAAAGCATTCGCCGTAGAAGTTTGTCATGAACGAGCGGAATCCTGGAAGCGTTTCTTCGGGAATCCATTGGTTTGGTTGGGAGGGATTGTTCTCACTGCCAATGTCGTAGCTTTCCTGTCATCGGTCAGAGAAAGACCCCAGCTTGGCCAAAGTATGTATATTTAATGGGTTAGGAACAGGAGATTGCAATACACATGTGCAAAAAACCCACGATGTTTTATTGGCATCCTCTTACTTACTTTGATATCCGGGACCTCCCGTAGCTCTTTCGCCCGCTCTTGGTCATCCTCGGCACTTGTCGCTTCGAGCCCTGATACCTTCTCTAGCCCCGGCCATGAATAACCCCGATGCACAGCCCATCCCTCTGGGTGAGGAGCCTGAAGCTTCTCTTCTTGGGATAATTCAAAGAAAATCTGGGACCAGTGAAAGGCGTCGTCCAGCAGAGATTCCGGTAACGAATGGTTGACGATATAGACAAACCCCACCTTCTGGCAAGCGGCGACGATCTCGCGGGCGATGAGGAGTCGACTGGTGTCGTCGGAATTCCACCGGGCGAAATCCACGATCGGAATAGCGCTTGCTGAATCCATGTCTGAGGTCATTGCAATCTATTGGAAGCACCTTGGTAGAATATCCTGCAAATTCAAGTGCAGGTGAGAGTGAGAGTTTTGGAATGCTGAGTGAGACACTGAGACTTCGGGTTAGCACAGCTTACACCCAATGGGAACTCCCCAAGAACCCAGTCGAGTCATTGCTAAATATTTCAATGTTGAATAAGTCGCAGTAGCATAAATTTTGTTTTCTTGTTCCGTTCTAAGGCATCTATACTGGGGAATTTAACCCGTGTGTTGTTGTATTCAATCGACCTGTACGGAGTAGTTTCGCACGATGACACAAGAGGGTGAAAAACCAGCCACAGATGGGATACTATTGATAGCAATATTGGAGCAGAGAAAAGGGATCCACAGTAAAGATTTATTGCATCGTCATATCATACGACTTAGTAGGTAGTACATACGAGTCAAGCACGAAGGGAAAAGAAGATGATTTGAACGGGGCCCGGAATCAACCAATGGTGATTTGTGCCCAATGTCCGCCAAAGTCCATATCGGTTGCTGTGGCAGGGATCCCGAGAGATGCACTCCACTACATCATAATCCCTCTTTTACCCTGAACCCTGATCTGAAAGATTTCCTACAATTTTTGCACGAAGTCGAAACTGCTATTTCTCATTGTATGTCTGGATCAATTTCAATCTTGAATCCCATGATTTCCTGATAGTACATCGCTAATGCTAATCTTACTCCTTTGAGTAGTTTGTTGATACCCCGACCCTCGATAACGAAACATGAGAAATTGAGAGCATTGGAGAAGCCCTTGAACAACCCGAATTGCACGCCCTTTGCTTACCCTCCATTGAATCGTACTCGGGCGAAGACGAAGCCAAAAAAAAAAAAAAATTTCAATTGTGACATATTTGCCATCTAGTCCACGAGAATGCGAACATCCAGGTGGATCGGGATCTGGGCCACATTCCTCCCCGCCGTCCTATCGATAGAGACCGCACCTTTTTCCTCCCCCGAAGATGCCCAAACCAACAAACGAGCCTTCGAAGTCCTTCAGATCTTAAAGCGCAGCGATAATTGTCCCAGCGGTTACAATGCCTGCACGAACGAAGGAAATTCCGACGCCTGTTGTATAAGCGGAACCACTTGCACCAAGGACTCCGCCGACAACATTGCTTGCTGCCCGACCGGCGCAAGTTGCACAGGAAGCCTGACAGGCACCGCGACCAGCACCTCAACTGGCACCACGGAGACTGGAAGTAGTTTCGTCTTCCCACAAGGAGCGACCGCGACAACTACGACGGAATCCGGGACAGAGACCGTGTCTACGGCGTCGGGTGCGTACCCATTCGTCTATGTGCCGACGAGCTTCGTAAATGCGCAGTCGTGCTCCTCTTACTACTCGCAATGTCAGTCGGAGTACACGGGGTGCACAGAGGCTCTCATGGGCCGCTACGGCGTCACGGTGGGTGGATCCGGTGGGGGTGTGACGGTTGAGGCGGTCACCGCAACGTCGCAGGCCACGTCTATTTGCTCAAGTCTGAGTCTTGAGGCTTGCCATGGTTTGAGTCTTGCTTATTGTGCTTCGGTCGCTACGGCCACGGCCACGGCTACAGATGCCAGTGGGAATGGAGCTTTGCCTGGTCGGTCCTCGAGTCTTCATGATTTGGCTCTGGGGCTTGTTGTCGGGTTTGCGGGCATGGTTATTTGATAAGATGTGTGATGTGATATGATACGATCTTGGGACGCATTTTACTGGGGAAAACTTCTTTCTCTCTATCTTTGTATATTTTTTGGATGATTTGTTTATGTTGGATTCTTGATGAACCCCGAGCGCTTGGGGGATGTCCATAGCTACTAGTAGGAGCAATTCATGACATGCACCATTGGAATCCCGGCCGATACGGAATTATGGGGCGTTGGAGCGATTGGGCCGTTGCTTGTTGGGCTGTTCATTGGTGGCACCGATAGTTGCGGTGTATCGTGATTCGTCTGCCAGTCAAGAGTCAAGGGTATATGCTAAGGTAGTATGATCAGATCAATGTTGATTATAGGCCATAGCTAAGATATAGCTAAGAGCTTCTAAGCTACATGCCAGGAACCTTCTTTTTGCTTTTCATTCTGTCGAATTGACTCTTTCAACTGCTTCCCAAGGTTTGAGCTGACAGGTCGAGGATTCGGGATCTGACCGCATGCTGATCGCTGCCACGCGGGGTTGGGATGACGAGGGGAGAGAGTGCATAATGCAATTTAAATTGGCCTGTCAGAATGCAGGATTTAGAGACAAAGGGCAAAGAACAAGAGCAAAGACCTTTTTTTAATATGAAACCCAGCCTCCCAAGTTAAAGAGAAAAAAGATGCGGTAAGGACGTGTTAATTGGGCGATTTCCAAGCTTGAAAATCGGGTGGTTGGGTATACCAATAAGTTAATAACGGAGGCTGGGAAAGTTGACATCCATAGCAACCACCACTTTCTTCTTCTCTCCATTCCTCTTTGTTTCCAAAACATTCTTTTTCTGCATTCCTTCTCCCGCTTGGAATCTTTCGCGAACCCATATTTTGTTCCCCTACACCAGGTGGTCTACCGTTGTAGATCGGGGCATACAAATTCCGGACTGACTTCGAGTCATCGCAACGTACATAACGATAATCAGACAAATCAACGTCCCCGATAAACGCAGCCCAGCGATATTTCAAAGCGCCACTTGGGACTAAAAGCACTCATCCATTCGCCATGCGATCCTCCGTCTTGATCTCCACGCTTTCGAGCCTATCCCTCCTACTGAACTATGTCCCAACCACGATTGCAACCCCTCTAGCGACATCACTACCGGCACTATCACTGTCAGCTTTGCAGATTTTGGAGGGAAATGCGCTCGAAAAGCGGTGCGATAATCCCTGCGGTGCAAATAATTGGCTTTGCTGTGGATCTGGCGAAACCTGCTACACCAACAGTCTCACCCAGGCAGCATGCAGTACAGCCTCCACTGAATGGGACTATTACACAACAACCTATGTGGTGACCGAGGAAGACACATCCACCATCACCTCAGTCTGGAGCTCACAAGTTACAACAGCGGCGGCAGCTACGACTACTGCAAGCTGCTCAGCCGACCTGGGCGAGTCAACGTGCGGGACCACCTGTTGCGACGCGGCCTCGGAATGCGTGGATGGCCAATGTGTTGCCGAAAGCTCGTCTGCAGCAGTGACCGGTACTGCTACACCTGCGGCACGAGAAACCAGTAGCGGCGAGTCTACTGCGACAGCAACAGCAGCCGCCACTACGACCGAAGCATTCATTGCGCCCGTGAGCACAGACGGATCTGATCTTATTGGAGCCAAGGCTACCAGCAATGGAGGTGGACTGAGTGGCGGGGCCATTGCAGGCATCGTTATCGGAACGATTGCTGGTGTCATTCTGCTCTTCCTGTTGTGTGCTTGCTTCTGCTTCAGGGAGGCTCTATACGGTCTGCTTGCTGCGCTTGGTATGGGCAAACGTCGCAGAAAGCAAGAAACTATCATCGACGAACGCTACTCCCACCACTCGCAAGGTAGTCGTCCACGTCCTCAGGGTGGCCGAACGTGGTTTGGAAGTCGGCCTGCTGCCGTGACGAGCGAGATCAGTGAGAAGAAGGAGTCTTCCTGGAGCAGCTGGGGAACGGTTGCGGTTATCCTTGGTGCGCTTGCGCTCTGCTTGGGATTAAAACGACACAAGGACCGCGACGACGACAACAGAACCGAGAACAGTTATCCAAGCTCGTACTATTACTACTCGGAATACACCCGAAGTAAGTTCTTTTCTCAAGCAATGATTATGACTTTCGATGTATCCCAAATATACTAATGACTTCCCTACAGGTAGCGACAGCTCTGGAGGACAAACTCGAGACACACGACGATCTCGAAGATCTCGCACACGATCACGACGCTGAAGAAGTTGACTAGTCCTTCTTTCCCGAATTACTTGATTTATTGACCTTGTCATGCATTTACGGCGCTGATTTTTACTACGACTCATGTATCATTATGACTTACTCTATGATTTTTTCTTTTTCTTGCCTTGGATGTGATGAGATTTATGCTATTTATCCATGTCGATATGAGTTGTGCCCTGGGAGGTTTTTTTGGAATAGGGCACGTACGATTGGGGATGCACATATCAAATTTGTGAACGGATGCTGAAAATATGATGGATGAGAACGATTTAATGCATTTCAAGGAATGAATACATTCTGAATAAACTTTCCAAAAAGCCTACTATATCAATAGATCAAGGATAGCCAGTTCAAACATTCTTGGAATGTTGGCACTGGCAGTTGCAACAAAAGGGTAAACAGCTTGTAGTACTTTAAAGGGACCCCTGGGGAAGACTTGCAAAGAAATACATATATCGATTCAAAAGTAATTTGCGTAATGTTGCGCGATTTTCAATCGCTCACTTAATTCTTTTTAGATTTCCTACTTGATAGTAGTATAGTTAGTTAGTAGTCAGTTAGCCCCAGTACAAGGTACTTATGCCTAATATATCGCGACATCTTTCGAATAATCATACAAAACACTTCATGAAGTGAGTCGTATCTAGTACTATCTACCTTGCATATAGATCAAAGTCTAGCCTTGGCTGAGAGCCACAGCTCCGGGGTTCATGGTTGCACTAAGCACGAAGCCGTGATTGGGGCTCGTCTTGCAGGTACAATGTGCTATGTTCGTATAGAAAACCCGGCTAATCTGCACCACACATCGATTCTGCAATCGATCCCAAGCGAAGTCAAATGCATTGAGCAAATGGAAATGTAAGAGCAAGAATTTTGCCCAAGTCAATTTTCTTGAGTGGGTAAAGTCGGGGTTGGTTGAAATAGTCAGCAATACCCGTGTGACAAAAGGGCGCACAAACTGAGCAATGCAGTGGTGGAACTCATTTCGCTCCCCGCCTTCCGTCCTTCTCTTTCTCCTTCTCGTCAGGCAGACTTCCGCTCCGCTTGGTTCTATCGCCCCTCAACGCCAATTCATCAATGACTCTCAACCTGAGTCCAATTCGCTGACCTTTTCTGTTTTCTTCCTCATTTTAAACTTGCGTCTGGCTCTCCCCGTCCACCCAGTTTTCGTCAACTGTCGCTTCACACCGAACCTTCGTGGGTGTCTGTCTCATCATCGCTCGCCATGCTCCAAGCGCAGAGCCAGCACGTCTTCTCCCACCAGCATCAGTACCCGCAGGCTGATCCCGCGTGGCTGCAGCACCAGCAGCAACAGCAACAGCAACAACAGCAGCAGCAGCAGCAACACCACCAGGCCCAGCCGCACCAGCAACACCAGCAGCAGCATGCCTCCTTGGTCGCTCAGCAACATGCTCAGGTCCAAGCTGCTGCCGCCGCTGCGCAGCAACAACACTATGGTCGCTTGGCTATGAACGGTGGCAACGGCGCCGTAAACCCTGGTCAGGCCTCGGGCGGCATCGGCGGCATGGGCGGAGAAGGTTTGGCCAATGCGGTCTCCAACATGGAGGGTGCCATCAGCGATGAGAATCGCAAAGTCTTCATCTGGGTTGCAGAACTTCTGGACCCTGCCCGTAGGGAAGCGGCGCTCATGGAACTGAGCAAGAAGAGAGAACAGGTCCCTGAGCTGGCTCTTGTGATCTGGCACTCATTCGGTATGATAATATCGCTATTGTGGGGGCGCTTCCGACCGGTACTAACTCTCGGCAACTTGCAGGTGTCATGACTGCCCTCCTCCAGGAAATCATCTCAGTCTACCCCCTTCTGAACCCTTCGCAGTTGACTGCCGCCGCTTCAAATCGAGTCTGCAATGCGCTGGCGCTCTTGCAGTGCGTCGCATCCCACAATGAGACGCGCACTCTTTTCTTGAACGGTAAGCCATGATCATGCCAAATCACCTCTCTTTCCCTCGCCTCTTACTAATTGTTCATGTCTTGTCGCATAGCCCACATCCCTCTCTTCCTCTACCCCTTCCTCAACACCACCTCGAAGTCTCGCCCATTTGAGTACCTCCGTCTCACTTCGCTCGGTGTCATCGGAGCCCTGGTGAAAAACGATTCATCCGATGTGATCAACTTCCTGCTTACAACTGAGATCATTCCCCTCTGTCTTCGTATCATGGAGACCGGATCGGAGCTCAGCAAGACTGTTGCTATATTCATTGTTCAGAAAATTCTTCTTGATGATATTGGCTTGGCATACATCTGTGCCACATACGAGCGCTTCTACGCTGTCGGCACAGTCCTCAGCAACATGGTCGGTCAACTAGTGGACCAGCAAACGGTGCGATTGCTCAAGCACGTTGTCCGCTGCTTCCTTCGGTAAGTCACATTTCTATATCTACCCCGGGTGTTTCGGTATTAATGCCAGATTCAGATTGAGTGATAACAGCCGTGCCCGAGAGGCATTGCGACAATGTCTACCCGAACCTCTTCGGGACGCCACCTTCTCATCCGTTCTCCGAGACGATGCAGCCACCAAGCGCTGCCTGGCACAGCTCCTCATCAACCTCTCAGACAACGTGTCTGATGGAGCCTCGGCGGCCATGTAACATACTAAAACGCATTTCTTTCATCGCAGGATGTTTTTTTTCTTCTCATTTCGTTATGCATGGGACGGGTTTATGGCGAGTATCGGTCACAAGGCGCAAAAGTTATGGGCAAAGCACAAGATAAACTACTTATCACCATGATGGGCCCTGGTGGTAGTGCGTTTCTATTCAGGCAGCTTTCTCTTTTCTTTTTCTTTCACTCTGTCTTTCAAGGTTTTTTTTATCGCAGCATTCATCTTGGGACTTGTCCCAGGATTCGGTGATTTTCGTGTTGATGGGAGGGGACTCATGTATTCCTATGTCCTTTTTTTCCTCTTTTTTTTCAGCTTCCCTTCCTCTGCCATTTCCCCCCCTTTCTTTTTGCATCTTGGTTTTCCTCTAAACTTGTCTTTACCTTATCTATTTTTCGCGGCGCTCACAGTCGGGTGGCGTGGGTTTCTGGTTGGCGCTATCGTTTTATGTGCATTATTTTCCCTCGACTCTTCCATTTTTCGCTATGAGATAGACCCCTTTGAGCCAGAGATACCACGATCCGGTCTTTATTTCTTTACTGCCTTTTCCCCCTCTGTTCTGCTGGCTTATCTCTGTACATGTCCACAAAAGAATGTACCTTTTTTTCCACTTGTTTATCCAGGTAGACTGGGGTGCTTATGTTATTGTCTAAATTGATCTGATCGCTGGAGGTCACCTCGGCACCTGGGCAGCCGGTGCCCAGGTGTGGAATCTAATGCATGTGAACTATCTAGATATGCTGGGTAGCACTCTAATCAAATTTTTGTTTTCGTACATGTGTATGCCTCAACTTCAAATGTTGCTCATCCCAGACTCTTTCCCCCAACATTGAACCCACTAGCTTGACTTTATGATGGCCAGGTGCCCACATGCATATGTGCAGGTGATTGTTAAATGTTCAAATTGGCTTCAATGAATGTTGGGGAAATGCATGTGTGTCCTTACTAGTAGTACGTACATTCACGAACATTACACATTTATATATTTCACCAACAGCCTACGATAGATTAAACTTCCTGAATTTTATTTTAGATCTTAGTCTCAAATGTACTCGAAGACGCCAAGCTACAAGGGGTCCTACTAGACTCTGAAAAATAGATCAATCCAATTGATTCAATCTTCAATAATAACATTCAAGTTCTCCTCAAGTTCTCGTTCCTTTGTCTTTCTGTTCTAGGAAATTGACCAAACGCGACATTCACGTGACCTACCCGTTCCGACGCGCCATTGACTGAGATCATCTCGCCTCTTGAACACGAGGAGCGAACGAAAAAAAAAAGACAACTCCTCCATTTATCCTCCACATCCTGCTGAATTACTTCAACTTGAACACCAATCTGATACAAGAATCTACTTGTGGGACTGTGGCAGCACTCTGACTCCTTGAACCGCCCCTCGAAACAACCTCCCCTACCAACACCCCGGCCTTGACCGGCCGTCCCCGCCGCAATGGGAACGCGAAAGCGCAGTCGCTCCGAGGCGATTGTTGCCCCTGTACAGCAGCCAAAAGAAGAACCGGGTCTGCTCCAGCAGATCCGCAATAGCTGGGAATTTGCCAATCTCATGCAGTACATTGCCATGTTTGGCAAAATTATGAAGATCGATGAGGATTTTGAGATCGAGGTAAGTGCCCATGGAAGTCTTTCTTCATTCCCTGTGCGCCTGTCGCATTTCGTGGCGCATGGATAAAACTTTGATTTATAATTATTTCGCGCGCTTCTTCACTGGATGAGCGGGGTGGCTGACACCATATCTTTTTTTTTGCTTGCATGTAGGATCTTGAAGATGAGTGTCTCAAGCCCGAGCATTCGCTTAGACTACTTGATATCGGACTGTGTTTGCTGAAATGGGTCTCATCCCACCGGGGTCTCACGTATGTCAAGATGAATTATCCCTGAAGGCTATATATGCCTGGAAGAAGGTACCGAGAGCTAACTATACGAGGCAGATCTGACAACTTTGATGAATACACACGTCGACAGTACAATGCGAAGTCTCCGAACCTCCCGAATCCCTTTGGCCACGATGAAGAACCCCTGAAGTTTCTCCACTTCGATGTCTTCACCAAACTTCGTGTCCTTCACCAACTGTCTGTGTGGACCTTCTGGAACGCCGATCGCATTCGGGATAAGCTGCCAGAGAAGAAGGAGAGTGATCAACTTCAATGGGTGAGTATTCCGCCTCTTTGCTAAGAAAGCCCTTTCTAATTTCCCACAAGCGCATAGAAGAATTCGGATTTGACCGCGAAGGCCGCTCCTACTTTGTCCTGGACGATAACCGCCTCTACCGCCGAACAGAACCTCCGATTCCCACGCAACCACGCCCCAAGAAAAAGCCCAAGAGCCGTTCGTCACGGACATCCCGAGCCTCGAGACGTGTGTCGGCCCTCGCCGCGCAAGAAGAATCCGATAATGAAAGCAAGGGGGACGATGCCAATGGCGCCACTCCTGGAGATGACTACAAGTGGGAGTGTATCGCTGTCACTCTTCCAGAATTTCAAGAATTTCTGGAAACCATCAGAAAAAGCAAAGATGCGGATGAGAAATTCCTCCGCGATCGACTTGAGGAGCATGTCGTGCCCCTACTGGAGAAGACCGAGGAGGCGCACCAGCGCAAGCGCATGAAGCGTGAAAAGGAATTACACAACATGCAGTTACTTGCCGGAGCTAAGCGGTCCAGTCGACTTCAACAAAAGGACGAACGTGAACGTGCTGAGAGAGAGGCCCTTGAAGCCGCCCGGAAGCACGAGACCGATCTGGCTGAGGCTCGTCGGGAGCAAGCGAGACAACAACAGCTCGAGCGTGATCGACAGTCGCGGATGATGACCCGTGAGCAGCGGACCAAGGATCGCGAGCAGAAGCGTCTCCTGCATGAAGCCGAGCTTGAACGGATCGCCGCAGAGCAAGAGAAATTGGAGCGTGGTGAAGGCAGAGTCTCTGCACGGAACCTCAAAGCCGAACTAGAGAAGTCCCAAAAGAACTTGACAGAATTGGCCCAAGAGGACGAGTGGGTCTTTGACTGCTCCGGCTGTGGTGCGTATGGAGAGAATCTCGATGATGGTAGCCACAGCGTTGCCTGTGAGAAATGCAACGTCTGGCAACACAGTAAATGCCTTGGCATTTCCCAAGAAGCCGCCGAGAAGGAGGACTTCCACTTCGTGTGCAGTGATTGCAAGCGAAAGGCAGAAGAGGCCAGTAGGCCCAAAATCCCACCTCTGAAGTTCCGCGTTAGCTCTTCCGCGTCGCCTCAATCCACTCCCCCGACGAACAAGAAACGCAAGGTGGAAGATGGTGACCTTGTTCCATCCTCGCCTGTTAAGCAGTCTCATGCTGCCCTGGCTAGCCTGCAGAATGGCCCTCAACCACCCACTATGCATCCCGCCCAACCTTCTCTTCCTCCTCTACCTTCCCACGGCCAATTTTATGTTCCTCCGTCCCCTGAACGTCGTCTACACCCCACAAACCAAACCCCTCTGCCTTCTTCCAGTCCTCCTCGACCTATGTTCTCTCCACCAAAGAATGGCCCTATCAACCCTCTCACGAATCAACAGCCCAGACTCGGACCCGGTCAGCATATGTTCAAAGCTATGCAGCCAGGCCCACAGCTTCCTCCCATTGGAGCCTTCCATACTGTGCGGCCTTCGTCCTCCAACTCTGGATTCGCTCCGACCCAAAACCAACCGGCTATGTCGCCCACTCAGGGCAACCATGAAGTTGGGCCCCTCGCAGGATTTCCACACATCGCGCATGCGAATGGATCTGGCCACCGATCCTCATTTGAAAGCTTCGCGACTCCCCGCCCTCAGTCTGGACATGGAGTCCTTCCATCTATGTCTAGCCACTACCCGTCCTTTTCTGCTCACGGAACCCCCAATGGCAACCACTCCTCTCCTCCACACAGCTCCCACGGAATTGGCATGTCGGGAATCAGTCCTACAAAACAATCCCCTCGTCCAGTGACATCGGGCAGCGGCATGGCAGGCGCCCCGGTTCTACCTCCGATCCGCCGACTGGAACCTAGCCCCAAACTTATGGGCCGCAGTTCACCTGATGCTCCAATTCCTCCGCCGGTGAAGTGTATGACTCCCGAGCAAGAAGAGCGCCGTGCGCGCGAGAATGCTTCCATCTTCCACCCGGGGCCAACTCACGCCGCTCTCATGTCATCACCTTCTATGAACCGTATTCCTCCTCTTGCGCCTGCGGCCACACAGCCAGAGCCTATGCCATCACCTCAGCGAGGTAGTGATGCGTCGCGGCAGTGAATTAAATTTTTACGAATAATATCTATGTGTTTTTTGAAGGGTCGAACCATGTCATTTTTGGTGTGGACTTGACTTAGATTAGATCGAGGTCACATCGATCGATCGATCGATTTCGCGGTTGAATTAAGCATCATTACAGTTTTGGCAAGATCCACCTCCTTTGTCCAACCCCCTGAGATAAAAACCCGACTTTGTGGACCTCTCCGTTCCGTGATGAGGATGAGTGGGATCGAATGATGGCAAGCCGGAGTTATTAACCCCAAGCCTCACCTCAATAGTCCAAATGAGTGAAAATGGTCCGTGTCCTTGATGTCACAATCACCGGCTTGTCTGATTTTGATTCCGGTGAAGGATGAGTGAGAACGAGGTACATCACTATCGTCTGATATGCGTCTGATATGCATCGCGACGAGGCTCAGCGTGGCCTATGCCCTAAAAACTTGTCTTTTTTCTTATTTTATTTTATTTTGTTAGTCTGTCCAAGGTGTCTGGGGTCATCAGGAGCTTTGATACCATATAGGCACCAGTTTATCTCTGTTATGCTTCCCTTGTTTTTCAAATTTTTTTTCCCCCGTTGACATGTGCATTAAGATGGTTGGGGATTGGGCGTTTTAAGATGGCCTGGAGGCCGGAGTTCACGTTTGATTTATCTTCCTAGCTCAGGCTAGGAGTGTATTGTAATAGAGAACTCAAACCGAGACCTTCTTATGCCTACTAGTAATCCTGCTATTATTATATGCCCATCTAGAATTGAAGTTGTAGAGGATGTGTGTCTCTACAATAGGAACACCACGTGATGAATTACGTACTATGTGTAGCATGTACTACTATACCACCAAATCAAGCTCCATAATGATTTACTCCTATGATTGCAACTTCAAAGAACAAACTATAACAAAACGATTGTAGCCCCCACTACCAGAAAGAAAGAAAAGAAGAAAAGAAGAAAAGAGGGAAAAAAAACGAACCCCTGTTCATGATTGCAAACGCCGACCACGACAACATGCAGATGCAGCGACCGCCAAGTCCCAATTCAACCAGTTGCATCCATACCAGAACCCAACAGCGGCTTCGCGCATTTCGCGCAGTCACTGCGCACTTGGGCGCATGTCAGTCCCTGTACAGTTATCCGTCATATTGCCATATTTCAATAGTGGGAAAATCGAGAGACCAAAAAAAAAGCCTCAAGAATATTAATTGATGGAAAAAAAAAAACGGCAATCACAATCTCAATCCAAAATAACACCACTAAAAAAACATACGCCGAATCCACTCTCTAACCTGCCTAGGAAGCTGTTGGTAACTAGTGGCGCGTATCTTTAGCCCAAGGGTTTACGCAATCCTTAGTTAAAAACTGGAAAATGGACTTGTTGGGCACAATATCGGCATCTGCGCCGTTAGCGTAGGGACAATTGTACGTGATATTAATCACGTGTGTTAGAAAAAGGGCAAAAAAATTCCAAATCAAAAGTACTGTACATCATGTACAGGAGCGAGATCGATTCACACGCTAGAGACTAGGGGGATCCACATGTCGTAGATGACACTAAGCATAGACGCGCGCATGTCGGTCCAAGGCCCGTGATTCGCCCAAAGGCAAAGTTACAAAACCCCATCTCAAATAACGGAGGAACACGAGCGTGCCCTCTCGTTGGTCCTTTGGCCCCCGGGGGACTTTTGCCGATGGTTTCTCTTGTTTTTCGTACCACGGAAATTGATACATCGGTTTTTCCGTTGGATTTCCGCTCGAGGGGGAAAAGCTTTTGACTTGGGCTTGGGGCTTGGTCATCCGGAGATCTCCTGAACCTTGTCGCTAAAACAGCATATTTGGGAAACACCGGCATAATCAAGGTCGGGATCACGGTCTCCATAGGCCCCGTTCCTAGATGGATGTATAAGGTTTACATTTATGGCCATCTGGATATACCGACTCTCCGGTCATGATATCTGTGATCAATCCTTCGTAAAACCTTCTCTTCTGCGACTGTTGCCCGTTCAGGCGATCAAATGTTTGACCGTATACGTAGTCATGTCGCTGTCGCCATCGCCGTCGCCGTCGCCGTCGCCGCACGTGCGGTATGGTACTTGGAATTCCATCGTATCCTACTTTCGGTTAATATCGTTACGAGTCCGAGAATTGCAGATCCCCAATCAATCACAGTCGTGACGAGGCGAGCAAGCTAACCACGTAGTTCGTACACTAGGCTAGTGCCTCTTCCGCGCTACAATAATGCCAGACTAGTAACGGTGCTCGACCCCTAAACAGCTGTATATCCTTCCAAACCGGGAGTTGATAATCTCCATGTCTTCGTTATTCGTAGCAATTTGATCCAGCGAGTGGATTAGAACTTAGGGCTTCCCCCGCCAATCCTCCGATTCCTCCGATTCCTCCGCTGCTCGTGCGCTTGTCCGTTTCAGGTAAAGGGGGGAATGGACCGGGGAAGACATTCCGTGATTCCTAACGTAGTCAAGTCAGGTCAAGTTATGTCGCGGGTGGATCGGGGAGATCGCGTAGCTCTTGCGCTAGGGGTGTGATTGGACGGGATTTAATAGGAGTGCCTATCACATCCCTGAAATTGGGCGAGGCGAACTGGTAAAGGTGGTCTAGGCTCGGAGATAGGAGATGGCGTCTCCGACTCTCCACCATCCGGAATAACTTCTGACTTGCCCCCCCCCCCTTCTTCTCCCTTTGAGTTGTCTCCAAGGGATTCAAAAGGATTGAGGATATTGAAGTCAAATGCGAATATACAAAGTATAAAAAAAGGAAATACTTCAAAGTACCATATTGGCTTTTTTTTTTCTAGAACCTGAATGCAATCCATGGTTGATTGGGCTGAATTAAGTAGGAGTCGAAGTTCGGAAGGAAGTTTGATCACAAATGAGACAATCGCGGGAAGTGAACCTTGGAAATTGGGCAACTTAGAAGTCTGATACGAAATCTACATCGTATACCATATTCCGTTAGCGTTGCGCAGCGTCGAATGATGAATCTTCAGAAATACCAGAGCTCGGAGACTTTGAAATCATTTGACCAAGTTGAAATGGTTTCCATATTTCCTTTTCGTGAACTAAAGTATGAAATAAAGTTGTAGTAGGTAGTTCGACAAGTTGATCTCTTTACTAGTAACGAAAGCTCGGCAAAAAAAAAAGGGGGAAAGGGCAAGGATTGATCGGTTTTCTAACTATTCTCCTGAGTCAAGGCTAGCGAATCCACCCGTAGCGAAGAAAACAAATGACTCGAGTATTCATATGACAGACAGCCCTATCAACTGATCACCAGGGAAAAAGAGCCTGACTAATCAGGATCGGAGTCGATTAACTAAGCTATGCGTCCTCCTGCGGCCGTGCCCAAGACGATCACCTATCAGAGTAGAGTTTGAGTCGACCGTTTGGAAAGGGTCGATCAGGACCAAAGCTTCTAAGTTTCTGAGAGCCGTGCACGCAAGCCCTGGAGATCCACTCCTGCAACTCATTTCCATGTTCAAAGTGGGACCGGAAATGGTCCATCCACTCGCAACGAAGATGTGCATTTGCCTTGCCGCAGAACTAGATTGCCAACCTTTCTAGACGCGTTGCCCGAGATTTCGTTCGAATTGGGAATCTGTGACCTCACCAGTCACCGAATCTAGCACTTTTGTGCACTTTTGTGCACAGCTACGAATCCAGAATAGGAAGACCACATGGCAGTTCATAAAGAATCTCGATTTTCCAGGCTACAGACTTTATACCAGATAGGGAAGAAGCAACAAGTTAAACCAAGGTAGGGCAATTCATATCAACTTTGGTAGTCACGACTCACGGCATAACCTAACATTGAAATTAGTCAGGCTGGTTACCAGTCAAACCCACAACTCAATTCATTCATTCGGCTTTTATATGATTTTATCTCTTTATTTCTTTATGATTCTTTATGCCGTTGTAGACTCCAGACTCGGAGGGAAAATGGTGGGGGAAAAAAAAGGAGGAATACCTCACGATGGTTGGCCACAGGTATTTGTCAAACAGCTTTCTTAGCGGCATATCGAAGCGAACTATTGGCCTTCCCACCTCCCCCGGACAAGAGAGCACGGACAATGCATTGATTTTTATTCCTTGGATTTTCTTTATTCGCTACAGGCGATCATAATCATCTGCATTATGTCTGCCTTTTGGGGGCCATATCTGCCAATCTGGAGGCTTAATCTGTGCATGGATCTCAAGGGACCTTTTTGCTATAAACTCTTTTTGGGCCAATATTTCCAAAAAGCTTCATTTTATTGATCTTAACATTCCTCATATTTGGTTTACTCTGCAAGTAAATTAACTCATCTCGGATATGCCGTACTCCTGAATCTTCTATTTCCGATCTGGGTAAAAGGGTTGTGGAAATTGCTATATTCCACGGTTACACTTGCGATGAGTGGATCGGCCGAGCACACCCGAGCGGCACGGTAGATTACGCCTCTGATGGGCCCAAGGCCTACATAGAACTAGTTACCTTGTGTAGAATAGAATAGACATGAAGCCCAGTGATGCCGTTGATACAAGGGAGAAATATGGTTCTTGCCCACTTGTCGACTTCATCCTGTTTTATCATATTTTCACTGATATACGGCTGCCTTTTTTTTTTCAGTAATCCCATTTTCATGTTTGTCCTGTACCCCATAATGATGTGATGATCCGCATAAGAGACAGATCTCTTGAGGCATGTGGCTTTTGCTAAAGAATCGGAAAGAGCCGATTGCCCCTTACCTAGAAAAGTCAAACACCAGACGATGGCACTTGTAAAACACATGACTGAACTCGTATGCGCCGCTATCCTTTTAGTAAAGGAGCTACATGATGATAGTCCACTATGACGAACGCCTTGCCCATTTCCCCCCTTTCTTGATCCCTGTCAGTGGGGAGTAACCCTGTAACCCTGTAACCCTGTAAATCCGCAATTCCCAAATGAATCCCGTAACATTTGATGAACCCCGATGGTCCCCGGAGAGGATATTGCCTTTGCGACGAGGACCATA